ATCAAGTCGACACAGACTGCGTCCCAAACTCATCGGTAAGCCGAACGATGTTTGAGACGTTTCGCCAGGAGACGGAGCTAAAAACGTTCGAACGTGTAAGCCGTTTGAACGTCTCAAACGTCTGGGATACTTCGATCTCACTAACCTTGAATAAGGCGTCTCGGGCCTTCTCCTGCTGACCGACGACCTGCTTGACGTCTTTGACGACTTGCGTCTGACCCTCTTGGGTCTCCGGGACGAGGGGGACGAGGGGGACGTCTAGAGAGTCAAGAACCTCTTGATCGTCTTCCAAGTCTTCGACATCGGGAACGATGTTCCCGTCCTCGTCGAACGGTTCCTCCGGGTAGACGTCTTCGTCGTCGTCGGCCTTCTCTTCCACCTCCTCCTCTTCATCCCACTTGAGTCCGGTAGCCCCTTCTATGATAGCCTGTAGTAGCATATTTGAGGAAGATCAGTAGACGTTTAGACGTTTAGACGTTTGAACGTCTCGAACGCGTTCAAACTTACCCCCGAAATCAAGTTCAAGACATGAGCGAAACATCGGACTCGACCCTTGTCCGAGTAGAATCGCTTCCACTCCTGCTCCCCCACGGCCTCGATCATCGAGTCGTTGACACTGGCGTTGTCGCAGACGATCGAGAGCACCCGGTCTCGAATTCCCCAAGTCTTGACGCACTCGATGAGGTGGTCGCCAAGGTAGAGTCCGGTATGACGTCCGGGCGCTCTGAACGCGTTCGAGACGTTTAGACGTTTAAACGTCAGTTGAAATCAAGCCGATATACAACACCACAGACTCACGCAATGAAGTCGAGCAGTATCGACTGAGGACGCACATCACCGGCGCCCTCTACTTCCGTCCAATGAGCTGTAACACCCATGAACGCATTCCCACCCCGATCGGTCCAACAGTCGGTAGCGAGGTGAAACACACCCTGATGGTGGTGTAGGATCCCTCGCAGGACCTTCTCGTTGATCTCAAAGACCTTGCTGAGGTCTTGAGCGACTTGACGTCGGTTGGGGAGAACCTTCTTCATCGCCGGGAAGGATGCGGTAAACATGTCCGAAAACTGAAGGCGTTTGAGACGTTTAGACGTTCGAACGTCAGTATAAGATTCGGATTTACGGAAGGCAATCAACTCACCCCGGGCTGTTCGACGACGGAGAAGGAGTGGTTGTTTTGAGCGATCCAGCATACGATCGCATGTCGAGTCTCGGCCTCTCGAGGCTCGACTGTTGGTGCTGGACCGAACAAGGTAGTTTGACGGAGACCACCTAACGTGTGCTTCTGCGGACACGTCTTCGGGTGGTCTGCCAGGCTACTACCAGTCCCTGCGGACTTCGCAGACTTAATCTTTTTATAATTGAGGCAATGGCTGAACAAGGATAGAAGTTTGTGTAAGTCAAGAGGTTCAAGAAGTTCACGTTCAAACGTCTCAAACGTCTTGATCGAAGAATGATAAAACAACTTACCGACAACGCCAGAACCACCAATGATGCTGACCATCCTTACCGTCAGCCTTCTTCTCCGCATCCGTAGCCAATCGAGGTCGCTCGTAGTTGGCCCGGACGGTGCTGGCTGCACCGTTATCGATGAACAACCCGCACCAAGCGTCGAGATAGGCCTGGTGAGCGGCCTGCGAGGCGTCGTCGGCAGGACGACGTTCTTTAAGCTTAGGAGCTACGTGTAGTAGCGTAGAAGAGAAGTAGAAGAGAAGTAATCAAAGAGAAGTAAGCGTATGTTTGAAAAGTTAAAAGACGTTCAGACGTTCAGACGTTCGAACGTCTCAAACGCTTACCATTAGTCCCCTTAAGCGTACTCTTACGAGTCGATAGAACCTTAGGGTTCTTCTTCGACTTCTTACTTGGTGTTACTGTTGTTATAAGTGTATAAGAAGACGTTTACGACGTTTGAACTTCATCTCGAAGCACTTACCCTGCGTATCAGGTACCTCCTCGACCAACTCATCGTCATCGGACTCGACCTCGTTCCGTCGACGTTTATTCCCCTTCGTTCGCCATGTCGGAGACCCGTCAGCCTTCTTGGGGGGCTCGTAGGCGTCTTCGCTAGCGTCGGAGAGGGGGGAGGTGTCGTCTCGACGTCGACGTTCTTGTTCGGAAGTTTCACCTTCCGCGTCGACGTTCTCGGCGTCGCTAGCCGGTTTCTCTTGCTCCACGGGCCTCGCTTTAAGCGTGAGCTTGATCCGTGGGGTACGTGGGCTCGACATGCTATGTTTGAGACATTCTAGAACGTTTAACGATGAAACATAGTCGTCGTCTATCGATAAAGTAGATATTGACGATATTCGACTCGACTTCTCGACGTAGGGGGAACGCGCGTCAAAAAAAGTGCTTTCTCACGCGTTTTTTTGCCGTTTTTCGAGACGTATCTTTGCGTGTTTCATGTTACTGAACAGTTATTACAGTAAGATTATAGTAGACGTCTGTAAACTATAGTACGGTCTGGCTGGTGTATCGTAAGGCGTTTGGTGGAGACGTTGGCGTTCAAACGTCTTCACGACTGCCAGAGCAAACGCCAACGCCAAAATGAACGTCTGAGACGTTTGAGGCGTTGGCGTTTGAACGTCTCAGACGTTCGAGACGTTGAAAATAAGGCGTTTGGCGTTGGCGTTCGAGACGTTCGGCCGAACGCGTGCCAACACTAGTTGAGACAGTACCTTGTCCCTCTTGAAGTACTCCAGGTTCTTGTGATCCGTCAGGATCCGAACGGGGTACCTGTTGTCGAGATAATGTCGCCATATCCGACTGCAATAAACGATGGCCAACAGTTCCCTGTCGTGCACATCGTAGTTCCTCTCGGCGGGCGTCAGACTCTTCGACATGAACGCTACCAGGTGGAGCTTCCCATCGTCCCCTACCTGGGACATCACCGCGCCGATCGCCCCAGAGGAAGCGTCGGTCTCGAGCACCACCTGGCGCTCCTCATTGTAGTGCGCCAATATAGGCGCCTGGGTGAAGGACTCCTTCAATTCCCGGAACGCAGCGTCAGCGGCTGCCGTCCAGGAGTACTTCACCCCTTTCTTCGTCAGGGCCGTCATTCCCTGAATCTTCTTGGAGTAGTTCTGAATGAACCTTCGATAGTAGTTTGCAAATCCTAAGAAGGACTGCAGTTCCCGAATGTTCTTCGGGGGAGCCCAGTCCAGAACGGACTTGACCTTGGAGGGGTTCATACTGACCCCCGTCGGGGCGATATCGTACCCCAAGAATTCGGTAGCCACCGTATCGAACTCACACTTCTCCGCTTTCGCATACAGGCCATTCGCCTGCAGCCTCTTCATAACCTCCTTGACCTGACCGTCGTGGGTCTCCTGGTCGGAGGAGTAAATAAGTATGTCGTCGAGGTAAACGACGACGCACACATCCAAAAGGTCTTGGAAGACCTCGTTCATCCACCGCTGAAAGGTAGCGGGGGCGTTGGTCAGGCCGAACGGCATGACCAAACATTCGAACAGACCGAAACGTGTAGTAAACGCGGTCTTCCAAATGTCTTCTTCTTTTACGCGTAGCAGGTTGTACGCGCCTCGGAGGTCCATCTTTGTGTAGACCTTCGCGCCCTTCAACCTGTCTAGCGTCTCTGAGATGAGGGGTAGGGGCGTCCTATCCTTCACCGTAATGTCGTTAAGGCGACGGTAATCGATGCACATACGCATCTCGCCGCCTTTCTTCGGTACAAACAGTACCGGGCTCGAACAGGGCGACTTCGACGGCCTGATGAACCCCTTCTCCAGATTCTCCTTCAACCACTTCTTTAGCTCCTCACTCTCCCGCTGGGAGTGGTTGTAGAGCTTCTGATACGTCGGCGACGTACCGGGTTTGAGTTCGATCGCGTGGTCGATCGATCGCTTCGGGGGCAGTGTATCTGCCTTCGTCTTGGAGAACGCTCCAAGATGTTCATGGTACTTCTCCGGTACCATGTCCCTCAGCTTCTCCATATACTCGGGAGGGTCCAGGTCATCCTGGAACGAGTCTGTAGGTTTGACGTCCCAATCCCACAGGTCCGGGCGCCTCGCCCGCTCGTCGTCCTCCCGGGTCGTCTGCATTTGTGCGACGACCAAATCCTCCGTGATAGACCCCTTCATCTTCTTGAACGGGTCGATCCCTCGTGTCTCCACCTCTACTTCGTCCGGAGCATACACCGTCTCGGGCCTCTTGAGACATCCCGTGCTGATGCAGACATCCCCGAACGTCACCGCGTTGGAGTCCCATTGGATATGCGGATTGTGTCTCCGCAGCCAAGGGATGCCTAGTACGACCGGGTATCCACTCAAATCGGTGAGGTGGAACTCGGTCAGTTCCAGGTGCACTCCCGTACGTACCAACGTACAAGCCTTCTGGGTGATCCTTCCTCCCTGGATCTCCCGACCATCGATCACCGTCACTACCCGCGGCGTCTCAAGATCCGTCACGTCGAATCCATGTAGCGACGCAAATGTCCGATCCATGAACATCCCGGTCGCTCCCGAATCCAACAACATGAGTGCTTGGACCGGCACTCCTTCCGGGTAGAACACTCCTACCAACGTCAGGTGGCTATCTGGGCCGTTGGGTATTCCGCTTGCACCCAACTGCAAGGGGATCCGGCTACCTCCCTGTACTCCCCCATTCGGGATCCTTTGGTGATCCGTTATTCTGTAAGGCCCGGGAGCGACCCCCGATGGGGGTCCCCCTGGACAGGCTGACGGGACGCAGGAATGAGGCAAGGTACGAGTAGACATCTAAATGTAATAACGGATGTAGGGCTATTACAGAGGTACTAGTTCTACATCCAAACAACAACACCGAAAAGTACCCCCGACGGGAGTCGCATACGGGAGTCGCGTACGGCGCGTCCGACGCGTCACGTGACCGCTATAACAGTACCTTGCTGAGCTAACGCACGACCCGACCCGTTCCAAATAGATAAGGGAAAGGGCCGAGCCAAACGTTACGACGTCAAGATCGCCGATGAACCTCCCCAGATCATTCCGAACCCTCACAATTTCATGGACCGTGACGACTACAAACACAACGAGTTGATCTACCACCAAGATGGTGATCGTTTGCTCAACGACGTTTTTCATCGAATCGCCGGACCTTCTCGCTTTGCCGAAGCGTACATCGAGTCGGTCGATAGTCAGGATCATGAGCGTTCGTTGGACGAGGTCATGCATCAGATGATCGAACATGCCAAGTTCATGTCGTTGCAAGGAGATGCCGCGAGCCTCTCCAACATGGACTTCACGTCGATCGTGGACGACAACCGGGATGTTCAGCATTGCGACTTTACCAAAGAATACGTTGACACCTTGTTATTCAACCCGTCGCCTGGTTCAGTCAAGGACACGCACGTCACTTGCATGGCAAATGATGCGGCCGAACCGCTCTGGCTCCTCGATCCAGCTCATCAGGATGCGACGCGACCGTCAAACATTCCGGGACAGTATTCCGACGATAGCGTCTCCGTCACCATCAACCATCAACGCTATGCTCGCCAGCCAGAATTCGAGCCGAGGAGGCGGTTCGCTGTTGATTCGGTCGCAGCTTGCAATTTTAAAGCTTGAGACGATTCTGCCTCGAGCCGGTATCCGGCCAGAGACCGATGATAGGCTATTGGGAGGAAGTCCTCCCTCCACAATCTTTTGGGGAGACCGCATCCCCACTGGTGATACGAGTCTCGTCGTCATACATTGTCCAAGAAATCGGCGCAACTGTGATGTTTGGGATATGATCGTCATGGCAAGATTGGATCAGCTTCGGGATTGAGATGAGTCGGTGCGCCAGGATTTGGATGATAGATGGATCGATATACGTTGACTACTCCAAGGCATCTCATTGAATTGTTGAAAGATTGAGAAGACATGCGTCGGTCAATAGGCTTGTACACTAGGAGTTTCATGACCAGCTACGTTTCGGGTGACCTGTGAGAAACTTTCGATGACATTGCCTCGTCCACGTTTGGCCTCCTCTCGAGTATGGATATCGATGGCCTTCGATAGCGGTTCTCGAGTCAGTATCAAGCGGAAGGTAAGACAGATGATGATGATGATGATGATGATGATGATGATGGACTAGCTAGGTCCATGATGCGAGAGGGAGTCGTCTGGAAGCTGGACGTCGGCAAAAGGGCGACGCGTATATTGCATTCAACAAAGCTCTCTGGACGCTCGGCTGTGTAATGGAAGTGGTAGGATATGGATTTAGGACGTATTCACACAAGAATCCATTCTATGTCAACGGTCAGTACCGGCTCGCGCATTTTCCCAGAATTATATAGGGCTAACTGAATAGACGCCCAGCGTTTATCAGGGCGGTGCAGACAAAAGTCGAGACGAGTGTGGCAGCGATCTGCATGCAGAATGGTTGATCTTTGCGTAATGCGCTAATTTGAGATCTTTGGAGAATTTCAAAGCATGGCTGGTTGTTATATAGCGGAACTGAAATTCGTTCAAGGCAGATGAATGAGAGAGCTATTCAATCATGCTGAACGATTCACTCACCGACTTGAAGTAATTCATCGCGAGGGCGTTACCGGCGACCCAGGCTCCACCAATGAATTCCGCAATGACGTTGAGGGTCGTCTATCGGGCATTACTTATCTGTGTGAGCAGCTCATCTGATTTCGAAAGTCCAGAACAACGTATTCTGTCTACTTGTGAAAGGTCCTTCTGTGCGTCGCCAGAATGACCAGGATGATGGCCGCGATGATGGCCGCGCATGGCCAAGTCGACCCGCGTGCGTGGCCACGATCGAGTCCGAGCGCGGCCAGGACGACCCATGCGTGGCCAGGATCGAGGGTCCTTGATGTAGCCATGCTTGCATGTCGACGACCATCGCAATCGACGACATTGAGCCCCTAATCAATCACAACATGGACGAATCATCGGTCGTTGCCTGCAATCACTGCGGACATCAGGTCCTGCCTCTGGATGACGAACCGGATGATCGTTGGAGCCAGACGCCGTTGTGCGACGCTTGCCAGTGTAACAAACAAAGCCGCAGGATCACCATCGATGGGAAGCGACATCGCTTCCGCTGCAAGGACTTGGCTACCCACCAGGAAGAACGTCGATGCTCTCGCTGCCTGGCTACGCGTCGGCCAAACAAGCGGCAAAAGATCGGCAAACAACAGCAGGACTCGGCCGAGCTCACTGCCGTTCATCTGGCTCCTATGCCGGGAGGTCGATCACGACTAGAAGTACCCCTGAAGCATCCTTCGGGGTTGGGATCGACCTTCGATCTAGTCCTTCGTCACATCCTTCGCCTCTCTCCGGCCGAACCATCGGACGACCAGGTCATGGTGGCCGTTGTCAAATCCATCGACAAAAACAGGGACGAGCTAGCTGAACTCTACAGACGGATCACCACGTCGACAGGCTGTCTATATGTGAAACAAGCGACAGTTCAGGGTGCTAGCGACGATCTTGACGAGGTCGTAGATAAGTATCTTGAAGGAATAAACGACGATGACGATCTTGATTGTTACGGCAAGTACACGGCCTTGTCCTTCTTGCTGTTTACCCCCCCGGCTGATCTGCCCCAAGTCTACACTCACGTCTAGTCACGGATAAACACTCTCTCGGCGTTTGGAAAAGGCCTAGCGATGACGAAGACGAAGACGACGCCTCTCTCGATGAATGGGAGAAACCCGGAGAGACTCGGCCCATCCCCTTTGGCGAGCTGATGCGAGCGTGTCGACACACCTTGCCTTCTTCGACCACCTACATCAGCCTCAACTGTCTACAGCTTCCCGAGTCGCCTCGACCGGATTCCTTTGGTTCAGCATGGCAGATGAATCACGGGGTCGCGGCCAAGGATCACGTCTTGAAGTCGGCAAAGAGCCCCCAAATGCGTCCGCTCGAGGAGCTCTTTGCGGAGAGAGAAGGCTGGTACCTCCTGACGTCTCCCTTCGCGATCACAGAGGTCCACGCAGATCCTCCGGGCTGGCTGACCTATGTCGAGTGCATCTCGGGATACAAGGTCTGGACAACCTATCCCGAAGCCCGACCCATAGCAGAGCTAGAATCAGCAACGCATCTCTGCCTTCAACGGGGGACATCGATGTGAGTTTGCAAGAATCGATTGATGCCACGCCTGCTTCACTAAAGCTGGACTCGTCTTTCGTCTGACTCCTAGTCTGATGCTGCCCAACACCGCCCACTCTGTCTATACGGCAGAGTCAACATTGTGCCGCGGATTTCACTTTATAAACTATCGCGCTCTCGGTTCAATCGACGTCAGTTTGCGGGCATCCTCGGAAGGGTCAGATCCCATCATCAAGGTCTACCTAGGGTGTATGATGATCGCTCTGGCGTCGTACCAGTTCCGACAAGACCTTGGAATCGCTGATCTTTGCCACTCAGATCGACAGCTGTCTGCACACGCTTACCAACAGGCCAGAGCCCAAGGGCGTCCGTGTCGCAAGGGAAGACAAGGTCGTCAAGGTGATGGCAAAGATGACAGGCACGATCGACCTGGCACGTCGAGCGTTGTACACCTGGCAAGGTGTAGGCGAATTGGGTGGATGGCGTGCTGGTCGATGAGAGCTTTCGGGGTTGGTCATCAATGTCGTCGCCTTGGAACACGGGTTATCGTCGTCCCACATCTACAGACCCTCTCGCCCGTGACACCCACGCCTTCATCCTTGCCCCATGACACCTCTTGTCCACAACCTCGCCTACGGAACATCCCGTCTACAACATCCAGAACAAACCTCTCGTCCATATCACCTCGTCGCTCGCCACGATCTCGCCTACGATCTATAAACCGGAATCCTCGTCCGGCATCAAGATTTAGGTGTTGTCTACCTATTTATTTTTTTACGCCCACGTCATTTGTTGTCCATCGACATCTCGACTTGTCTTTTTTTACTAGCGACACGGATGCATATGCGGATGTATTCATGGACAGTCCTGAAGTACCACGACACGGCAAGGCAGAGCGATACGAAACACAATGCAAGCACATCAAATATAAGAAGGCAAGACAAGGAGCCAGCTGCGCGTTTCTGAGCCGAGTACAATGCTTGTATTGCAGGCGCTAGCGGCGAGCTCCATGATCGGTCAGCCCCGAATTGCCGTAACCGCCTGTTCTTACGTAAGCTTTGCCGTCGGCGATCTCTGATCCTCTCCCCTGGACTCGCATCGGTCGACCGTCTCCTGGCATCATCCTTCTCAACAAAGTTATTACTTTGCTCACTTTCCCTGGCGTACGAGAAGAGAAGCACAGCCTACAATGGAGAGTCCGACTTGTCTGCTGCTGCTGCTGCTTTGTGACACGGTCAGTTAACGATTTACCGCTATACAAATCAAGGGTTACTGTCTTCTTGCTCTATTGCTTCTCTCGTCTCATCGGAACGACAACTTTCCATGTCAACAGCTCATACTTACCACGATACACTTACAAAGTATAATCTATCGCTCACCCTTTTTCGATCAGACTTAAAATGTACCAGCGCATTCCTGTCGTGACTGGATAACGGGATGAACAATGAGTACCTCCGCTGTCGCTCTTGTTTGGCTTTCGTTTGTGAGCAGTAGACGGACGGCACTACGATGTGGCTGTCTTACTCGCCAGAACCCTCAGCCATCAATAAAAAGCAGATACAAGAAGGTCAGGAGAGTCAGCTCATGTCTTTGCTTTGTGACGTCGCTAGCTAACTCTTGCCCTCTATCCGTGTTATCGGGCTCTGGGAGCCGTCGGAGTATGGACCGGGACGATCAGATCATACAATTCCGGGTGAGCCTCCAGCCAGGTTTCCGTGAACATCCATCGCTAAGGAGATTCTTCTAGGTAACCAGGCTCTGGAAAGTAGGGGCAGGCATTCGGAACGGCTCAGCCGGCAGGAGGCTCGTGTGAGACTGGATTTGGATAGGCAGCCAAACCTTAGTCGGTGAGCTTCTGGCAGGGTCGATGCAATCTCTCAGCGGTCACTTACCGTTGTTGTTGCTGACGGCTGGTGCCTTGCTCTTATAGATCCGATTGAACGCCTCGATATGTGTAAGGCCCGGGAGCGACCCCCGACGGGGGTCCCCCTGGGCAGGCTGACGGGACGCAGGAATGAGGCAAGGTATGGGTAGACATCTAAATGTAATAACGGATGTAGAGCTATTACAGAGGTACTAGTTCTACATCAAAACAATAATACCGAAAAGTACCCCCGGCGGGAGTCGCGTACGGCGCGTCCGACGCGTCACGTGACCGCTATAACAGCATCCGGAAGCAGATTAGAATCCGGGCGATCATGATCGCCCTCCAGTGCCCGTGCAGATCTTGTTTTGTCATGGAACGGAATAATCAATGTCACGCTCAAAGGGTGGGCTACTCTGCGGCGGTGGGGTCTGTCAAGCCCTTGACTCGGTTCTTTTACGCCCTCGACTCGGCTCTTCCACGCTCGTTCTCCAAGCTCTCCAGCTGGAGCTGCAGGTCCCTCCGTTCCAGAGCTTCAAATATCTGCTCTTTCCAATCGTTACACTGCTTCCAGGCGTTGTCGAGGTGCGGGAGCTGAGGCACTGCGGATCTAAGGCCGACGAGAGGGCGGAACAGCTTCACGAAGTTCAGATCTGGGAAATGTGGACAGATTAACCTCTCGTGACTGAGATTCATAAAGGGGGATGTCACGCACCAGTTCGTTGCCTTCCCAAAGATATCCAAAACGAAAGATACCGTGCATTCAGGGAGGCGTCGCACTCTTCAACTCTGGCGATCCCACCCCAATCCCTGGATGTCCAATGAGCCCCAGCGGCCGCACAGAAGACCGACTGATGCATGGGCTTGCGTAAAAGCAAGGTTGCCGCCGTGAGATGGAAGAGGATGGCGCTCCGATTGGGCGGGATCAGAACGCTATTACCTGCTTCCAAGATATGTTGCGACCAGCCAGTCGAGGTCTGGATGGCGAGCAATACCTTTCTGTGTATAGCAGTGTAAAGGTACGCCTCTGTTGCAGGTAGACGTTCCAAGCTGCCCTTCTGGGCGAGGGAGTATTTGGCGTCATGGGGATTGTAGATTCTGTCGGTGATGTACTTGGCCCATTCCGATGTACTGTTATGGCATCCGCGGTACGCGTACCAAACACCCGCGTCGGGTAGTTTTACAGGGACCTCCGATGGGAGTTCCGTATGGAGTATATCTAGAACACCCCCTATGTGTTTACTGTAATGTAGTACCAGTTGTACTACATCCGTTATTACATTCATTACCTTACCCTTACCTTCTAGTCCCGTGTGATACTATTTCAGGCTTGCAGGCAAGCCTAATAGAATAACGGATCTACAAACTTCACCCCGACTAGAACTCCCTACGCGATGAACACTTCGTTCACTCAGTGTTTTCGTCCCGATGGGACCCCCCAAGGAATCCCGCCAGGGATCTCGCCTGTGCTGTCCGAGGATGGACAAAGCCAGCAGGTAGATGGGGAGGGAAGGTTCTTGTGGTTGCAAACGACGGACTCCGGAACGGAGACCACCGCAAACGAGTTGCGGGTGTTTGCCAATCAGCAACCTCCAACGCAGGCCACGCCGGCCAACAACATGGGAACGGTCCCCCCACAAGTGGTACCAACTTCTCCTGCGGGCAACCCCGCAGCCACCCTGGCTCCCGCCACCGCCACGCCGGACTTGAATGGCCTCTTTCAATTGATGGCCAACATGCAAGCCCAGGTGCTGGAGTTGGCGAGGGCAAGAGAGTCGCGGTCGTCCTCAGACGAGGCCCGGGCCAAACTGTTTAAGTTTGGAACGCCGGACAAGTTCGATGGCAGCAAGAAGGAGAAGGTCCGAGGATTCCTGGACCAATGCAACCGGGAATTCGAGGTCAAACCGGGCGTCTACGTTACCGACCGCCTGAAGATGATGTACGCGGAGTCGTACATGGAAGGACAGGCCGCCGACTGGGCTCGGGAGTACTCCACGGGCCGAGTGCCGGCTACCTGGGAGCAGTTCGAACAACTGCTCATCTCCACTTATGGTGGAGGACGAAACATCGCCGCGACCGAAAAAGAACTTTATCACCTGAGGCAGGGCACCAAGAGCCTCGCGACGTACATCACCGAGTACAACGACCTCTTGGCCCTCCTCCCCAATGTCTGCGAATACGTTCGCCGGACGCTGTTCAGGTCCAACCTGAACCAAGCGTTCCAAGACGCTATCGTCCCTATGCCGGGCCAAGAAACAATGACCTTGGCGGAATTCCAAATGGAATGCCGCCGGTACGAAGATCAGGCGGATGTCAGGAGGCATGCGTCCTCGGGAAACCGCTACCACGGCGGTAACCGACAAGCGAGCAACCACTCCGCTCCTCGTAACCCCGTTGTGGTCAATACCACTGTTGCGACTCCTACTCCCGCCGCCAACGCTTCCACCGCTGCTCCCATGGAACTCGACGCGGGCAGGATGAGGCGGAACGACCCCTGCTACCGGTGTTTCCAACACGGCCATGTGGCCGTCAACTGCCCCAACCAGAGGGTCCCTGCCCCTGCTTGGTTCAAGGGTAGGAACAACAGCCAGACGAACGTCTCTGGTGCCCGAGTGCAGCCCGTCGAGACCGTCCCGGAGGGAGGTTGGGAGGCCGAGCTCGCTAGGCAGAACGGAGAGCAGCCTTTGCTCTGGACCCCGACTGATTAGACGTACGGTTGTGTTGTTATTGGCTCATCATTTGTTGTACCCCCACGGCAGGACCGGCGGGGATGTTTTTATCACCATTCACTTTTGCAAGCACTCGACTTCACCGTCGCTACGAGAGATACACTCACCAAAGTATACGCCATCAAAAGGTAACTGTACAAGAAGTACAATACGAAACATGTCCCTCGCGAGGAGTAAACGCATACTACTGAAGAACACAACCTGAAACAAGTCCCTCGCGAGGAGTAAACGCACAAGTCCCTGGCGAGGAGTAAAACGCACAAGTCCCTCGCGAGGAGTAAACGCACATAGAGAGAAGAAGATGAAGTCGGGACTCTATTATGGTATATCAGAAATACAAGAGAAAAAGAGATCCCGACGTAAAACAATCCGGAGAATACAAACACGACAAAACTCCAAAAGACCCGGAAACCCCTCACTCGTCGTCGTCCGAGACATCGACAACCTTCTTCTCCTTCTTCTTCTTCTTCTGCTTCTTATCGGAAGCGGGATTGGGAGTCGGGGAGGGAGGGGGAGAGGGGGTGGGGGTGCGGAGAACGTCGTCGTCGTACGCAGCGCCCGCCGGACCTTCCGTGGGCGCCGCGGGGATGGGCTCCCCGATGTCCTCGCCGTGGCCCTGGAAGAGGAACTGCCGGTAAGGTTCCTTTTGAGGCCACTCGTCGGCCTCGGGGATGGTGACGCTCCCATCGGCGTTGCGGGCGGCGTCGGGGTGGCTCTTGGCCCACTCCTCGTTGTGCTTCTGGATCTCCGCGTCCCGGTACGTTTGCCAGGCGGGGATGAACCGGTTCTCCACCAAGCAATCGGTCTTGTTGGAGAGTAAGGGGAGGACCTACGCAAGGTACAAACATCAGTTCCGAGAAGTACCTGCGTCGGGGATCCAAACCGGAACAACAACTTACCATGCGATTCATGAGCCGCTGCAACTCGTCCCCAACGGCGATGGCGACCTCGTGAGGGACGTTGGGGATGGTCAGGACCTCGCACGCTGCCTCGTACCGGGTAACGACCCCGTGGTCCTTGTCGAAAACCGTCATGTAGGCGGACGGCAAAGGGGCGCACTTGAACTTGGTCCCGCGACAACAGTAGCAGGAGCTCCCGCCGCTGGTGGATTTCCCGGCCTCCGGGACGGGGTGGCGGCAGACGAACATGCCGTTGAACTCCATGACGTTGTACCACCCCTTACCGTCCTTGTCGGTGTACCCGGGGACGTCGTTTTCGGCGGAGAGGTGGAAGCGGTCCTCATAACCGAAGCAGTTAAGACAACACCACTTCCAACCACCACGGAAGTTGGCCTGCGTACGCACAATCGGAGTCGATAAACCGTGTTCCCGATGGAGGGAATAGAAAAGAGAAAAAGAACATACCATCATTATAAGGTTTGCCAGCAAACCTGAATAGTAACACACGGGACTAGAAGGTACGGGTAGGGTAATGACTGTAATAACGGATGTCTAACTACTACAAGGTGCTAGTTAGACATCTTCGAACACATCTCCTAATAGGTCTCCGAGAGAGTCTCCGAGAGAGTCTCCGAACGGACCTCCGTACGAGGTGAAAACCTACATCCCGCGTGTGTACGACATGTGTACCGCGGATGCCTATAATAGGATCCCCCCCTTAGGGCGAGATTCCAGATTGCCCAAAGTAGCCGAGTAGTCCGAGGCTAGAGTAGACGTTTCATCTTGAAGTTCTTTGTTCCCTCGAAACGTCCAGTGTCTGTACCCCCGCGACTCTCCTCGTGCCTCCGCTCTATTGTCCCCGAGGAGATCGTCTAGAACCTTCGATTTGTACGTCTAGGTACACTGGTTCTCTCTGAAACACTGCTCGGCGCCCGTGGGTGCTGCAATGAAGAACCTATTGTCTATCGGTGTCGTCGACCCGTCTGAAACGCCTAGCCGACGACGATGACGCGTCGCGCGTCTATCTTCTATTGTCTTCCCCGCGGACATTGCAACATGGTCCTGTCCGCGGTATTGTTCGTTGATGTAAACAAAGGTGATGTCGTATGTATCGACGTCCTTTCTAACCGATATCGCTGTATTCTCTTTGTCGTGTTCGAAGTAACGACTTCTTGCTTTGTCCTAGTAGCTGCTACCTAGGTCTCTTTTGTCTTGTTCTCGAAATGTGAAAGGTATAAGACCCCCGAGGGGGTTTGTCGACTTGATGTTTTTCGACGTACGTATCCTCTCTCCTTTAGCAAACCTATAGCTTACTATCTCCCGTATCTTTCCTTCCTTCCTTTCGTACCATGCCTCCTTCCGCTCCCCCTACTCCCTCGAAAGCTCGCAAGCGCAAGGCCGCCACGGACTGGGTCAACGACGCCGTGTATGGCTACATACGCGGTAACAACTGGGAGGGCTTCGAGGTCAACGAAGTCAACGCCTTACAGAAGGCGAAAGAACGATTCCGAGGAACCGTCCCGCCGGAGGTAATCTCCGCTTGGATGAGAGGGGATGTGGATGGCGTGAATGGGTTGCTGGTAAGCCTTTGATATTCTTTTGTTTTTGTGTCTCCGATAGGGTCTCCGAGAGGGTCTCCGACTGACCCTCCTTTGATATCTGATTTTTGATCTTCAGGCCCAATTCTCCGGTGGTTGGCAATGGTGTTGCCAACGTTGCTTCGACGGTGGCAAGTTCAAGAGCGTCACTCCCGCCGACTTTGTGACGTACAACCCGGAAGACGGCACGTGGTGGGACGTGATCAGCGTCGAGGGTCTCTTTTTCTGCCGCCATCTTATCCACCCGCCGCACACCGCCGGCAACGTCACCAGGTCCTGCGGTCGGTGCGCCCCGAAGAAGCTCGGTTGTGCCCCCGTTCCCCGAGAGATGGTTGTCGTCTTCGACGACGATGAGGATACCGAGACCCGAGTTCGGGCGGGGTTGGTCTTGTTGCGCGCCGACAAGATGGCCTTGGGGACTCGGGATGAGGTCGCGACCGAGATCGAGAGGCTCCTCGATACGGTTGTGAGTTTGTTTTCTTCTATTCTTTTTCTTTTTCTTCTTCTTCCACTGACTCCTCTTGCATGCTATCCGACATCCAGATTGTACCTCAACTCAACCGTCGGTCCGGGGTCTCCGTCATGAGCGAACGCGGGGCTCTCTACAAGGCCATCGCCGACAACAAGGAGGAGTGGGACCACCTGGACCCCAACACCCGTCGCGGTTGGGAAGGGTTCGAAGAGGCCCGCAAGATCACCTTCGATTTCGCCGAGGGTCAGTACAAGCCTCTCCCCGTGTGGCCCGGCGAGGAGGACGCCATGGATGTGGACGAGGAGGAGACCGAGGTCCAGATCGTTAGTACTCTCTTTCTACGTTTGCGTTTTGAGCTAACCCAAGTTCTCCTAGGCTGCGCGGGAACGAGACGCTCGTCTCGCGGCCGAGAAGGCCGACGAAGAGGCCCGCCAGAAGCGGCTTGACGCCGAGGCCGCCAGCAAGGTCGCTGAGGACGCTCGTTTGGAGTACGAACGGGCCCGGGACCGCCTCGCCGCCGTCAACCCCCTTCGGTTCCGTACTCCCCCCGCCGACCCGCCCCCCGCCAAGGACGCCGCTCCCCCTCCCGCCCAGGACAAGCAGCCCTCGCAACGAGGTAGCAGGGCCAGGTCCCAGCGCGAGGGGACCGCGACCGAGCACACCGCGGACCGCAACGAGGGTGATGGTGGCGATGGGAGCGGCGATGGCGGTGGCGATGGCGGCGGTGACGGTGGTGGCGACGGTGGTGGAGCGTGATTTTGTTTGTGTTTGTAACGTCTCGTTTGGTCGCCGTTCGGGGGTCGGCTCCCTTTTTATTTTTATGCTATTTTCTTGTTGCGATTCATTTCTCCAGCAAAGTCTCCGAACGTGTCCCCGAACGAGTCTCCGATTGAGCCTCCAAGCGAGTCGTGGTACTTCATTGTTTTCGTAAGACAAACTTGATTGTCGTTGGCTCGTTAAGTTCGTAAAAAAAAGGAATGGTGATAAACATCTTCGTCGGTCCGGCCGACGAAGGTACAACAATGAGTAATGACAATCACGAAAACCCTAAGCACCCGGAGTCCATAGCAACGGCTCGTCCCCGTTCTGCTTAGCGAACTCCTCGTCCCAATACGCCTGGTGGTTCTGGGCGGGAGGTTGCATGTACGTCGCAGCCACCTGCATCCGACCAGCCTGTTGCCGAGCCTGCCACCAAGCAGGTGGAGACCTCTTGGCGTTGCTGCACTGGGCACTCCTGTGGCCGGGCTGCCAGCAGTTGTAGCAGGGTTTCCCGCCGGGCATCCTCGCAGCGTCCACCTCCATAGGCGTAGCACCCGACGTGGCGGCCACCGCAGGAGGGGCAACAGTGGTGTTAACCACAACAGGGTTTCGGGGAGCGACGTGGTTACCTGCGTAACGATTTCCGCTCGTGTGGGCACGGTTACCCGAAGACGTGTGCCTACGGGCTTCCGCTTGGTCTTCGTACCGACGACATTCCATCTGGAACTCCGCCAGCGTCATATGCTCCTGGTTGGGCATAGGGATAATAGCGTCCTGAAAGGCCTGGTTCAGGTTGGCGCGGAAGAACGACCGTTTGCCGTACTCGTTGAGGTTTGGGAGGAGGGCGGCGAGGTCGTTGTACTCGGTGATGTACGTACTCAAGCTCTTGTTGCCCTGCTTCAGAGAGTAGTACTCCTTCTCCGTAGCAAGGATGTTCCTTCCCCCTCCGTACATCTCCACGAGCAACGCCTCGAACTCCCGCCAGGTGACCTGAGTTCGCCCCGACGAGTACTCCCTTGCCCATGCCTGGGCCTGCCCATCCATGTACGACTCCGCGTACATAATCTTGTAAAGGTCGGTGTACAACCCCGGCTTGACTTGGAACTCCCGGTTGCATTGGTCCAGGAATCCCCTAACCTTCTCCTTCTTGCTGCCATCGAACCTGTCCGGCGTACCGAACTTGAACAGCTTCGCTCTCGCTTCCTCCGTGGCCGTCGCCGATCGAGTGTCCCTCGACATCGCCAACTCCATCATCTGGCTATGCATGTTCGCCATCATGGAGAGCAGGGCGGAAACGTCCGGACTGGTAGGAGGCGCAGCGGCCGGAGCAGGGTTAGCTGCTGGGGGTGTTGACTGCATTTGTGGGGGAGTCTGCCCCATGTTGTTGGCCGGTGCGGCCTGCGTGGAAGCGGTAGGTACCCCCGTGGCACCTACCTCCGGTTGCTGGTGGGCAAAGACGCACTGGTCGTTTACCAGCGTCTCCCCAGTTGGGTTCCTCCACATGAACCTTCCTTGTCCATCCATCATCTGCATGCTCCCGTCTTCGCTCAAGACCGGGATCGCATCCGCAGGGATGGGGTGGACAGCCCTATCCGGTCCGTAACACTGCGTGAACGTATTCATCGTATACGGGGTCTCCTAGTCGGGGTGTTTGGGTGATCCGTTATTCTATAAGGTTTGCCAGCAAACCTGAATAGTAACACACGGGACTAGAAGGTACGGGTAGGGTAATGACTGTAATAACGGATGTCTAACTACTACAAGGTGCTAGTTAGACATCTTCGAACACATCTCCTAATAGGTCTCCGAGAGAGTCTCCGAGAGAGTCTCCGAACGGACCTCCGTACGAGGTGAAAACCTACATCCCGCGTGTGTACGACATGTGTACCGCGGATGCCTATAATAATCATACCATCGAACGAGGCAACGTTCCCTTCCCGCCACGCCTTCGCAAGAGGCTCGATGAAGGCGTTACCGGCCTTGAAGTGGGTACGACCCAACTCCTCTTGGTGGATTTGTTCCTCTAGAAGATAGCCCGATATGTTATCCCCGACGGACTCAGCAAAAACAAACACCACTCACTCTCGCCGGCGGATTGAGTTTTGGGGTAAACGAAACCCCGACGCCGGTCTTGCTCGAGTTTCGCGGTCGACCGCGAAGGCGAAGGTTGGTACGGCTTGTCGCCGTGGTTCTTGGTAGTCTTGGGAGTGACAGGCATATCGAAGAGGGCGTAAAGGTAGACGGGGGGTAGATAGCGTAGGAGGGGTAAAGTGAGTAGTAGCGAAGGACACCTACGACTTACTCCCCACCTCGCAAACACGAATGCGAACCCCTTTATACCCTACATCCTTGCTGCTGCGGCGGCCCAAACAAAAGAAGAATTGCGATACTAGCAAAGAGAGCAACTAGAACAATACTATTGCTATGGATATGGGCATATGAAGAGAGGATATCGTACAGCAACAGCGGTATAGGCGTCTACATCAACGACGGTCTCCTTTGTTTACACCTCCCGAACAATGAGTCGGACATGCGCCCATCCGGATGTCCGCGCAAGGACAAAGAAAAGAACGACAACGAGACGCGCCCCATCGGGCCCGAAATTCGGGTATCCCTGTGAAACAGGTAGACGTGTGTAAGCAACGAACGCTTACCGGTGGGAAGAACGAAAGGAGAGAACAAAGGCGCTTACGTGAAACACGAGCGGCGCTGGCCGATCTGGAATCTCGGCCTGGGGGGGGATCCTGTTATGGCATCCGCGGTACGCGTACCAAACACCCGCGTCGGGTAGTTTTACAGGGACCTCCGATGGGAGTTCCGTACGGAGTATATCTAGAACACCCCCTATGTGTTTACTGTAATGTAGTACCAGTTGTACTACATCCGTTATTACATTCATTACCTTACCCTTACCTTCTAGTCCCGTGTGATACTATTTCAGGCTTGCAGGCAAGCCTAATATGTACACTCCGCCTCGACCGCATCAAGCGCCTTGCTCCAGGGGCCTGGACTAGGCTGATCGTCCGGCCGGACATGTTGGATCCGCCGGTCAATCTCGCAGACGAGCGAACGGTGTGCGTCTTCCGGACCCCAGTCTTTGACTCGGCTCATGGGCAGCCTCAGAATCCACGCATCGTTGAAAGGGAGAGATTTTGGTCGCCTGACAGTCTGCCAGTGCAATCTATAAGCGTGCCCTGCGTTTTCACCTCTGTCAGCTGCCTGGCATGTACACGACGTCAAGGGTGCAACCGACAAACTTACAAATGGAGACGAAAAAGGTCGGCTGACCATAGTGCTTCAGGAGATCTTGTCGAACGGTCTGAAAGTCTGATGCCGCTCCGAAAAGATCTTGGGGCAAATTCGATTCTTTCGAGACCGATTCCTTTGATATGGTCCAGATCGGCATGATTTCCCTGCTCTCGAACGGCCCTTCCGGCGGCCAAGATCTGAAGCAGCTGCTATGGCACGACGCGGGCAGTATATCTTCAAGGAGCCCAGTCACCGCAGGATGAGAGTCATGTGGCTCGGGGATAACCAAGTCATGCGGTATGATCGTCAACGAACGAGGTGGCGATTGTGACAACGGTTCAAAAGGCGGTGAGATCGCTTGGTCAGGTGAAGGCGGCAAAGTTGTCGATGAAGGGAGCTGCTCCGGCTCGATGAGTTTGCTCAGTTCGAGCACGGTGAGATGACCTCGCTTCGTCTTCTTCTTGCGATCCGGTTCCGTGGTGTCATCCGATGATTCCCCTGCGACGTTCCGCTTGATCTGCTGCGGAGAGTCGTCAAGAGCTTGCTTCAGATGCTCGTACACCCGCTGACCTGATCCCAACTTCTCTCTCAACTGAAGCAACGACTGGATCTTGCTTGTCCCGAGTGCATCCAGCCCACCGGTCGGTGCTATAAGAGCGGGGATAGAGGTTTCCCATAGCTCGGCTTCGTCCTCGCCTCGAGCATTGTTCAATTGGCAGAGCTTGGATTCCCGTTTACTCCTAGTATTTTTGACTATCTCAACCCATTGATTGAGGTTGTCCCGCCAAATACCTTGCAACGCGGCAGTGAAAGGATGATTTGTCTCTATATCGAATTAAATAGAGTTCTGTGAGTGTCATATCGAAACCACGGCCGAGTGTTCGATCTTGCTTACCGCGTACTTGTTCTGAAAGGCCCCTCAGAATCATATTTCCCCAAAGCTCGTAACAGATATGAGAGCGAACTCGTTGCCAAAACTTCGGGTTTGTAGGTTTGCTGTCCTTTGGTGGCATCACCGCTTTCCAGACCTCAGGAAGGTCGCCAAGAGCGACATCAAGCGGGTGAGAGTTCTGCATCGGATTGATGCATGACCTGAGGACCTGGAGAAGAGACTCGTTTGGGAGCTTTACGATCTGGGTAAGAATCGCAGTGATTCTCGCGAAACACTCTTTGTGCGGTCCCTTGGTGCCATAAAGGTGAGACCCTTTGGCCCCTAGCATCTTCCTGCCTTCGTTCCAGAAAGACGGCTCCAGTGGGTCTATCTCATTCGGAGTTGACATGACGGCGCAACTTGAATGTAGTTCTTTTCGCTCGTTATGACCCAAAGGGAAGTATTGTTCTTGCTGAAGTTGTCCTTGTGTGATCTTAGAGAAGTACCATCATCTCGAATCTCGGCAAGCAACCCGGATCAAGGTCGACACCGTCCCGCCCTGATGGGCCTGCCGCATGTCACGTGATTACGGAAGCTTATGACGTGAGACACAAACCCCAAGAGACAGATCTCTGAGGGGTTTGTCGGTGATCGTTATATTATTTTGCTGACCAGCCATGCCAGCCAGGACCTAGTGCGACCTAGCGATGTCCTCTGTTCTCTTGGACGACTGGTATGCTTTTGAAATCCTGCTTCGTCTCGGACTCCCAGATCCGTGACCATCTTTCCCAACCCCCGGAATTCCTTGTGCGTTTCTTCGAAATTGTATGATTCTTGGATGCCGGTACTCTTCTCTGTCATCGTGGTTAATGCGTTCTTGTAGTCTGCCTTCCCATCCGAGGTCTCGTCTATACGGCTTCAACCTCGACCTCAGGTTAAGTCATATAGCAATACTAGTACAATGCGTTATCAGTCTGTTGATACCCTGCGATCGTCCGCTGCATCGACAATACCCTTGGCTGGGAAATATAGGCTATCTATGTTGGTCAGGTTCGAGAATGACGGGGATAGGATCGAGCTGGGACCATTGAGCCCGGAACGAGTTACCTGCGTTGGATCGATGTCTAACTTTAACGTCAATGCCAACATCGATGCCACATCAACGCCATCGACCTTGCGACAGACACAGATCAAAGGAGATCTACAGACAAATGGTCAAGCGGATTGCACCCTCGCGACCTAGGCAAAATCGAGCTTTGATGAGACCCTATACCTTATGAAGCTCGTATCGTATTATCTTAGAGCCAGGTCAGGTCAGGCTGATACGCCATCTTGGCCGAGATGTTGAAATACGTGCCGTCGACTGAGATGGGCTGGGCAGCCGTCGCCACTTTTACAGGTAGGCCCCACTCTCAAATGGTACGCATGCCCCGCAGAAGGCTAGGAAATCCTTATAGAACTTATCCGGAACGTACCGCGTGAGCTTCAGCTCGGGCCTTCTCTGTTGTAGCGTCTCATTCCCATTGAGTGAACATATCCTCCTCACCAAGAGGGCCGCGACTACCAGTAGAGAGAAATAAACCCGTGCCAGAGACGTATCGTGTGGTGAGCTAAGATTGCCAATTGGAATACAGGATGAACGTACTCGAAATCTTCACAGTCCATAACAACCAGGTCAGGGTGATCGTACACGCACTTTTCTGCGGCTCAAATACCTGGCGAAAAAGCCTTTGAACTTGCTAGCCGCTGGACCACGTAGTGCGGAAGAATGGCGGCCATGGACCAACTATCGGTTCCATGATACTTCCCACATTGTTGCAAAAACGGATAAAATTTCGCTGAATGCAAGTCAACATGATTGCGGTCTTTACAGTACTGCAGCAAGGCCCTCCCTGCATCCCCGCAGGTGAGTCTCTGGATTGCTTCTTTCCCGTCCGAGGCGAGCCTAGGTGATCAACGACACTGGGTGGCAGCACGCACAGACAACCTCCATACTGCAATCTCCCTTATTCGGTAAGAAATGGCTTCCGCAACGAGGCCCTAAGGGAGAGGTCGGTCATAAGCAAGGGATAGACATCGGATGTGATAAACGCAAGAGTATTCTAAAAAGAGTCTACAAAGCCGGGGCATTTTGTCATTTAACGTTGGCAAGATTTTTCGAATGTTTAGTGCCCTTCCAAACCCGAAGGAGGGGGAGGGATTTAGTGGTTTTTTTTAAAAGAGATATCAAAGAAGGAAGAGTCCGTTTTTTTCCACACCAAGACCGGAAGCGGCGACCCGATCACCAAGTCCTCGTCTTCAACAAGAGATCCCCGCCGCCCATCTCGAGACCGAGACAAGCCTTCATGAAGGCCTCGAGTCCCTGCCTCTGCCTGTTGAGCGAGTTGACGACGTCGTCACCGGGCTTGACGAGCGGGGCCTTGAGCATGTACGAGAGCAACGAGAGGACGGGGTAGAGGGGTTGGAAGGGGACTTCCTTTTCCGAGGGGACGTCCTTGACGCTCGTTGACTCGGCTTGAAGGGGACGGTAGGTGATACGCGTCATCAGCTCGGCGAGGATGGTCAAGTCGAGAATCAAGGGCGTGGCCAAGAGCGAGTCCTAGCGGGGAGAAAGCGACATCAAGATCAGTCTCCTGCGTCTAATTCAGCAATGGGTTTCCCTGCCAGACTCACCTCGCAAATGTTGAACACCGACAAAGTGTTCCTTCCACCCATCAACAACTCCGAGTAATACTCGTCCAAAGCCCTCTTGTCGTCCCCGACAGCAGGCGCGTACTTGATGACGACCAAGTGATCCGGGTGTTCACCCTTCTTCTCGCCCTTCTTGGCCGGCGCGTACAACAAGTTGTTGGCAGCGACCATGTCGTCGACGACTGAAGACTTGGAGATCTCCTTCGATCGGAACTGCCGTTGGGAGGACAAGTTCTTGCCGTCGTTGTTACCGAGATGGTTGTACGAGGCGATCGAGAGGGGCTTGATACCGGCGTTAACGAGGAACTCGGTGACGACCGACTTGAACTTGGTCTGGCCAGCTATGTAAACGGAAGACGGATCATCGAGGTAATCGATCAGTAGATATCCTATGCTAGACTAAATGGGTCCATGATGACATGCGACTCACACTTGAAGTCATCACCGGCGATGAAACTCTGATGACGCTCAGCCAACTCGATGCAACCCGGAACAAAAGTGTTCGAGGGCGATCCGTTAATGTAAGGGTGTCCATCGAGAATGGCGGCGATCGCAAAGACGGTCGAAGGCGAGACCTCTTCGTGCGAGTTTTGAACGGCGTCTAGGTAAAGTCGTGAGACATGTCAGGTTGATGCCGGAAGTCTGTGTAAAAGCGTGAAGTTCAGGCCTCGCACTCACTCAAGAGGTTGTCTGCGGTATCGTTGACCCCGTCGATCAACTCGGAATACCTCTCGGTGTTGGCCGTCCAGAGGACGACGACCTTGTCCAACCCGTTGCTCCTCTTGAAATTGGCAATGTCCTTCCTGATCCTCTGGACGTGTTCCCACTTGTTCTCCCCAGGGATGACGTTGTCCGCTCGGTCTTCCTGGTTGGCAGCGATAAAGTCTGGGTAATAGATCGAGGGGAGGGGAGCGCCCATCTCTTTCATCAAGGGAGCGACTTGGCGTTGGAGGTCATAGTCGAGCACCTGAGCACGGGCCATAGCCTGGTCCATGGGCATACCGGAGATGTCCCATCCACCCAGACAGAGGTCGTTGGGGTGGACCATAGGGAGCATGTCGTAGATGGGAACGTTGACGTCCTTGCCGGTCTCGGCATCGGCACCGATCCTGACCGTGGAGGCCCGGACGAGGGATCCGATGTAGTTGGGCTGGATGGGGCCGAGCTTGGTGGACCAGGAGATGTTGTGCTTGTTGGCGAGGATGGTAGCGGCGACGGTCGTACCGTTGTTACCACCGATACCGACCAACATCAGACTGGGGCGCGGATTAAGAGGGTAAGCTCGAGGACCATGCCAATGTTACCGGACGCGTGTTTCGACTTACCCGACCTTGCCGACCTTGGTATCAGTCTTGAACTCGTACTTTTGCTCGGTCTTCTCGACGACGAGCCTTCCGTCGAGCGATTCTACATAGGACATAGACACAAACGCAAACCTTGTCAGTCTCAACGAACTTCACTTCACTTCCTCTTCGGCCGGAACTCACTCTTGACATCGCATCCACGGTCGGTGTAAACACTCCTGATCTCGCCCTGAACGTCATCGTACTTGGTACTCTGTTCATCCTGGACCCTGATCAGCCCGCCAGGCAACGACCTGGCAGCAGTAGGGTGGACAGGGGGGAGACCATCCGAGGCACCTTGAATAGGGGAAGAGGTCGCGTGGTTGGGGATCGCGATGGGGGACATGTTGAGAGGTTGATTGGATATGTGTGTATGGAAGGAAAGAAGGGTGGGGCGGGAGATAGTTGATAGATAGTTGTACGGTGGTGAGAGGGGATTTAGTTTCTATTCAAGGGAGGCGCGGCACAGTGCTTGATGCCTCGGTGAGTCTATTGAGGTTGGAAAAGGATCAAAGGTCAGAGGAAGAGCTGATTATATACCTTTTCGAGAGGGCGGTACTTACGTTGTGGGGAGAGCAGAGGCTGTTGCTAAACATATACTGGGGATATATGCTGGTTGCGGTGGGGGAGTGTTTGTTTTTCCGGTAACTCTGGCCGGTTCGAATTCGAGGGGTCTAGGTGGAGAACTTTTCGAGGTGGAGTGCGAAGAAGAGGAGAGGGCAGGGGAGACAAAAGATAGGTGGTCGCGTCGACGGCGATGATCCAGGACGGCATTGGACGTTCGGCCAGGTGGTTGATCGAATCCAGGATTCAGGTCACAAGTAGGAAGCGCAGGCGGGTGAGCCGATCCGGGGTGGATGGATACGATGCGAGCGGTTTCGGTTATGGAAGAAGCAAACAAAGGACGGTTCCAGTATAGTGCGCGATGATCATTCAGGTCAAGGGGAGGAGGATGGAATGGCCGGTAAGGGTAGGGTAGAATGTTGATGATCAGTCCGGATGTCACTCGGTGGATCAGGTCGGTTAGCGACTCACCTGATGGGGTATGTGCAGGTGGGTATCCGGCAAGATAGGTAATCGGTATTTGCAGATGAAGATCGATGAAGTACGAGTTGATGAATATCAAAGTGGGCGACGTGGCTGAGGCTTGGTATATATACTTTTTCTGCTTTGGGTGGATGGGATGGGGATTGTTGACACAGGAGACACAGGACGGAGGAAGCTCTCGATAACCATGATCCCCTTCATTTCCTCCGGACACCGCCGTTCCCCGTCTCCCCGGGGGCTTCGGTGCGTATCTCGGGGGCCGCGTCGCGCCACGCCACCCATCACGCCACGCGGATTCCTTTCGTCATTTCGCTTCCGCCCTGCCAAACTCTATCTTTCCCATCATCATCAGATCCACCCAAAGGATCGCGGGCGGGTCACGCTGCGTGTCGATCATCTGAAACCGAATTCTTTCGCTTGCACCTCCCTTCCATGAGCCGAAACGACTAGAGAACACGGAGGTGGAACGTGCACCTCATGCCCGGCAAAATCTGCTGATGCCGCCTGTGACCAAAGACAGCTGCCTTTCACCTCGTGCCCTGAGATAGGATGGTGGGTGGCGAAGTGGATATCACTGCATCGAACCCTGGCTCTTGTTCAAGATATGATTTCTCGGACATAGCAGGCTCGACTTGTGTCCGCGCCGTGAAAAATAAAAGATTCGGCAGAACCAAGAGTTTCAGGGATTTCAGCGCCGACGCGACCGAGCCGTGCATCTCTAGGCTGACGAACAGTCCCCTTGAATTCGACCTCCGCGTTCATCCAACGGATGATCCCCGTGCTTCGGTATGAGGTATGCGTATTCGGCTTGGCACCTTGGCTATACTGTACGTCCACATGGTCAACCTGCAATGCCTGCAACCTGTGCGCCTGGTGCGTTTCGTATTCTTATCGTCTTTGAGAGGGTCTGACGATGGCCAGTTTCAGCATGCCGGCATGATTACGCGATTGAATATTATAACATCACGTGAAAGAGAGCGCGACTCGAGATTTCCGGTCCTCCACCTTTGTACATCGCCGCTATCTGTGTCTACATTGCTGCCCCAACCCTCCCACTCCACTCGATCACTTAGTTCAGCTCATTCCTCTCTAACACTCCATCGAGAAGTTCATCATGCCTCAAGGAAAGTCCAAGCTCAACGCCGCCAAACAGTCTTCGGGCGGCAAGAAGAAGGTGGCGGACAAGAAGAAGGGGTTGAGGGCGATCGCACCGAAGAACAAGCAGACGGTCCGACAGGCTACTCAGCACAAGGTCGGTCCTGCATTCCTCCTGCTCTATTTCTTACTCCTAGCAAATCTCGTGATCTATGTGAACGACAAAGTGCTGACACATAAATTACGATCGCTTTGTACAGAAAATGAGCGCCAAGATCAACAACTCGATCGAGCAACAGATGATTGCCGCCGCATCAGCTGGAAAGTTGACCATCATGCGAGGAGCCGCCGAGGAGGGATAGTGAGTCCGGGTTCTGATCTCCTATCTTCTCCTTTAATGCATAATATGCAAGGTTTTAGAATGATCGTTGATCTTTGCTTTTCGCGTTTCCTATCTTTAGCGAGAACAAGCGACCCAAGGGAGGAAAGAAGTAGAACCCCGGATGCTCTGGAAAAAACAATCCTCCCCTCGACAATCCATACCATCACTTAGACGATCCAGTATCCGGCCCTTTTCTCGATGCACCTACCTCTGTATTCCCTTCCGGACCACGGTTGTATAACTCGACCTCGAAGGTCAAACGACAGTATCATCCCATATTACATCAGATGTACAACGGATAGAGAGCCCTTGGCTCAGACATGCTTTCACTTCTGCGGTGATACAGTAGAGGGGGTAATGCGAACGTGCGGCTTGGTATAGATTCTGGGGGACCTCCTTCTCGTCTTAGACCTCTTCTAGGCATTTCGCCCATTCAATCACTTTCGGATGTGCGAGGACGCTCGCTGCTCGGAAGTTGTTCACTTCGAGCGTTTCTAGGGATGTCGCTCGTCTGAAAGGAGCAATTTGGCAAATGAGCGGGATTGGAGCAAGCACCAGATCAGCTTAGGCTCGGCTTACGACAAGGCGACATAAGCTTGACCCTTTTCAAACGTCTTGGCTAGATCGACCTTTAACCTAGGAAGAGTGATACCTTGAGCTGGAAAGGAAAAAGCCGCAGAATCAGACACATCGTGGCCGAAAACAACCCGAAGTCGCCACCTTACCCTTGTGAATGGATAAAGCCCAGGCGAGAATCAGGGGTACCTGAATGCGTTTGGCTTCGAGTACGCCTTTCTGGCTGTTGACGTCAAAGTCTACCGGGATCATCATCTTTCGTTGCCCGGTCGTGAACTGGCAGAATGGGATACCGACGAGATTGTTCAGTTGTTTCGTTGCAGCCGTCGCGGACGATCGATAGAGCTCACTTCTACAATAGGCCATTTGTTCTTGGCCAAATCCGCATCGTGGCGGTAGGTCTTTCCGATGACCGCCTTTTCAGGAGGGCCAGGTTTGGCTTCCGTGACCTGGGCGAGGACGTTCAATAGTGCTTCACTCGCTTGTTTTGCGAAGCCATGTGTCTACAGCGACAGTGTCTAGTAAGCTCATATCAATCCGAAGGCAAACTTGTAAAAAAGCCGCTTACTGTAGATTTGCTCGATTCCTCGGCTTTCTGCTTTGCTTGTTCCTTTGCCAGCTCTTCTTGTATACGCTGCCGTTCCTCTGCGAAGCGTAATATCAGCGATAGTTAGCCGGTAGTAGCGGCGACCGGACCTACCCAAGACTGTTTCAAATGCGACTACTTTTCCCCTGCGAAAAGGTGATGCAGCGTTAGCTCTATTCGCTGACGATATTTCGGCCAGATAAGGCTCACACGGAGCCGTTGCATAAACCATCGTTGGGCATGTTCACGATCAACATGACCTGGGCGCCAATACGCAAGTCGAGAACGGCGGGTGCTCTGGAATGCTTATCGAGCACAAAAACAGCTTCCTGGTGGGAAAACGAGTCGCCGTTCGGCTTGATACTGCGTCAGAAGTGGATGTCATTAGCAAACTGCCAGACTTGTCATAGGCGGCTGACCTCACCCTTCTTTGTCGATGCTTTAGAGTCCATTCTGCTTCAGCCGATGACCCTTCGCTTAACGCCTGATTCAGACTGACCTGACAAACATGCGGGTTTCACCCCCGAGCCGCTTGAGCTGCGATTCATTTGCCAGATCCGACTGTCTCTTAGTGGGAAACTGAGCAATTTGAAATCATCAGACGCAAAGCTGCAACCGGATTTCAGAACCCATCATCTCACCAATTCCGTAGCATTGATGCCGTCTTCGTATTTGATAGGTCGTGCCAGACATGCGAAACCCCGAATACTCTTGCCCGAAAGTTGGCCTAGCCGGGCTTCAGTGAGCATGTCCACGAATCCTGACCGGAGGCGTATCAGTCATCTACCATTCTTCACTACTCGGAGATAAACCCACTTTGATTGGACTGGCGGAATACTTGTTTCAGTTTGATTATTCGAGGCACGCATTGCGGCCATGACTGTGCTTCGAACGCAAACACGCTACTCTTGTCGTGTCTGTCGGGAACAGGCGGAAGTTGAAAGAAGCTAGAATTGCCGCTTACGCAGATTGAGTATATAGCCAGAGAGAAACGTCCGACAAGATACGTACTCTCCACAGAGAACAAGCTGTATACCGCCGAATGGGCGAGTGTCTTTTCTGAGAACCCTTCCGACCGACTCTAGCTTGTCCCAAAGCCGCCCATCGATCATACTCACTAAAAGGTCATTTCGTCAGCTGACCATCAGTTCACAACTGTCTTAATCGTGATTTGACGTACTTTCGTCAACAATAAGCACATCAGTCTTGAGCCATCGATCCAAAGGGGTTTCTAGATTTGGATCGGCCCGCCCGATCTTCTTCTCCTTGTCTTGCCGGATGACCCGATTCGCACATGTCTGAACGTCATCTACTGCTAAACCTAGACCCGCCCTGCCTTACCAGGCTTTAGCTGCTTTCCGGAGATCGTCGTATCCAGATCAAATTACCACGAATGCAATGTTTGTCCTCCGATATTCACACCTGCAATTCCTGTGGACGCAGTGATAGCTATGATGGCCACAAGAGTGAGCTCAGACATGGTAGACTTCGATGTTAGATCTACTCACCGACTTTCTTTTTCACTTTTTTGCCTTCCGCGTCTTCCACGTCGATTGCAGAAAGGTGTTTGATGATTTCCCTTAAGAGCACACTCTTCCCCGTACCTGCATGTCTTGCTCATCAGCGCAGTCATCCCATTACGGTCGAATTCATCTTACCAGCCGACCCCGTGAAGAAGAGACTCTCGCTAAATCATCATCAAGACGTTTGTTAAGCACTGCTACTTCTTACGCTGAGGAGACAAACCCTTACCCTGACAGAACGAGGTTCAGGACCTTGCGTTGCTCTTGGGACAGCTCGATGACAGGCGCAGGTTCAACGGGTTGGGTTTGTTTCGGCTCCACCTTTGGCTCGATAGGCGGTATTGCACGGCTTGGCCCTGCTTCAGCTACCAGAGGACCGAGCATCTCCTCTAGAGTCAAATCGATGACCATATCCTTAGGTAATTGAGCACTCCATTTCGTTTTCCGAGTGTTTCTGGCCGGTCTTGAGCCTTCAACGAAAGTTGACTTTTGTGTTGTTACAAGTGGCTTAGGTGTGGATCTCTTCTTAGATGGAGAAGTCGGCAGCTCCAGGCCTTTATAAGGGTGTCTAGATGGCGAAGGAGGAGTGACCCGCCTCGAACCTCCTGCTCGTTGCGATGGCGGAGCGTCTTCGAGAATTGAGAATGGAGGGGATGAGGTCTGATGATCCGGGCTATTGCGCATATTGGACTGAGTTTTCCCAATTTGACTAGCAATGGGAGGTTTAAACTTTGCTGTCGATTTGCGTGCCCGAACCCGGGAGGTTAGACTAGGTGAAGCTGATCCCGGTCGTGTCAAGTCTTCCTCTATGCTTGCTTGAGTTGCAAATACAAAGTCCTCGACCCCAGAGTCAAGTAATGCCGACGAACTCGACTTTACAGGCGAAGATCCCAAATGAGTGTCGTTGATCTGTTCCGAGGACAGGGTGTCATAGAGGTCATCGCCCTCAAATTGCTCTTCTGCTTCGTACGGCTCTACCATGATGGCCATCGCCTAGTCCCGTTGAACTACCGGCTAGGCTTTCGTGTTCCGGATTTCTACGGTTTAGGAAAGGGGCGAGCGAGCTAGTGAGAGTATAAAGAGATAGCCATGGTCCGTTATCAGTATTCGATCTGACTGATTCGCAAGTGAATACATCGTGCGAAGGAGCAACAAATTCATTCATAACTCATGAACTCATGTCCATGATCGCTGATCGCAATGATATCTGATCGGAGGCAAATTCTGCTGCCGGTTGAATCATCCTCTACTCTCCTGATATAGCGCCCGACTCATATCGTACAGCAGCCCAGCGGACATGACAGCGTGGACAAATCGATAGGGTCCAGGCTCATGAACACACTTGACAAACGCTGATTTGTTGTTGTTTGGAACAATTACTGCCGACCCAGAGCTCCCAGCATCCATGATACCAGGAAATTACTCGCTTCGGTATCCTGACCCGGATTATCAAAGTCGAATCCTTGCAGCGGGGCCAGCGTGGTATTGGGCGTCTTTTGCCTCGGAAACGTTCCATTCGTCCTTGCCATCTCTGGGGTGGCGTGAAAGCTGTTGAAGGAAATGTCACTGAATCCGGTTGCTGGACTGAAGTCGACATAGTCTTGACCCTGCAGATCCATCGTAGCATTGGGTAACGCATCGTTCCAGTAGGCTGAGGGTAGTTGGAGTAGATCCGACGGCCAGGAATTTTGAGCGGTCTGATCTGCAAGTCGAATCCCTTCCTGAGCCTGTGCGAGTGCAGCAGCGGCGACGGCAGCGTGATCACTGCCCTGAGCCGTATTGTTGCTGTCGGACGAGGTGAGAAAGTCGATCGAAGCTGACGGCGCTAGCGTAGGCGCGGCTGGAGCTAGAGTGACATCGCCTCCAATCGAGTTTCGGTGGCCTACTGATACAGGCGGATCTGACCTGACCAATTGAGGTTGTTGTGTATTGGTCGTGTTTTCCGACAATTCGAGTCCTCCTTGGATCACTGTCGGTGGGAGACGCCGATCAATTTTCGTTTCAGGGCTCGCGAACCACAATGTCGGCAGGACCTACAGCCTTCGAAGAAGATCCTATGAGAACTCGCTGGCGGCCAAGATCTGCTCAAATCCCTCATCCACAAACAACATTGTGAAAAGTTCAGTTTGGCCCGGTTAGCCATTCCGACGTCTGGTAAGGACGAATTGTAGGCTAGAAGTGAGGGAGGCAATCAGCGCCCAGTAACCGGTATATGCGACAATTCAAGACTCGTACCATGGAACTATCAAAAACACAGAGAAGCGTAAGCATATGACTCGATCGAAGTGCAAGACGGCCACTCACCAATGCGGCCTGACTCAGCATATGGATCACATCACTACTGATCTGCTCCAACAGCTTGTTTCTCTCCAATACCTGCACCAGCGCGACGATCGATTCCGCCGCATTGGCACAGAGCAGATGACATTCCCCATAAAGTCCCGTCTGGCTCGCCCCGGTCGTCGGATTCGGGTCGGGCTTCAGGGAGATGAAGCGCGAGTGTAGCAAGATTACAGCAGAGTGATACCACTGTCGTTGGGACGACGATGAGGCTGTTTAGTGAAAGGTCAAAAGCGTCGTCAAATTCTAGACTAAACTCACCGCTAGATTGACGATCAGATGCGTAGGAGCCGGCCGTGGTATCGACACATCCACGTTCAACTGGTCAGGCAAATCCGCATACCAGTCCTCCAGCGCTTTCGCTAACGCGTCCTTTTTCCTCAAAGCCGACTCCATGCTCTTCTTCTGAAACTCTTCCTCTTCATCCTTCCCCGTTCCCGTAGACCGCTCGTACCGAGGTCCTTCTTCGTCGAGGTCGAGAATTTCTTCGACGATTACCCCGAGCTTGCAAGTCGTCTGAAAGGCGCTCAATAACCGACCCTGAGCGGGTTCGAAGACCGTCGCCGAGCCATACCGATCCGACTTTGTCCCGTCCTCATACCTTTCCCGATTCAGCGACCTCGAAGGCAAGAAAGCAGAAGCCGACGGTGGTGGCCATAATTCGTATTCGTCCGCTTCTGCCGAGGCGGGCAGGGGGGTCGTGGAACGCCTTGCATGAAGGAGGACAGGTCTTCCGGTCTCTTCTGCCAAGACCTTGTCGAGAATGTAGCAACACCACCAGACGCGTGAACGGAGCTCCTCGTCCGCCTGCAAAGTGGAATTGTCTCGTTAAGAGCCTCGTAATCTTCAGCGTGATTCTAGCACTCTGCGAGTCGAACTCACTTGACTCTGCTTTTTCCCCGTCGCCCCCGATCCCCACCCAACCCTCCTATGCAACCCCAACTCGAGGCACATCCCGCTCGCCATGCTAGCGTAAAGGTATGCCGACGCCTTGTCACCCATCCGGGTCTGTCGCAAGCTCATGAGAACATACGCCTGGCACAGAAAGATGTGGGACCGTTTCCCTCCTCCGGCCAGGTGATAAGCATGAGACGGGGTGATGGTCGTGAGCTTGTGTATGTGATGGAGAGCCGTCTGGAAGAGGGTGTCTGCAGTGGGAAGCGAGGGTGTGGCGGAGTTGATGGGTACGGAGATGACGCTGGCGATGGATAGCATACTATACAGTAACGCTGGGTGTGTTTGAGAGGGTACAAAGAGGGGTTTGTAGATGAGCGGCCAGATGTTCTGGTAACGAGCCAAATGCGCCATCAGCCAGCGTTTTCACGACCGTCCACCCGCCTGCAGACTCTCTCGACTCACATGAATATGCGTCCAGTATATCGTCAACAAGTACTCTTGTCCAGCCGCCGTCAATCCGGGCACACCTCTCGATCTCGGCTCATGCGCGATCCCCTGGCCAATCTTCGTCCCCGGTCCGAACCTCTCCTTCTCCTGTTCGGCCTGTTGAGCATCCTCCGGACCTCTGTTTTGATGTCTGTCAGGTCGCGTCCGGGTTGATGAACCTGCTGCTGATTCGAAAGCGTCCGGGTCGTTGTCCGAATATCTGGTCCTAGACGGCCCTTTGGGGGATTTTAATAGATGAGAGGTGGACGAGGAAGCCGTAGGAGGCTGAGGGAAAGGTGGATCATCCAAAGATGCTGAGTTTGTAGCTGTCCGGACTCTCGGTCGGAACCCTTTCGGTGGTCCGCTGTTCCGGCGAAACGAGTCAATGTCAGTGAAGAAGCTGCTAAGAGGGGATGTTTATAGCTCACCGTTTGACACCGGATTCGACATAGTTGCATTCGAAGCTGTTAAAAGAAGCGAGATCCACCTCTTAAGCTCTTGTATATGCGAGATCTCATGGGAGAGCATGCATGTAACGCACTCTTGGCTTTCGCATGCTCCACACCTCGGACTAGCTGAAATCGCAAGGAGAGGTCAGCTCGGTGAACATAGCAAAAGCGTCCTCCTGCAGCGTCTTGGCTCACCTCCATCGCATTTCGTCCTCTTTTTCTGATAGATTACAATTGAAAAGAGAATCATCTATCAACCGCTGTTTCCCGATCATCGTAGCTAAAGAATCGCGATCGACCCACTTGACAAGCCTGACATGCCAACTTGACTCGTTTCCTAGGCGGCTCGTCCCTATGTACCTCTGACGAATGGGGAGATTCCGACATTCTCCAGGCCGCTGCTGCTCGATGTTCCAGGTGAACTATATCTCGATCCGCCTTGAAGTCTATCACTGCCTAGGATCAGGCTCTAGCTTGCAACTTGGTGAGCGATATGATGATGAAGCAGCTGTTCGGCAGCCTCGAATCGCCCGACGTGATATGAAGTTGGTCGGAAGCAGATTCACGTCCGAAGGCAGGGGCGACGTTCATCCTCGGCAATACCCCCTCCCATCTAGGTCACTAATCGGACCGTCATGCGATCATAGACAGTGCCCGGCGGCAAGATATTTGACAGGATCATGATTACAGGCAGGGCCAGAGCCAGAGCCGAGGTTGTGTGACAATATCCATAGGGGTCGATTCCCTCCGGATCCGCCGATATCTGCTGCTGCTCGTGATCCGGATAAACCACTTGCTCGGGCTGCCAGATCACGTGATGTTACCGTTACGGCAATTCAATACGGCATCGTTGCGAACGCGTTCCCCTCCCTTCGCTCTTTGTCCCGCGAACGAGCGATCATGACGAGTTCGAGCTCTTGATGCATGATGCACGATGTCGACCTTCGGCCTGTTCGACCGCAGGGCCACGACGACTACCAACGGTACCTGTGCCAGACATGGTGCACCTCTCTTCTTGAACACCTACTGACAATCTGGATCTCACAACGATGGATCCCTCCGACCCAGCTCCGCTCGCGTTGACGACCGAAGAGCTCCTCCCCATCCTCGACCACCTCTCCACCTCCCGCTCACATACCGCCTCGGGATCACTGCTCGCCATCCATTCCCCGATCCCCCTAGCTCTGTTAGAGTCGACTTTGGACTTGTTGGCTCAGGTACAGATCGAGGATGAGAGGATGGACAGGCTGCAAAAGGTGGATGGCGAAAAGAGGGGGAAGAAGAGGGATACTTGGGGGTCTTTGGTCGGAATGATGCGGATGACGGTGAGTAGCGACTGTACTTCGAGCTGTTTTATCTCTTGGGATTTCGCTACCTCGGTGGTACGTGTATCGCCCAGCTGTACTGACTATAGCACCTACGTTGGTATACGCTTTCCCGGTACCTTACCAACTCTATAGCACTGCGCATCCCTCTTGATCCACCTAGCCTCTTCCTCAAAACCCGACGCAAGAACGGGTACGACCACCCACCGACCCCGTGCGGTCCAAGACTCCCTAGAAAGCCGGTTCAAGACGGCTATGAAACGACTCTTGCTCCCTCCGTCCACTCTGCATGCAAGCGACGGTAGTACCACCACACTTCCCAGCCTTGACATGGATAAGAATGGCACCGTGGATGCGGGATCAGCCTCATCGGCGACCAAGCCTCATCTGTACCAACACAAGACGAGTGCGGAAGAATGGGATTTCTTGAAATCAGAGGTTTATGAGAGGTACGAGCGGGTTTACGAGGTATGGTTGGAGACCGGGTGAGTCCATTTCTGGCTATGTTCGAACCTCGCATTTCACTTTGATACTAACTTTCCCATTTGGAAAACAAACATGCTCGACTGACTCTACAACCTGGTTGTCTCTCGCGATGCAGCAAATTCGACCGGACCGCTTTGGGCCAGAGCCCTTCTATACATAGGATGGCCAGTAGGTTGCAAAGATGGGTGAACGAGGTGATCCAGCGGGCAGAGGAAATAGCGGCGGGTTCGCAGGCGGACTCGGCATCACAGGCGCAAGTGCAGGTGTCGAAAGTAATGCCAACGCGACCAGAGCCTCGGCAAGCGGATTCAGCAAAGAATGATGCTCGAGACCGTCGGATGGATGACGAGATGGATATGGACGTCGAGCTGGACGTCGATCGACGTATCCCTAGGGTTGACAAGGGCAAGCAGCGTGAAGTGCAGATGACGAGCACTACGGAGAAGCGATCCGTCAGCAATATCCAGCCGACACCGGTTACTGTTGGTCGGCCAGCTAAACGTACTCTTAGTGAGAGACCGGAAAAAGAGGCTGAAGGGGATGCGGACCGGCTCAAGCGCCTGAAGAGGACTCTGAACGGGGGCAGGGAGCTGGCCTCAGCCACCTCCGGTACGCAGCGACTGGGCACACAAGAGATGGACGTAGGGCTAGAACCCCCTTTCAAGCAAGAACGACGGGAGGGATCGTCGGACTTGAATGCGGGTGTGCAGACGACGCAGGGCGGGAGGAGGCGGACGAGATTCTCAGTTCAGGGCGAGCAAGAGGCCCAGCTGGGAAGGCATTCGTCGCCCTTTCAATCCGAGAGCGGACGGAGACAATCGATACATACTGGTTCCCATTACTCGCCCCAGCAACAGCAAAACCTACCAGACGATTACCCGGCTGATCAACAACACTCGCTCTCATCCCATATGCCGCCTCGACCCCGCTCGAGTTTGCCTTTCCGCCCAGCGGAACGCGAGAGACGAGAACGTTCGATCTCGGTCCTTGTACCTGATTTACCGCCAGGGACGATACTCCGTGTCAACGAGCGGGGTATCGCAGAGCCATTGAAGGTAGAAGATGGGGAATTTGCTATGCAGGACGGTGGGTTCATGCAGGAAGATTACGAGGATCCATATCAGCATCAGCTTCGGGATCGGGACAACTATTATGACAGGAATCGGGATGATGGAAGCGCTATGGACGAGGATGAAATGGGTTGGAGGGGAGCAAGCCTTCTGGACGAAGATCTAGACGGTGATATGGACGTTCCCATAGATAACAGAGTCGACTTTGGGTCGGGACACATAGGCTACGAAGGTGCTCGACCTAGCGCTGGCCCTGCGTCTAGGCCGGAGGGATATCGATGGGTTCTTATACCGGACGAACCCGAGTACGAGCCTATCAATAGGAGGAGGTCATACGCTACTGCCGGACCGCCTCGCCAGTTTTATCCTCGAGACATGCGTCGGTCTGAAGTTGCACCGGCGTATTACCGCTCGAGATCGATTTCGAACCAGGAGCGTCGGTCTTTGCCCAACTGGGGACAAGACGCGAGGTACAGCCACGATGGACGACAGCCTGAAATCAGAAGGATATCAGTTCAGCCAACGTCGTCAGCAATGGCGAGGATGAGGTATGGCACGCCGGTTCCAGAAGGTTCACGGACGCATCAATCGATGCTTGGGAAAGACCCGAGGAGAAGGCATACGGATTTCGCTCGACCTCTGGCGGGGTCACCCCTAGCATCACTGTCATCACAAGCCGACGCCAGACAGACCGCGCCGAGAAGGAGGCAGGGTTACAGTCTCGGAGGCGCAGAGAGGAGGCTGCCTATTGACACTGAGGAAAGGACCTCGGCGCGACGCGAGGGAGTGCTGGCGGACTGGGTTGATAACAGTTTCGACGATGATTCCGCGTTTCATCCTCCACCCCAGGCTAGTGTACCTCTGCCTCGCTCACAAGAGGCGAACCGCGCTGGATTGGAGGGACAACACGCTCGACCTCCCATAGATTCCGATCTCGCGCCTGTCGCATCATCTCCCTCCCGCCCTACTCCCTCAATAGCCAACCGAAACTCTTCACCTGGCCTCGTGTATAGCCAAGCTCCCTTGTCGGACATTCAGAGGACCCAGGGCGGCTCCTCCACTGTTATTCAGCTACATCGCCCGTTCAACAACAACAAGGTTCTGCGTAACCCGCAGAACGCCAAGCGCGCTAGGCAGAGCACGGGTCTGCACACGGGCCGACCCGAGTTTCAGCTCGCTGGCGCCAACGAGCCTCAACCGGCTGGGTCAGCCTTACAGGCAAAAGATGCGACAGAAACAGTGGAGGTGGTTGCATCGGCCAGCAAGTCGGCTCGGCACAGGGAAAGGGAGAAGATAGTCGCGGCGAAGGAAGAGGCGAAGAGGAAAGCGAAGAAGCTGTTCAGTAATTCCGATGATGACGACGATAATGAGCTCTAATGATAGTTCTCTTGTTCTTTACTTCTTGTTTCGTGTTTATGGCTATAATAACGATGGTTATCCGTGATAGATTAGAACCTCTTGGCCATGCAAGTGGATATTTGTTCTACGTTCTCTTTGCTCGACTGCATAGGTATCGCGACTGTTTCCGCGTTGAATCCTCCAGGAGCAGGCGGTTCTACCAATCTGGCAACGACCCGAAGCGACAGCGCCTTCCCAGCGACTAACCTTGATGGGTAGAGTACGAGGTAGGGTCGAACAAGGTGACCGTCTTCAGGAGCCATACCCTTGGAATACAGGCGGACTCGGTCAGGACCGGCTGTTGAATGCATCAAGACGCATCGGTCTGGCTTGTATCAGGAAGGCCGCTGCGCTTTTGCCACTGCCATGTCTGGCGGCCGCTGTCAATCCTTGCCCTTGCCACGGTAAATGGGTAGCAACTTTATCCACCCGTTGTATCGCAGGTTGAAATGAGATAATCGTTCTTTCCATCTCCAACTTCTAGATCGTCGCTGTTGGCGACGCCAACTCACGGAGCCGTAATCGGAAGCAAATTCGATTCTGATTCGAGCCGAGAGCACAAAGAAAACAAAAGAGGGCGATCTGAATGATGCATGGTTATGGAATTATGGACAATCTGTAAGCAAGCAAGATCGACCATCAGCGTCAGGATAAACACCTCAAATACATATCATCTTGCAATTTGCAACTTGTGGTCGTAATACACCCCTTGGCAAGACATGTCTATGCTCGATCCTCCGACCGTTCCGACGAGCAAGGACTCTGCTCAATTGGCATTGCTACAACAAGCATCCAGCGTGGCTCAACAAGCCAGCCCTCAATTAGCAGCCCTTTATCGAGCTCGGGTTCGGCTGCTTTCGGATCTACCATCGGAGAGCACTCGAGGCTGGTGTTGTTCCACCTGCGGCAATTTGAGGGATGGCTACGGCTGGAAGCTCGTCCGCGGACAGAGAAAGAAGAAGTCTGCACCGAAGGAAAAGAGGATAAAGAATAGCCTGGCAGATGGGTCGGACGTGCTCGGGACCAACGCCGAGGCAGGTCCGAGCAAACCGTCTTTGGCTCAGAAAAACGTCCTGAAGGGGAAATGCAGTATATGTGGCACCGCCTTCAAATCGAAAGGATCGAAGAGCGAGGTCGTCGCTAGCTTCCCCTCAGCGAGATCGGCTGCCAGGCGAACGCGGTCGGGCGCCGGACAAGTCAATCCTGAAAGGGCGAGCGATGTTCTGGACTTGACGCCGTCTTCGGTCGTCCCTGTAGAGGTGGAGCTAGACCACTCGAGCCCTGCCAAGCCGCTCACGCCCAACCTCCTGCAAGCGTCGCCATCGCTGGCTCATATCCCAATATCCGATCCAACACCAGCGAGCTCTCCTCTTCCTCCTACTTCTCCATCATCTCTGCCATCCACCTCGACGCCATCGTCTAGGTCTGCTACACCTGTTGGAGGCGTACCGAAGGGGACGACAGGCAGGAAGAAGAAGAAATCGGGCTTGGCAAAGTTATTGGCCGATAGTGCGGCACGGAAGGAGCAGGAGCAACAGTCTCTGGGAGGCTTGTCTCGCTGGGGATTGAATTGAAGAGTTTGTACCCATGGCTCGATTGTGTATCATCGATCTTTTGGACTCGCTGTACAACTGTATTCAAGTACAACCAAGTTTATGCATGTAGACTTTACGCTCTACGTCCTCTCATCCTATCAGAGATCCTCTTCTCGAGTATACGCCCAACGGCTGAACCGAGCTTCTTCTCGAGCTGGACGCCGCCACAGAGCCTCGACGACTGCCAGGACCACCGATCACATCAACGGCCAATGCCAGGACGACCCGGCAGCCCGGACAGTATCGCAAGTTGAACCCGGTGATATGAACGGCATCCGCAGAGCAGAAACAGCCCCCACATCCTCCGCAGTACCTTCGCGGTTCTATAAAGGTTGTTCGACGGTGAGGATTCCTGCTGAGCATCCTTCTCGCGCCAGTCAAAGCTTACCAAGAAGTCCGAACGATCTGCCGCATCCCGCCATGCATGCAGAAACTGCAGTGTCCGATACGTTTCTGGCTCCTCCCTCGGGTAGTGACCATTGATACATCGTAGCTTTGCTCTTGGCGTCCGTCTTGCTCTTTGCAAAGCAGGCATACAGATTGTCCCTGGAAAACCCACAGGAAATTAACGAGGTCACTCCTTTGCGACTCGCACCCACTGAGCACTCACCCCATGAAATTGACGGCTGTAACAGGGCCGATATCGTCATTCGGGCCATTCAGCCTCTTTACCTCGTGAAGGGACCAAGGAGGTTCTCCGACGACGCCCGGAACGAGGCGCCACAGCGCGACACTGTTCCCGTAGCCCACCGCGAACAAGGGACCGTGCTTTGAGAACTCTTGCTCGTAAAAGGAGATGCCGCCATTGAAATCGGTTTGCGGCGTTGTCGCGTTTCCGCTCATGCTATAATTTTGTATCGGGGCCATCGGCGTACTAGCAGAAGCTATGTGAGCCCCGTTCAGGGTGAACAGGTGTATATGGCTGTCGCAAAGCAGTGCGATGTGACCCTGCAAGAGAAACGAACTTCAGCTCTTGAGAGTTCTCGGCCCAACCATCATACACACATACCGTTGCGTCGTCTACCGCCGCGAATCTAACGGGTTCAGACGGTTCGACGACGAGCCGTCGCACGAATTTGAACCGGTTGGTATCCCACACAATAGCAGATCCATCCTCGCTAGAACTGATGAGAACACTCCATGCTGAACTGGCGGTGAGGCGGTTTACCACGTCCTCATGACCTCGAAGAACTGCGATTGGCATCATCCTCGAAGTATCTGTCCATACCGAAACAGCGCTACCGCCTTTGATGCGCCATACTTTGAGTACGCCTTCGGGAGTCGCTGTGACGAAGCGCGTTGCTGACACAAAGACAGCCTCAACTGCCGGCGATTGTTCCGCAACACACATGACCTGTGTGTCAAGTAGTCATCAGTAGCCAATTGACGGTGTCTCGCTTAGCCGACACTAACTCTAGTCATTCCGAAATATCCACGGATCGATTGATCCGAAAAGCCGTAACGAAGGGAGCACGCAGGGATGTCAGGATGAAAGACCCGGCCGTGCGGTGCCATAACCGGAGGTACTTCCGGAGTCGGAGCATGACAGATGTCGTACCCTGGTGCTGACGATTCAGCCACAGGCAGCGCGCTTCGAATCAGCACAGCAAAGTGCTCATCTACTCCGAATCGTTGACCGATTGGCAGCGAAGATGAGACCCCATTCAGGAAACGGTGAGGATGACCGAGAGCGAAAATTTGATGAGGGGTCTGCCCGAAGTTATGGATAATCCCTACGGAGGCAGCGCGCTCGCCCTCATCACTGATAGCGTCCAAATCTAGTGATCAAATAGTTTGAGCTGCAGAAGACCTTTCGCACTATGTGATGAGACTGACCGACGGCATCTTTGTAGCTCAACGGGTGAAAGCAAGTGTACGAAGCTTCATCGTGCTGCTTGCAACCGAACGTCAGGTCGATCCACGAGGGCAAGTGGCGGGAGACGTAGTCTGATTCTAGAGCCTGCGAAAATAAGACTCAGTCGCTGTCAAAGTCATTGTTGCGAACCCAGGAGCAAGTCGACCGACCTCGCGATGACGGTGGATGAACAGCAGAGGATCATCTAGCGCCCAGCCAGGCAAGTCCACCGAGTCGACCTCTTCGTTTGAGATTTGCTTCCTGCCCATATCTAGACGGTTGATATTGTCCAGGAACAAAGGGCCTTGAGGAGGAGACAGCGTCTTTAGCTGCGGTAGCGAAGGCGAATCGGTGCTGAGCTGAACTCACTGTAAAAGAATTCCGGGATGAGTTCACGAACGTCCCCTCGATTCTCCTCTGATGCCGAACTCCAAGCCTTGGGAATGCTCGAGAACAGTCTATCTGCTAGATCAAAATTGCCTCCCTGCTCAACCGCCTCTTTGGTGAGTATTGCCCCAGTATCGTGAAGATCGCAAGAAACGATACTTGCCTGTAGCGTAAGAAACATGTCCGTAAAAGGCTCGAGCCGAATCAAGAACGAGCAGGTGATCATCGATGAGCTATAATGTGTTCCGAAGTGGAATGGCTTATCTCCAGCCATTCCACTCTGTTGATATCGCTCAATAGCAGCCTGGCGACGAGCTTCTGTCAAAGCACCCATCGGTAGCGAAAGATCGCGGAAGGAATTGGGGTTTGACAGATTCAAGATCTCGGAAGAGTAATCTTTCAGGATCCAGGGAAATACTGGATACTGTGTCACGTCTAGAGAAAGGTATATTAGCCCATGTGGTAAGAAAAAAAAGTGTTGATGAAGCAGTTCGGATTTACCATTTGGTGTCCGGTTTGCATACTGGTTCAAAATCTGGAGGTACGCAAACTGTATCGAAGTAGCTTCAGGTCAAGTCGCTTGAAGCTTATCGAACGACCGAGCTCACATTGCTTAGTTGGCGATTTTGCCATTGGCGCGTATAGCCATCGAGCTCTAGCGAAGCCCGGTCTATTGCCTTGGCCACCGTATCCAAGATCAAGTTGCCTATTGCTGATTGTTTCATTGTATTCGGGTCATTCTTGCTTCCTAGCCGATGCAGAGCAGCTTGCCTCTCCTTCTTGTTTCGGAAAACGACTAGGAAGTTGCGCTTATCGGCAAAGAAAAATTCTATCGCCACGTCCCTGAACAAAAAAGATCTCTTGTTCGATTCCACGACTTCCGCATACGTCCTAAGATGGCCCGCCGGATCACATACTTGGTCAGCCATCAGATGGACAGTGAGTTTCGATGTGTGACCTACCATCTGGACGTCTCCATTTCGTTGGTCTGGGCTTCGGCTATCTTTCCCGATGGGATGCTGAACATGTCGCGCGGCGCTTCCTCGCTACCGACCACCTCTCCTGTGTCCAGCCTGACCAGTCCATCGAGAACATACATGCATTTTCTTCCCAGGATAAGAAGCCCGGCTGCAGAGTCTGGCGAATTAGTCTTCCTCATGGCACGAGTTTCACTCTACTGCAGACAGGCACGACACTTACGTGCACCGTCAACCCCAATGGCACGGGAGATATTCTGTAAGCGCAATCGAAGTAGAATCATCAGTACGCGAAAAGGACGAGTCAACGCTTTTATGACCTACGAAACAATCCTCGATGGTATCGCCCGTCTGCAAAGCGTTCTCGATTCGACGCTGCTTGCTGTCGCCGCCGTTCTCGTCTGCCAGTTCGTCATCCACACTCTCTATGGGCAAAGGTGCTGTTTGAAGATCGCTGTCCATTCGCTCGCCGTCGACTGAAGGGCGCCTCGTGGCCTCACCCATCTGAGCTGCAAACGGGTCGTCCCCTTGAGGCTGCCCCATATGGGATGCTGCCGAGCTGAGTTCATCCTCACGTGGCACGGCCGTACGAAACGAGCGCGTGGGTGGCGCATTGACCTTCTCCGTTCGTTGCTGTACCACACGCTCAAGCTTCATCCTATCAGAAAACCAAGTCAGATACAGGATATGACATCTTTGGCAAAGACCAGCTGATTATCTACCTCTTTCGCAAGGGTCCTTCGGAGCCGTCGAGGCGCCACTGAACATTCTCGTTCGGCTCAGGCCATAGTCCACCATCCGATGTACTGATGGCACGCTGTTTAGGCCAGTCGTCATTCTCAACACGCTTCCAGTATTCCTTGCTGAAGGATGCCAAAAGGCGATCAGCTCCGGCAACACCTCTTTCGGCCTGACCCCTGTCGGACTTACTTATCGAGCGTAGTCTTCGCATACTTTGTCGATTCTGCTGCGATGATCGATTGCTTCCAGACGTTGTTCTTGTCTTTGCTTTCCGAGGGCCTCGCATCGCCTGTGAGGCGACGAATTAGGGGTATCTTGCGCGAAATGTAGCTCCGCTTCTTCTCGCCAGTGGTGGGTCGCCTGGTCAAGCGTTTCGGTGCGAGCCGATTGGATGAGTTTGAGGAAAGGAAAGATTTCGAGGACTTGATCGAAGCCGCCGAGCTGGAAAGAAGCGAGCTTGACAACATTTCTGTGCCCGATGTTGCTTTGACTTGTTCTCGCAAAGCTTCCAACTAACGTTCTATCTCAGATCAGCAGAAGAACGGATGCATGTTGGCGTTTGTCTCATATAACTTGCCTGCTCCTGTAAAACCGGCGGAAGGTCCGACAGATCTTGCATCAAGGACAGGGCCCAAGCGAGATTGTCCAGAACATCTTTCCGCTGCTCCAAAGCTGAGCCCGTACCATCTTCTAGCGTTGCGCTCAGAGATATGAATTCTGCTACGCTAGGGATGAGGTCCTCCAATAATTGGTTCGTGAAAAGATCTGGGTCACTCTGCAGAAGGCTGGCGATGTCCCGAAGCAGCTTGTTCAACTCTTCTCGTGGCTTGGCATCACTGGTATCGACTGTAGCTATGTCAACTTATGAGAACAGATCGAGCGGTATCTGTTCACGTACTGGATGTGAGCGCAGGCAGACATGGTGAAGAGCCAAACGCGACTGCGAGACCATCTGCTGTCTCTGTCCGTGCAGACCTTGGTCTCTTTCCAGATCTTTGCCAAATGTTGTCGAAAGAGTCGTTCAAAAGTCGACTCAGTGCATACATGACGCACGGGAATAGTCTGCCATTGGGTCGTTTGTCGCCTTGGCGAAATTTAACACATGCGATGACTAGAGCGCCAGGCTTCGTTAGTGGGCTGCCGCTTCGCATCGTTCTCGAATCAGTAAACGCGTACCTCGAGTTTGTATCTGCTCGTTCCAGAGACCGGGCAAAACGGAATCCAACAGAGCAAAGCCACCTTCTCCGTCAAATTTCCCTCGGAAGGATTCCCCGGATGCCGAACAGAGCATGGTAGTAATCATGTCGAGGCAAGGTCGGACGACATATCTGGCTGGGTTGTTGGATAGGAGGATGACCAGCACGCGGTGTACAGGCAGTGAGCTTTGCAGCTTATTCGACCGAGCGTCGTCGTGACAGAGCTCGGAAACGGCCTCCAGAAGCATCGCTGCAGGAGCTTGCGATTGAGTGGGTTGGTCCGGGAGAGTGATACCAAAGTCAAGTGGCGTTGTTTGCCCAGCTAGAGTGACGATTGTTCCTCAGACTTAAGTTCCTCCCTCGAAGTCAGACGGCAGCCCTCATCGCACTTACCAGGACATAGGGTCGATATCAAGTAAGCAAATAATGGCTTGATGCTGCCATTGCCCCGCGTTTCTGCTGTCAGCGCTCGATCCCCAACTTCGCGAATGCTCGCTTACGAGTCATCAGAAGACCAGTGGACAGCAAAGATAGTCTTGGCGGCGTCTGGTGTAGAACAACTATCAACATGGGCATAGCCCAGACAGGAGCACAATTGATCTGACGCACCGACAATCCTCGGTACCGCAGCCGAGTCAAAAGTATTCGCTTTGAGCGCATACATCAACATTCGAGTGATGCCAATCTTCCTGAAACATTTCAGTATATTGTATCTCTTGAATTTCGAATCCACGAGTAGATGTTGGAATTGTCGGCAGAAGAGTTCGACAACGTCCGTGCTCGCGCGAGACCAAAGATCGAGTCGCAGCGCGAGTGCCCTGTATGCCCCTGAATTGAGGATGGTAGCTGTTTCCGGCTTGTCGAAGTCAATCCCTATTGACATAAAAATTGTTCTCAAGACTGAAAGCGTAACATGGTCCTGCATCTTATTGCGCAGCAGTCCTGCCAAGCAATCGTAGCCGTCTATGCAGAGCAGGATATGACTCAGATCTTGAAACATTGTGTCAAAGACCTGAACTCACGCATTTTCTCGATCTCTTCCGAAGCCGCCCAGTCTTCTTTGACAGTATTGAACAATATAGAAATCGCGAGCTGCAATTGATTGGAACTGTTTGCTAACTCGACCAAGTGAAGTGCGGCAGGAGGTCCGCCAGCTATGTTGAAAGCTTGATCCAAAGACGAACCACGCATCCAGAAGACGCCGTCTGAAACGTTCGCCCGGCCTGATGCGGATGCGAGGCCTTTCGCTACCGTCGGCGCGGCTGCATTCATCACTTGATATTTGGTGGCTTCGCTCGACTCAAGTTTACGATGCGAAGACCTGACCACATTCTGGGCACCTAGAGAGAAGAGTATCGTGTCCTCCGATATCACTCGACCCTGCTTGATGCCCCGGATGAGATACGAATTTGAAGGCAGAGTGGTCCGGACCCCTTGTCGCGTCACCTTCGCTAGCTGCGAGAGATATATGTTGAGCGACGTGGCACCTTCGTCTGTAATTATGGTCGAACGCCTCATGCATATCAGATACCGAGTTACGATTCGGAAAGCACCTATACTTACAGGTCAAGAATCTCCCAAGCGGCTCCTGGAAATTGCCTTGATATCGAGGCCCCTGTGATCAAAGAGAGAGTTGGTTCGGCGTCGTTGCTCAAAGGAATAAAGATTCGATATGGCTTACCAAATGATGAAACAGTAAACCCAGATCGTCTCCGATGTATTCACGGAATAGGGTCGACTGGCCTAGATACCAAAGACTGCCTTCTAAGCCACGATATATAGCATCTCCTGCGAGTATAGGCTCTTGCGGATCCCGTTCCTGGCCAATAGAACATTCCATACTAGCTCCTTTCGATGGGTTGGGGTAGTCACATTTCAAAGGTCGACCGCACCGTTTACCATTGATAACTAGTTTGACCTCAGGCCCGCTGCCGTTTGTGGCTGTTGAGGGCGGCACTCTACCTCCGATGGCTATGTGAACCCAGCCTTGATGCGGTACCATATTATCACTGCCGGAAAAGACGACTTCATGCGGCTCGGTACCCTGAGCATGTTTCTCGGTCCTGTCCATCGCGAGGACTGCGACCTGAGAATCGGGCAGTATCCTGATCCTCAAGACAGTTTTAGAGCCTTCAGATGCATGTAATAGCACAACGGGAGCGCATAATTGCTCGATGTAGATCCAAGCCTGAATATGATATATCAGCGGCGTGTGCGTGTGAATGCTATGTTGGTATCTGGGTCTGGCGTCTCACCATGAAATAGAACCCGCTTTCTCTGGTCGGCCACTGTTGTAGCCCGGTCAAGGCCAACCGACCGCCATCGCCATTGAAACCAAAGAGGTCAGGCCATCTTTTCCCCATACCATGGCTAACGGCTTCAAGCATCTCGTCATCGAGCTGTCCAGCTGTCTCTCCCCCGATCGACAAGTCGTTCAGGTTTATTTGTAAAATAGGTTGGTCCAGTTTCCTACTCCTGGTTCGAGCGTGACCAGACGGTGACTGGCCCGATACGCTTGGAGTGGAATTGCCACTTGAATCCTGACCTGATTTGCCTGGTCTCCTGCGGATCGGCAGAGCCAAGGCAATGTTGTTTTCCCGGCGGAGCTGTTTGAAGAGTCTGAAACTCAATCGCGGATGCACTCCCGCTTCCAACAGTCTCCGTAACACTTTGAATAAGATCTTCCGCAATACCCCATCGGCGGCAGGGAGGAATGATGTCTGCCTCTTGTCCACAGCAGCTCCCGACCGAGAGGCTGCTCCAGCAGCAAACGGGTCTTGGGCGGCATCATAACTCCATCTGACACGCTTGCTGAGGCTTGACCTCCTAGCCTCGAGCTTTGAGGCTATCAAGTGCGACCTGGGAGGATATAGCCGATCCAATACGCATTCAACAAGTCCTCCTGCTCCCATGTTCTTGGTCACCTCGAACAGATTCATCCAGTTTGACTGGATGATGACCAGAAACAGCCTCCACAGCGTCTGCTCGAACACGACTAGATGATCTGGGAGGGAGAGATTGTCTCCTCCTTGACTCCGAGGCCAGGTTGCAATCTTCTTAATCGGTTCGTCAAACTTGGAGCGCTTGGAGCAGCTGTAGGGCAACGGTAGGATGTCGAAAACGCATGCCAGCAGTTGGGGATCCGAAACAGTCAAGTGGGAAGAAATCGGCAGTGGTGCCGGATATGCTTGTTTACTCTGCAGGGTTGCCGAGTTGAAAAGGCCGAGCAGGGATTGATCCTTGGACAACGCCTGAGATAGGAGGATTCCCAGGATCTGGTGATCTGGTAAAGCCTGTTCAGGTAATTGCTTGTATCCTTCAGATAAGGATTCCTTGCAGCAGATGGCTTTTTGAAAAGCTTTCGAATAGGCTTGCCATCCGAGGTGTTCCTAAAGAACCAATCTATCAGACTGCCGCTTATTCGCTAGCGAAACAGTCAGGCTCACATCAAACCAGCGCCGATTCCTCTCATCTCGCAATGCAAGTACCGTGACCTCGAGGGCAAGACGAAAGACGCTTATTTTATCCTCGTTCAGCATGCCATCTGCGGCAACAAGTTTCGCTTCAGGGCCTCCCCACCCATTGAAAGAGGACGATCCCGTTAACCTTCCCTGAAGTGTCTCCTTCCCTTTGACTGGGTCGACATCCGAGCTTCCGAACCCATTGTGGGCCCTGCTCTCGAATGGTTCATCAAGAGCGTCGTGGTGAGAGCATTCTCGAAATAGGTCATCTAATATCCCCTTGACTGTCAAGAACCCGTCGCCGCTGCGAAATAGCTGTAACCGAGCGGGTGGAACGGAACTCAGCAAGTTTGAGACCTTGTTCAATGTCTGACGGTAGAGGGAACAACTCAGTAATAGCCAGTATTGAAGGAGTCAGAGGGCGCTACACATACCTGAACTGTCATCTCCAGCTCTTCCTTGCTATCCAGCTTCCTTCGGCTCAACTCTTCCAGGGTCTCTTGGAAAAGCATGTCCTCATCCGATATTGCGGAGGCATCTTGACTCGGCTGAAGACCAGGATCTACCGCAGTCTTGCCGTGTCGACCTGTAGAGCTACTGGGACCTGCAGCGGGTACCCTCTGGGATGGAAACGCCCCTGTTGCTGGACGTTCGGGAACAGCCAGAGCTTCTTTTAAAAGTCGGAACATGGTAAAGTTCGTGCGAACTGCTCGATCCGCAGCTGTTGTGAGCAAGACTATTTCAAGGTTGGTGCATGGTTCCTTCCTGTGCTATCACTACGACATGTGGACAGGAGAGCTTTATGCTGGGTCGCACATCGAGCATGCTTGGTCAATCCTGAGCAACGTCGACATGCATGACATGGTTTGCGAAGTCCATGACCCTAGGCCGACCTCCTGCGAACTGCATCGACCCTCCCCCGGCTTCCGGGCGGGGTCCCAGCTTCTCAGAACCCGAATGATCGTCGTCGTCATTTGGGTGAGAAACGGAAGCTAATTTACTCCCGTGCGTGCGATCGAGAGGCTCCGGCCCGTGTCACGCCATGCTAATTTCAAGATTCCCACCCAATCGTACATCGTGCGTAACAAAAAAGGTATGAAGAGAAAAGGTTGACGATATGATTGATTCGTGATGTAAAGCTTATGTTCCCTATCGAAATGTGTAATGTCCGTGATCCTTCATGTGTTGTCACTCCTCGACTCCCGGATCAACCTGTTGTTGATAGCTCCTGCAACCACCGACTTCTGATATCGTCTCTGTCTGCAATGAAAGTGTAATCTTTGTCCGCCTACAATAAGCCGGACAGGTCAGTCGTTGAGACTCGGTCGTGGTGTTCGTTCCTACATACCGTCTGGATTTGAAACGCTCGAGGTCCCTTGGCCACAACTTTGGTAATCGTCTTGGTCTTGCTAGGTGGGCTCCTCTCCCTAGCCGGGTTTTGCGAATCAGGCGAATCCGACGAAGCAGTATTTCGCACCACGAAACACTCGCTCTCGACCTTGATCCGACTCTTTACGGCGTCTTCCTTCACGCATATCAAGCGATGATGATTGGTCAGGACCAAAGTACGACGTTTAGGCAGGAAGATTCCCGCCCGAGTGAGAACGGGCGATTGATAGACAATCTGTTCGCCGTCCTCCAGATGCTGAGCCCTGTGATCGACATGGAAAGCCGGTGAGCTGCCTCTCATACACAAGTGGACTGCGTAGATTGATCTTTGAGGCTCACCATAGCTTCCGCCTCTCCTCCTGCTCCCACTGATGTGTGAGCTTGCGTGTCAAACCGCCTTCTTTCTCTGTCGGCCCCGAAACCGTAGATCGCGACTTGGCCCGTGCCGCCTCTTCGAACGTCTCTGTGCTTGAGAACGTGTTCCCACCGGCCTCGATCCATTTCCGCTGAGGCTCCCGAAGGTGTTCCGGACCAGAGACAAGATGGTCCGGGAAAGGCAGCTTGAGCTCGGCGGTGGGACTCGACCTCGATGTAGCCCTTTCAAAGCCCGGCCTAGAGCTGGTCAATCCCTGATCCGCTTCATCTGCGAGATCAATCTCGTTGCGCTCCTCGTCGCTCTCAGTTGTATCGAATGCATCGGTGAAGTCGAGTGCTTGTTGAACCATCTTGACTGGCGGGGCGATACCTGTCTTGATATCCGGTATGTGGTCGGTCCAGATGTTACTAAAGTTAATCGAGCTGAAGAAAGGGTCGTCCCGGATGGAGTCAACCGTCGGACGATCAGCAGGATCAAGCTTCTGTCTCGTGCAAGCGGCATGGTAAGTTTTCTGTAGCTGAAGAAGGTTTAGTCAGGGGATGCTCACAAGGATCCTCTCGATCAATGCCTTTGCAAGAGGATCGAATCGATCCGGAAATTCGTATTCGCATGCCAGGACCTTTTGGAAGGTGAGGTACTCTGTAGCGCCACGGAAAGGCGGTCTACCGGCTATCATCTGGAACAAGATGCAGCCAAATGCCCAGATATCCGATCTAACGATAATGTGGGGAAAATCAATAGAGCTCAACTGGTACCACTATTCTCGTTACTGTCGGACGTACTGTACACTAGCATGCTCATTTCGAAGCACTTCGGGAGATACATATTCAGCAGTCCCAACGAACGACCGTTTCTTGCCTTCCGCTGTAAGAAAGACCAACAGAAGTCAGCTTCGAGACACAACTTCTTGATTGGAGCACACCGTACGGACCTTCGGGCAGCTCGACCGGCTCAAGAGTGATAGGGTCAACCACTTTGGCGCTACCAAAATCTGTGATCTTGATCCGCCAGTCGTCATCAAGCAAGATGCTAAGCAATTGTACAAGCCATGATCAGCTCGGCCTGGAATCATGTGACGCGTAGCTGGAGGATCGCTTACTTCTCAGGTTTGAGATCGCTGTGAAAACAAAGTGGTACAGTGTAAGTCTTGTCTCCTCGTACAAAAATATTGTTTTCCGGAAGCTTACCGGTGAATAACTCCACGTTCATGCATGAAATCGATAGTATCGATGATCTGAGCCCCGTATCGCCTCGCCGAGTCGATATCAAAGGAGCCGTGCTGTACCAGATGCGGAATCAGCTCGCCATTCAAAAATCGGTAGTAAGAGCTGCTGAAGCTCACCTTGCGCACGAGATCGAGAAGTTCTCCATTGATAGCTAGGTCCAACACGAAGTCTGGCGCGGTCGACGAGATGGTTCAGCACTGTTTAAAGGTGATGCTCATACCGGTGTGCAAAACTTACAGAGACTGGTGTGGTCTTTGAAAGTGTAATGCAGTTTGATGACTCCCGGGTGACTAGCTCGTTTGCGTTTCCGCAGCACGGGTCTGCCGGAATCTGGCAACTCTGACGATCCCCGACCTGCTATGATAGTGCCCTCTGACGGACTGGTCGAGACTGTCGATGGCGACCAAGGCTGTCCACCGACATCTTTACCCGTCAGCTTAGGGGAAGGCGGGATAGCAAGCCGAGGCAAGTCGGGCTTGATTGTTCGCTGACGATCTTCCTTGTGTATCAGCTGTTCTTCCTGCTCCTCGACTGCTTGATCGTTCGAATTCGAAGGTGGCGAAGGCGTTTGCTCAAGGTTCATTGTAGGTGTCGTCGGGGTCCCGTAGCTCCTCCCGTAACTAGACCCCTGCACCGATCCTTGAAAGGTCGAGGTCCTCCTACCAGGCACATTCCATCCGCCTTCGTTGCTCTCTCGTCGTCTCCTGGGCTTACCAGGATCCGTCCCGGCTGCTAACAAGGTCCCCGAGATGCTGCCTCCAGCGCTACTGCTCGCAAGTGAATGTCCGCTTTCTCTCCTCCGATGACCCATACTTGCGGGGTTGCTCATGATGCTCATGGTCGATCCTCGATTGCCGTTCGATCGTACCTGAGGCCCAAGTCGGACCAGGGCATCCCGCTCGACCTTAGCGTACTTGGTCTTTTTCTGCTGAATAAGGTGAGCCTGATCAAGGATCTTGATCGCATAGGGTATGCTTGTGGCATTCTGACGGGCCAAGACGACCTAAAAACAAGTTCTTTGTCTTAGCAAGAGATTTCGTTGCCTGAAAAGGCGGCAGAATTTATAACTCACGGTACTATAGCTGCCCCGCCCGATCATCTCGCCAAAAGTGAAATCCTGCAACCCGACGACCTTCCTTACATCACCTCGCCCAGAACCTCCTCCCTGACTGGCGTTCGATCCAGCAACCAGCCCACCTCCTCCAGTAGCCGCCACCTTCGAGTTCATCCCCGCTCCGGGAGCTTGTCCAGAAGAACTCCTCGCTCGATGCTTCTTCGGCGTGATCGAAGTCGAGCTCATGATCGTCTCCATCGTGCCTAGCCTTCCTGACGAACTCTTGGTAGGAGACTCGGGCGAGTGATCGTCTTCCTCTGCTAAAGCCGATTCGCCAGCCATCATCTGTTGCCTGAGAGACGCCAAGTCGGGACCCGAAGCAGAGGGCCGGAGTTCTAGCGGCAAGAGGTGGATCGGAGCGGGATGGTGGTACTGTTGTGCCGTACCATAACGAGGACTTCCGAACGTGTCTCTCGGATGGTTGAAAGAGTACTTGTCAGGCCTAGGTGTTACTGGACTTCTGGATTCTTCCCTTTCGTTCCTATCCCTAGCTCGAGCGTTCGAGTTTCTCCTGATCTCCCGTTCTTGTCGCTCAATGTCATCTTGAGGAGGTAGCTGCGCATCGTTCGTCGCCGCCGTCCGCGTCTGGATCGGTGGGGGACGTATAGGAGCAGCCTCGAGAGACGACGTCGACGAAGTGGTATGACTAGAGGACTGGGAGATGTTCCTATGAGGTGGAGATGGAGGTCGCTCGCGGACGGTGCGGATGGGCTCTCTGTAGGGCATCAGAGCAAAGGGAAGCCGAAGCGACCCTTTGTAGACCTCAGTCGAAGGCTCGCAGTGAGCCGTGACGACTACGGAACGTAGCTAGGCTAGCTGCGAGATGACTCTGGATGTGCTCTGTAGTACATCTCAGGGACCAGTGATGTCTGGCTGGCAAGAAGCGATGAGGATTCTTCTCGAGATGGGATCTTCCCTAACCCGGTGCGGAAAGCGGGTCAGGTGCTTGCGACGGGCTCGACCGAGCGAGCGATCGAGCGAAACTCGAAGCGCGTCCTCGACTCTGGAAGCTACCAAGCTACCAATTAATGATGCCGATTGACTGATTTTTTTCACTCGTTCCAATAAATCAGAAGGGTCTACACTTCAGTAGTCTGATACTCACCTAGCCAATGAAAGACAAAGACCTCCGATCCTGCTATGTGCGGTGAGAATATAGACATAGCGGCGCAGAATCCCGAAAATCTGGGTCTCTTCCTGGACCTCGGCGTAATCCGAGCGCGCATGGAAGTACACCTGCTCAGCTTCTCAATTGATCCATTATTGCTCGCTCGGTTGATCGATTGATCAGTTGGTCGAAATTTCCTCGCAGACTTGGAAAGACCCTCGATGGGCGGTGAAATCTAGTCCACGAGTTCTGCACCTATTGAGCTCTTACACATAGCTTACGAGGCGATCACCAACCACGCCCGCGGCAGATCAGACCTCGTGATTATGGAAACTCCGGTCGGGAATGCAGCATTGACCGCTGCCGAGCTGGTCTATGCCAACGACCTGCTTGTCGACAATATTTACGCATATTTGGCCGATGAGCCACCCATCATGAATTTCACAGAGTGGGGTCAGTATGCAGTGCGATCATGTGCTATCCTGCATAAAGCTGGTTACGCCAGGGCCGCCAAACACTTTTACAAAGAAGTTCCAGAGAGGATGATACGGAGGATGATTAAAGCCAATCATGACCCTGTGAGACTAAACAATGTTCAGCGCCTATTGACTTGCGTGGCTGATCCTATCTCGAACCTATCGTGCAGCAACGTATACGATACCTTTTCGATTCGGTCAAGCAGCTGAGCGTCCGAGAAGCCGATATCGACACGAATCCGGACGGCGAGTGGGAAGTTGGCAGCACTTGCTGGCTTTCCCGGCTCAAGAATGTGGAACGCGTCTGCCTCTACGATGCTTGGGAGTCTGGACGTCATGACAATCCTCATCTTGGTCCGCCCATCATGATAGTGCACGAGACCCATGTTATAGCAGGACGTAGGCTGGAGCTAGCCGCGCTTCGTCGCTGGTCATATCGCTTGCACCCTCGGACAGCGATGACCGGTCTACTGCCGACAATAGCCGACTCCGAGGGTCTTTCATCCGTCGCGATAGAGATTAGCGAGTCTGCCGATTGGCGAGCGATCCCATACGACAGTAGCCTGAGTGATGAGGAAGATCTTGATGAGATTTGCGTTCAGGCTGGAAATGCGTCCGCATATGAGTGGCGAGGCGCTGGCGAGTTGATGCTGATCGCGGCGGTCAACAAGGTCAGGCTCGAAGGTGGAGACTCCTCGCTGTTCGCTAACTTAAAGCGAGTCGACATTTCCGGGTCACACGGCCTTACCCTTGATGATCTGACACGGCTTCTGGCAATCAGTCCCAACCTGAAGCAGCTTCGAACAGCAATTCACCGCGCTCCTGAGTCTCAGATCTTCGAAACCTGGTTATCAGCTTACGCGGACCAATTGCAAGAGGTCAACCTGCAGAATGCCGATCTAGCCTGGCTTCCCCGCCTCATCAACTGTCGCGTTGTCGAACTACGTATCAGCGACAAGAAGATCAATCTCCGCGATGAGAGTTCCGTCGTCTCGGCGACAACAAAAATCAGTATCACCAGCCGTATTCGTCACCTCAAGATCCGTATTGGCAAGCCCCCGCTCGATGTCAACCCGATAACGTTCGCGGAGTTCTTGATCTCTTGCTCTTCGAAAGACACTACGTTCATGTTCCACGTCTGTAGCGACGCCCCAGCAGCAATTCGCTGGCAGTCCGAAGTGAGATCCGCCTTTGCCGCTTTCACGGGACGAGTCCACCTCGTTTCCGACGGTTGGATGGATTCTCTGGATTGCGATCATTCCGATACCACCGATTCGGAAGCGGAGATGTAGGCGACCCTCCATACCGGAAGGTCTCGTTCACATACGACACTCCCCGATGGGTTTCCAGTCAAACGTTCGATCAATGGAGTACGTATTTGGTCGGATATTGAGAACGGCTCGCCAGTGCGGCGAAGCCAATTGACAAAGATCGCTACGCACTGCGATTCTGGTCCGATCAAACCGGTGTTGGAAACGCAGAGTCAACAACCTTGAACGCAAATTGCCTATCTCGATCGTAGAAAACTTGGAGATTATCGATGGGGCTTTAGGGCAATATGACACCTGGTCGCGAATTCCGGCAAGATGGTGTTGGATGTATGTATGCCTCATATATGAAGAATTGAGTTGAGCCATGAGTTCACCATTCGGGAGCTGGGATCAGCCTGCCTTGATGCGGGGCAAATCAGGCGATGCAGGTTCACCAAGCGGTCGAGCGAAACTCGAAGCGCGTCAGCCGTCGGCTACGATATCGTGATTTCGGATGAAACGCGAGCAGATTTCTCCGACTTCTTTCGGATAGTACGGATCAGAATTCAGATGGTTAGAAATTAGACATCCACAATCCCTGAGGCCTTCCAATGGCAATTGCTAGGAAAGCAGCTGTGTTGATTAGCTGCGTAAATGCTTGAAGGTGGCTTGCAATATGTGAGCCGGATCTATAGTTACGAACGCTTGGACAATTCGATGAAGCGATTCAACCATGACTGGGTCAATAGATCAACCTGGCTAGAGCTGTTGCAGAGGGGAAACTTTGGGCTGTTGATGAACGAATGCCAGATTCCAAACTAGAGATACAGCGCGACCCGCCTCGCGATCAGTCATAATCTGACCTGAGACCTTTCGCTTACGGGTCAACCATGTGTCGATTGATGATGATGATGATGATCAGCGATCAGCGATCTGAGAAAGGACCTCATTCATATGGCTGCGGTGTCCCTGCAGATCGCAACCCCACATTGCCTTGATGCATGGAGTCAAGCACAGCAAGCGTACGCATGGATGTGCATGGGAAGCTCACTAGGACCTGGGATGCTCGGTATGGAATCAAGAACTGTAGAGATCGATCAGGCCCGGTCGAAACGCAGGATCGATCAACAGATCAGCATCGACATCAAAAGCACCAATCATCAAACAAAAGCCCTTTGTTCTACTGGCTACTCGCACTCGCTACCCACCGCGAAGCGCAAACAAAAGCGCTGTGTCACGTATGAGTACAGTACGACTCGTTTTCCGATATGAAGGAGGAGTCCCTTTGTTGCTTTGTTGAACCGTTGATTCGCTTTCGACACTGGCACACCGGTCGACAGTCCCTATCAAATACAAGCCGTACACATACTCTCCTGACTACGAGCTATTGTTCGACTCAGCCGACTCAGCCTAGCATCGTTACGACATACCGGACCTCTGTTCCCCCAGCTCTATGCCAGATCATGTCGTCAACCTGCCCCAAGCAGGGCAGACCTTGACCACTGCTGCCGAGCAGGTCTACGCCATCCCCGAGCTCATGGACATAATATATGCACTTGTCGAAAAGCAAGGTCAGGGTTCGCATGGGGACCTCTTCTGGCACGACGATCAGGCACGGCAGGAAGTTCTTCAAGCACTTATGTGTCTAGCTCTATCGCATAAAGCTGGTTACCGTCGGGTGGCCAAGTTCCTGTATCGCCAAATCAGCCTATCGGCGGTACTGAAAATGATCAAATCGGAACATGATCCCGTTAGTCGAGTAACTTCGCGTTAAACATATCTGAACCACAGGTTGTGGTGTGGATGTCGAAGCTGACGTATTGTAATCCTCTCACAGGAACGCCTCGAGACCGCCTTCGCCGCGATCAAGAAACTATACTTGCGGGAAGCGGATTTCAAACGGAACTCGAACAGCCAGTGGAATATCGGAGATAGCTGTCATCTGGCCCGGCTCAAGAACCTACAATCTATTCACTGGCTCCCTTGCTGGGAAGTGGATATGATCGAGCGCTTTGGTCCCCAAGTTATGCAAGTGGAAGAAACGCACATCATAGGAGGACGTCAACTTCTCGTGCACGGCTTGCTCCGCTTGTCGGATGCACGTCCATGGGAAACGTCCATCCTGCCGATTGCTGATTCCGAGGGTACACTTTGGAGTACCACTTGCCATGGCGATTACTTTGACCTTGATGATATGAACGATTTCGCACCGGAAGGCGCCGAACTGAACATGGTTTCGCTATTCCGCTCGGTTCCGACCTCAAGCAGATATGCCAACCATGACATCAGCGAGGTATTGCTCGTCCGAGAGGCCAATCGAATATTGAACGGCGGGAAGGGTGGCTCGCTGTTTGCACAAATCAAGGAGCTCGATTTCGCTTTCGATCTGGCCAAACAGGGTTTCGTCCCCGACGATCTGGCGAAGATCCTATCGCTCTGCCCGAACCTGGAAAAGCTTGAGGTCAAGCTCATCCCGGGCGAAGATCAGCGAAATCTTGAGCGGAGGTTGACCGATCTCACACCCAAGTTGCGGTGGATCTTTCTCGACGCTGTCGAGCTGACTTGCCTGCCTCAATTGACGCATTGTGAATACGTCGAGCTGGCCATCAGCGGTGATCCACGCCCAAGCCTACCACCCGATGATAGATCTAGCTTCAAGACCCGCCGGCAGAAGAGTGTTGGCCAGATTGAGACGCTTATCATCGATTTCGACGTCCCTCCACTTTACATCGATCCAGCTCAGCTTGCCAACTTTACGGTGTCATGGGCATCGAAAGACGCAGAGATCACTGTCCAGGCTGTGCATGTGTACGTTGACGAGGATACGCCTGCCTCAAAATGGATACGCAAAGTAAACTCGGCGATCGCAGTCCTGCAGAAGCGATCTCCCCGAGTCCCGTCGGATGGTTCTTCACCTATCAGCGCCGTCGTGGATCAACAAGCTTCAGGCAGTCCGATCAGCCCGAACCGGGAGGTCCTATACGCCCAGGATTCGTCACTGGAATATCGTCAAACCCTGTAATTGAGCGTTCCCTCTGGAGGAAACTTTCGATCCCGCCAGCAAGGAACCTCTCGATCGTTGCCATCTTCCTGGCTATCGAGCGCATATAGTAGCAACAACATATGGAGATCGACAGTCGTTCAAGTCACAGCCTGTGCCGCGATTCAACCAGAAGCTTTTTCAACATCTACGCGGCATTGTATGACCTATCGATACAGTCGAAGCAAATCCCAGTACATGCTATCCTGTCTATACTTCATGTGCTAATATCGAATTGTCCATAAGCTTAATCGCCTTCTCAAATCAACCCAACAGCGCCAACTGCCAGCAGCAGCGCGGGAAAGACGATGGCCTGCATCGTAAGAGTGTTCCGCTCGGCAGAATTCTGCGGGGCCACAGAAGGCGATGGGACAGAGTCTGTACCCGTCGCACTGCCCATGTTCAGACCGGTCGAAGCCGCCGTGCTGGCGGTAGTTGTCGTAGAAGCATTGTTGTCAACGGCTGCCAAAGCGCTCCAATTAAAGTTGGGTCCGTAAGGATATTCGTCCAGCTCCGGCATCTGCATTACTCCAAAGCACGTAAGTCCACCTGCCGTGCCCTCGACGAAATCGTTCATGTTGTCTATCGTGATGTTTGTCGAATTTGTCGTTATGTCCGATATCAAGAACGGAGTTGGTTCGTGCGGCTTGTCGGCTCCTGTCGTGCAGTTCACTGCGTAGGAACCAGCAAAAGTGGTATTGCCGTACAGAGTGTTGTTGATTAGGGCGAAATTGCGGGCTCCGGCGATGGCTACAGCGAAGACCATGGCGCCAGAATAGACATTGCCAACAACGGTTGCAGGACCACTAGACGTATTGGTGCCATATCGCTCACTATAGGCAGGACCTCGAAATTAGCCGGGAGTCTTGTTTTAACCCGTAGCCAAATGTTTTATAGACGACTCACTCTCCCCACCACGTTTGGGGGGAAATTGCCATACCTTCGAAGCGATGAAGAACATAAGCGAAATGAACGGATACGAGGACGTATTTCAGTGAGCAGTGTAGGTCACTGTAGATGACTTACCCAGCTTGATGACGGCCGGCTGATCGGCCACTCCCAAGCTACTGTTGCCGTACTAAAAAGCAAAGTGGGCGTGTGTAAGATTCTATAGCACACCGCAAATGTGGTTTCATCACTTTGACGTACTTCGTCGGCAAACCCGCCGTAAATCCTGTTATTTTCAACTAGCAGGTTCGAAAAGTTTCCTTGCCACGGGTCAAAGTCAACCACTGGACAGGAGACACAGTCAGCAGCTGATCATCGCATCAGTTTGACATTCGATAGACGTACTGTTGATTCCTCCCAGCATGACCCTCTGCAGTCCGGATGCAATCGTATCAATAAACACCGCTCGCCTATCTCCAACCCGTGTCGTAGTTTTACTCACATCGGTCGCCGAGATGGTATTGTTACGGATCGTACTTCCCGGAGAACCGAAGATGACGATCCCAGCGTCCGTAGCGTCCTTGATGTCGTTGTTCTCGACCAGCGAGTTGGCGCATGAGAGGGATACCTTTCGTTCGATGGTTCAAGTCAGTTTCAGCTAGCCCCCTTCGAGACCTAAGCCTCCAACAAGATCTCTGACTCACGCCGTCCGCCCACTATCAACATCAAGTCACGCGTGCAAAATACCAGTAAGGGGTGAGACTTTTGACCGTATCATGTGATTAGACTTAGAGACGTGAAAATCACACGCACATATTGGAAATAGTCAGACCCGCAGGGACCGATGTCATTCCCTCGAATTGTCGCGTTCGAGCAAGCGAATGGGCCTTCAGCACTAAAGAGAGACAAGACAGAAAGATCGTCTAATGATCAGCCGTGGATCGCCTTTGCGACCTCATAAACCCCTTGTCTTACATGTGCAAGCAAGACCAGCCCCTGATCAACATACAGAGTCAATGTTGGGTTCAGCTTTATTGGACTCGGCATCTCGTCACTTCTTTCCAACCGACTGACCTTGGGTTGAAGGATCTGACATTCTCGACAATCTGTCCCTGGTTCGCCCCGCCGATCTCGATGTTGCCTCCACCTATTCGTCAAACGAAGCAAGGGAAGGCGGGGTCTCAGCTAATAATCGACGAACTGCTGGCAGGACTCGAGATTACTGACCAGGCAAAGGTGCCATATTCTCCAGATCCCTATCACCGTCGATCATTATGTTTTTGATCCTGATAAAGTCACAGTTCTCACAGTCTCCGAGAACAGCGGTAGTGTGATTGACCTGGGGAGTTTTGGGTCCGGAAACTACTAGCATAGCTCTTGTGGAATCGGTCGGGTAGCCTTCCGTGCTGATTTCCTATAGGTGGATAGACCAAACAATGCGCTTGGCTTAAGTTTCGCTTTATATGGCATGAAGTACCAATCCGTGCAACTCACCTGGCTGGTGTTGGTAAAGTTCAAAGACTGGGTAATCGAATACACCTGGCCTGCACATAGGCTCAGAGTATATCCCTCGCCTCCTTCCGTCAAGAGCTTCTGCAGACCGGCGGTATCCGTCGAGTTGTCCACGCATGCTGATCGGACGATCGTAGCCGCCAGTATGCTACATAGGATTGAATAGATAGACCATGAAGACGGGGTTCGTGGGACCGAGTTGAGCATATTGAATGATATTCTCCGGACGAGGTTTCTTGGTCGATTCTATGTGGCCGATGCAGAGGCTGTGTTGATGATGTGTTCCGATGAGGTGTTCCGTTCCAGCTACGCGTATCACCACCAATTCTAGATTCAGGTAGACGACCAGGCGGAGATCTCTATCGAGGAACAGTCGAGCTGGATGTATGACAAGAGGCTTCCAGGATTGATATTGACGGCAGAGAAGAGAAAGCGGCGGTCATGCCGATCCCGCAGTCTTTGTGGAATTTGTTATGAATAAAATGTCGTGTTTTATTTTTGTTGTCTTTTCCTCGCGCGCTAAAAAAGAGGGGAATGCACGATAATTCCCACAATTATTGTGCTGCAAGCTATTTGATGTATCATGGCGCATGGCCAGCAGCAGCCATAGTATCTTAGCAGAGGCCAGCGGCTACACATCGTTGACTGACTTGTGAACCCCTACCTAGTATCATGTATTCATTGCAGGTATGCATCTTCGGTGGCTGAGCGAGTTGCAGATCGCTCGCGGGTCAGCTTACGTCAGCAACAGCAAACGGTGGCTTTTGGATTGATTCTCGCATTCTCGAGAGCCTCGTGAGATGTTTCATGTCTTTCATGTCGCATGAGCTCTTGTCACTGCGACACATCAGCTGTCAGGGCAACGGATCTGCCCGGCCGTCCACAAATATGACGCAAGAGCCAACGCCAAGTGCCCTGGCCATTGAACAGCCTACTGAACAGAACGCCTTGTCTATCAGTCCAGAACCTCAAGCGGCTCATTCCAATCTCGGCAAGGAAGTATCTGCGACGTCGGCGGCATCGACCTTTGAAGAGGCGAGACAGCTCTGAGCAACATTAACTCAGATATGTGAGAGCACTTTTCGTACCGTGACGATGTCTGCGCGTGTCCAAAATGCTTGCAAACTTCGAGGACGTAATGTCGCCACCCCTCCTAACCCCCCGACCGTTGCCACCCCTCCGACCTCCAAGACAAATTCTTCCATCGACCCTCCTTGTACGAATCGGTGAGGGAAATTTTCAATCCTAAAAGTGAATCGTGGTCACAGCAAGTGGTCACGAAGAGGGTCATAGCGAAGAATGATCGGTACAGCGCGGGAGATGGGGAATGAAAGAGGAATCGTAAATATCTCGAAGCAGCTATAACAGGCGCGGCGGCTTTCTGTACAAGCGTTCTCATGCTCTATCAGAATCGTATCCCGTATTGTCCTAGCAAGCCAAGTCCTTCCCCGCGATCAACGTCGATGCGGTTCGGCTATCAGCGGGAAGGTGGGCTACCTTTGCCTCGACTGCCAGCGCTAGATACCGGCGATACATCATCGTATGTGTTGATCGCTCCCGAATACTCATGAGCTCCAGATTCCAGTGAATATCCGGAAGGTCCTGGGAGAATGCTATGCATGTCTTGAGTACCTTGAGATGCTGTCTTGGGGATTTCAATCGTGAGACCTGATCCCCCCAAAGTACTCTGGATATGCGAGCCGGGAGCGGAACCTGCTCGCCAGGCCTCCGCACTAGCAAATGTGGTCGGGGATGCTCTTCCGTCAGCAACGGACTCCTCCACGGTCGGGGCTAGTACAGACTCAGATCTACTCGTATGGTCGTCAACATAGATCGTCAGGACGGGGATCTTGTGATCTCGTGAATCGGAGGTGGATTCCTCAGGTTCCGGGTCAACAAACTCGAAGTGGAAGCTGAGATCGTAGTCGTAAAACGCTCTGGCGTTTGTATTGACTGTGACCGGGTAGACCTGACCCGGCTCGGTTCTGAGCAGAAGGGACCAGGACGACTGCAACCTTTCTTTCCATTTCTGCTCGACCTTCTTGCGTTCAGAATCTGCAGTCCCTCCGTCCAGGCTGAGCCATTGGAGCGTTTTCAAGGTGGAACACTTGACTTGTGACCTCGTACAGGGCGGTTTCACACTCTGGAATCTCATGACCCAAGTACCTTTGCGCTAAGTGGGCAACAAAATACCATGGAATCAGACCGGTGATAGTACGAGAACCATCGCCTGCAGAAACTCACAATCTTTTGCCCTAAGATCACACTGTATCCCGAATGTTTGGATAACAAGACTCCCAATCTTTCGAAGGGGTTGTCTTCGAAACTGGGGGCGTTTTGCGCGTCTGCGATACGTTTCATGAGTCTGTTCATGGTTTCTGAGATGCGCAAGTTGGTAGAACGTGGGGGATTGTGGTTGCTGATGCAATGGTTGTTGCTGGTTCGACGATCCCGTTTCATCATACGATGGTAGCATTCAACTTTCGTCTAATATTTATACATGTTTGCCTGACAGTAAATCGATAGACTACAGCGGAGTTGCACCATACTTTGCGTAAACTCAGATCAAAGGAAGCGCTTCATCGCTCCTTTGCAGTGACTGCAAAGCCATACAATCATAGCTACGTCCCCTTGTCATCCTTTCAATCTGCATGGCGTGAGTCGGACCGGTTGCTCAGTCGGCCTGAGGGTTCGCTTGTCGCTGAACGGATCGCCACATTCCTCCGTTGTCATGAAAGAGTCCCTGATCACCTCCATTATAGAATTTGTGGCTGTGTGAAACAGCAGTAAGAGCGCTGGACCCGGCAATCGCCAGAACTTCGCGTTGACTCGGATCTACCATCTACGAGCTACGTGAGTGAACTGAATCCTCAGTGCGTCCGAGTCCATGCTCGCTCATACATCGCCATAAGGCTTGAATATATTATATTTACAGACAAGCGCGTCGCTGCCACCACATCTGGAGTGAAGCAGCCGAAGACGATGGCCTTGATAACATGTCGACCGGCACGAGACTGCTGAGCAGTGGAGACAATCGTCTTGTCAGAAAGGTCTCGGCCAACTCTGATATCACTAGAATAGTCATAGCATTAAGCACTATTGTTGTCCATGAATACAACTTGTCTCTATAGCTACAACGATATCATTTGCCTTTCCGGCCCGCTCTTGCTCGATACAATTCGGCGCCAAGAACCTGACGGGCGCAGCGGGGTGAGAATGATCGACCCGAAGCGTCTGTGTGATGAATATTAGGGAAGGATCAGGAGCTAGCGGAAGTGTAGCCCGAATGTAATTATGAAAGGCGATTCGCCAGGTCGTTCCATCTATCCTTATCCCGAATCGGGTAATTTACCGCCACACGAAGTACCAGGAATCCGAGTCATCTAGGACGAGAGATCGACCAGCGGTGTACCCTGCCTCTGTGCCCCGGTAGAACGTGCAGATATCCCTCTCTTTCGACTGCCATCGGCATCTTCCCTTCGCATTCAGCATGCACAGAGAGTACCCAGAGACTGCATGATGTGCTGGACAAGACCTCGCCGCGACCTGTATCGGAGCCATCAGCTGCCGCTCCTCTTGACCGGGTCTCCTGGTTACACTCACTTCGAATACCCTCTCGTGTAGATGCAAGGGTATACGAGTCTTCAGCTGGACGTCTTCCCGTGCGGCGAGTGATGCAAGCTGTCCCTGGGTCATCATATCATTCAAAGCTAAAATAGTATCCACACAAATTTAGCGTGGTTACGCTAGATAGCGAGGCATGGCCTCGAATGAACTCACCATCATTCCCCGCCCCATTGGAACCGGATCTATACAAATTGGGATAAACTTTATATTCGTCGAATGCCTATCTCTGCGCTCCCTGTTACGTACCTCGTCTCCCTCCATCGTGAACACGTTTGTGTCAGCTCGATGTACCGCGCTCCCATCGCTACGCCTCGTTCGAGCTGCCATGGATCTATCTTGAACCGGTAGATCGAGGTAGATGGGTCTGAGTTTAAGGGAGCTATCAAGCACTGAGGCGGCATCCGGAAATTGCGATTAGGTCCACTGTTAAGCAGAATAGTCATCAACGATTAGCGGATAAACGCCAAGGAGAAAAGAGGGATCCGCTCACAAGGGTCCATCGGCCATCTAAAGGTTCATCAGACATACCCCTTTCAGCATGCTTGTCGTGTTATGGTTGGAGTTGACACGGGAGAGTTTCTCACCTGACAGTCGGGCGATATAAAACTCCAAAAACAGGATCGGTCTCCCTTGTTGCCCCATCGTCCCCGGAAGTTCAACCAGCCCAGCTTTCCCCTGGGATCATGACGACGTCGTATATGTGGATACCCTCCTCTGGCTGTCGTGTTCAGCCATTGTATTGGGACCAGATCGTTCTTGCTATCCCATATCGCCCCCCGGTCATCGGTCACGTCAACCAACTTGACAATGTTGAACGCCTGATTGATAAAAATATCGAAGTGAGAACATGTTCGGCCAGAGATCAGGTGAGCAGGTAGGGGGCATTACGTACATTTATATAGAGATGCTCTCCTGCAGTGGGCCAAAGTCCATGACTACCTAGAGCGCTAAAGGCGACAGGCCGTCCATCGTACTTGGGTACGTCTGCCCATCGCAGCGTTCTAGATGTTACAAGTAACCAAGAAAGGTCAGCTTGCTGCTAACATCGATCGGCTCATCACTAATACTCTCACCCTGTCGTCGACAAGTCACGGTGCACCACTATCACATCGCAGAAAGCTCCCGTCAGCGAATGAATTGCAGCGCGGCCGAAAAACGATGCAGATACTGACTGTAATCGGCCGAAACCGCTTGACCGTGTCGAGTTCGCACTTTCATGTGCTGTTCACAGTAGTATTAGCACGCGAATATGGATGAGCAAGCATTTCCGGGGCCATTCACCTCCCAATCAGACACATCTAGAGCGGTCCTTGGTATCAGTGCTATCTCGAAGATCGATCAACTGGTGATCACAACTCACGATTGCCCAGGATACCCAGCGGAGGAACTAAAGGATGGAAGTAACATGGGTCAGTACCAACACCGTGCTAGTCCCGGTACCGTGGGACCGAAAGACCAAAGGTGAGTTTAAGGTGGCGTGATTTACCATTCTTTCCTAAATTATACGGGTAGTGCGTCCAATAGATCAAATCCTGCCAGAAGCGATATTGCACTGTCAACCGCTGATTATGATATCAAGCCGCCGTGTCGCATCGGTACCTACGATGTAGTCATCCTCCTGGGCCACGTGAAAGGCATATACGGGCGCTCGGACTGTCGGCCTGATCAGAGTCCCATCGATCCCCTCGGCGCTCATCCTCCGTAACAATCTCTTCTCTGCGGTCTCTCCTCCAGGCCCGTACAAAAAGGCGGATTCGTTCGAGTGCAAACGAGGTTGAGGGTTCATCTCAACGGATACGGAAAGCCACATGTCCCACTGCTTTTCAAGCGGTAGCGTGGCCAAGTCGTAGCTGCTGAGGGGACTGTCGGGGAGCTGTTCGATACGATGTCAGACTGGGGTTAGCTACTGTCTCACCTAGGCCCATGTGTAAGTATGAATCCAATGACCGACCGTAGCATTGTGTAGTCCTTTACTATCGAGTATCTAATAAGCCTAGCGCAGATCAGCTTCGCATACTCTAGCCAAACCAAACAGCGATACTTGCTTGGTAACCCGACTTGTCCAGCATGTATTCTACCGAGCTAGGAAAGTACTCTTCCTCTGAGCTGTTTGAGTCGTTCGTACCTGGATCAGCGGAGTCGCCAGATGCAAAAGCCTTAATATCACTCACTGAAGATATATCACTGGCGCATATTTCCTCAATAATGCCTCGATCTCGGGTGTGACCCCGTCATTATGACCGTAGTCGATATCGGGATCGTAGATCGTTTTGTTGACAGGCAATTCCAACACTGGGGGTTCTAAGGGCCAATTGAAGCCAAAGCGAGCTGCCGCCGGTCGCACAGCTGTTGCGAACAAGAGGAAAAACAACGATGTGCGTAAAGCGCCTTTGCTATAGCTCTGGGTCGAGAACGTAGTTCAGATCATGAGCGAAACCTGGTCTGTAGGGCTTAGGTAACCCCTACAAACCTTTGAACTCATGTCATTCTCTATCCTTGCCATGGTTGTCTGATGGAAGGGCGATATCAAAGTCCAGAGGACGGGCTTTTGGTAACTCTCGAATTCGAGCCTTCGTGGCTGCGCTTATCTATTGCGATGTCCGAACAAGAGGAGCCTAAAGCACCTATCTAGATTCGACGATTCGCTCGAGCTTTGCGCTGCGGGATAATCTATGTCTCGATATCAGAAGGCGACTGGACATGAGTCAGGTTGTCTATCTGGCTAGGTATCTATCTTCAAAGGTATGGAACGATATGCCAGTCGATGTCGTCGAAGGGACCTTCGTAGTCCTAATCGGACCGCTTGCTTTGTGATCGGCGACCACGGCGGCCTCCACCCCTTCCGGGAGATGAATTGCTTCCGGAGGCTGGATCGGGTGCCGAGTACTGTATCAGCTGAGAGCTGCGGACATTCGAACAGCGCTGTGTCCGTGCCCTGGCTCGACCCTCGACATGGTCAGGGCCGCGTGAGCGTGCTTTGAGATCTGATGACGAAGGAGAGCGACCATCTCGACCCTTTAGACCTCGATATGCGTCAGACTTGTAGCTTCACCTTGATACCTTGGCCCCTGCCTAATCAAACGATTCTCCTGCAACTTCGGATCTGTAGACTCACGCAAATATGGTGAGATCCTTAATCTTCATGGCTACTCTATTCCATCACAATTGGCTCATACTACTTTCCTTTGGCAGTCTCGAAGATATGATTCCAGAACGACCATCTTCTCGCCCGAGGGTGAGCGTTATCCCGCACAGTTCATTCCATATATTAGGTACTTACACTCTTCTTCATATCTATGCAGGTCGAGTTTTCCAGAGTACGCATGACTCAATTTCCGCTGAGCTGAAAGTCGTCACGCTGAATCGTCACCATCCTTTGTGTGTCCAGTCGAATATGCGATGGAGGCCATCTCCATGGCCGGAACAGTCCTCGCTATCCTCAGCAAAGAGGGAGTTGTGATGGTTGCGGAAAAGGTGAGAACCAGCGGAATCGACATGCATACGGACTTCATCTGACGTTACATCGCTTCCGCTCCGAACAGAAAGTGACCGGTAAACTGCTCGATCTTTCTCTGACTAGCTCGGGTGGGGAAGGTTTGGAGGCTTGGACAGGTGGTGGTGCCGAAAAGATCTTCCTCCTCAACAAGTAGGTGGCCTTATCAGGCGCCTGTAAGACGTGCTCGGATTACCTTGCTGAAGCTTTCATCGGCTTCCCTCAACAGCAACATTCTCGCTGGTGTAGCAGGAATCACCTCGGACGCCAACTCGCTTGTCAACTACGCCAGGACTGCCGCTCAGAAGCATTTGTTCAGCTATGACGAGGAGATTCCGGTGGAAATGCTGGCTCAAAGGTTGTGTGATCTCAAGCAGGGATACACGCAGTATGGAGGTAAGTCTGTAGAGCGTGTGTGCTATCCATCATAATGACCAGAGATCTTATTTTATCGCTGTTCTTGATTGACGTGATATAGGACTTCGACCTTTCGGTGTCTCCCTTTTGTATATCGGTCACGACCCTATCCACGGATTCCAGCTATACCATTCGGATCCGTCCGGGAACTACTCTGGCTGGAAGGCCACCTGCATCGGAGCGAACAACTCGAAGTAAGACACTGTGTACACAGATGATAGTCTCGATCCGCCTCTAACCCGATGTCTGGCTTTTTAGCGCTCAATCCCTGCTCAAGCAGGACTACAAGGACGAGATCACGTTGGAGGAAGCCAAGGCGCTGGCCTTGAAGATTATGAGCAAGACGATGGACTCGACAAAGTTGGGAAGCGAAAAGCGTAAGTCGCCAGTTTGCAATTTCTGGGTGTCACCTGGCGTCTTTCCTGACGCTTTGTCCATGACAGTCGAGTTCGCTACAATGACTTTGGACCCTGCTACTCAGCTACCCCTTGCCAAGATCTTCCGATCAGCCGAGTTGGACGAGTTGTTGCGGAAATACGAACTCGGAGGTACCTCGGATTCAGAGGTCGGGGTTGGGCAGGGGACCGGTGGTGGCAGCGGTGGAGACACCAGCATCTCGGTATCGACGTGATAGAATTTCGAATTATCTTTCTACCTCTGACGATCTTTACTGTACGAGCGCCAATACTCATGATTACGAACATGCCCTCCCATGAGCGTCCCGTCCATGATCCCACCTTATGCCAGACAATCTTCACACTATTCCCCACTGAGTGACCCGATTTCGAGCTTGATCTGCTACAGGCTCTTGTCATGAAAATCCAGATCGTTCAGGAATTCTCCGCTTGATGATGGCATACATACAGGATGGTACCAACAAAAGGTAGAATCGATCTCGTTCAGAACGTGCGCCAATACTGGCTATATATGAAGATCAGGTCCGCACGGAGCATTTAACCTCTCTTAACATGCTCTCTCAAGGCCTTCTTGGCTTTCCTCGGAAACTCTTTCCACCTCGCCTCTCCCTCGCTTTCAGAGCGAACTCCCACGTCCTGGTCCCACCCGTGCCCCTAGCAATGACATCGTCAACGTCACGCTTGTTGGGTGCTGCAGCGCCTCTGGTCTTGACATGGGCGTAGCCGGGATACAGATCGGGCACGAAGGCGAACGATCGGCACACGGTGTATCGGGGCTGGACACCCATAGTCTTGTTCCTGTTGAGCGCAGCAAAGAGCGGATGCGTCGCCAAGGTGTCTGCAGGGCGAGTTGCCAGGGCCTTGAGGTTCCAAAGAGTATAGGGTATGGAATCTTTGAGAGTGACAAGGATGGTACCTTGCGTCCTAGGTGGAGCCGAGGGATCGGCTTCCTCAACGGCGACCGGTTTCGGCTTGACGTCTAGGTCTTCCACCTTGGAATTTTGGGCGAGGTACTCGTCGATATCGATACCAATATCTTCGTCCTCCTCTTCGGCCTGCGGTCCCGCATCTGACCCTGGCGCTCCTTCTCCTTCAACGGCTTCCCCATCCAACTCCACCATCTCCTCGTCCTCCTCGACTGGAACATCCTCGTCCTCCTCGACGCCATATCCGCCCAGCTTTCTCAACGTATTAGGTCTGCCCTTGACCTTGTCGTTCTTGTTGATCGCGAAACGGGACGGTCCCTCGGTAAGGAAAGGTGCGGCGGATCGGAAAAAGGTGAGAAGGAGATGCTGGTTGGTGAGGATGTTTCGATCTTGGTCCTTGATACCAGCGCCTGATCACGCCGAGTGAGGATTCAGCTACATAGGCCATATGAAACAGATTTGGCGTAACGGACTCACCGGCGTGGGGGAAATTGAACACGATACGACTCCACGTCTTGGCCTTGCCGACGGCTTTGCATTTTTCGATAGCACCCGCATCCAGCCCGAATTCGACTCTGGCTCCCAGAGCCCGGATCTTGGAAACCGTCTCTTCGGCTGCAGGGTATTTTTCGTAGCATTCCTTTTCGCTATCATAGGCCGTCGCGAGTACACGCTGAGCGGGATGATTGTGAGGCGGGCTCAGGATCGAGAGGGTGTAGGAAAAGTCTCCCTCCCCAATGAGGAGGATGGTGTCAGTCGCGTCGAAGGGGTAAGTGAGGGTGCGGGGCCGATAAGGTTGTTTCTCCTTGCCGCCTTCCGTAGTACCAGCAGCTTCGATCGCAGCTTGCATTTTACTCAGGTTCTTTTCCTGCTGCTTGTCGCGACGGTTTTTCTGCTTGTTACCACCGGACATGGACTTTTCCTTTCGTTCGAGAGCTTCTTGCACCTTGACCTGGGCGGCTTTGCGAGCCGCTTTGGCCTGCTGAGCGACCAGGGCTGCCTTGAGTGATCCTCCTTTTACCATGGTGTCTAATGATCTAAAGTGGCGAATTCCAAGAGTTGGAGGTATGTTTCGATGGATTATGATCAAAAGTTTCAAACCACAAAGTTCCTCTCGTGCTCTCAACTTCGAGATGATGATAATCCTCGTCGGAAGCATTTTGTGAATCCGATTACGAGATGACATTTTGCATCCGCGGTCGATCGCTCATGGCCGATTCAGCTGCTCAACGCTCGCTCAGACGAAGGTCGTTCTTCCAACTTCAGATCAGCGTCAACTATCTTAGCAAGTGGCAGGAATAACCGAACGAGGAAAAGCCTCTGCATCATCTAAAGACACTCCTCATTGGCCCATAGCTGTACTCCGAAACACCATCTCGCTCAGGATGAGGTTTCGAACCAAGATCATCAACGCCTCGTTGATGAACAGTAAGTTTGGCTGTTCACTACGGAAGAAGTCATCCCGAAAGTAGCATCGCTGACGAATGTTACTAATGTGACCACAGAGGTAGTCAAATCGCTTCAAAGTACAGCTAAGAGCTGCGTCATCAAGCTCGGACCTGAAAGCGTACACTTTATCGTATCGGATAGTGAGAGTGGTCCGTCAGGGGTGCAGATATGGTCGTAAGCCGCTCTCCTCATCAAGGGGATCGTGATTAGCAGATGGTCTAAACCACAACATGATGATCTATGTTTCTAGACAAGTCAAAGTGGTATGTTTGCCGGCTTCCCGCGAATTAGACACCCCATCTCATATTTCTCGCAAGTAAGGTCACTCTTTTCGACGAGTACCGCATCGAATCGCGGGGAAACAACGAAATCTACCTAGAAATCGGCCTGGAACCTCTAAGTAAAGCTTTACGCTCGGCCGAGATGGTAGGGACGACGGGGAGAGACTCCGAGGCCGGAGTCAAACTGAGCAAGAAGAACGACAAAGCGGTGTTGGTCTTTGACATCGTCGGACAGGCGAGTCGATCCCCTACGATTCGTCATCGTTTTCGGACTTGAGAAGCTGACCTTAGACGTCACGGGGACATTATAGGGGAATGGTCCCACCCCCATATCCATCACGCATGATGTGACATGTCTGGTATTGAATCCCAGCCGAGTCGCTCAGCTCAAGGAACCCCTTTGCCCTCAACCGGATGTGCGTGTGTGCACCGTCCTGTCTCCGGCAAGCGGTCCAGAGCTTACTTCTAAACCCGATCAGATTCACGTGCACCTGCCTAGTTTAGCTCAGCTGAAAGGTTTAGCCTCGAGATTTTCTCACCTAGGCTCAACGGTTTCGATCTCTGCCAACAAGGTCGGTCGTCAAATGCTGGACAGCAGGAAACATCGCTGATCGAGTAATCTGGACTGTTCAGAAAGGAGAGATGTTGTTCACGGTACAAAGCGATGGGCTCAAGATGGAGACTAAATGGGAAAAGTTGGCGATACCGAATTTCAGTAAGACTACGGACGAGCCTCATGATACACAGCGAGGAAAAGGGCTCACCTGTCTGAGAACCTGTCTTGCAGATCAGGAGGCAGATCAACAACCTGCGCAGGAAGTGGATCCAGAAGAAGCCCCGACGTTCAGTGTCAGCATCAGTATCAAGAATCTGCTCAAATTCCTCGCTACCAACCTCGCCAACACAACAACTATTGCCTGTATGTCAAGCCGGTTGATAAGCGGTACAGCGAGGTACTAATCAAGACGCTCGCTGTTCTGCTAGGCATATGTGACAACTACTGCCTGATCGCTTACGTCTACATCGGTGAGCTGATAGCGGGTGTCTTCTGGCTTCAAGCTCTTATCGCTGATCCAATAATCCGAACAGGCGAGCCCAACGAGGCGGCAGGCGTTTTGACTCTGTTCATCCCAAAATCGGAAGCCTGAAATACATCATCATCAGACAGGAACGATTACGACATCACGAAGGAAATGACCAAAACAAACGGGCCAAGCATAACATCAAGGTGTATCAAGGTGTAACAGTAAGGATAACAACAATGGGTATGACGGTATGACCTAAAATGTACAAAGCATGTCGATGAAGATGGTATAAAAGCTGAGGATCCGCACTGTATCATCACATGGCCTTCTTTTCCCCTCTATTGGTGACGCTCTGCAGACGGCGTTCGATGGGAGTTCTTTGCGGCGAATAGCCGGGAGGCGACGTGGCCGACGGGGTCGCAGGGCTGTTGACCTGAACCGTGAGATCTTGTGCGAGTTGCTGGCCTTGACCGAGCTGGACAGTCCCGTTGGATCCTTCCTCGGCTTTGAGCGTAATCTCTTCACCGCTTTGCAACCGGGTCTTGATCGTGCCCTTGAGACCCTTCTTGCCCGAGTTGATCAGGGTCTTTCGTCCGACTCCACGAACGTCGACATAGACCAGCGCCACATTATGAACGGATCCACCGAGGATCTTGGTCGCCTGGCCCGCTTCGGGTCCATACTTGTGTCTGCAGAGGTCGAACGGGTCAGCTCCTGCTCGTGACTGAACATAACAGACGAGCGAGGTACACTTACTCGGCGGCGGTAGAAGCGGCCGTCGTGGTCGACTCGATCAGATTGGCAGTAGTCGCTTCGATGCTGGTCCCGATGACCTCGGCAGCGGTGATGACCCTCAACCAGAACTTCTTCTGCGGCTTCTGACCGCTCGTCGAAGGTCTGCGTTCGCCTTGGTCGTATCCCGCCTGGGTAGCGTAGTCTCCCTGTTTCTCATCCTGAGCTTGGCCTGGACCGCCAGAGGTGTATCCGGGAGGCGCAGCCCCGGGTGGAGTGTACGTGGCCTTTTCATTCGGGTAACCGTTGTTGTTGTAGCTAGTACTGCTACCGCCGGGTCGAGAACCAGGCGGGGTGCTGCGCTTGAAGTCTTCGTATTCGTTCATCCCCGCAGTTGCAGCCTTGTCGATGACACCACCGATTGCCTGCGAGACAGCATGAATATGCCGGAGCAGGTTGAGCACAACGATCCCGCGGCAAAGATAACATACGAGAGATCACTCACGTCCTGAACGATCCCCAAGGTCTTTCTCGTCACCTTCAATCCCCTGGTCGACGCGTTATGAACCTGTCTGATGCTACCCTTGGCCATCGGGCTCAACTTGACCGGTTCCGCGGACGGCTTGGTGTTTTTGGTGTAATACTCTGCGGCCGAGGTGATCCCGGACGAATACGAGTTGCCGAGCGTGAGGATCCCTTTGCTCAGATAATGAGCTCCTTTCAACATCCAATCGTTCATGTCGGCCTCGTCGACCGTCTTGACCGTGATCGACTTGGCGAGACCCTGGTCAAGAGGACCGAAATCGACGATGACGGGTTCGTTCGCCGAGCCCCCTGCGACCTGCTTGCCCTCCTCCACAGACAGGTTCTGGTCGAGCTCGCCGAGGATCTGACCGGTCGTCTCGTCTACGAGAACGAAACGACCTTGAGAGTCGCTGTGACGCATACCGGGACGAGGGGGTACGGGAGGAGCGGGACCTTTGCCTCCGGCTGGCGAATCCGGCGTGGAAACCGACGTGAACGAGTCGATCAGGCCAGCACCGGGGATCTCGCGGTTGACGAATTGCGGGGGGATGTATAGCGAGCCGTACTGTTTGAGCAGGATCTCGAGCGTATCCAAGTCCTGAGAGTCGAACTCCGTTGTGGGTTTGGGAATGACAATGTCGACAAACGCGTCGGTCACGGTGGGCGATGGAACCCTGAAGACGACGTTGGGATTGTTGTTGACATGGGTACGATCGTTTGAGACCTCGAAAGAGGGTTCCCTTGTGATCCTGACCCCCGGAACGAGACATAACTCAAAGTCTCCCGATTTGACCACCAGGAAGAGGTCCTTGTTGGGAGCCGGGTCGTCGGAGAACGGGTTGTATTTGACGAGCGCACCAGTGGGAGATGTGAGGTTGGCCGTCGCTTTGGGTGGCAGGGCGAGACATTCCAGCATGAGCTCGCCCTCAGCGATCTTGATCGTCTGGCCTTCAAAGAGCTATAGTGACCGAGTAACGATATACGGGCTCCCATCAGTCAAAGGTATGCCATATAACAGGATCATCGCGATATTTACCTGATAGACCTGCGCTTGAGGCAGTGTCAATAACAAGAAGCCTCGGGCATCGGCAGGTATGGGCGAAGTCATGGTCGAAGTTGTGTGATCGGAAACCAGAGATTTGTAACGATGACCAAAATAGCGAGGACAAGTACTGAAGTGAGATGTCGAGGTATGATGAAGGTGAGATGATCGACCTGGAAAGGACGGTGACAACTGCTGCGCGGCATGCGCGGGCGGTGATCGAACCATTTCATCGTCATCGTCATGCAATCATTTGATTCCGAAATGAAACCAGGGAAGGGGGGTGGAGGCGAATACATCCGGGTAACGTAAGCATCACAAAATACACGTCGCCCTAGGCTGCCCGCTGCCTTTCAGCATATTCGTTTCGTTTGGGTTTGACTCACATTCTCAGAGGGAATGTCGTTATCTCTTCATCACCACCGACCTCGTCTTCTATCAATCACCCTTCTCCCTCTTATCATCCTCCTCAGGAACGAGCTCCTTTGTCCTGTTATTGTGACTCGGCGCTCTGAACTTTTATGATACTTGGGCGACACTGCTATAAAACACTAGCAGCTACCACTCGGCCACTCTCCGTCCAACCATTCCTCTCGACGAGGACATTCAATACCACACCTATCAACTACAACTTGATCAACTCGCACAACATGCCTCGAATCGATCTCAGGACCCCCAACTTCCCTGACGAAAAGCCTCACGCCTGGCCGTCGCCAGAATCATGGCCCGCCGCCAAGGTCAGGGAGACCTTTGTCAAATACTTTACCGAGGCCAAGCCGGGTCTCGAACACACCTTTTGGCCTAGCAGCAACGTCATTCCCTTTGAGGACCCGACGCTCTTGTTTGCCAACGCTGTGAGTTGCCGGTCATGCTTTCGACGTCTGCGCAAACCTGGATCGACTTGCTAAACGTCTTCTCTCGCCGTCCGCTTTGACAGGGTATGAACCAGTACAAACCCCTCTTCCTCGGTACCGCCGACCCCAACACCCGCATGGGACAGCTCAAACGAGCCGTCAACTCCCAAAAGTGTATCCGAGCCGGTGGAAAGCACAACGATTTGGACGACGTCGGCAAGGACTCGTACCATCACACCTTTTTCGAAATGCTCGGCAACTGGTCGTTCGGTGACTATTTCAAGAAGGAGGCTATCAACTGCAGTTGGGACCTCTTGACTCGGGTGTATGGTCTGCCTGCCGATAGGTTGTACGTGACCTACTTTGAGGGAGATGACAAGCTCGGATTGAAGCCGGACCTGGAAGCCAAGTGAGTATCAACGCTATCGAATCTGAACCATCCGGTGGGCGCCAGAATCAAGCTCACTAAGCGCTTGTTCTCCGCTCGCAGGCAGTTCTGGCTCGACGTCGGTGTCGAAGAGGACCACATTCTTCCCGGAAACGTCAAGGACAACTTCTGGGAGATGGGTGCTGTTGGTCCTTGTGGGCCCTGTAGCGAGATCCATTTCGACCGAATCGGAGGTCGAAATGCCGCTCACCTCGTCAACCAGGACGACCCGAACGTCCTCGAAGTCTGGAACAACGTCTTCATGGCCTACAACCGAGAGAACGATGGCAGCCTTCGAACGCTGCCTGCCCAGCATATCGACACTGGAATGGGTTTCGAGCGACTCGTCTCGTGCTTGCAAAACGTAGAGTCCAACTACGACACCGACGTGTTCACCCCTTACTTTGACAAGATTCAGGAGATGACTGGCGCTCGACCGTATTCGGGCAAGCTCGGCGAGGATGACAAGGACGGTCTCGATACCGCCTACCGAGTCTTGGCCGATCACGTGAGGACGTTGACGATTGCCATTTGCGACGGAGGTGTGCCCAGCAATATCGGACGAGGTTACGTTCTCCGAAGAATCTTGAGACGAGGTGCTCGATATGCCAGCAGCAAGTTTGGCGTCAAGATCGGGACCTTTTTCTCTAGCCTCTCCCCGACCGTGGTCAAGGAGCTCGGACCCTTTTTCCCCGAACTCAACGGCAAGGATGCCGACCTCAAGGAGATCCTGGACGAGGAGGAAGAGTCGTTCGCCAGGACTCTCTACCGTGGAGAAGCTCTTTTCAACACGTACGCTACCAAGGCCGCCGAGGCTGGATCCAAGACGTTGAACGGTCTCGACGTCTGGAGGCTGTACGATACATTTGGTTTCCCCGGCGATCTGACCCGAATCATGGCCGAGGAGAGGGGTCTGACGGTCGACGAGGAGGCCTTTGAAAAGGCCAAGCTGGACAGTTGGGAGGCTAGTAAAGCCGGCGGCAAGTCCAAGGGCAAGGAGACGGTCAAGTTGGATGTGCACGATCTTGCCGTTTTGGAGAAGAACGACTCGATCCCCAAGACGGATGATTCTGCCAAGTTCCGTGAGTGCAAAAATCCTGCTCGAATCATGTCAGGCTTTGTTCGGCAACTGGTATTAAACACGAGCCTTTGCCATCGACACAGTACTGGGCAACTCGAACGGAACCATCAAGGGGATCTACCAGGGTTCTAAGTTCGTCGACGCCACATCGGAGCTCGAGAACGGGTCCATGTTCGGGATCCTCCTCGACAAAACCAACTTTTACGCCGAATCCGGTGGACAGGAGAATGATACCGGTTCGCTGACCATCGATGGCAAGGCCGATTTCGAGGTGACCGACGTTCAGGTCTTCAACGGATACGTCTTGCATGTTGGGTACATGAAGGAGGGCGAGGTCAAGGTTGGCGACGAGGTCGTCTGTACCTACAGCGAGGTGAGATCCGGGCTTGATCAAACGTTTAGCCGGGAACCGAGTGATACAGGCATTGATCGCATGACATGTATGTGCAGGAACGACGATGGCCTTTGAGAAACAACCACACCGCCACGCACATTCTCAACTTCTGTCTGCGAGAAGTCTTGGGCGATCACATTGACCAGAAGGGATCGCTCGTCGCTCCTACCAAGCTTCGGTTCGACTTCAGCCACAAGGCCGCCATCTCCCCCGCCGATCTCGAAAAGATCGAGACCATGTCCAACGAATGGGTGAAAAAGGCCGTCAAGGTCTACTCTGCCGAGCTTCCCCTCAAGGTCGCTCAGAATATTCCCGGTCTGAGAGCCGTCTTCGGAGAGGCTTACCCGGATCCTGTCAGGGTCGTCACCCTCGAATTCTCTTTGGATGAGATCACTTCGGACATTGAGAACCCCAAGTGGAAGCAGACCAGTGTCGAATTCTGTGGAGGAACGTGAGTAGCGGTGCAAATCGACTTTGCTGCTGATCATATTCTGATGATACCACCTTTCCCTGTAGTCACGTCGGCAAGACTGATGAGATCAAAGACTTTGTCATCACCGAGGAATCGTCGATCGCCAAGGGGATCAGGCGTATCGTGGCCGTCACCGGTCAAGAGGCTCACGAGGCTTCGCGAGGCGCTTCCGAGTTCTCGAAACGACTCGACTGGATCGACAGCCTGAACGGAAAGGAGAAGGACGCTGCCATGAAGCCGTTCCTCGTCGTAAGTTCGGCTGGCCTGCATCATCCTACAGGACCAGGATGCTGATAACGGCGTATGTACGGTACAGGAACTCGGTCAACGAGACATGTCGGTCGTCAAGAAGAACCAGCTGCGTGAAAGGTTCACCAAGATGCAAAACGCTTTCGCCGCCGAAGCCAAGGCTCAAACGGCCGCCAAGGCCAAGCAGGTTACTGCCGATATTTCAAAGTACTTTGAGGAGAACCCGAACGAGAACGTCTACGCTGGTGAAATCGATGTCGAGGGCGACCGAAACGTGAGCCGGCCAGTGTATTGGCGGTAGGAATCGTCGGGCATTAGGCTGATCTTCCACTGCTTTCGTCTCGACAGATCATGAAGGTCTGCGCCGAATACGGCAAGGCCAACAACAAGTCGATCTACGTCTTCAGCGTAGACCGAACCGCCGGCAAGGTCGCTCACGTCAACTTTGTCCCGCAAGAGCTCGTCAAGAGCAAGAAGCTGGACGCCAAGATCTGGTTAGAGGAAGCCAACAAGGTCCTGGGAGGCAAGGTAAGTGCGAAACACAGCGAGTGGAAGTTTGGGATGAGAGGGTTGACATTACGTCTTCAATGTAGGGTGGAGGCAAGCCCGACTCTGCCATGGGATCCGGCAACAATGTCGATCAGGTGCAGGAAGCCATCAAGCAGGTCTTGGCTTTCTACAAATCCAAGGTCGAGGGTGCTTAGATCGCTTTGACGGTTCCATTATGGGTGTAACAGTACTATTTGCCTCTTGCATTATTCAATGGCCTCACGACCGTTCCCTGCCGCTTTTGGCATCCCACCTATTTCGCAAGGTGATTCATTGCACTAAGATAAGTCCAGGATTGCCCACATGTCTGCTTCGGGGCTTTGGCGATTCCCGGCGAACACCTTTCGCCGGACGGTTAGGAAGATACATGGTCAACCTCGCCTGGATGAACGGACCGTGAGCTCGACCGTCAACTATGAGAAGAGATCTACCTCTGGTACCGATTGGAGTCTGCCGGACCCCGGTCATCGGGTCTGCTGATCAGACACCCAAGCAAGTCAGACTCCGGACTTGGTTTCAATCGGATGACATGTCGATGGGCCCGGACCCGAACGTACAAGGTTTCGGAGCCAACGTCTGTAAGATCGTAAATGTCGTCACTCCCACTTGAGCATATCCAGACTTAGCAGCTGGTGCGAGTCATCGGTTCCGGTTGAATGGTGCGACATCGCCTGTCGAGTCATCGAATCTCTCACGCCGGGCGTGTCCGTGCGCCGGCAAGCTGAAACCGGTTCTCAGTGGCGCGACCCTTCGGATCCGAAGTCGGCGTTCGTCACAAGCACAAGTCAGACGAACGTTCGATCGTCATGACAAAGGGAAAGGTTGATGAGATGGTGGTGACAGGGACTATATAAACAGGCAGGAGCCCTTGTCCCGCTGTCAAATCCTTTCTAGGGTCGATATGCAATATACCCCGCTTCATCGCTCTAAGCTTCGCGTGACAAAACACCCAACCCTTTATCGCGCGCCCTGTCAACGATTCCCCTACCAACTGCTCCTAACGCCATGTCAACTTCCACGTCATCATCGAGGAACTCTTCTCCTGGTGAGTTGCGAACCGTAGTTACCGTTAATTATATCCCTTTCTGACCGCCAAACATTTTTACAGAATCGATCAGTCGAATGCCTTACGTCGATGCTCCACCCCCCTATACGGAATTCGCCGAGCCCCCCTCGAAGAAGAAATCCATCTGGAAATCCTTCTTCTCGTCTCCTGCGGTACCCTTCCAGCATTCTACCACCCTCGGCAACAAATTTCAAACCTCCGTCCTGGCTCCTGACATGCCATCCGGGATCGCCCTCTACTCTCAGAACAAAGACAGGACGACTCGTCCTAAACCGCTGTTCGAGCGAGACTTTAGCAGGGATCACTACAATCCCGATGCCGTCTTGGCCATGGACCTGATCAGGGGAACCACCGTGCTTCTGCACCAGAAACGTGGATGATCGCAACCGCATGCGTCATTTCGCCTTCTTCGAGATACGTACACACGGTCTATTTGCTCGCCCTGATCCACTTTTGGCTCCGGTCTACTCGTCGTCTCGTCGAGACTTCTACCGATCCCTATTCCCGGCACTCCAAGGACCTCTAAATCCTCTTCGGATCACCCTCACATATGTGGACCATAGGACGATCACGTCATATAGCTTCCGCAACCCCGGTTGGGGCCAGATCCGGTCCCGGCCTTCGGGTCGACGACGCATCCTGGATATCGGGTTTGCATGGGCAGCAGATTCATCGCCCCTCAGGGTGAATACAAATCGCTTCATTTGCTATGCTTTGTAGTATATCTCGAGACTCCGGTCGAATCCTATAGATTCCGAGCTCAGCTCGTGTCCATATGATTCTGAATATGATATCAACTTCTGCGACTCACCACTACTCGAGCCATTCTTGACCGCTTCCCGTCGTGCGAACCCGATTTCATTCAACAGGATTCTCTCGAAATCTTCCTCTGGTCGTAGTTTCAGCTTGAAGTAGTTATCTTTCAGGGTCTAGAGCGAGATAGTAATACGCGTCAGTACAGAAAGGCTTGATCGACGTGTAGATAATATACCGACCTGGGTGGATCTCTTGGCATCCTTGTAGCCTCTCCATCCTTGTTTCTCGAGGACGAGCTTCCCTCCCGGTTCGATACAGTCGAAGCATTTCTGGAAAAACTTGATCAAGCCCTCATCCAGTCCGTGAAGGTGTATCCACTTGGTCAGCGATAATCTATCGGCGCAACGCTGAGGTTCTTCAGTAGAGGCAAGCGGTATGATATGGATGGGGATGAAGGAAGCTCACGCAAGGACTACGTCGTAGCGGTTTGCGTCCGTCTCGATTTCTTCTTCAGCCCAATTCGCAGCGTAAAACACCAGATTACGAGGAAATTTCTGGGCGGGAGCTTCCGAGCTGTTTTCCGAACCTTTGGAACGTTTCCGCCCCCCTTCCGCCTCCTGAGCAGCACCGTGAACTTCTGAGATAGCTGCCTGTGATGTTCCAGCTATCGGGAGACTGCCGTATAGTGCAGGAAAGCAAGCCGGAAAGTAATGCAGCTGTCCTTCCGAAATCGGCTCTTCTGCCTGTCCCGCTCGATCCCCGTTCAGCAACTTCCTCTTCTTCCTAGATCTCTCAGCTGGAAACTCGGCCTGGGATATCGAAGGTTTTTGGAGTGAAAAGGCTTGTTGTACCGTTCGTCCGCACTGCTGGATCAGGTCCACGTCAATGTCTACGCCTATCACCTGTTTAGCTTGATGCAGCTGAGCTGACTTTGAAGAGGGTCAACAGGCGAGTTTTAATTTGCAAGGCGAAGTCGAGCTTACCGATCTCTTGAGATACCGCTCCGCTGTTACATCCTACATCCAGCACAACCTTTCCCTGGAAGAGATCTTTCGCATGATCGTCCTTGAGCAGCAAGTCTAGACGTTCGTCTCGATCCGGTGCCAGGTCTGTATGACCCGCTCGACGTCGGAGGTAGTAGTTGCGGTAATTTCCTCTAGATTGATCGGAGAAGTGGGACATCTTCTCCCTGTGCTCTTTTGAGTGTAGGTGCCGAGTATGAGATGACGGAAGTGGGTAAAGCTGGGAATGCGGAAAGTTGAAAGTCAAGGTCGAGGTTCGCGATCTTACGAATTTCGGAGTTTGTACGTACGTAGATCTCTTCCGGCGCCGGCGATGAGAGGAGCGGAAGCAAACTTTCCCAAACAAGCAACCACCACCAGATTCAAACATCATCCGATCATCATCATCGTTGTCGTCATCGATCTACAAGAGAGACATATATGTATTACAGCTCTAGCTCCCTCGTAAACGTAACAAGGTACTGCCTTGGATACTCAACCCTGGTTTCAGGTTGCAAAGATGTCCAAGCTCGGTCGCCAGGACGGGTATCTCTCCGTCAACCCGACACCACCTAATCAAAACAAACCCCTAAAGAACAGCAGACTTCGTCAAGAATCGCAGGATGACAATGATACCACCGCCCTGTTTCAACACTCACCCGAGTCGAACAAGCTCGAGAGGGAGTACGAAGCTGGATGCTTGCCAGACGAGGTGTACGACCGGACGTTGCCTGGTTGGAGAGCGGGACTGAGAAGGTTCCTGACGAGGTGCCTAAAGGTGGAGAGCGAATACTTGGCTGGCATGCAGGTAGGCCGGCTACGTTTCTGCGGCTATTCACAATTTCGAAAGCTGATCTCTTCACTCTCGAAAAAGCACCGGATACGAGGGCATTTCCTCGATCGCTACTTCTACTGGACGGCTCTTTTCGGCAGTTGGTTCTTGCTGTTTTGACGATACAATCACTATTATGATCAACTGCTGATCAAGTGCACTATCAGCGCATACCTTCTTCATGGCCGCTCTACCAATGTTTTTCTGGTTCGGAGACGATTTCCACGCTCGAGGGCAAGTCTTCTTATACCTCACAACCTGATACATGCTCTGATCACTGATCAGAACTGCCTCGTTGTGTCCGTCAATAGCTTGCTTATCGTAACCGGACTAGGAATCTGGTTATCCAGCGTCGCGAAAGATCTAGCGTGTTGTCCTCGACCATATAGCCCGCCTGTCATTCGGCTCTGTAAGTTTGGCTCGAAGCGCAGATCGCCTTGTGGGCGTCCTGAGCTGAACAGCATATTTGACTAAAAGCCATGAGCACGCACGGTCTCGAATACGGTAAGTTATCGGTGGTATCATCGATATCACGAGATACTGTGCTGATGATAATTTCTTTCTATCTTTGCGAGGTAGGCTTCCCTTCCTCGCATTCAGCCAACTCGGTCTCCGCGGCTCTATTCCTTGGGACGTGGTTGACCCTTAGATTTACGTCGGGCGAGATCGATGCACAGACCCTGGTGATAGGAAGATTCGGTGAATCTCGGAAGTTGCGCGGTACGACTCGGCTTGACGGCGACTGACCTCACATTTGGCCCGATAGCCTTGGCTGTTTATGCACTGAGCGTAATCCTGGGGAGACTGTACTGTGGCATGCACTCCCTCAGTAAGTCGTGAATGTCAAATGAAAACTGAATAAACCTCGCTAACAAGTCCGACGGTAGTCGACTGCTCGGCGGGAGCTCTCATCGGTTGGTTCTCCTGGTTCGTCTGGGACAGATTGCAGGCGCCGTTCGAGGCTTGGCTCGTACAGAGCGATTGGCGAGGTGGGTCGCCACTTCTCGATATTTCGAAGGTCCAAAATCCTGACACCTAGAATTTGGATTGGGCAGCTCCCCTTGCCGCGGTTATCCTCTGCGGGTTCTTGGTTCACTATCATCCTGAGCCAGTAGACGGTGAGTGAAGTTTGCGGAGATGCCGTGTAGAAAATAGTCTGATGGCTCTCCTATGGTCAGACTGCCCATGCTTTGAAGACTCCATCGCCATCCTCTCCGCTATGCTAGGGTCGACTTTGAGCCACTGGTACGACTCGCACTATCGACCGCATTTCAAGCATGGATTCCAGGCCGGATTCACTCCGTTCGGCTTGACAGGACCTGCGAACGTGGTAGCGCAGACCGTTTTCGGTGCTGGAAAGCTCGTTATCGGTGAGCTACGATACTTCATCAGAACGAGTCGGACGTCACCTGAATGTTACGTCGCGTGCTATCGCGTTCACAGGGATCAGCGCCTTGTTCTTATGGAGGATGGTCATGAAGCGTCTCCTCCATTTCATCCTGCCCATCATCTTCCGTGCGACCTCGCAAATCTTCCACTTCGCCCTGCCAACGAGACGACACTACCAAGCCGCGACCGACTATGATAAGGTACCCACACCTTATACCCTCAACCCTTTGCCATCTTTCGTCGACCTGCCTTCGCAAGCATCCTTGACCACGGCTCTGCCGCCGTCGTTGCAACTGCACAAACGCTCGAGACAGGCTTCGCACGAAAGCTTTTCGAGCGTCGCTTCGTCGGCTTCGCAGCAGTCGATCGAGAGCGCGAGACCTCCTCGAAAACGAGCAGAGACGGAGAAGAAGCATTACGACGTAGATGGTGAGCAGCCATATTGTCGGTGACTATAATCCACGACAAGCTGACAAGTGTCTTCTTGCAGTCCTGACGAAGGTATTCGTCTACGCCGGGATTCCGATCATGGCGATAGATCCTGTCCGGGTGGTCTTTGTATTGCTGGAGAATCTCATCGGCAAGCCATCTTCAGGGTTGTAGTCCCTTGTATCGCATGTGTATCCATATCAGGACCCGAATCACACAACTATACATCATAATGCGTGCGAACCATCCAGCAAGGAGGATCTTTCAGAACACGCGGGTATGTTGAGCCTCTCGCGGCCTCGTCAGATGTTACAACATGATCTCGAAAAGAGTCGTCGGCCGTCGTCAAAACTCATGTCGCTGCTATCGCGCTCATTGCCTGCCGTACCAACTCCTTGGCGTGCCGTATCCGCCTTGCATCATCCCGGCCATTCCTTGACCGCCGTACCCTTGTCCTCCATAACCTTGGCCTCCATATCCCATTCCCATTCCCATACCGTTTCCCATCATGTTGCCCATGCCACCTCCCATGCCGTTTTGCATGGTCATCATGTCGTAATAGCCTGCGGGATAGGTTAGGTCAGCGTTGTGAGCTCAAAGCACAACGAGAAGACTTACTCCGGGTGCCCGGGACAGGTCCCTCGCCTTCCATACGATGAGCGTATTCCTGCACAAGTCAATAATGTCAGCTGAGCTTCACCAGGCGACGAACGTAATTTGGAATCAGCAGCTCACGGGAGTCATCCCGCTGTAGTCGCGCCAGAACATTGAACGTCAGCTCAAAGTACAGACGTGATTGTCGACCTGCAATCGGACTCACGGGAAGGCTTGACCGTGAACAGCAGCGTTCTGTCCCATCATCATGTTCTCGAGCTGTTGTCCTCCACCCTGCATCATCATCGGGTTCTGCATCTGTTGCTGCATCATCGCCATGTTGTTCCCACCATGCATCATCGAGTTGGCCATCGGGTTACCCATCATCGCCCCCATGGGATTACCTCCCATCATAGGGTTCATCATACCCGCAGGAGCTGACATGGGTGCTCGCATCCCGTAAGGAGAGCCCATACCCATGCCCATCCCCCCTCCCATCCCCATCATTCCGGGCATACCGCCTCCGCTCATCTGGCTCATCTGATCCCTCCGCATCATCTCTTCCCTCTCCCTCTCCCTGTCGGACTCCCTGCCCGAATCACTACCATGCCTACGATGGCTACGCCTCGGACGTCCGTACTCGGCGTCTCCTCCGGCGAAACTTCCGCTCCTTCGGTGTCGCATCCCGCTACCTCCGTCGGAAGCATATCTCGAGTAGACACCCTCGTCCGGGTCGTAGTGACGATCGTACAAGTACTTGGCGGTCGCAGCGGCCGCTTCGGCGGATTCGTTGAGTCGAAGGGTGTGAGTGGCGGTCCTAGTGGTAGGAAGGAGTCCGAGGCGTTCGTAAAGAGAGTACACTGACGTTGGAAGGACGCGACAGTATCAGCGAGCGATGCGGTATGCTTAAAGAAACCATTCACCATCACTCACGTTCTCCGACGGCGAGACTGATCAGCCTCTCGCGATTCTCCTGAGAAGGTCTCTCGTGATAGACGCTAAAGTGTTCCTTGTCCCAGATCAGAAACGCCTGGAATGCCGCAGCGCCTCCGAGCACCCTTGACGAGATATCCTCGAACCCGCTGGTCTGGTACTCTTTGTAGTGGTAGATCCTCCTATGAGCCTCTTTGGCGTCGTCGTACCTCATCCTCCTACTCGAGAAAAAGGACGAGACGCTCCCGATGATCCCATCGAACCACCCTCTGTCGAACCCGGGGTCCCTGCCTCCGTATTGAGCTTGAGCGAGGTCCCAGCCGGACCAAGAGTTTTCGGCAGCATAGCCTCGATTGGGGAGTTGATAGTCGTACCCCAACGATTCGTATGCTCGTCCAGGATGGAAAGCCCCGCCGACCATGCTTCCCGCCATCCCGCCTGGCCCACCTCCGACATAAGGCAGATTGGGGTTCATGCCAGGTGGGTAGGCATGCTGCATGGTGGGGTAAGAGCCGGGCTGGTGGTGACCGTTCGGATAGTACTGCATCGGATAGGTCTTGACGTCGTCACCTGGGTAGATTGCAGTTGGCATCAATAATGAATGCAGGCTCGATTACGTTGATATGTTGGTGTTTCGGGAGTTAGAGGTTTGGGTCTTCGATAGCACGGAAACGTTCGAGGTTGACAAACGTTGGACGTGTATGCGCGTCGAAATGAGGATGATGTGATTAGAACGAGAGACGAGAGGCCGAGAAGCGAAAGTTACCCTCGAAACCAAACGATAGGCGATCGGGGACGAGGTGGAAAGGGGCATTCGAGGTGGCGAAGCGTCACAACAAACGATCCAAAGGAGGGTTGCAGATCAAAACAGATCATCGTCATCATCAGAAAAAAGACGATCAAAGGACCCTCCCTCTAGCCTCTAGGTGGATCGTCGTCACTGCCATCATACTCGAGTTTCCATCAAAGAAAGCGCGGATGCATAGTCTGAGAGAGCTCACATTCGTTCTCGAAGATCATCGCGTGCGATTGTGAAACAGATGGTTTGGATGATTTGTGAGCTTTCGAACGAACCACCGATTCGCGATTCGACCCCATGATGTCCTGAAACTCGGGACCGCTTCGGACGCAAATCCAGACTCATCACCCCGATTTGCGACCGACGGACGGATCTGACGGATCGCGATAGCCTCCCCTTCACCAATGCCTCCGCGATCGGCGACGCTTGTACGCTTCACTACGGCCCGTACGAGCTTCCACAAGCGACGGGCCGCGACGTTGGTCGCTTTGGTCGTACGTCCTCCGTACACCCCGAGACACGTAGATTTCGAAGAAAGGCGACACGGCAAATGGCGTGATCGCTCCATTTTCGATCAGATATGGGACCATATGGGCGAATCGAGTCGAAGGTGGATGGTCGGTTCCGCAGCTGCCCAGATGGGCGCGATGTCGGACAACGCCGTGCTGAGCTCTTGTTTTGATTACCAAATTACCAATCACCTCGGATTTTTCGGTGGATTGTACTCGTAGGTGGATCGTCGCAGAGGTCAGGTGGTCGACCGCTGTGCGGCGCAACAAGTCCCGCGAATCTTTGTGACGATTCCAGCAGGTTCATCACCACCACCCAGATTTCGATAGCGGGAACTTTGTTTCGCTCCTTCAGCCGAAAATGATCCCGCTTCAGGGGTCGAACGGCCTCGGAGATGACAGCGCTTTCGCGCTTATCGTCACAGCCGCGGCTGTCGAGTTCACGCCTTTTTGACCTTGCACGACACGATCTCTTCGATCCCTGCCAGTCCGGGCAGTCCGATGCCCTTGACCTTCATTCGCCGCAAGGAATGGCATGCTACCAACGCCAAAAGACGTCCTTGATCCTTGACCACGTCTCGTATCTCGTATCTCGACTGCGCAGTGTGTGTGTGTCTTTCGATGGGCTCGGCGCCGCGAAAGGAGATCGTCATGTTTCGTGTGCAACTTTGTTTCGACCGGCCCGGGGCATGCACGGGGACTGAAGAAAACAAGAGGAATGCTCCCATCTACGACGACCGAGCCTCTACGGTCGGAGGCGTTTCGGTTCGCCAAGTGCCGCTCACCTCGGTCATGGACGGTGTCATGACTCGCTCCTTGCTCCCTCTGGCTCTCGGGATCAATCGCATCGTCCCAGAGCGAGGTTGGGTGGTGACTTTTTGCGAGAGGGTTGTCAAATTCGATCGACCGTTTTCAATCGTAGACCTCGGGGAGGTGACACAGACATTGCAGACTCGAGCACACATGCGCATCGCAAGTTTCCTTCCGTCTTCTGGTTTCGAGAGGGACAAAGCGAGGGGGAATTGTCGGAGCGAAACGACAGTTGTTTGGGCGTATCAGCGTATCAGTGATTGGTACATCGAGAGCATCGCCGGGTGCGTTCTGGATCGAGTGTGCCCAGTCCGAGTATATACGGCAGGTCTGGCAGCTGTACTGGCTGCGGAGCGGACGTGGTGTGCAGTATCTAGGCAAACGCTGCATCTCAAGTGTCCCTGTTCTTTGCCTCCCTATCTCTCTCGACTTGTTCCCGTGTTTCCGGACGATCTGCAAGCGAAGAAAGCGGCACCGGTCGGCCTCTTTTCACTCTCCCAGGCTCACACAGACTCGCCCTCCTCCCCTCCCACCTCACTCCAACGTAGACGTCGAGCGCTCGTGTTCGCCGATCTCCAACCTCTGTCCACCAGGCCACCAGCAAATAGTGACCATCGACGTACGCACATAAACAACGAGCCCCCTGCCTTCCCGATCTGCCCTCGCTTCCTCGCGCAAATTCCTCTCGTTCACCGATATAGGCGACATACCGCAAGTAGCGTTAGCCGTCAACATCGTCGTCAACGTCTTTACCACGAGGGTCCACATCGACTAGTTTTACTCTCGTCACAAATCGCCAAAGTGTCTCGACTCATCGAATCCTCTGTCAGCATCCCCGTCGATCGACAATAACATCAAGCTTGGCTGTATCCCGTGCAGCCCAACCATCATCACCACCACCCCATCCTCGAAACCTCGGGGTCATAACCGTGGAGCCAATGACTTCCCTCTACACCTACACTCGCATGCCACCTACCTTAACAGACCTCTCGGCCGATGTCATCCATCTCATCGCTCATCATGTCATGTTCAGTGGAGCGACCCCACCGTCCACCGACTCGATGTCGCGGGAATGTGACGACAGGTCCACGGCGGAATACGACGTGGATGGACCGTTCGTCAGGCGATTAGATACGGGAAGCGACAAGTCCAGGAGGTCATTGAGATGGAGAGACGAACCGGCCTCGTCGTCGTCGTCCATCTTTTCATCGTCCTATCGCCCCGTCGTACCGCAACCACAACAACCCTACCGGTCAGGTCTGGACGTCTTGATGAGCGCCGCGTCGGAAGTCAGCGCAAGTTCGTCCTCGTCGACAGGATCGCGATCGCATGGTCGTCATCATGCTACGACGACAGAACGCAGTCATGAACCGTATGGAGCAGAGAGGATCTCGTCCGCCTCGTACTCCCGTCGAGCATCATCCACCTCGACCCGATCCAAGGGTGTCGAGTCGGACAGATCGGAATATACTCCACTCAACCCGCCGACAACGTCCAAGAGCGAAGTCTACGTCACTCGAACCATCCCGGACCCGCGATCGCTCCTCCCTCTCATGCTCACCTGCAAGCACCTATACAAGGCTTTGCGATTCGACGGGAATCCCAAGCTGTATCACTGGATGTACCTAAACACGTTCGACAGCGAGGCCTTGACGAGACGCTGGAAGGATTATCAAATGGGAGGACCCAACCACGAGTACGCCGCCGTCCCGCCTTCCAAGTCGGCAGGCGGGGATTCGTTTTTCGATCAGATCGAGGTCAAACGGGAGCCTGGCCTGGAGCATGAGCAGACCATCTCGGGCTCGTCGGGCCATCGGTCTTGTACCCACGGCGTACGGGAGAACGGGACCAAGTGCGCCTGTAGGGAAGGCGTACACTTGTTGAGTGACCCCGCCATCCTCGCCAACGAGTACAAAGACAGGTTTGAGACTTTCAAGAGGTACCGAGAGATCGCGGCGGGAGGTAGTTGGAAAGCACTGATGAAGACGGAAGAGGATAGGGAGACGTGGTCGGCCGACATTTGGGTCATCTGGTGGATGTATATGGAAAACGGTGAGTACGCTCGCTGGATCCTTGATCGCACCCGGTTTCGGACTGACATGTTCGTCTGGCGATTCACATAGACCACAAAAACTTTGTCGTCCTCGAATCGTTGGCGAAGTTCAAGGAGGTCGTTAAGATCTTTTACCGGGAACACATGCTTGAAGCGGCGCTGCAACCGGGTTATCCGACTGACTCTTGCGAAGGCGCCATTCTGACGATCATCTCGAACAGGCTCGGGATAGATACCGAGCTGGAGGAAACGAGGGAACAGATCGATACCAAGGTGTTCATCCTACTGCCCTATGTCTTTGCTTGTCACAAGGTGGGTTCGATGCGGCCCGACTCAAAGAGTTGCGCTTGACACTGACCTGCTCGATATGCAGTACCCTTTTCTATACGGTCCGTGGGTCCATCGAGACTTGCCACTCAGCCGAGTCGCGCGGGATGAAGAGGAACTCCGCATGCTCAGCCGGCCCAACGCTTTCATGGTCGAACTCTCACCTAACCCCCGTTCTACAAACGTGAAGCGGTTGGGTAAATGGTGGCGAGTTTCGTCGCCTTACCAGACGACCTGCGCCAGCTTGTCGTTCATGAAACTACTCGAACGTCATCCCGAGCTCATCACGCTTGGCAAGAACCCGCATGTCCAATTACCTCGCCCTGGCGTAGCTTCTTCGAGTGATCAAAAGTTGATTGCGGCCAAGCCGTTCTCATCTGCAACCGAAAACCTCGATTCGTCAAATTGGGACAACGATCTCTACCGAGCCATGAACTGCCACGACCCGATCACCTCGTCCGGGATGCACCCTTTGGCGTTCCGCCATAAAATCGAAGGTCTCTGGAAAGGCAAATACCTCTACTTTGATTACAACGCTTATCAACACGTTGTCAAGGGCGACGTACGCAGCCTGTACGAAGGCACATACGGCGAAGAGATGCAGGAGTGGCGACTCGAAGAACGGGTCATCAACGTCAAGATCGACAAGGTCGGTGGGGACGGGCCCATGCTCAATGCCGGTTACAGGCTGGGCCTCACCGCCGAGGACGAAGAGTACGAGGCGAGTCTGTCAGCCGAGGAGAGGGGCTGGGAGCCCTGTCTGGACGAGGACGCTCCCGATCGTCCTGGTTGGACAAAGGAGATCCTCATCTCGGGTACCGGACTTAGTGCCTGGGGGGAAGTCAAGATTCAAGGCCGCGTCAGGGCATGGGACGGGCTCGTCACGATCCACACCGACTTTGGTATCCCCGAATCGACGGGCAAGTGGCTGTTCAGGTGCTACATCATGTCGGGCAACAAACTCGTGGGACGATACAGGGACACGTTCACCATGGAAAACATGAGGGGTAAGTCGCCGACCTCCCCACTCTTCTTCTCGTTTCGATCCCCGTCCTGATATTCCCTCCGATTTCTCATCGGCATCGAATTCAGGCTACGAAGGACCCGTCTTTTTGCAGAAACAGTCGGAGTCAATACCTCCCGTTTCTGAGAGGGTGCCAAGTTCGCCGATCGTGGAAAAGTCGCCGCCCGGCTCGGCATCAAATTCGGGAAACTTCCGATCGGAATTCGCGCCAACCTATCGACCTATCGTCCCTTCGCCTTCTACAATCGTCGCAGTCAATAGACCGCGTGAGCTTCAACTGCCTCACATCCAGGAGCTCGGCTACAGGCCCGATCCTCTGCACATTGCGAGGCCAGCTGAGAATGCCGCTGCGTCTCCCGCCGATGTCTGCCCTCCCACCGTATCGACGTCCGAGCTGGACGGAAGCCGATCGTGCGCAGATGCTGTGGTCGCGAAGCCTGGCCAGCGATGTCGGTTCGAACCTTTCTCCGACAGATGAACGACCTGCGTCCAAGCGGCCACGACATTATTAAAAACGATCAGGAATACGTTGCTTTCTCGCTTAGCATATCATAATTCGATTGTATTGATTCTACGACATTGTATCAAATATAACGAGCTTCATGCTCGCAGCTGTCCTGTCAAGTATCATCGCCATGATGTTTCGCACTAACTCGGGTGTCCCAGAACATCGCCTCGGCAGTGGCAAAACTTGTGGGATGACACTTGATATCAAGGTGTTGAACTTTTGGAAGTTTGCTAAATGGTTCTTTCTCAACAAGCCAGTTGTGTGACCTGCCACCCCAGACCATGCGATTGACATCGCAAAGGTCCTGGTCATCTAAATGATTGATGTGGGTAACACAGTATCATAATTGCAGATGAGCCACGCCCTGATCGTTCAAAGCTTGATGTCTCCCGGCAACAGAGGTTCTCAGCACTGTTGTTCAGAATAATCCCCAACATCCTTGCAAAGACAGTTGCAACGGAAGAATCGCTGATGTGGTGATCTGGTGCTTACCGCCCGTGTGATTCGCTCGCAGAAAGAGGGCAAGCGCGAGTTGGCACTTCAATCCAGCTGTCCGATGCGCGTGAAGATGAAACAAGTCTCGTCTAGATGCGTCTCCCAAGTCTGGGTGTGCAAAACGTGCATGCGATTGTGCCTCCTTCCCTCGGCAACTTGCGTTCTTGAGGTTGATACGATCACGCGCCAGACAGCCACACGCTTTGGAATTTGATGGTACACAGACATCTTCCTCTGGTAGCATACGGAGTCCACAGTGGATAACGTCTCATTGATAGGCAATGATAGGATGAAGGACTGTTGCTGAGAAGAAATTGAAGACGGATCACAGGAGAAAAGTGACACGGTGTCCAGGCTAGATATGGTTGCGCGATCGTGGGACCTGGCGAAGCGCAACAGCGCTATCAATATACAGTCATGTACCGTGCCCTTCCATACATTAATAGAAGCGAAACACATAGGCTGTGCAACTATTTTCACCGGGACGCCTTTTCTCAGCTGAAGCTCCTTGCTGAGTGGGTTGTGAGCTTCCAGCCCTTGTGATGGAACCGTTCACCTTCTTGCGCCGTTCGAGTGTCAACCCGCTTGTCTCCGAACTTCGTCTCCTCTGCAGATTGTGCTCTTCTCTCTTCTCCAGCTTGATTTTGTTATCGTCCACGGTCACCTCAAATAAACAGTTGGTTTGTGCGGCTGACGATCCGATTTTGTCGATTTCGCTGAACAGGGAACAAAACTTAGCAAAGGAAGAGATTGCGCAATGCCATAATATATAGACAGTGAAGGGTAGTAGATACCGTTAGTACTGATCTGGTCTGAAATCATCAACACCCGGCTCGGGCTGGTTGCAGGTAGATAGGATAGAACCAGTACAATCAAAGAAGAAAGGAAGAAGCAGGACAAGTCTCGGCAGGAACAGGTCGCTTATTGTCGCCATCGCGTGTTCGTGACCACCGTCACGTTGGTTCGACGAACAGTTCGAATTTGGTTTCGGACGAATCGGTGGTATGTAGTATAGATAGCACCATGTTCTGTGATTGATCCAAGAGTCTCCTCTGACATAGTAGTACTCCATGCCAGTTGTAAAGATACCTTCATCACACGAAAGGGTCAACGTCAGCTTGTGCTTCACTTCCCACCAGATGCCAGCGTGATACAATTCTAAGTCACAGGATTACTCCCTGTACTTAGTTAAGAATTGACCCAATAGCCGAGCCCTTCGACAGCCATTCATCGCTCAGCCAACCAGTCCCATGTCATAAAGAAGACTGTACGGTGTAAAAGAGCAATACGACTAGCTTTGTATGATACTGGACACGAATGAATGCAGGGCGCCTTGTCGGGAGACGGAATACGATACATGTTATCCACTTGTAGTAATGAAGGATTGTAGCCTCGCTCTTGGCAAAACTTCAGGGCCTATTCAAGTCGGTGAGCTTTGTCTATGCCAAGCTGGGGCTTGAATAGACAGTCTCCATCACTGAGCGCATTAACCGGGCGGCTATCCTCCCGTTGTGAGAAAGGAACGGTAAGACGTCAGCAATGATACTGCCCAGCCTTTGGATGAAGAGTTAATTGAACGACCAATGCACATGTATTCACCTTTACTCGAGACGCAGATTGAGCCAAGTGTTCCGGATTTCCCTGATGCTGCTTAGCATTCCCAAACCAGGAGGTGCACTGCAGGTTGCAGTTCTTGCGCCTCCATCCGGTGACTAATTGGAATATCAATCCGGGCAAGTGAGTAAAGGTGAGAAGTCAAAACTCCGCGACTTCTGAAAAAGTCTTGCACATATGGGACCCTGATGTCAAGGTCTTCCTGGCTGGCAAAGGCAGCAAACTTGTAGGTCACGATTCCGTCTAAGACATCCGAACAATATATTAAGCGCATGATAAGAAATACAACCGATTCGCACAGCCGGTCTTCAGCAGAAAAGAACTTCGTACTCTACATTAACTATATGCCTTGTCTGGGCGATAAGAAGTTCAGCCTGTCCTGTCTTGACGATGAGGGGGTATGAAACCAGGAGCACCCGCCTTGACACCGGCCGAATGTTCGTCTTCTTCCTCTTCACTCAGAGTTCCCATCGCTTCCAGCGCTGGGCCTGGATCAACTGAAAACCCGCCGTACCCCTTGTCTCTATAGCTTGCGCTCGGCTGGGGCGGACCGCGACCCTGACTACGGGCCACGTCCTGTCTCATCGACGCAGTGCCAATAGTGATGTTCGATACCGAAGCAGATACCGAAACATCCTGTCGATCGCCAGACTGGTCGCCGGCGGCCCGCTTAATCGAAGAGTTATCCGAATCGGACGACCCCGCACGTCGCATGGCATTTTTGAGCGGAGGTACGAGCATGCCTTTGCGGTCAACCAGACTTGTCTTGGGCTCGAGCTCTTTCGGCACACCGCTCTCTTTTGGCATCACGATACGGACCGGCATCGAGGTGGCGAACAAGCTCGTCTTGTTCTCGTCAACATCTTCGTCATCGCTCGAGTCGTCATTCCGGTCTCGCGTTCGTCTCGACGTAGAAGGCGAGAGGAACGACCTGTTTGTCGTCTGACCCAGAGCTTGCCATAGCTTCTGTGTATCGTTTCTCCAAGCGGATCTATGCGATGGCGCATCGGCTGCCATCAACTGGATCAGTTTCTTTTCCACTAGCTGCGTGTTCTCCTTCATCGTCCTGTTCTTATCTTGTCGGGCTGGCGAAGAGGATGCCTCGGTCGCCTCGGCATCGTCGATCAACGATGTGGCGAATGAGGATGGAATCTCTGGCCTGGGCGCGTCGTGATCTTCGAAATCAAAGACGGCATCTAGGTCCGTAATAGGTGAGGGTTCAGCGTCGAAGATCTATATCGCTCGGACGATTCAGGCCTTACCATCTGGACCCGAAACTAAACCGGAATCCTCCGGCTCGTCAATCCCTGCACGTTCTCTCTGCATCTCCTCTTGATCGCTCCTCGCCTGATCATCCTTTACCACGACGGCCTCCTCAAACTTGACCTTCTTCCTGGTAGACCCTGAACCTTCACCCTCTTCCTTCTGATCCGCGTCGCCCCCACTCTTGGCTCCACCCATAGCAGAACGCCTGGTGCTAGACGTGTTGGACAATCGCCTCATGGTCTCTGGGCTGGACGAGCTGAGATGCTTGACGTTTCTCGGTCGGGGTGTTCGTTCTTCTTCGGGGACCATGAACGACGGCCTCCTACCCCTGGGCGGCATGTCCTTTTCCCCGCTGCCTTGTCTTTCCGGTTCTCTAACGGGCAAATCTTCATCCGATCTTTGATCCTTGTACGAACTAGCCGCGCTGACCTGACTGCTCTCCGCAAACGGATGGAGCGCGATGTCCCCCTCGCCTCCCTCCCGAACGTCTTCCTCGCGCTCGAGAACCCGGTCCAGCTTGCTCGGACTAGGGTCCTTCATGGCTGGATCATCAGCCTCGACATCAAGGTCTGTATCGAGCGGGTTGTGGTATCGATTCCCCTTGCGTCCGAGCGAATGGTGCATCTCAGAAGTGACAGCTCGGGACCCTCCACCCACGGACGACCCGTGTCCGAACCTCTCGTCCATATGCGAGATCCTGAGACTCGAGACGACATCGAGATCGACACCAGATTTTGCTCCTCTATGAAATGGAGTCGTGATTGGGTTACTGTTAAAAGACGAACCGCCGATAGGCTCTACTTTCTGGAACGAGTGATCGACGACTTGAGGGGACTTCATGGGCGATCGGCCTGGGCGAGGCGTGGTGTCGTTTCCGGTCCCCGAGGGCGTTGGTGCAGCGATTCCAGCTTGTTGTTGCTGTTGCCCTTGGTGCGGGAAATAGCTTACCGACAGCGAAGCGGACAAGAGGGAAGAACCGTAACCCGTCTGCGCTACCGAAGCCCTGATGGGCATCCTCGAAGCGGTTCCCTTGCCCGGAACATCGAGAGCCGAGCCAGACATCGGTGTCGCGATAGACGGTGCTCCGAACGACTCTTTCGCAGGTCGTTCGGTACTCATCGACCTTGTCCTCGCCGCCCCGTCCATACCCTGACTGACGCTCGGCCGGGACCTAGCATCTTGTTCCTTTTCTTCTCCCCTGAGCGCGACTCCTCGCATACGACAAGCCTTCTCATAGCTCTTGTAGAGGATCTCACATTCTCCTCTCGCCCGCCTTTGAACGGAAGCTACTTGCTTCCTCTTCCGGGTGACGAATTCGAGGATCTCCTTGTCGACCTCTTCCCGGACCCTTCTGATCTTGTCCGTGGCGACGTCAGACAGCTTCATAAAGTATGGGTCGGAGGGAGTGAATGGAGGCGGGAGGAAGAATGGGTCCGCGAGCGGGGAAAGGAGGGTGGTGAAATGGGGTGGGGTGGGAAGGTTGGGAGGAGCACCGTATGACTCCGAATAAGGAAGGTGGGACAGGTCGAATGGATAGAGCAGAGCGTGTTTGGCTTCCGCATCGCTGGGAGGTGGGCCCTATAGGCAAAACAGATATCCACACGTCTTCAGTTCGACTCCACCCAATTCAGACTTGCCCCTCAACGCGCCTCTGACTCACCCTCTTCTCACACAAGACCTCGAGTACGTGGACAATCTTGATCTTGCCCCCACTCGCATCCACCTTGGCCTTGACGACATCCTCATCGCAGACCGTACACACCACTATCCGCTCACCATCCTCTTCCTCGTCCCCTCCGGCTGATCGACTCCCGCGTCTACCTCGACTAGCACTACTACCCAATACGTCCGCTTCTCCCACCCGGACATTGTCTCTGTCCCGGTCCGTCGACCCTTGCTGGCCTTGTTTAGGGAAGTCGTTGGATACCCGCCTCACCCGGGGAGCTGAACCGCTTGTGGAATCTCGGCGCCGAGATTGTCGTTGATGATAAGCCGGGGTCCGGCGGTATGCAGTGAGTTCTTCCCGGATCTGAAAGAACGGGAATACGCACACGACATGAATGCGATCAACGGAAGCATGAAGTAGGAAGATTGAATCAGCTTTACGCAGCCTGACACTTCCCATCTCTCCCAAGGCGACAAAGGTTTTTGCAATCCTTGTGATACTGACGATATACACTCCCGTCCCATGACCGTCAGACGACCCATGGTCCTCGGTCAAGACCGAGACGTTCCCGCACCTACACCTCGTCTGTACACGATCCGCCGGCGGTGGACTCGGCTGGGTTGCCGTGGGATCAGGAGGTGGTTTGGTGGATGTACTCATGGTCGCGAGTGGAAGTTAGAGTGGTGCCTGGGCAGGCTGGCATACGAATTCGATGGTGAATGTGTTGATTGTATATGGGTCATATGCGCTGAGAGGTGTGACGTCGAGGTCATCGCGCGGAATCAAACAGACGAGGTCGAGGAACGTCAGACAAACGACCATGAGTCTATGCGGGATTCTGCAACTTTGCACACACACGTCTGCTACATGTGCCGCACGAGAACGAAGTAGACTAGCAAGAGAGCAGGAGACTGGTTCCCATCATATAGGTCCCTGACCGCTTCGGATCGCTTGCTGCCGACATGATCGCAGACAAGCACAATTTGACGGCTCATGAAGAATTGGTCGCCTATCGACAGGCTATCTGTCAATGGGCTACCCACACGAAGGCTGTAGGGCTTTTCGGGCTAGGTGCGCTAGGGAGGGCCGCTTTCGCACTAAGAACTACCGGTGTGTATTCGATCGATATTCGAATTCTTGGTGGTGATACATAGAGGTCAAACCCTCTTGCTTCCTGGTCGGTCCAGGCGCCTTCCGTCCTGCATGTTGACGTAGACAAGTTGTACGAGGAAGAAGTAAGATAGAGTAGAAGCCATGTCTCAAGTTCGCACGGCTCCGTGACCCGCCTTCAGGGCGCCCGCTCTGTCCTGGCGTTTCGACCGCCCGTTGCCCGAAGTCCTTCCATCCATCGCACCGCTTCACTTCCCCTTGCCATCCATATTCTGTATCCTACATCCGATCCCCTCATAGCACCCCTATCGTCTCGTTCCCATTCCCAATGAGAACACCGAGTTTGTCGACGGTGCCGAAGGATCTCGTAGTCCGTGTAACCGGGTGAAGAGGTCTGCGCGGAGTTGTTTCCCGAATGGGGTAAAGTTGTTGGGCGATTGTGAGAGCTATAGACCAGGACGATTCATAGGCGGAGGTTATCAGTATATACGATTCCGATCCGATGTCAGCCACACGGCAAGACCTACCAGAGCACCCTCGACCCCACCCGCCTTGTCGAAACTCTTCACATCCCTCGCTCGCATCTTGATCCCCTTCAAAACGCCCCTCCCGTATTTATCCCTATGCGCACATTCAAGGACCCTGACAGGCTGGTCGATCCGGTGAGTGTTGGTTATCCACGTTCGGCGGGTCTTGTGCAGGGATTTGGGGACGTTGTTACCGGTGGATGTTGAGGGGAGGTTGAGGATCGGAGGGAGGGTCTTTCGGAGGGAGAGGAGGGATGGGCGGGGTGCGATGGATGGCATATCGAAGAAACTACTATTGAAGCGATTTGTGGATGATACTGGTTGCTGGGCGTGATGATGGAAAGACCCTCTCCAACATTGTGAAATCATGAAATCACAACGATCAAGTTCGACCTCGAGGTTCACTGAACCAAGAAACGCGGACATCATGCAAACAGATCGTGAGGGATGTAGAAACATGATCAAGTCCGTGTTTAGCTTACGTAACGCTAACGCTGCATCCGCGGAAATTTCGATCAGCCAGAGGAGTCTCGGCGAGCACCGTGAATGTCTGGGGAACTTCAGCCAAAGTGGGTCAATTGCCTCGCAACGTCTTCCTGGATCCTACCTCCTTATAGCTCTCTGACCAGGACAATAAATCAAAGATGGGCGGAATCCGTAAAAGTCAGTATGACCCCTTATTTGACCGTCCCGTCGGTGGTGCTCAGCTAAACCTCGTTGAAACTCCTTACAGAGACCTCCAAGAGGGGTACCACCTTCCAGCGATCCAAGATCGTGAAAAAGGCCGCAGAGACCAGGAAGAAGAACAACAGGGATAACAGGAAGAACGAGACGTGGAAGTCGAGTGAGTCGAGTGACGCCTTTCCACCCTGTGGAACAAGCTGATCTGACGGTATGATGTATGACTGACTGTGTTTCTCGCTGCAGAGAAACCGACCGACCCTGGTATTCCCAACTCTTTCCCCTTCAAGGACCAGATCTTGGCCGAGCTCGCCCAGGCCAAATTAGCCGCTCAGGAGGAAAAGGAGAGGAGACGTTTGGCTCAGAAGGAAGCTGCCAAGGAGGCCAAGGCGTTGATCAACTCGGCGCAGGCTCTCGGAGAGGACGAAGATGAAGATGATGAAGACGAGGAGGATGACGAGGAAGATGATGAGATGGAAGGCGAGGACCAGGAGGAGGATGCCGAGGAACGACGTCTGAGGCGCAAGATCGACCGAGAGGTGGACGAGGACGAGTACCTGGAGAACCCTGGTGTCCTGCCCGTCTACGGTAAAAAGCCTGTCAACCCCGTTGGAGCCACGTCGGACAAGAAGAAAGGCAAACAAGTCGAGGTGGAGGAAGAAGAGGAGGAGGATATCCCGGACTTGGTGGATACCGAGCTGCCGACCATTCAAGCTGCTCTGGATCGATCGGATGTTGTCGTTGAGGTCTTGGATGCGAGGGATCCGATCGGATTCCGAAGCACCTTCTTGGAGAACCTCGTCCTTATTCAACCTGAACCCACTGTCGAGTCTGGATCAAAGTCCAGCAAGAAATCAAAGACTGCACCGAAACCTGCTGGATGGAAAAAGGACAAGCTGGTCGTCCTATTGAACAAGATTGACCTCGTCCCTAAGGAGACCGCCGAAGCCTGGTTGAAATTCCTCCGATCCTCCTTCGAATCTCATGGCGACAACGTCAAGGTCGTCCTCTTCAAGGCTTCTTTCGTCGAGACCCCGATCAAACCGGGGATGACCGTCTACGGGACTGACAAGCAGGGTAAACTCCCTCCTCGAACGATCCCTTCGGCGATCCCCGTTGGCAAGGAGACCCTGTTGTCCATCCTCTCGGCTTGGCAGACGGAGAAGTACAAGTCCGACGAATCGTCGTTGAACGTCGTCTTCCTCGGTCAACCGAACGTCGGGAAATCTGCTGTGATCAACACGCTACTAGGACGACCGAGACTGGCTACGGCAGGAACGATTCCTGTTTCGGGGCTTGCGGCGCCTACAACCAAGGTTCCTGCCGAGTTGGGTGTCAAGGTCGGAGAGAACGAAGTGAGGTTGATCGATACGCCAGGGTGGGAGTTTAATCCCCCCGACGTCGAGGGCGAGGACGAGGAGATGGACATGGGTGAGGAGGAAGACGATGAGAAGTGGGCGATTCTGGAGGGGACGGTTGCCAGGGACATGTTGACGAGGAATTTGGGGAGGATCGACAAGGTCAAGGATGCTTTGCCATTGGGTGAGTGAAGAGGACCCGGGAACTTTGCCTGTTCCCTTCTAAACAATGTAGGAATGTAAAAAAACAAGGCTGATTTTTTCGGTCGTTGCTTCTATCATTCTCAGTCAAGCAGATTGTCAACCGTGCCAACCCGCAGGACCTGATGTTGGCCTACAACATCCCTCACTTTGCTGCTGGTGATATCGAGACTTTCTTGATCAGTGTCGCACGAGCGCAGGGCAGGATCAGGAAGGTAAGCATCGGCCAAGGGTAGTCTCTGCTTCGAAGCCTTGCTGATTCTTTTGTGCGACCGCAAACAGCATGGAGACGCCGATGTAGAAGCCGCTGCCAAGACGGTTCTTCGGGACTGGGCACACAACCTCTTCCCTTACTACACCTTGCCTACAAAATCCGAGATCGAGAAAAGCAAGGCAGAGATCAGCGAATCGGATAGGAAGGCCTTGGACCTGTTGAAGCCGAGGCAGGAGTTGAAGAAGGTTGGCAAGGGTCTGATCAGGCTCAAGGTGCCCGAGGTGGATGAGCGGGTGGTGAGTGGAATTTCGTGTGGCTAGAAACGCATTTGATACACGCATGCTGACCGATAACATCTATGCAGCTCATCCTGGACGAAGAGATGATTCAGGACGATGACGAGTCGAGTGAGGGCGAGCTGGACATCGACGAGCTCGACTTCGAGGACGGTGACCTGGAAGAGTCGGGTGAAGAGGTCATCTTTGACGAGGACAACGCACCGAGCGAGTCGGAACCCGAGGTCGAAGTGGTTGCCTCGAAAAAGCTCGACCGCAAGAGAAAGCGAAAGTCATCCCTTGGACCTGCTGCCGCACCCGTACTCAGCAAAAAGCTCAAGACGGTGCAGTTCTCCAACGACGAGCCAGAGCCAGAGGTCAAGAGGGTCGAGGTCAAGGTCGTCGCCAGTGGCAAGCTGAAGCGAAAGGGTGGGGATGATGACGACGTTTCAAGGGATGGCAAGAAAGTCAGGCGGGACGAGGTCGGCAAGGCCGTCGCTGATGCCGTCGAAGCCGTCCTACCTGCAAAGCGGGAGATCAAGGGATCCCTGAAAAAGTCTGCTGGCAAGACGAACGGGGTCAAGGAGGTCGAGGTGGTCGCTGTGAAGCCTGCCAAAACCAAGAAGGCCGACAAGGCCTCTGCTGCTGCTCCTGTGAACGGCAAGAAGTCAACGACGACCAAATCGACCGAGGCTGACAAGCCATTCGACTTTAACGCGTTATGATCCGGATTCAACTAGACCACTCTTTGTCCTCGCTCTCATACCCGGGGTTTCTCGCCTGGTTCCCTATCATTGTGCATACATCTGTATTGTAATACCATTTACATTGTTCGAGCGACACTGAATAGGTCTCCCCACCTGAGCGTCGTCTGACGTTTTCTTGATGCGCGTCGCCCTTTCGCTTAGCCGAGCATTTCGAGCTGAGCGGACGATCGACCATTCAACCTGCTATACTGCTATACTGCAACTATAGCCTGCGGTATAACCTCGCCTTCTTCCTCTAACTACACCATCCGTCACGACACTAGCGAAACCTCGCAGTTTGATATAGAGTTTGAGACGAGACCTTTTTACCGACGCTTCTCGGTCCGCCCCACGCTTTCACACGTCGGAGATCAACGCTTCTTCGCTGAACTCGGCGACCAGGAAGGCCAACATAGGATAGTCGAAGCTACTTCATATCGCTCGCTTTCCGGGAAGGACCACGGGTCATCGCTCCACCAGAAGCTCAACACAAGAGGCATGTTCACATATTGACTCAAGTACGATGTCCCGGGAGTGGTTGTCTTCGTAAGCTGTTCGCACGCAAATTCGATCCAGCTTCTTACTAATATTCGACGCATCATTTCAGAGGAGCTAAAGGAATCTTGAATAGAGCCGGGCTAGACATGGAGAGGAATGCAGTACGGGACAGGCAAGAGAAGCAAAAGCGACGTCAATCGGATTCTGAAGAGTGGGTATTTATGTTCGTCCAGGACTTTTCGTTGCACTGATGCAGGTGGCCCTGTAGTGAAATTGCATTAAAGCCAAAGCCAGCTCGGCGAACGGAATTCAAAGCCACACCGATCAGACCGCCGACTGTAAGCTTTAGTGTTCTAAGCCTTGACATACTATTCTTACGCGAACACACCTGCATATAGCAAGCTCCTCCAGTGCCTTCGAATCTACCCATCGCTGTACCGTCAAATCCACCTCGAGCTGCCAAAGGCAATGCTTCGCCCTATGTACCAAGTCATATGACATCGAGCCGTCCTCTAGCGGTTTCGAAAGCTGGCCACGGGCAGCCTCAGCGCCAAGCTCACAATACTTTCTCGCCAATGCCTTCCGAATTGTTCCACGGAAACGAAACTAGCAAGCATTGGAAGCAGGAGAGGCAGCAGGAGCGAGCTCGCCAGGACCCGCCTCCGCAGCAGCAGCATCAGACGAGGACTGCCTCGAGGCCAGATAGTTTCGTGCCGAAGGGTCCGCCATTATCGCCTTCACCACCACCTGTTGCTGGACCGTCGAGACCTCCAGCGGTCGCCAAGCAGCCTACTGGTGTGAACAGGAAGAGTAACCAGAAGATCCGCGAGCCCCCCGTGACGATAGTGCTGTCGTCCTCGGATGAAGATGAAGAAACGCCGGAACGTGAAGAACAGCCGATGCCCAACGCTCAGCGTCCCAGCGCAGCAGCAAAACATGGCGATCGTCAATCTGCACTGCCGGCGGTTCCCAGCGATCAGAACAGTCTAACGGCTAATAATCTACGACATTATGAAATGCCCAGGGGCGCGGACAGCTCCAAGCGGAAACGTCCATCTCATAGCAGCTCGGTCACTCCGCAAGTGAACGGTCCGGATGAAATCGAAGATTTTGAGGATGGTCACGACTATGATGTCATTCACTTACCACCGCCGCCGCCAAAGTCGAACGCCACCAAAAGAGCTCGAATGCAGGACAAAAACGGTAAATCTAGCGTAAGTCAATGTACGAATTGATCGTCCTGAAGGCTATCGTATCTCATGCTTGTACTCTAGGTGACCGCCCCATCTCAGAAGAAGAGGGATCCAGGTTGGCTCGGCCCTGTGGTAGAATACAAGGTCAATGGACAGAACCTTGCCATTCCAGGAAATGGCAAGGACTTATATTTGGAACAGCAAGGAATCAGGCATTGTGACATACTCTTCCCATGGGCGAACGTTATTATTATTTTCGTGAGTAATATGTTTCAGTCAACAATCGATACATCCCTCCCCTGACTTTCAGTTTTGGTCAAGCAGACGCCGTCCGGTATAGGTGATGTGATCTCTGAGGAGTATAACCTCGGTCTGGTGGTCCAGAAAGCAAATACGGGTATGTGAAACCAGATGCATAGACGATTCCGGTTCCCCTCTAAACATGGCCTATCTATTAGGTAGTGATATTCACAGCTATTGCTACAAGCTTCATGGGCGGGATCTCTCTGGAGCTGAACGCAATAGGATCGTTAAGCTGTTTCTACAGATACAACAAGCCAAGAGTAATGGCATTTCGCAACAACGCATAACCGCCAAGTGAGTCTCCCGCGGGCTCTTTAAGTGGTCGATTGACCGTAGTTTGATTATCCTCTACTATATACAGCTCAAACATCGCATACTGGACGAAGGAATCAGCACAAAATTTCAGGGAAGCTGTTGCTGAGCCGGGCAAGAGACCAACCCAGCAGACATTGCCTTTCACCCGCGAGACGGACGGTTCTTCGAAACAACCTGCGGAGCGCCCTCGACCCAAACAGAAGGATCGCATGCAGAGTACAGCACCCGCTTCCGCAGAGGGTATACGGCGTAGCAGTCGCTCTGCCGTGGTCGAACAGAGAACCGATCGCGAGATCGCCTTGCGATCGATGCCTCCAAAACCTCGAAACCCAGACAGGGTCCTGTTTCACTGGCCGCCTACCGGGCGTACCGAACTAGTGATCACGAAAGGAGACTATCATCGTCTCTATGACGACGAATTTCTGAATGACACTCTCATCGACTTTGGATTACGCTACGTCGTCGATTCCCGACTCTCATCAAACCCTACCGAGACGAAATCAGCAGATGGTTACACAGGCTTAGGCCAGTTGCGACCTGAAGATGTATTTGTATTCAACCCCTTCTTCTACAAGAAGCTATCGGATAAGACGCGGAGTCGTGAGAAAGTCTCGCCTGATCCATACCCCGAATGGTCGGCCTATGAGTCGGTGAAAAAGTGGACAAACAAGGTGGACATCTTTTCAAAAAAGTTCATCATTGTGCCTGTCAACGAGAACCTACATTGGTACATGGCGGTGATCTACAACCCTGCGATTCTACTTGGCGATGCTCGATATTTGAAGGGTTCCACTCCGCCATTGGATGATGCCTCCGGCCGGCCTCTCACCCGGTCGCTTGGCAGAGAAGAGGAAGCCCAGGATATAGCGAGCGTTGAGCAGGCTATGACCAATGGCGAGAAGCTGCCTTCGCCCGCAGCGCGATCCTTGTCCATCGGTCCCGTAGCCACGGCGATAGCGTGCGACAGCAACGTGCTCTCGCCCGACTCACAGCCACGTCTGCCAGCAGGTGATACGATCGAGGTACAAGGTCGCAACGCTCGAGCGAGCGGATCTGTCGCGAGGAATGAAGCACCCAGGTCAATTGAACACATTATCTGCCCCCCGTCTGTCGGACAACCGGAACAAGCGGAACCTCTGGACTCCGCGCTCAGTCCACGTTCATTGGAACCTGGTGAAGGTCCCGGATCTCCTATCGAGATTGACGGGGTTGACCGTACCAACCTTGAGAAGCGGGGCTTGATCATGACTTTCGATTCCTTGGGTTCAATCCACCCAGGAGTTGGCTTCGCTCTCAACCGGTGGTTAGTTTACGAAGCGAGGGACAAGAAGAATGTCGAGCTGTCGTGGAAGCCGAGAGCGCAGAAACCGCTGCCTTACAAGGCAGTCAGCGTACCCCCGCAAAGGAATTTCAGTGATTGCGGCGTTTACTGCTTACATTTCATGGAAGTTCTCCTGGGCGATCCAGAAGGAATGATGAATTTCATCTACATGTCCATGCTGAAGAGGGACCAGCTGGACGGGCAAGTTCTAGACGACTACAAGACCCGGTGGCAAGGTGAAGACGCGCTGGTGGGACGCAGGAAGTGGCGAGAGATCATCACCGAGCTGGCTGGACCTTCAAGCAGCCCGGAGGAAAGACCGATAGAATTGAGTTCGCCGTTGCCTAGCGCAAATGGTAGCCAAGAGTCGACGATCGAGGTGCATTCTGCACAAACACCGGCCCAGCCCTTTAGGGAACGTAATGCTGCGAACCCAGACTCTTTCGTACCCAAGACCGCAGAGTCACCTTTGCCGACACGCCCTCTCCCCAAAGGAGGACGCTTACCTCCTGCACTACGACCTTCGGTCGCCCAACCCGAAGTACCTAGTCCCCAGGTTCTTGTCAGCATAGCACCACATCCCCCGCAGCAACCGCCAAATGTCACGCTCGAATACGACGAGCACGGAAACAGCGTGAGCGGATCTACCGTATCCGATGCGGGTGCGACGGCAGCGACCGATTTATCCATTGCTACCGCATCAACGTCCCATATCCGAGATATTCGAAATTTGAGGATAAGCCGAGATGACGATCGCATGGAGGTTGATTCCGATGTCGAGGGAAGCGCAATAAGTATTGCACGAGAGTCGGCTGTGAAAGATGGTAGGATCATGCCCAGCATGATGGAGATTGATGGCGAAGAGGAAGAGGAAGAGGAGGAGGAGGAAGAAATCAAGGAGGAGGAGCGAAAGGAGCGTCAGAGCAAGGACGAAGAGAGTGGTCCGGATATCATCGTGCTGGATGATTCCCAGTCGCAGAGGCACATGCACTCGCCCACGCATGCTCCCGCGCATCTGGACGAAAAGATGAGAGAGCCGGAAAAGGCGAAGCAGCAGAAGACACTCGCTTCCAGAATGGAATCGAGCCCATCCTACAACAAGGGGGCACTGCGGGTCTCAACCACAGTCGAGGTACCTGTACCTTCGTCCATGCTGCAATCAGCCGAGCGATCTTCGATCTCCCTTTCGGAAAACGGACCAACGGAGTTCACAATGGTGGATCCGCGAGCCGGTCAGATAGGATCGCTGTCTAGCTTGGTGAAAAGTACAATGGAGGGAAATCAGCGCGGCAGAGTCGTACCGGCTCTTGACCAGGGCTCGGCTAGCCGTACAGCGTTCACCAAGGAGCGGAAGGTCGATACCGCACCTTCGTCAGCAGGCAAACGCAAGCAGTCCGAGGCAACGGTCGAGGCCGTCCACTCGAGGCCCGTGCGCAGGCAGAAATCGAAACACAAGCGCAACGTTTCCTATCTTCTGAATAGTGACGGTATCGACCAGCAAACCGACACCGGCTCGAAGGATAATGACGGGATCGACCCGAACATGGATGAGCCGGACTTCGAGCTTCTCGGAAGTGGGAGAGAGTCCAGTATCATTCATACCCGGAGCAAGAACTGCAACCCCTGACGATGTATGTTCTGCAATAATGACCTTTTACGACACTAGCACAGCACGACCTTGTAGATGATGATTGTCGGACATGCGCGATCATATAATGTCCGCTTCGATGACCTGAGGTGTCTCTAGACCCCATCATATCCATATGCTATGACCTATATGCGAAGCTCATGTTCCACCGTTCGACCTACTCAAGTGGCGCAAGTCGAGACCTAGAGAGGAGCTCTCCATCGTGCCAACAAGACACGAGTTTTAATCGAGATTCGAAAGCACCTACAAACACGTTGGTTTCGGCTGGCAGCGGTTCGTTAACTAGCATTTACGCTGTGTCAAGTCAATCATGTCAGTATATCAATCGTCATATTATATTTAGCCCTGCTCCGAGCTTATCTGATGCCCATGTGCCCTCGGAAGGTCAAACAAAGTCGTCGTAAGTTGGTCTCGGTGTTCATAGCGTCCGACGATAGGTTTTCCAGAAAGCGAACCTGACAGCAGGCTCACGGTGTGATGTCAACTAGCCATCTCTCTATGCTGGAATCATTGATGATGTCGTAGGGGCGACCAAGGACAGGTTCGAAGAAGAAGGTCTCGATGAAGATGGTGCTCTGTTGCTAAGAAAGGCAAGTCAAATGTCTTGCTTCCAATCGATCGCAACCTAATCTTAGTTGTCTGCTTTATGATACAGCTTTGGGAGGCGAATCTTCGTCTCACCCGGGTGGCTCCGTTCAAAGAGGCCGAGGAGGACGATATCGACCCCAACATGGAAGGTAGCGACTACACACAGGATGAAGGTGGATATGCGATGGCTCAGGAGCAGCAACAGCAGCAACACATGCAGTATGGTGTGGACGCGAACGGGAACGGGCCGTATTATGGGGGACTGAAAGGGGGTGCATCTGCTTTAAGACTCAGGGGTGGACAGGTCAGTCGCCCACAAGCTTGGTCAGCTAACAGTTGTTCATGAATTGTATATCCTGTGACTGCAGATTTCCGAGGATGAGGACGAGGAGTTTGACGAGGAAGGCGATGAAGAGGACGTCAAGCCGTTCAACGCGGACGGCAAGCTGGATGCACAGCAAGTAGCCGAATACAACAAACTCGCAAAACTCGGCGACGATGATACTACGGACGCTGGGTCACCCTCTAGCAGGCCGACCAGAGACGCTCGAGGAGCTCTATTGACACGCAATCCCGAGGTCAAGCCGAATGAGAACGGGATTTACCCCGGGGAAGAGATTATTGGGTCAGATCTCGATGACAGTGACCAGGACGATGACGACGGTCCCTTTGATGACGAGGATGACGAGGAGCAGGATAACTTGGCGAAGGACGTCATGATCTGCGTCTGTGATAAGGTGGGCTTGTTTGGTATGAGCTTTCGATAGACTACTATCGCTGATCAGGGTGGAACGATGCATACAGGTTCAACGTGTAAAGAACAAGTGGAAGGTCACATTCAAGGATGGCTTTATCCGTGCGAACGGGAAAGAATACGTATTTTCTCGATGCACTGGGTAAGCTCCGCAAGGTCTTGGAGTAACCTGGCCAACCAGACCTGACCTGTATTTGATCGCAGTGAATTCGAGTGGTAGTCGATCGCGATTTAATACCCCGCTTCTCGACTACTCGATGACATCGGAAACCCCGCTACATAAATAATCCAAAGTTAATTACAGAACTGTCGTATTGTATCTCGTAAATGTATCATTAGCTATTGTGTCGTCGTCGCATGTCGTGCCGTAAAGAATCAAGTCAAATCTACGTGCTCTATCGATCGTGTTGGTTTCTGCTTCATCATCGCTCGTCTATTTTCCTCTGCCCACTTCAGGTCACTTTTATCGAAATCCCCATTCTCCCCAAATCGCAAGCTTCCGTACGTCCTGCTCTCCACGAGGACTTTCCAGGACATCTCCCGTCGATCCTCTACCTCTTTCGAGACCGGTTGATCGACATGCCAAGCCGTCGGTTTGCCGCCGTACATGTCTTGTTCGATCAGCAAGCGTCCGACTTCGGGGACCATGACGTGTTCAAACCAGTCATCGCGGGAAAGCGGTGAGATATGGTCAGGCGGCGGAAGGATCGCCCGGCTCTGCGTGTGCTTGTCGAGAGCGATGGATATGGCCCGTGTACCGCGTGGTCCGTAGCTGCGAAAAGGCATATACTTGTCAATCAAAAGTTCATTGAACCTCGAAGATGAGACTCGGACGAGACTCACTATCCAGGCAACTTTGTCAAGGACTTTTGAGGCGACCTGGAAGAAGCCCATCGCGGGTCCCTCTTGATCTCTCTTTCACATTGCATAAAGCTGGGATGGTCTCGAGGATGGTCCATGATGGTCAAGATGGCCTTGACAATACTATCTTCGAGGACGCGGTCATGTAGAGACCGGAAGTCGACCGTAGCGGGGTATCCGGCAAGCAGGCCGAGAGGGAATACGACGGTCTCCGCTTGATGTCTGGCGCAATAGTCGATATACTGGTCCCACTGAAGATCAGACCCAGCCTTTCGCTTCGCTTCGGCTATTTTGGCACCGAAATCGATCAGGAACGCTGTAGGGCTGTCGGGTAGAGGCTCCCTGCAGTGTGAGCACTTTTCATTCTTGCTGATGAATTTTCTGCCTAAAAGACGCCACCGAAGAATTCAGCACGGGTACCAAGGAATATGACGGGCGTAAGATTACTAACAATATGCCATAGCCTTTGCGCCTTCGAGTTGTAGTTGCGGTTTCTCTGCGGGTTCCATATCCACCACCTCCTCGTGCGCCATCCCCGGATCCATCTGCGTTTCCATCCCATACCCATTTAATAACGCCCTCGCTTCCGGAGTGATCATCGCATCACAACGCTCCTTCTCTGCCTGTCTCTCCCTCATCCTCGAAGTCGAAGGCAGAGACATGGGGAACTCGTCGACCGCGGGGAAGACGACCGGTTGTACCATCGCTGCAGGCGCTGGGGCAGCTACGGGTGGTTGTACTTTACGCTTCTTCGGTGCAGGTCGCTTCGTTTGAACCGGGGCATCTTCGTCATCTCGTTCTCGTACCGTTTGTTTCCCTCGAAGTGTTCTCCCTCCGCTCCATCTATCGACAGGCGGCTCGGGCGTCACGGAGGGCGAGACCGTGACGGGTTCGACGGGAGGGACCGCCAGGGACCATTGCATCACCGGATCGAGCTCAAATTCAATCAGAGGTCGGCTGCGCACATTCGTCTTTGGTCGTGGTCTGAACCTTTGGGGTTCAATGGGTTCAACGCTCGGATGTCGTTTACCCAAACTCGTAGGGGAAGATGTACTGCCGCTAGCTAATGCTAGTCTGCCGTTGTGTGAGTCCGAAGCACCTTTCGATGGGGATGAAGCTGGACTGGCGTTGAACGTAGGGAGGAGACCATTGGGTTGCAGAGGTTCGGCGTATCTCGCAAGATCGTCTTTACCACGGTTGCGCACTTTCGTAGGAGCGAACATGCTCGTAGAACCCGCCAGAGGAGCAAATTCTGGGGCGATTTCGTGCTCCAGGGCATCTTTGGTCCTTCCAACAGACGTAGGTGATTTCGGCCGACTACTCAGAGCGACGACGCTCGAACAGACCGTCGATCGAGCGGGTTCGCGAGCAGACTCGCACTCGAGCGGAGAAGACTGTGCAGCAGCTCTGGTCCTCCTAGCCGGCGAGGGCGATTGTGGTCCACCGCTCATGGCAACGATGCTCGGAGACTGAGATGATGGTGAAGATAGTAGACATTCAGCCCCTGGAGTATGAAATGGCTCCAGCTTTCTAGCCTTCCTACCAGTGGTAGGCGTCATCAAGTTCAATCCCCTGGTCGGCGAGTTGACCCACGCTGCTGCGACTGAATCACTACGACTGCTGACAGGAGAGCATTCCTCGACAGGGTCGTCGTCCTCGTCGTCATCACTGATCTCGACGACATCGTTGTCACGGCTCGTTCTCAGAGCTGGAGGCAGGATGATGCTACCGTTCGAGCGGATCCCATTGATGATCTCGCTCATCCCGACCCTGTCTTTCTTGCGAGGTGAGATACGTTCGTTGCGGAATCCACTGAATCCATTGCTGGGGACAAGAGGTGGTTGGGTCCGGGGGACGGGAGTGGTACGTCGATTCAGGGAGGTCATGCTGTCCGATACCTCTTGTGCTTCTCCAGCCGTAGCGGCCGATCGCCCCCTCATCGATGATGACCCGGCGAGAATGTCCCACGACCTTGTACCGAACGCAGTCTGTCTGTACCACTATGTGTCGTCTCGGTAGGCTTGAATGTCAAAAAGCGATAGTGAGTTGTTGATGGGATGAAAATATGATGATGATGATATGTCGATATGATCGATATGATCGATGATCGGATGATGGATGATGGATGACAACCTCCTCTTTTGCCTCCGAAGAACATCCGGAGAACATCGCGAGAACGCGACGCGACGCGAAATTAAATGAAATGAGATCCGACAGAGTTCATGTCAAGATGGGGAAAGAGTGCACGAGTATGGGGAGCAAGCAAGGACAATACACAGGCTTCTCTCGAAGCCGTCAAGCGAACCAGAGCGCAAGGTTCTGGCAGCGTCTAACCTGATGTACAAATCAGATGAATCGTTGGATCATGTCCTGCGCCTATTGACCATTTTTTTACGTCGTTCTGAAACAGCTAAGTGGCCAGATCCATCCCATTATCCCGCTGGGCAGTACCCGCCTCGTTATTCTCAGTGGCGGCCGGCTCGACCCCTCCATTCGCAGCCAACCCTTTCCCCTCGGCCCACCGCTTTCCACCCCTCGCAGGCAATCCAGCAAACTTGTTCCTCAACGCCTCGTACTTGCGCTTCTGTTCCCTGCTGACACTAGGAAGCGTCTTCTCCGCCGCCTTGGCGAAATGCTCGACGGTGACCTTGATGTCGGGAGTCTTGGCCGTGGCTTCTCCAGTCGGACGCATCGTGCTCGGATCGATCGACTCGTCGTCATTTTCGAAAGCGCCGGCAGCTTCCAACGCACCCCGGAGGGCGAGTGTAGCGGCTTCACGGACGAGGGAGGACATGTCGGCTCCGCTGAACCCTTCACACTTGTCGCCCGTTACGATCTGGGTGACCTGTTCCCAAGCACCTTCAGCCAAGGGTGTCTTGGCGAGCTGGGTCTTGAGAATCTCGACCCGTTCTTGAGGTGTCGGCAAGTCCACGTAGAGGAGCTTGTCCAGACGACCGGGTCGCACCATGGCAGGGTCGATCATGTCGGGTCGATTGGTAGCCCCGACCACGTAGACCGCCTTTCGCGCATCGAGACCATCGAGTTCGGTGAGGAGCGTGTTGACCACACGAGCCGATGATTCCGACTGAAACAACACAACGCTCATCAGTCTGCTATCACTCGGCATGAGCTACTGCGACTGCGAGACTCACCATGCTATCATCTCGCCTCGGTACCAGCGCGTCCAGCTCGTCGAAAAAGATGACACAAGGCGATGACGCTCGAGCCCGAACGAAGACCTGTCTGACAGCCCTCTCACTCTCTCCAACGTACTGGAAAGACCAACGAAACAGAGAATAAGATATCGACCTGGACTCGCGCACTCGCGCTGAGACCCTCACCTTGTTCAGCAACTCTGGCCCTTTGACACTGATAAAGTTGGCTCGGCTCTCGTTCGCGACCGCCTTGGCCAACAAGGTCTTTCCACACCCCGGCGGACCCCACAATAACACTCCGCTCGGTGCGGTGATACCGACGGCCTTGAAGATCTCGGGTCGTCGGATGGGTTGAACGATGGCCATGTGAAGTTCGTCCCGGACCCCATGGAGAGCGCCGATATCCGCCCATGTGATATCGGGGACGGTAGCGAAACCTTCTCGTTTGGCCGAAGGCTGGACCGTCTTGAGCGCCTGGGTGAAATCGGATGGAATCAAATGAAGAGGCGAAAGCTGGGTGGTGGTCAAGGCTTTCGGATGGTTGATCAAGAAATGGGCGATAGGCGTCTTCTGAATGATTTCTGGAAGACCGTGCAGAGGTCCGTCTGGCCGACGAACTGGCATTTCCCCGATCGCGGCGTCGGTTTGAATCGACGTCTTTTCGTTGACCGCCTTCTTCTCGTCTGCGTCGACATCGATGACCATCATATCCTCTACACCTTCCGTCACCTTGCCCAAAGGCTCTTCTCCTTCCTGGCCGTCGACGACTTCAGATATCGTCGCCTCTTCCGGCTTGTTGTCTTCCGGCAGCTCGAGCTTGCCTTCACCCATCGCTTGAAAGATTCGTTTCACAGCTGCGACTCCTGCTGCCCCGGTCAATGCCGTCAGATCGGCGCCTACATATCCCGGAGTAGCGTGTGCCAGGGCGTGGAAATCGATATTGCCCGCCAATTTTAATGACGAACACAGGACTTTCAGAATCCTAGCAAAGTCTAAGAATCAGCATCGTGTTAGAGGGTAAGAAGGCGAATCTGCAGACTTACTCCTCTCTTGCTTCTGCGCTAGGCACACCCATCTCGATCTCGTGATCGAATCGACCCGCCCGTCTAAGAGCAGGATCGAGACTATCCGGTCGATTTGTAGCGGCAAGCACGATAACCGGATCTGGGTGGTCGGCGAGGTCTACAGATAGAAAGCTCGCAGATTCAGATCCTGCCTACAATGGTTAATCGTGTACAACTCACCATCCAGACACGTCAACAACTGCCCGACGATCCTCTTCTCCATCTCCCTCTGAGCGTTCTCCCGCTTCGGCGTAATAGCGTCCACCTCGTCCAGGAACAAGATGCAAGGAGCGATAGACTTGGCCTCGTCAAACGTCTGTCTGAGGAGTTTCTCGGTATCCCCAGAAAGACTCGAAACCAAGCTAGGTGCCGAGATGGAGATGAATGGGACTTCGAGTTCTCCTGCAAGACAAGTGACAAGCCTGGTCTTGCCTCCTCCTGGTACTCCGTGTAGCAAGACACCTCGAGGTGCTCGAACTCCGGTATGACGGTAGATTTCGGGGTGCAATAGCGGGAGAGCTACCATCTCCAAAAGCTGAGTGATTTGTTCATGTAAGCCTCCTAGTAGCGAGAGCTTGAGGTTGGGAGGAGGGTATTTGATCAGGAGGGATTCACGGGATTGTATCCCGGATGACGGTCCTGATTGGGCATTTGACCGAGAAGAGGATGGGTCGGCGTTCCGTGAAGATCGTGTTCGCTTGGTAGAAGGTTGCGTAGGAGTCAGAGTAGAAGAGTTGTAAGATCTTTTGGCTCCAGTATTTGACGTCGAAGCTTGCATCGGTTCGGTCAGGCTAGCGTTCATCTCCGCTGCTGCCGCTTGCTCCTCCTTGTCCTCGATCTCGTCAACAAGCTTGCTCGAAGCTTTGGAGTTATCATGGTCCACTATGCTGGGTGATCCTCCTCTCGACGTTCCCTTCCGTAACGGTGAGCTGGCTCCAGAACCGCTAGCAGCCGGGGGATTGGCAGAGTTGAGCGAAATTTTGGTCCTGTTTCGCGAGGCTGGTCGTTTCGTCGGTTGCTGCTGCCATTGCGAGATGATCGAGCTGTTCAAGCTGCTTCCGGGGAGTGGCAGGTCCATGGTTGGCACTATGTCCTATCACGAGGTGGGTGGGACATTCAGGTGATTATCACGTCGATATGCTGTACGACCGGAACATCCAAGATCTGTTGAATTCCTAGCGTGAACCTGAATATGCTCGACACACTTTCGCGAAATTTTGCTTCCGCACGCAGGTCGCCGCCGAAAGCCATGGCATACATCATCTTAGAGATCAGCAGGTCACTTGACGAGTTGTCAGACTCGAAATATGCGAAGCGTCTGCCATCAGAGCGGATCGAGGGCCAGCAGACTGTTCCAAGTAATGCAGGAAACTAATCTCCAGTGTTCGGTGTACCGGTCAGAGTTCAATGCATCACGCTTTGCGGTGAAACCCTGCATTCGGTCTAGTGTCCGACGTTACGCAAGGCGGATTGTAGCAAGAAGATTCCACTAAGGTGTTGATCGCACCGAGCCGATCAGGGTTTCTTTACCTCTTTATTAAGTGCAGTGTGGGTATAATGAAATCTGAGATGCTCGGTGATCATACAACATCTCGTCCCAGGCGCAAGCGAGCCGTCTCTTCGCGCAGTCGTTCCAGTGTCCGTTGGGAATAGGGAAAGACGTGGCCGCCTTTGGGATCGGATCTGTGTAACGGAAACAGGATGCGTTAATACCTCGCTCCGATCGACAAGACCTCTGAAATGACTGACGATCCGCCCCTTCCTCCGGGCCAAAACCACCTCCAGCTCGGTCCCTTATTATCGGGATCAAATACCTGCAAGACGTTCCGCCTCCATCCCAGATCGTAAGGATTGTTCGACTCGGCTATTCGTTTCGCTCGTCTCCGTTCGTCCCGGTTGAGCATATGGTCCGGCCTCCAACCTCGGTCCCTCCGAACGTCCAGGCTGGGCCGGCGAGCGGGTCGATTCGGACGCCCCTCCGCTTCCAAGGGGTGCAAGTCGTGTTCCGGCAGTTTGATATTTGGAAATGCCGGACGCATGTGTTCGAGACTGGTTAGATTGCGGCTGACGAGATAGATGTGAAAGGCCGCAAAGGGAGCCAAGGTGAGGAAGAAGACGAATCCGCAGAGGGCGAGCAAGATCCATATGACCGGTTTGATCTCGATCTCTTGTTCGTCCTGCGATGTCGCACGATCAAGATTCAGCAAAGGCTCGTGCCGAAGCTGAAGCCACGAGGACACTAACATCTCCCATCCCGGTAGGATCCCCAAAAAAGTCGACGCAAACTTTCCCAGCCTCGAATGCCGAGTAAGCAGCGTACAGGGCGGCATAGACGAGGAATAATAGGAAAGTCCTCTTGTTCCTATACCCGATGCACCCTGCAACCCAGACGCAATGATGATCTGTACTCGCTCGCGCAATATCAGCTTGATTAGATTAGAGCTACGGCGGTTCCGCTCAGAGACGTACCCATCATAAGCTGACAGCGGCCACAGGTACTGCAGTGGTGACACCGGTCCGGCTTGACCGCATTACACTTCCTGCACCACCTCATTCCCCCCGAGCTACCCTTGACCGTCAGAGCAGGGATAGCAACTGGGTCGACAGGTTCGGCTTGCGAGCTGGATTTTGTCAAAAGGTTGACTAGCGGCACATCGTCCTCGTCTTCCTCTAGATCCTGTCGTTCGTACTGCCCCGAATGATCGTACTCGTTATATGTTGACGGTCTTGGCTTCGAAGCCTTCCATTCGTCCACGCTGATCCCTCTGAAATCGGCTTCTATCGCATCCCGTTCGTCCTCGTTCATCTCCGGTCCCGGCGGGTAACCCGTCGACCTATCGGGTTGATGGGAATAAGACCGGGAGGGAGATCCTGGTGATCGAGTCGAGGTGAGGAAAAGGGAATAGGTGGTCAGGCCAAAGAGAGCGTTATGGCAAATGAACCTGATAAGAAGCGAAACGATATCGTTCAGCGCTCATCGCTGGTCTACCTGAAAGCAGAATCCACTCACTGCCTTAGGAACTCTCCATTCCGATGTTGTACCGCCAATACCTCTCCCTCAACGTAAATCACAAAGGCGATGTAGCTGGTAACCAGGATCGAGTAAGCTCCTAGAGATATGAAAGATGGTCGATAGCACAATCAGCTCAGCTTTCGACGTGCTACGTGAGGCTGTGCTTACTCGCCCATCAATGGGAGCTTGCGTTGTACCGTTCGCCATTCTGGCAGTCGAGGCTGCGAAGGAAGCATATTGTGCTTGACCCCTGATTCTAGCAGGTTCGGTTGGAAAGTGGTCGAGGTGGACGCTTTTCGGAAGGTCGAATTTAGATGTTGCGATCGCAAGGCAGGGGGCAAAGCTAAATCGAGCTAAACGACTCGAGCTGATCGAGCTGATCGCTCGGATCGCTGCAAAAAGGGTCTCCCCTGGAGGCCCTGGATGATCCCTCACGCATTCTCGCATTCGTAAGCAGTAGTTGCAAACACCACTTGGCAACGGACCACCGGATCAGAAACAATGGACCTCTGCTTTTGCACACATGTATTTGATCGTCTCAAACGCGAACTAATAAACCAAGCTTATAAAATCATGACACAGTTCCATCTTTCCAGCAAACGTCTCGACACCCGATCTACTGGTCGTTGACCTCGTCCAAAGCGGAGATGAGGGGAGAGTAGACCTCGCAACCTCGCTTCTTGTAGAAGTTGACGACCTTCTGGGCTCGCTTGGCGATGCCCTCGGGCTGTAGTTGAGAGCGCAAAGCAGAGCGGGTCAGCGTGAATACTAGCACAGAGATTCGCGATGGGCGACTCACGGTGAGCTCGAAGTGGTTGTAGACCTGGTCGGCAGGACCGCTCATACCGTATCCCTTCAAACCGAAGAATTCGTGGGCTACAACCGAGAACACAGGGCAAGGTCAGTCGATGCTCGCGATTTTCCGTCACGATTCGACCCTGAAGCTCACCGTAGCTCAACCAAGTTCCACAGGCGTAAGCCTCGACGGCCAAGATGGGCATACCCGAAGGCAAGACCGAGAGACGGTACTCGTTGGGCTGAGCGTCAAAGATCTCCAAACAAGGAGCACTGACGACACGGGCCTTGATGCCCTGCTCCTTGAGCTTCTTGGCGGCGTCGTTAATAAGGTAGACCTCGGAACCGGACGAGATCAAGGTGACATCGGCTGAAAGGTCGGGATAGAGTACATCAGCATCCGACCAAGGGTGTTGGGCACTCAGTTGCAGACATACCGTTCTCAACCTCCTCCAAGACGTAGGCACCCTTGACGGCCTTCTCAACCGAAGAGTTGGCCAACTGGGGCAAGTTCTGTCGGGAGAAACAGAGGGTCGAGGGAGTGTGCTGCGACTTGAGGGCGACCATGTACGAAGCCGAAGTCTCGTTTCCGTCAGCCGGTCGGTGGACCTGCATGTTGGGCAGAGTCCTCAACCAAGCGACAGTCTCGACCGGCTGGTGGGTGGGACCGTCCTCACCCAAACCGATAGAGTCGTGGGTGGCAATGTTGAGCACTCGGAAGTGGGACAAGCTGGAAAGTCGGACGGCACCGGCGGCGTAGGAGACGAAGTTGAGGAAAGTGGCACCGAAGGGGATGATACCACCGTAGGCAGCGAGACCGTTGCAGATGGCGGTCATCTATAGGCGAGGCGAGGAAACGTCAACACCGGCATCCTAGGTACGACAAGAGCCCAACTTCGTTACTCACTCCGTGCTCCCTGACTCCGAACCTGACGTATCGTCCGGCGTAGTTACCCAAACCGGTCGAAGGGGGCTGGAAGTCGACAGCAGCCTTGGATCGGGTCAAGTTGGATCCGGTCAAATCGGCCGATCCACCGAAGAGCTCGGGCAAGACGTCCCACAACTTGGTCAAGACGGTCTCGCTCAACTTTCTCGATCCGACGGCAGCGTCCTCCGGGGTGTAGGTGGGCAAGGCCTTCTCCCAACCCTCGGGGAGACGTCCCTCCATCCTTCGCTCGACCTCGGCGGCCTCGGCGGGGTACTTCTCCTTGTAAGAAGCGAACATCTTGTTCCACTCGGACTCGTACTTGGCGCCCTTGTCGGCGGCCTTGGCGTAGGCGTCCTTGACCTCGGAGGGGACGACGAAGGTCTCGTCGGGGTTGAAGCCCCATCGCTTCTTGAGCTCGGCAATGTCGTCCTTCTTGAGGGCTGAGATGAATCCACGATCGTCAGCCCCTATCTATCCTGACTAACCCTGGACCGCCGAGCGTGTCGACTTACGAGCTCCGTGAACACCACCGGTTCCCTGCAACTTGGATCCGAATCCGATGATGGTCTTCAAGTTGATGATGGTCGGCTGGTTGGTGTTCTTCTTGGCCTCCTCGATGGCAGCGGCGATCCCGGCGTAGTCGTCGTTACCGTTCTCGACGTGCAAGACTTGCCATCCGTACGACTTGAACCTCATCTCGACGTCCTCGGTGAAGGAACAGGCGGTGTCTCCGTCGATGGTGATCTTGTTGTCGTCGTAGACGGCGATCAGGTTGCCGAGCTGGAGGTGACCGGCGAGCGAGGCGGCCTCGGCAGCGACACCCTCCTGGAGACAACCGTCACCGGTGAACACTATAGATTGATGCACGCTTCGAGATCAGTAATCTGCGATCCGGAACTCGCAACCTGACCTCGGACTGACTGAAAGTGTGGTTGTCAAACACGTTGAAGCCGTCCTTGTTGAAGGTGGCACCCATGTGAGCCTGAGCCATGGCCAAACCGACAGCGTTGGCGAAACCCTGACCCAAAGGTCCAGTGGTGACCTCGATTCCGTCCGTCATGCCGACCTCGGGGTGACCCGGGGTGATGCTGTTCAACTGCCTGAAAGCCTTCAAGTCGTCCATCTTGACCTTGTAACCCATCAGGTGGAGCATGACGTATTGCAGAGCACAGGCGTGTCCGTTGGAGAGGACGAATCGGTCTCGGTTGTACCACTTTGAGTTGGAAGGCGAGGACTTCATGATCTGGGTCCAGAGGATGTGGGCGACGGGGGCCATTCCCATAGGGGCACCGGGGTGACCAGAGTTGGCCTTGGCAACGACATCGGCGGCAAGAGTTCGGATCTGGCAGCGAGAATGAGGAGGTTTTGTAGTCAATATGTTTGATCAGACAGTCTGTACTGTTCAGACAACAGTCGATGCGTGGCAGGCGGGCTTTTGGTTGTTTCACGAGCTGACGAATGCCAGACTCGTTCCAACCTCGTCGGTGGGTTTATCCTGCCCCTTTCATATCCCAGCCCCGTCCGCGGGAGTGTTCTCCCCTCGACCGACTACCTTTCGCTCGCCACCACATTCACAACCCAGGTATGATATGCTACTCACGGTGTTGACACACTTCTCATCGACCTCGCTAGCTTGGAAAGAAGACATCGTTATGGGTATATGCGTCTTTTTTTGTGGTTTCTGTGAATGACGTTATAGGACGATCAGTTCGGCGCAGAAGCAGATCAATGCTTATGCAAAAGCTTACTTTTGGGGGTTGTGGTTTGAAGAGGAAAGGAGGGAAACAAGAGGCGAGGTAGGAATGTATGAAGCTGAAGTGAAGGTTGTGTTGATTATGAAGTGGGATTTTCGATGTCGTGGCTTCGCTGAGCTGAGCTGAGGGGTCGAACCCCATTGGATCACGCGTGGGAAGGCGCAGGCGCGAGGGAAGAGGGGGGCGTGACGTAGCAATCCGACTCCGACATCATCTCGTTCGCTTCCCGCTCTTTCCCCAAACGCGGACCGAAGTTACCGACGTCACACATCACAGCGATCTCCCACTCTGTACCCACTCGCAACCTACGTCGACCATACCAACCATACAATCTCGTTTCATCCTCACTACTACATCGACATCGACTAGCTCGACCTGGACCTCTTGCAACTTGAAACAATCTCCCAGTGGATTTTCGGCCGAATGCTCGTCCCAAAAGAAAGGACCCACAATACAAACCGTCCGTGGAAAACTCCGAAAAAGGTCCGAGCACGCCGATCATCAAAAACAGGGATCCACAACGACCGAGGTTATCACACATGTTTTGTTCTTCATTTCGCCTGTTTTTTTTTTTATCTTCGCATTCTCGTCGCTTCTTGCTTCTTGGTTGCATTGGATGCCTAGTTCTAACTTCATCGCATTGGACACTGTATCGTGTCGTACCCTACATTCCATCGCCCGGTCCGGACCATCAACACCAGGTAGAAGGAGGGAAATTGAGCTGTTCGGTCCGGTCCGGAGAGCTCATCCACATTCAAACTTTACCGGCCCGTCGTTGCCGTACCCTGTCCGAGGCAGATCGCTGAGTTGTTGTACCCTGCCAACGGTTTGCCATGCACCGCTGTGATACTGGACACTGTAAGCTGAATCGCGTCTGCGCGGGTCTGTCGTCGAACCCAGAGCCTCTCGCTTTCAAGGACATCGGATCGGGCGAGTACAGGTTAAATGCGCGGTCGGTACCCGTTGAGAATTGGCGTTGCAGCGTCGAAGCGACTGCCCTCTATCGGATACGGTCATTACCTGTGCTCTTTATCCAGTGTCTATCTGATCCCTCGCCTTCCATCAGTACTTTGTCCAAAATGAGAGGCCAACCCGTAGCGGTTTGTGAAACACGTAACACTCGAATATGAACCCTAACCGCATGGCTGTGGCATCGTCGTGGAGACATCGCACGACCTGACATCTTCCTGCACCGGCACTTCGAGACTGACTGCATTGGCAACGGTCAGTCATAGCCAGCTCGTAATGTCCACGTGCTCCGCTCGATTTCATCCTGGAATAGATGCTCTATCTGTGCAGTCTGTGAGTTGAAGATCGAGGAAATCGAGATTACAGAAGGAGCCTCCTGTGGATCTTTGTGATCACTTTCGTGACTGTCGGGCGGCTGTATGCGGTTGTCATTCCCATCCATGGTCATTACCGTGGGGTGGTATTGCTGAAGTACGTCGAGCTAGATACGATCGGCCTGACAGGTTCCTTTCATAAACATTGCCCGGAAAGTACCGGATGAAGCTCTCCAATCACGAGTCTGGCCAGTTCGGAAGTTCTCACTCTTCTGTCTCTTATCCCCCGTTCGAAGTTGCAGCTTGATGCATCAGATCTGCAGCCTCAGTCTCACGCCCGCGCTGATGACTCCACAGGGTCGACTCGAGTTGCTCTCCAGTGAAAATGGGTTGAAATTTGGGCGTGAAGCTGCAACTGTCGCCATCTTTCGGACCTGAAACGCCGATTTCCTTCCTTTCTTTATGCGTTTTCAAGTCGACACAAGACGTCATCATCGCCTCGGGCGACTCGTCAGATGTTGTTGATAGCGACGACCACAGAGCCTTGGCATGCAATCAGCAGATACTCTGGAGATGCCAAAGCTGCAATACCATCGTTCAATCTCAGATCGTTATCGCCTGAGTTCAATCAGTATACAGAGGTTCTGCCAATCCGATACAAACGAACAGCCTCAAGTCTGCAGGAGCTCCCGATCAAATCACCATCGACAAGAACAGTCGCCATGTCCGCATCAACCGATAAACCATACCCGTCCAACCTTAAGCTTTTGTTGATCGGAAACTCTTCAGTCGGTAAGTCAATGATCGTTATCTGGATGTTCTTTGGCAAGCCCTCGGTAGAGTGCGGGAGAAAGAGGTTGGGCCACGCCTGGCGTCTGGCGAGAGTCGGAGGCGGGAGATCTTGTTACAACACAGACAAAAGAAGAAGCAACACATCTTGTTTCCGCATCATTGCCTGTTATCGCTGTTGAAAACGCTGATTTACACAAGACACTAACTGGGATTCCTCCCCATCCTGAATTTCGGATTGTTTAATAGGCAAATCATCCCTCCTGCTCAGATTCACGGACGACGATTTCCTCTCTGTGAGCCCCCCTCGTCCACCGCGTCGCCTGCCTTGGAAAACTCATCAATTTCTCTTGTCTGTAACGTCGGTCGTGGTCTGTTAGGACGAAGAGACGACAGCTACTATCGGGGTGGATTTCAAGGTCAAGCAGCTGGAGGTAGAAGGGAGGAAGTTCAAGTTGTCCATCTGGGTGAGTACAATTGTCTGAACTCGGGTGGCGAGAGCCTGCATGCCAAGGGCCTGGGAAACGCTGTGACTGGTATCAATGAGCTCATCGGTATTTGCTTTGGTCATATTTTGGGTCGCAATGAAGGACACGGCAGGGCAAGAGAGGTTTAGAACGTTGACGAGTAGTTATTACCGAGGAGCTCAGGGTGTGATTCTCGGTTAGTCGCAGACTGTGGATTTGCCGGATTTTGCAAGTCAGAGTGACTGACAGCTGATCGACGTCTTCCTTTTGTACTGTCGCTTTACGGTCATACTCTGTCGATACAGTCTACGACGTCTCCTCCCGTACATCCTTCCAAGCCCTCGACTCGTGGTTCCGCGAACTATCCACCTACACCTCCCCCGAGGTTATCAAGATGATCGTCGGGAACAAGTTGGACGTAGGGGACGCGCCTCCTCCGAGTGGGGGTAAAGGAGCCAGGGAGGTCTCGACGGAGGAGGGTGAGAGGTATGCGAACGCGAAGGGGTGTTTGTTTTTAGGTGAGTGCAGATACCGGAAATTTGGTAGACAGCTGGTGAGATCGAGGGAGGTGAATGAAAGCTGACTGCAAGGCTTTGCAATGGGGTTGATATTCATAGAAACGTCAGCAAAGACGAATACAGGCGTTATGGAGGCCTTTTCCGACCTAGTCATCCGAGTGAGTGCCCCCACCTCGCTCTTTCCTTTTACACAACCTCTTCTCTTGCTTTCCGATGTATGTGTACACTGGAGGCGCGTTCTGACACCAATCCTTTGATCCTGTCAGATCACGGAGACTCCCTCGCTATGGTCTAACGACCCTACCCTGCGAACGCAGCCCCGGAGGGGCAATGTTCAGCTGGAGGAAGATGACGCTCCGCCCGGTTGGACGTGCGCTTGTTAGATTCAGTTGGGGACCCACGATATTGTTAGTTGGATGTATATGTATGAGCTTGTGAGTGTGTATGTGTTGGTCTACCTTTGTTGTATCGTTCGGCATGTGATGTAATAGTATAGTAAGACTTCTCGCATGCATTGCATAGACATCATCAATACGTTCGCGATTTATCGCGATCTCCCCGAAACCCGTGCAAACAAGGTCGGGACTGCAATCTCAGCTGCAATCAAGGATGCTTGTCGCCTGTGAGAGAGCGAAAGCATCTCCTATGATGTGCTCGTGCTAAATATCGAGATCCTTGACGTCTAACGAGGGCCACCTAGAGGAGTCTATACGCCGGCGATGATGAGCCATCGATGTCTAACTGGATTCAAGTTGCACCAATTCGTCGCGCAAGCGGACCTGCACAGTTGCATGTCTGTGCGTACACCATGAAGTCGATATTGCGGACCGATAGATGAGCATCTTATTTTCGAGCAACGTAAGTAGGGCATTGAGGCTTCTTGCACCACAATCTACGTAGATCGATAGAAGAATCTTCATTCTCAATCTCGGTCTTCAGTCTCGCTCTGATATGTCAAATTCAAGACTAATGCCAGCTCGACTTGCACATACTGTACTCTCCTCCCGGTACTGTTTGAAGCAAGTCTATTTGTCGTACATGCATTCCAAGTTTGTCCCAACTTGTCCACTAACTTCTTGGACGGCAAAGAAACCTTGAGAAAGGCTACATCCTACCATGGTATCTTGAGTGCCGGTGGGTCTACACAGACAGAATGCGCACCTAGCAGTCACTAACAAAGTGTTACGTCTGCGCACGAATCTTATGGCTTCGCAGAGCCGTTCAAAGCAAGAAGTGGCTGGCGCGATCCAAACACATCGCTTTGGACAGCTAGAATGCCCATGATCATGTACGGATATATCAGTAATGATAGAATGAGCTTCGCGCTGATACGGTCTCAAGGGTTCAAGCGTATAGAGCCCTTCTGAGTACCAGAAATTCTTCTCACAGGCGAGCCCTGACAAACCCCTTGCTCGCGCTCGTATAGTCACGTAGCTTTCAGACGATGTGCTTTGGTAAGTGGTGATCGAAATGTGTCGTTGTAACGGTTATGCAGACATGCTCGTCTCGGTAGATCCCACCCGAGGAAGCAGTACGCGAGCAATACATGCTGGTGCAGGAACTGGTAAACCGATCCACCACAAGTCAATGAAGCTTTCACTGCGGCGGCTTCCAGTCTAGCTTCAGTGGGCACGAGAGACCTATTGACCATGAGCGAACCGACGTTCTGTCAGCTTTCAAGGCGTAATCTCGTCTAATCCGAACTGGTAACACTTACCAGCATCCTGTATATTGCCAGAGTAAGCTATGGCCGTCTCACCGTAAGGCCCGTCGACTGATTCCTGATGTGACCAGTGGTCCCATTGGTAAAGATCGCAGTTGTGCTTATCTGCAGTTCTCCATTGCCACCCCACCGAGTTGCATCCTGAGTTTCCGAGCGAAGCGCGAATCGAAATATAAGGAGATAAGGTACAGTACGGTGAAACAGCATACCAGAGAATCCCGAGTACACATACCCTTGTATTCGTTGCATTTTCTCACGCAACATGCTACATCCGTCATGTCGGCTGAATAGAAGGTCGCGATCTTGGCTTTCGTCTATGTCGAACGGAACAACGAAGTTGATCGGATTGTACAATCAATAAGGCGCATCGTGGAAAGGTAACATATCACTCACGCCGTCCGATTTGTTCAGCCAAGTTGCATCCATATCATAATATATGTAAAAGGTCTGCGTTATGTCTGTAGTCGTGGTCGTGTTCACGTCGTGACATTTGTGGATATCGGACCTGGGTGCGGCCTCCGTCGCTCGCACAGCGAGCGCTAGAAGGAAGGTGATCGTTTTGAGCCGGAGCATAATGCACACTTGTTTGTATAGTGGAAGCACTTGCGAGTTGAATTTCAAGTGCTGACAAGAACATGCCATACGTAGCGGAGCGCGTCGAAATGAGCTAGCGACCTTGCGAGTTTCGTTATATCCTAGCGAGTACGACCTGGCAGCTGATGTGATACACTGTGACCGTACGGTTCATTCCCTGGAAGGGGGGCAGGAGAAACGCTGAAAGGAGTCCCACTTATGTGGAAGGAAGAGACAAAAATATCTCAGGGGGAACAGGGGTCCATCCATCAGCGGTCGTCGAACGTTTGAGTATGGGATAGTCAGCGCCCTGGATCCTGATGCCGACTTCGATGTAGCGTAGCCACAATGAACAACTCTGCCGCTAGGTTGCAGCCCACCTAAGGTCGATCCCGTCACACGACGTTGGGGACTCAACGGTTTCACAGCGGAACTCGACAGCCACGCGTAGTTGAGCCGATTCGTTCAAAGTACGAAGCGCAAGGTAAAGGTTGGTTCAGTCCAATCATCTCATAGTAACATGAGCATCAGCCTTTGAGACTGTAATAGCTCGAATGAAGCAAGATACAAGTATCTCCCTCGAGGGCTGCATGGAACTCTAACACTAGGTCTGCCTAGTCAGGCAGAAGAAATTCACCGCTAGACAAGCGGAAGGTCAAGAATCGGGTCTCTTCTGCAACGATCCGTATCATGTATCGTGTATCGTGAAGAGCGATCGCAAACAGCAGCAGAAGGACGTCAGTATTGAACGAGGAAAGAGAGCTCTAGTATAGATACTCACCCCCCTTGTCATCGACTTTGCCCTTATAAGCGAACTTTCTTCCGTCCGGGGTGGCAGCGGTCTCGAATTTCGTCCATCCTTCTGAGAAAAGCAAACATTGGTTGTCCCCAGATGACCGTTCTTTCCATTCTGATGCCAAACAGTCTGGGGGATTCACAACTGGACGGTCAATATTTTGGCATGGCGCTTCCGTACTTGTTCACTGACTTGGAACCGTACGGCACAATTTGACGCAATTGGTGATATCCTTATAGGATGAGGAAGTTGACTTGTGGTCTTGGATCTAGTTGCCAGCACAAGAAAGTGATGACTGTTCGTCAGCTTGTCTACACGCTTTTGTTTGAGCGCCATGTTACGAGCGATCACCATTGTGCTCAAGTCCCATGACGGCACCTTCTGAGACCATACGGTCCACATCTCTTCCAATATGATATCGGCTGGAGCTGCCCGCACCAGACTAGACAGCGCGACTCCGAGCCATATGACGGCGAGGAACTTGACCATCCGGATGTATCGTCACGCGCTTCAAGGTCGGATTTCACAGTAATAAGAGGTGACAGGCTCAGCCTGTCTATACTTGGATCGAGTACGCGGTCACAAAGAATACTTCGGCTATATCACAGGCTCTTCGACTGGTCGAATGCTTTATATGTCGCTCAGGATATGCTACAGTCCCCCTTACGCCTAAAGGCGGATTCAGGCGCTCCTTTCAGTCTCACCCCTGCGGACCCTAGCCTCTCCTATCCAACCCCTGTGGATCTTGTAGCAGACAAGGCTTACACAACCGTTGTGATCTTTTCGGCACGCTGCAGAATGCGTAGCAGTCGGGCTCGGACATACGATTAATCTTTGCACAGAACGGGAATCGCGCTACAGTCTGTCATGCATGAATTTCATAAATCGAGTTACGTCGTGATTCGTACTGTATATCGAACCCGATTCCCTACAATTCTATCCCCCTTGCCGAAGATGATATTCTCAGATTTCAGTCGGACCAAGGTGAAAACATTGAACGACAGGTTGCGAGTGGTCTCAGCTGTGATCTAATGGTCGCTGTCTGAACCCCGGAGCGTAACGCGACTGTAGCGATGGTAATTTTCATGGGGTAGCAGTCATGATAACAACAAGTACAAGCCTTTCTGAGTCGAGGACCCCAGTCGCAAATGAACGTCACAAACCCCCTCAGCTGGACTTTGTGGCGAGATGCAATGCCGCTGATGTCGATCAACCACTCTTGGGGTACCTGACGGTCATATCCTCCGCTACGGATGAAGACCAAACAGAAAGCAATGTGATCAACATCAGTGGAGCAAGATCTGCTAGTCAGACGTCTTTGCACTTACTTCGTCCTTCGATAAGTCCTTTTTGAGCGATTTTGGTTTTGAACGGGACAGGTAAGGTGGTCTCCCATGTCGCGTTGAACCATTTGCACGAGTTGTGTCCACTGTCAAATGGTCTCCAAGTGAATGCCTCACAGGCTGTCATCTGACGGCATTTATGCAAACAACCATCGATGTCTACATAGCTGGAAGAGTTGCTCTCCGCAATCTATTGTCCAGCGTTCGAAAGAGAGGTCCGATATTAGCTTGACTTTCATGAAGGTATAAGTTGTGGTTGATCATTCATATGTGGTACTTACGAGAACTGCAGCTTCATTCCATTCTGGCGCAACATCGTGCCAAATACTCCACTGCACTTCTTCCATGGGCACAGCATGTACCAGACCGACGCAGCTGACCAGGATTGCAGCAACGTTTAGGAGTTTAACCATTGAGACGGGCCTTGAATTGATGAGATCTGGTAAAAAATTTGAAGCGGCTCTGCCTGTTCTCCACGAATATCGGGATTGTAAAGTGATTTTGATTCGACTTCGAACAAGATGTCTTTGACCATCAAGCAATAATTATCACTGTATAGGACAACTGCGTAGTCAGAACTCGTTTATATAGTATGCGCTGGCTCACGACGAATTTTCGTAAACAAGGGGACGGCGACGATTCCTTTGTTTCTAGAAGTTACAAGCCCTGGGACGCTTGCTTTGAGATTGACTCCTTGATCTCCTGGAAGCGATGGGGTACTCCTGACAACTTTTTTTGAATGGCTCTCGTCACCCCTTGCCTGCCCCTCGACTCCTCCTTAGCATATCCGTGTCCGAGTTCTAAACATGAAACGAGGACAGTTCGTTTCAGCATGATCGCAGTTTTCCCCTCGAAACGCGATTCCCGCCCGCGTGAGCTGACGTCATCGTTTCGCTCGCTCGGCTAGTTTTCTTCTGGATATGCTCGTGGTCACCTGCCAATCTCCGTCGCCATTGCCGCACCAACGACGATGAGACCTTCGCAGCTCGCAGTCAGCTGTCATTCCGTTCATCACCCTCCATGCCCTCCACATTGAAGTCACGAGCGTTCGCATGCCCCGGAGATGTAGGTGGCGTTACCCCTTCAGCACTCGGGCCGTGGATTCCGACGCTCGGCTCGATAACGTTCTGGGGGGTTAATCACTTTCGCTCCCTCCTCTTTCCGGGTATGGCAATCAACGAAAGTTATCAGCTGTTCAGCTGGAATCAACCTCGATTTTGCCTCTCCGCTCAAAGGATGTCGACGACTAGTGTACGCCTTATCGACTTTTCGATAGATACGACAACGACCCTATACAAATATCCTGGACGAGCCTCTTGAATCTTCTTGTAGCAATAGACGGCGTGCCATATACCCAACACCATATACCCAAATACCCTAGGCCTGACTTGCTCGTGAAGCATGCCGGAACCATCGAGACCGTCCTCTTTACAGAAGATGTCTACAGATACAACAACACAAAAAACTCCCTCCTCCGACCCTGTTGCCTCGACCTCTTTGCAAGCTTCTCCATCGGATACAGTCGTCGAATCCAATTCGGAGCTGGAGCATCCGAATCCGTTCTTCGAACCTGAACCTGCTTGGACGGGTCATCAGGATGAACAGCAGGACGATAGAGACAACGACGTGCACTCGGTCAAGTCTGATACTGCCGTATCTCCTGGTCGAGGACGGGAAGGGGAAGATGGAGCCGAAGAAGAACGGAGAGCGGTAGAGAGGAACGCTCGGAGGATCCCTCTGGAGAGAAAGGTACATTGGCCTTCAGAGCGTACGATGCAGAATCAATTCTTCACCACAGGAGGATCGAAGCGAGCAGGGGTCGAGGCCGGGTCGACGGGAGGTCCCGGTCCGAGTACGGTGGGCATGTCGAGGTCAGGCTTGAATCCAAACTCCAGCGCGGACCAGAGGATGGAGGCAGAAGCACAGCAGCGGAAAGAGGATTCCACCAGGGCTCGAAGACATGCGAGACGCTTGATCGCACATACACAGGAGCCAGGATCGGCATGGGTCGTCAACCATGACGAGGATGATGATGGCTCAGAGACGGCTCTGTCTTCCGCCGGAGAGGAAGAACACCGGCGTGATGGACAGGAGCGTCGCTCGTCAAGTCCCTTCTACGCCAAAGAGGCTTATCGCCGTCAGCAGTGGGGGCCTAGTGGTGGCAAGTCCTACGAATCGAGGAAAGCTTGGAATGAGCGGGAAGGAGACGTTGGGGATTTGTCTATGGATCCGAAGACCAGGGAGAGACAGGAGCAAGGCCAGTTGAGGCGCAGACCGGGGCAAGGTCAGGGGAGGGATGACGGATCGAGAGCGAATAGGGGTGGCGATAGGGGTAGGATAAAAGTCTGGAACGAAACTTCGGACGAAGAGGAAGATCGTGCAGATGACAGCGAAACGGATTCGTCCGACGAAGAAGACGGAGTGGACAGGATCTCCAGCGGCGGGCTCAATGGGATCTTTACGAGCTTGTTTGGCAGGGACCAGAAACTCCGACGGGGTAAGGATGATGCCCAGGATCGGGCCGAGAAAGGGGAGAAGACGACGAACAAACGGCAGGGACAAGGTCGAGGCAAGCGGGACAGAGCCAAGGCTTTCGGCAGGAAAAGTCGGGATCGGATCAAGAAACGAAGGAGATGGTCTCACCATGCGCTGTTCCGAAGGGATTCGGTATCGAGCTTGAGGAGTGGAAGGTCGAGCGTAGGGAGCTGGATGGGCAGCTTCGACCGAAGGCGAGGGAGCGAGACGTCATCCAAGGATGAGAAGGGTCGAGGAGCAGGTGTGCTCGAGTCGGAACAGGACGCTAGAGATGATGCCGAAGACATGCATCTAGCCACCTCGGAAGATCCCAACGATCCCCGCGTTCAGAAGACGGGGAGGTCAAAGGATACCGATCGACAGAACGCTGGAGAGGCGGAAGCGCCCCGAGAGACTCTAGAGGCTGAAGAGCTCTACGAGCCTCATATGTTGACCCCAGCGAGGACGGGACATTCGGCTAGGTCGTCGTTGCGGTCCCACGGAGTCGACCTCGAAACGGATCAACAGCGTGCTCGACGTGAGATGAAGGAGGATTTGAACTCGCCATATATCCCGTCGGGACGGAGAAATAAGCCCGATGCGGTGGCTCCAAATGCCAGGCTCGAGGCAGCTCAAGGGTGGAAGACAATGATTGACAGCGCCAAGGCGTTTTGTCGGGGAGAAGACGACGACGTGGATCACACGGGACAGTACAGGTCGTTTGCGGCCTTGATCATTGGGACTCAAGGACTGACCGGTGTCGCGAGTCCTGAACTCGCTAGGGTTGCGCCTGCGTCGGGCAAGGAAGCCGAGACGAACAAGGGGATGCGGAAATTGTCCGAGTACAGCAATCCTCGGGATCACTATACCAACACTGTCAAGGAGATCAGCGACGACTTGATACACGACGCGCAAGAGGATGGAGCAAAGATGACCAAGAAGCTACGTGCAAAGATCACCCAAAAGGCTATCCAGCAGGCGGATGCTCAAGTGGGCGACAAGCCGATGCGAGGAAAGCGGCGGCAGAAGGAGATTCGTATCTCGAGGCACCCGGCTGAGCTGGTACAGAGGCAGGACTTTATCGTCAATCTGGCCAAGGCCCTGATCAAGTGAGTTCGTCAGCAACAGGTCTGAACCGTCAGCATGCACTGACTCAGAGAGTGCCTCGTCCTTCGCAGTTTCGGAGCACCCACGCACAGCGTCGAAAGCTGGCTGGAAGCGACGTCTGACGTGCTCGGTGTACAATCCTCGTTCCTCTACCTGCCGGCCATCCTCATCCTCGCTTTCCGGGACGATGATGCAAGATCATCCGATGTTCTGCTGCTTCGACCAGCCGGCGCACTCGATCTTTACCGGCTAAGTCTGGTTCACAAGGTATACCGGCTCGTCGTGCACGACGTAATCTCGGTCAACAGCGGGGCGCGGGCATTGAGGAGAATCATCAAGGAGGTGAGCTCGGCGTTCGCGCAGTTGTGGTTTCACCGGCTGACCATTGCTTGTTGCCTCGTTGTAGAGCCGATCTTATCACTGGACTGTTCTAATGACGGCCGGTTTCTTCATTTCAACGTGTGGATCGATGGTGGCATTCAACGGCAGTTTTGTGGACGGACTCGCATCGGGCGCTGTTGGTCTCATCCTAAACGGAGTCCTGATCGGTTTACTCAGCCGACACAAGGTTATGAGCAACATCTTCGAACTCACCGCCGCTGGCTTGATTGCCTTTGTCGCTCGAGGATTGGGTGCCACCGGGTATTTCTGTTACGCCAGCATCGTCTCATCGGCCATCATCATCATCTTGCCCGGTTGGGCGATTTGCCTGGGTGCACTCGAGCTGGGTTCGCGGAACGTCGCAGCAGGAGCTATCCGGATCGTTTTCGCCATCGTCTTCACCTTGTTCCTGTCATTTGCCATCTCGATCGGGACTGAAATTATGGACTCGATCGGGGTCATGCAACCGATGACGAGTCCTTCGGCAAGCGATGGAACCTTGCTCAGCAGTCAGACCGTCCAGGGGAGCTTTTCTAGCAATAACACGGCCTTCGACAATCAGTTTCAGAACGGTCAGTCGTCACTCGTTTGAGGGTTTGGAAAGCAAAAACTGATGAGCGTCAACCCCCCTTCTGATATAACAGGCACGTTCACCTTTACCAACGGCACTTCATCGAGCTCGACGGGTCAGGTCTCGTGTCCGCGAAACCCGATGTACACGCAATGGTGGTACAATCCGCCACCAGACTGGAGCCTCTTTCTTACCGTACCTACGTTCGCGGTGGCGCTAGCCATGTGGTTCAAGCAAGATTGGAAGAGTCGGGACATGCTTGTTAGCACAGGCGTAGCGAGTGCCGGGTTCTTGGTGAATTATTGGGTCAAGCCGGTATGTATAGCCGTCCTCACGGATAACGCGGGCGTTACGCATGTTCAGCTAATTCTCGTCCTCCGCGCTTGGGTCCCCCTTCAGCAATTGCCGGAACGAAGCGATATTTCCTCGGCTGTGCAAGCATTCACCGTTGGAATACTGGGGAATATGTATAGCCGGATTGCTCGTGGTAGCGCTTTTCCTTCGATGGTGAGTCCGCTTATAACATCTTTGATTTTCAGATATCGACAACCGCTTACTCGAGCTTCAACTTGTCAGGTGGTCGGCATCCTCCTAGCCGTTCCCAACGCAGTCGCAGCAGCAGGGTAAGCGAAATTGCCTCCACTCCCAAAGACAGGGACTTTGCCTGATATCACTTACGTATGATCGCAGGGGTCTGGCACAGTCAAGTGACCAAGGGCAAGACAACGGGACGAGCCAGGCTGAGCTAAGCAATACTGTCATCATCGCCATCCGAATGTGAGCATCCGCAGCCTTTCATATCCTTGATACTATTGTATCTCGCCTCGAGACTGCGTCATGGCCTTTTACGCGCAGAGGGCTGACGTTGTCTTCTCCTCGTTGATGGACGCTTATACAATCAGGGTGCAAACAGCCATCGGACTTGCCATAGGCCTGTTCGCTGCGGCGGTGGTAATCTATCCATTCGGGAAGAGAGGGTACATTTTCGCCTTCTAAGCGTCAAGATGATCGTTTCACGAGCGGAAGACTGTCCTGTCATCATGAATATACGCCTACATGAACAGCGACACCTACAACGAACAAAATCTTCAAGCGAGGGAAGGATAATGAGGTTTGACCTCTGGGATTAGCGAGACGGGCTTTAGGCTCAATGACACCAAAGGAAGGAAAAGTGTTCTGCAACCACGAACAGGACAACATGCTCACCTTCCCAATAACTATGACACAACGACGGGAGAAAAGATTGATTCTAGATGTACCGATAGTCTCATGCCAAAGCGGTATGATACGGACCTTTTGACTTGCAAGGACATCTGATTGTAAAGAGGATGAATAAGAAGCAGATGCGTAAAAGCCGATAATATCATCGATAACAGAGTGAGAAGGTCAGACTGGCCCAGTGATAGGTGAAGAGGTGCCGAAACCACAATTCCTTCCGCTATGTTTTCATGGCTGGTCCGCACTTTCCAGATCAGGCCCAGATGTCGACATGTGATCGCCCTTTGGGGTGATGAGCGTTTCCGCGTGAATGATGAAGGCGGCGCCATTCAAGAAAGGGCTGACACACACCAAGGAAGAGTCCAATCAATTCAAGCCATGGATTGAAAGCTATATTGGGCCGCACATTGCCCCTCAGATCTTGAGCATAGTAAGATCGTCTCAGAGAGCTATAGACCGATCCCCCTGACAAACTCGGGGGTGTTTTCTGGATTGACAGGATGGAACAGTCCATTGCCTCTCGGAACGTACCTGTTGTGGGCCAGATAAGGTGCCAAACCCAACGATTTGACCACCACACCGGGTCAACCCATAGCCCTTACGGCAGCGAGAATGCTCTCAACAGGGTCGACCCTGATCCGACCATACTATTCTCGTTATAAGCGAAGTCATCCAGCCACTGTCCAGTATTGTCTACCTCGACTGCTTCACGTCCCCCTCAGATCGTCTCCCATGATAATCTCCAGTATCTGAAGGGTCTTGCGACATCCGGGCCAGCTACCCCTATCACACCGATCTAATACTACCACATACGTCCATCGGCCTCGCTCTTGCGCAGTGTTGTAACAGTAAACAGATACAATCAAGATGTCGATTCAGATATAGGGACAGACAAAGGTTTCATATACACAGTTTAGGTGGTAGTAGTCCAGGGTCCCAGTGCTACTGAGACTTCTCCTATCCATCACCATCGCTCCAAACAGTGCATACCACTGATCTCTCTGCCTATTCAGCCATATCTCTCTCTTCCTGTCTATCTCCTTAGGACTGTGTTACAGATGGATCAGTTCGTGATGGTTTCGACATTGCCCCTTGTGAGGTTGTTGCTCAACTGGTGGTTCGCCGAGAGACGATCCGCACGCCCTTCCAGCTTTCTCGGTACAAACCTCTTCTTCTCCGTTACGATTTGCCCGATTTACAGTACCAAGGAGGTTCTTGCTGTATCAAAAGCTCTCCCTTCGGACAGACGAGACGACGAGTAGAGGCGCGCGCTCTCAACCCTGAGGATGGAACGCTCCACTCGATGCAAAGGAAGGTCGATTGCGCCTTTTTCTATGAACATCCTCACTCGCCCAACAGATTTACAGGGGTTCGCTGTAAGACGGAGTATTTGCGTACAAATCACATCCGTTCGGAGGGCTACTTTAGGTCTCGACCCCTGCCTTGCGTTACTGACGTGCGGGGGTAAGATGAAGTTTCAGTTCGAAAGGGGGCAAGGAGGATCGTTTGGGTAGGGATAGGATGCACAAAGGGATCATCCGTAGTCACGTCAGATCCCTTTTCAGTCTGGAGTCTGGCCAGTACCTGATGACTATATAACTGCGCACATCAGCGATATTTGAGTTCAAGTCTGTCTGTCGTCAAGTTCGGGTCCACAGCAAGTCAGCTCGGAACGCGGTGTACAGGTCTGCATCATACATCCGAGATGTCCAAGAAGATTCAAGCGGCGCTCGTGGTCCTGTCTGCGTTTGCGAGTCTATCGCGAGCCGACGGGTTTCCGAGGTGTATAGAAGGTGCCCAGGAGGGTGGGAAGCACATAGCGGCTGCTTTCTACAGCCGGGATGCGAGGTGGCAATCTGGATCGGTACGTACCCCCCTCGGCAATCCCGTTCCGAAAGCTCGCGTAAGGTCTGAGACTATGTTTTTGTTTCCCCTCTTTGTAGTGGATGTCGAACCTTCTGGCTACCAGTATCACCGAGTGCATCGACATGTGTCAATGTGAGCGAGAGTGTGATCGCAACACGAGACGGATCGCAAGAGAGTCGTTCGCTGATGATATGCCCACATCCTCAGACCAGAACGACCATAGGGACCAATACGGAGGAAAGCCATGCAAGTCCTTCGGATATCAAGCAGGGTTGAACAACTGCGATTTCTACAGCGACAATTTCGCCACGGTCCACAAGCAGGATACTCCCGCCTCTTATGGAAAGGTTTGGGTTGGTGGCATGATCGAAGGGCTGGACTGCGCTGGTTATGCTGCTGGTGGCTTTGTATTGCGTGAGTACAATTTCTTCGGCATACAGTAGTACGGGAATGGTACAGCTGGTTACCCCTTGCGCTTGGAACCGATAGCCGATCCTATTCAGTGCTGTGACTATTGGAAGTAGGTTGAGCGATGGAGATCTGGATGTCACTCGGTGAGCAGAGAGAGTGGTGCAAAAGGGGGAAAGTTCGCTTAGAGCGCTGAAAGGATCTCGATCGGGGAATCTGGACTGATAGCGAGAGGACGGATTCTGATGTCCTCAACTAGGAGTGATCCAGCTCATTCGATCTTTATCCTCGAGGGATGTAACACTTTGACGCTCGATGATGTTGTGGTGTAAGATCGCACGTCTATCTCGATGTACTATTGTATGATCATCTCCTTTTGCACCATGCAAGCTCCTATTATATCAGCGTAGGTCCCCAGGAGCATTCTCGCAACACAAACAGACACCTTTGTATCGTATGTCGAGCGAGTATAGAGGCGAGAGTTTACGGGATGACTCGCTCGCACAAAACATACAGAGACCGGTGCGCAAAAGAAGTTCTTCATCACTCGCGATCACTCGACAGGCGTCTGATGAAACTGCGCGCTAAGACGACGTCCCGCGGCCGGATCACGCCCCGGGCCGGGGAGCAAGTTGCCGCCCTTTGTCGGATCTTTGACAAGTTATTAGCTACGAGTAGCTACGAGCAGCTGTAACTCGTTGATGGATGATGGATCACAACATACACAGACTAGTAGACTAGTAGGGCTAGAGCAATCTGTCCTTGATCATAGGTTACCCGTGTTCCGAGAGCCAGGCTTTGCGAGAGTTGCATTCGAGGTGAGCAAGAACTGGTCGTCGGTCACTTCCTTAGTGCGATTTCTCTCGTAATTGACGCGAGAGCTGCATCCCCAGATTCGAGGTGTTTGTGCGGTTCAAACCACCACCACCACATCTTGCGTCGGATATCGTACGGGGAAGGAGCCCGCACGACCACCCCAGCACTAGCACAACTCCCACCACAGCACTCTCACTTTGGATCACTCTCGACCGATCTCTTGCTTGCTTTTTCCAACTGTCCCGAACCAACGCGAAAAAAAAGAAACCGCGCTCCAACCTCGCCCATCTCTCTCGGTTAACCGGGCGTGTCTACCCCAGCTTTTCACACACAATCCCTCCACCCCCCGTCGTTCTCCACAAATCAGAGGAGGAAGACGTCATCAAGTCACGTTGTCCAGTGATCCAGTGACAGTATCTCCCAGGCGGTAAGTTTAGCAGCATCCAGGTGGTTGGTCGGTCGGGGGTGGGACGGGGGGGTCGAGATGAAAAGATACCAGCGAGCTGATCTAGTGCCGACGTCTTGCCGTGCAATCTTGCTGCGTCGCTCTCAATAGCCCGAAAGCGACTACATCTTGCAATCCGCATCTAACGAGCTCAAAGTCTCGAAAGGATATTTTCATCAAGAACAGTATATTCGGTCTGGTCCCCATCGTCATTATCACGAGCACTATCACCAGGACTACAAACATCATATCCTAGTAGATTACCCCTATTCCACCAATTACCACTTCTACGAATAGCACAACTACGAGGAGTTCCTACTCACACGACAAGCAGGAACGCACAAGAAAGCTTAGGCAGTAGCACAAGAAGCTTTACAGATTCTGGTTGGAAGGGTGCGAGGAGTTTACGGATCGCACCTACTAGATTCAGACGCAGACGAGGTCTAGAATCCCGGAACTGGTACCGCAAGAACAGTAACAGCGACAACGAGGACCACAGCGTCGATACTACAACCATGTCCAACCTCCAACGAAACACCTCTATGAAGAGGCTTCAAAAGCAATTGAGCGAGAACGAGAACCACCCTCGACCTAGCATGGAAGGTCCGCCTTTACATGCCCCGACGCCGTTGAGGCAGAACAGCATGCAAGGACCAGGTTCTGGGTCTGGTAGTGGCACCGGGACTCCCCCTTCCGGAGGTGGGAACGTCAACAGCAATCCCTTTGGGTTCGGGACCTTTACCGCCATCGACGAAGACAGCCCACTGAACAGCCCGTTCTCCAGCGCTCCTGCCAGTCGGAGAGGTTCGTTTGCCCACCCTCACCAGTCGGGACCCAGACCCGCCATCGTCCGAAGGCGAGATTCTGCCAATTGGCAAGAAGGCGCCATTGACATTACCGGAGCTCCTTCTTTGCTCTCTCGAGCTGGATCGCCGACTCTGCCTTTGATGACAACCAAGACCCGTTCGGCGGCTTCTTCCCGTCGAGGTTCCTTCGTCGGGACCCCTCAGGGGGGATTCGGAGGTCTGGGGGGACAAGGGTTCGGGATGAGCGGGATGAACGACCTGATGAACCGGGAAAAGAAGAAGGGAGAGTTTGTCGGGAGCGTGGACTGTGGGACGACGAGTACGAGGTTTATCGTCTTTGACCAGTATGCGAAGATCATCTGTGAACATCAGATGGAGTTTCAGCAGTACTACCCTCATCCTGGGTGAGTTGCGAGCGTCCGTTTTACTTTCCTTCTACCTGGTCCCTCGCTGATACGCGTTGAAATTTGGTGTACTCACAGCTGGCACGAACACGAACCCTACGACCTGGTCGACTCGATGAACGAATGTATCGCCCAAGCCATCGAAAAGCTCGAATTCCTCGGGTTCTCCGCTAGCGATATCAAGTGTATCGGGATCACCAACCAACGTGAGACCGTCGTCTGTTGGGACAAGACCACGGGGAAACCCCTCTGCAAGACGGTCGTCTGGGACGATGCCAGGACCGTAGGAGTGGTCAGGGAGTTTCAGAAAAAGCTGGACGAAGAGGGGTTGCCGTTTGGCGACAACGAGGAGGACGAGAGGGATCCCAAGGAGGGCGGGGGTTATTTCAAAGCGAAGAAGGAGCAGACGGGAGAGGGTACGGCCGAAGATGGAGCTCAAGCTTTGGCGGAAAAGTTGAAGAACGGACTGGGGGTGGCCGAGCAGGCCAAGAAGGAAGGTGGTGGTGATGACGGCTTGCCTACGCCTACCGTCATCTCGGACGTGGCAATCAGCGGCGGCAAGAGGCGGAGAAAGGGGAAAGAGGCCCTGGTCGACATGTAAGTCTCTGATCGTTTATGCTTGGTTCGATGTCTTTGTGTCGCTAATTCGGTTATCCATGGGGATTTGCTTTCTGGTTGTAGCACCGGTCTGCCGTTGTCGACCTACTTCTCAGCCATCAAGCTCAAGTGGCTAACGGACCACCATCCTGAGGTCCGCAAAGCGTTCCAGGAGGATAGGCTTGCGTTCGGGACGGTCGACAGTTGGTTGCTCTACGTGGGTTCCGATCTTCCGATTCCATAATCCGTGCATGTTCCTGACTGTTTGTCTCGTGGCTGAGCAGAACCTGACTGGCGGGGTCGACGGCGGCATCCACGCCATCGACTGCACCAACGCCTCGCGAACCCTGTTGATGTCGCTCAAGACTTTGCAATGGTACCAACCGCTCATCGACTTCTTCGGCCTCAAGTCGTCCATCTTGCCCAAGATCGTCTCGTCGTCCGAAGTCTATGGCAAGATCGCCTCGGGACCGCTCGAGAATGTGCCCATCGCCGGGATGGTCGGAGATCAGCAAGCTGCGTTGGTTGGAAACAAGTGTCTCAGTAAGGGACAGGCCAAGAACACGTACGGAACCGGTAGTTTCGTGCTTTTCAACACTGGGCCCGATGTCGTCAGAAGCAAGAACGGGTTGATCAGTACCGTTGCGTACCGCTTGGGAGATCACGAGGCTCCCACGTATGCCCTCGAAGGGTCCATTGCTGTGGCCGGATCCGCTATCAAATGGTATGTTGAAAAGCGGAGCCGGCAGTGCTGCCATTTGTGCTGAATCGCGATTCTTCGATCGTTAGGCTTCGTGACCAGGTCGGTCTGATCGACGAGTCGGCCGAGATGGATGCTCTATGTTCGCACGTCAAGGACACTGGTGGAGTCTACTTTGTCACCGCGTTCAGTGGACTGCTGGCACCGTGAGCATCTTCTCTGGCTTGTCGCTGAGAGCTCTTCAGCTAATAAATAAGTTCAAATGAAATAGGTACTGGGACCCCAATGCCGGTGGAATGATCGTCGGACTCACGCAGTACAGTACCGCGTCACACATTGCCAGGGCTACCCTTGAGGCTGTCTGCTACCAATCTCGAGCCGTTCTCGATGTCATCGAACAGGAGTCGGGAGTTCGTCTGGACGAGTTGAAGGTTGATGGTGAGTCGATGGCGAAAGAAAGACGATGCCGCGCCTGAGTGACGTTTTGGCTGACGATGCTCATGCTCTGCAGGTGGTGTTACCAACTCGGACTTAGCAATGCAGATCCAGGCCGATATCGGCGGGTTCCGGGTCTGCAGGCCACACATGCGAGAGTAAGTCCGGATCCGCCTAGAACTTTGTCTAGTCGACAAGCCGATTGACCCTGTTGTACCTCGCAGATCGACCGCTCTCGGCTCGGCTCTCTTGGCCGGTCACGCTCTCAAGCTGTTCGGCTGGGACTTGAGCAAACCCGAAACGCTTTCGGAGGTCAACATGCAGGAAGCCATGTACTTTGACCCCGAATGGCCTGAAGCCAAGCGACGCAAAAACGTCAGGGGATGGGAGCGAGCCGTCGAGCGGGCTCGATCGTGGCATACTGCAGAAGAGGAGGACGAAGCCGAAGCCGAATTTGAGAAGGAGGACCATTACGAATAGATGTAGGGATATAGAAGGCATAAGTACAAAACAAACCTGTACGATAACATACAACCGCATGAGACGAAGATGCAATCCAGTAACTATACACGTCACAGATTGACTCATTCCGATTGAAGCGCCTTCCAGTCCCGGTGAGCGGCTTCCATGAGGACGACAAAGGCTTGTCCCTCAGCACTTTGCTCCCGCATCATCCTTTCGTCACAAATATCGCAGACTTGCGTGAGCGCGCCTGAAGCCGGATCGACCTTGGCAAGGACCGCGTCTCGAGCTCGCAACGCAAAGGGAATGTAGTCGTCCCGCTTGCCCCGAATCGTCGCCAAACGGCTGTATCGTGCAGACGCGTCAACAAAACGAGCAGAAATCAGAGAGATGCAAGTACTCACAATCCGACGTAAGCCAGCAAGGCCGTCCCGCACGATTCTTCCGGCATGTGTTCTTCATCGATGTACGTCCTGATCATGCCAGAAGGGGTTTGATGCTTGACCGTTTCGTCCATGATTTCTAGTGTCCAGTGTAAGAGGTCTTCGGTTTCGGATTCCATCTGGGCGGCATTCGGGCTCTGGAGAAAGATCTGTCTGGTCCGGATGAGACCTGCTGCCACCCACCCGTTCGCTAGAGGAATAAGAGCTTGTCGTCTCAGCAAACTTCCTTGGCCGAGTGTCGCCTTGTAAACCTGCGAGGGGTGCAGAAGTTTACTCACAAGTGCTCCACGCCCACGGGTCGACTTTCCGATCGCCTCCAACTTTCTCCCCACCGAGAACGATATGCCTCCAGAGCCCACTGGTAGGTTTCTTCAGGTACTGACGGTGCAACCTACATTGGTTGTAAGCTTGGTCCAGGTAGACTTTTGGTCCTGACGAGCCATATGCTGAATTATCCTTGGCAGGGAAACTGAGCGCGTAGGTGGCCTGGCAAGAATGACGTGATAAGCTCAGGCAGAGAATGTCACGCTTCGTAAGACGGTAACAAGACGTACCATGAATGGAGGGACCTGATAGCGGCGGAGAGATCGGAATAGGCCACCCGTATCTTTGTGATGTGATGCTTGCAGCTATTGGGACTTACCATGTAAATGAAGTCGGCCCACAGGCTGACATGGCCGATTCGATGGGAGATCGCTCCATCTTCAGTCTAGAGTGTTCATCGTGGCATGTATGTTGATGTTAAGTCTTCAAACGAATGAAAGAAGACGAGGAGAGGTTAATTCTAACCTGGGACTCACCTTTGGGGCATGTTCGAGCAAGAATCGCATCTCCTGGATCGCAGCGATCTGAAGGTCGTGCATCAATTTCCACTCTTCGGCACTATCCAGTCCATAATCGGCCTCGCTCAGCATAGAAAGATGATTCGCCACGGTCAAACAGTGCGTTCCCAAACTGGCGGGATCTCCCGCAGCGCCATCTTCAACCAAGATCAGGCCTTTGCCTTGAGGAAACTGCTCCTCTGTAGGTCGTTCCGAGAGGATCTGTTTTACTATAGATAGCAAGATCGGAGGGAGTGTGTTCGGCTTTGGAGCACCCTGAGGGGAGAAGGGGGTAAAGGCAGGGTGATTGTATTCGAGTTCGGCTTCGACGGCGGTTGCTGCAAGATTCGCAATATGCACGAGCTCTTAGCGAGAATAATCAGTCAGAGTTCACCACAAAGCCGACACACCTCTTTCCCAGCTGGTTGTTTAACGATTGATGGTTGGAAATGCGATATTTAATGGTAAGACGAAGGTAAGCTTCGCCATGTGTCGTCGGTGGACAGACAAAGGTATCCAGAAGAGCGCATACTCACCTGCCCTTTGACCATGCGTGCATCTTTTCGATAACCTTGTCAATCATCGCAATCTGGTCCATCTTGGAGAAAGAGTCGGAAATCAAAGCGAGGAGTCGCGGGTAGGTCCTGCTTGTCGAGATGTACGTCTTGTGGAAAGGCTGTCCGTCAGTGATTGCCGTTGAGAGCTAGGACTGGTTGTAGCAAAGGTGAATCGAAGGAGGAGAGAGGAAACGGCTGGGATGCGTATGGGAAGGCGTATGATTTATATGCTCCTCTTTATATACCTCACAACACAATACCAAGTCCCTTTGCTTATAGCTTACACTCCCTTGTGATAGAGAGAAGCAGATAGCTCGCCCTCGTCCTGTGATGACGAAAGTAAGATGCATATCAAGGTTATGGAAGTAAAACGATCGATATCGGAAGCATATCCGGGCCGGTGTACCTCGGATCCGAGATGAGTGCGCTTATACCGGCGGGCTTGTGCGCTTCTGATTGGCTCAACCGGAATCGTCCCCCCCGGCATTCGACCTTTGTGCTCGAAGTTGACTCGATATTTCGTAAACCGTTTCACTTGCAACTTCGACGACCTTCAAGCCGTAGTGTACAAGGGATCATTTCCTCCTTGACATCCATTCATCCAGCTTAGTGCATGCGTCCAGCCGTCCTACGTACAGCTCGAACTCAACTCTACGCCGCCCTTAAACAACCCCTACGACCCGTCTTACCACTCGTCATCACTCACAACCAAAACAAGCACAACCAGTCCCGATTTTACTGCGTCATGTCCAACCCGAACCCTCACCCGGTCTCCTCGGCACCTACCGCCGCCCCGGTAGAGAACGAGCAGATCAACACGCAGCTGCCGCCCGCTGAGCAAAAGGAGAAGAAGCAGCAGCAGCAACAGGGACAGAAGAAGGAAAAGAAGGCTAAACCCGCTGCCCAGGGGAACGCTCAGCTGGAATTGAGCCCTCCTCCCGAGTTCTTTGACACGAGGAATGCTATTTTCGACAAGTACAAAAAGATCTACGATGACAAGGTTGCCGGTATGTCGGGAGCACATCCTAACAAGGAGCTCCATGGGAGACCAGTCGAGGAGCTCGAGCTGATGATGGAACGAAACTACCGTTGCGATCACTACAGCCATGCCCCGAGATCCCATCACCGTTACCCTCCCTGACGGCCGCAAAGTTGAAGGAACCGCCTGGGAGACTACCCCTTACGACATCGCCGACTCCCTCTCCAAATCCCTCGCTCAAAACGCAATCATTAGCAAAGTTGACTCTACCACGCTCTGGGACCTGAATCGTCCGCTGGAGAAGTCATGTAATCTGGCGATCTTGAACTGGGACTCCGAGGATAACAACTACGAAGCCAGACAGGTCTTTTGGCATTCGAGTGCGCACGTCTTGGGAGAGGCCTGTGAGCGGCATTTGGAGGATTGTTGTTTGGGTTACGGACCGCCACAGGAGTCAGGGGGTTTCTTTTACGAGATGAGATTGAAGGATAACAGGTGGGTCAGCTCGCGCCGTAACATGGGAGGTGGGAGGCGAGGCTGATTAGAAGGATGGTTCTGGTTGGATGACGGGAATAGGCCAATCACCCCGGCTGACTACCCGAACATCGAGAACGTCGTAAAAAAGGCCGTCAAGGAGAAACAGAACTTTGAGCGTCTCGAGCTCCCCAAGGAGGCGCTGTTGGAGATGTTCGCCGTGAGTGTATTGTTGCTCTGAAACACTATACGGCCCAAGTTCTGACATGGCCTGCACTTGTGTACCTCGCAGTACAACAGCTACAAGCAACACTACATCCAGAACCAGGTTCCCGATGGCACCTCCTCCACCGTCTACCGATGCGGTCCCCTAATCGACTTCTGCCGAGGTCCCCACGTCCCCCACACCGGCCGAATCAAGACGCTAGCGATCACCAAAAACTCGTCTTCCTACTTCTTGGCCGACTCGAAGAATGACACGCTGCAACGTGTCTACGGGATCAGTTTCCCCGACTCGAAATTGATGACCGAGCACAAGAAGTTTGTGGAAGAGGCCGAGAAGAGGGATCACAGGAAGATCGGGAAACAGCAGGAGCTGTTCATGTTCCACGAATTGAGCCCGGGGAGCGCGTTCTTTTTGCCGATGGGGATGAGGATCTACAACACGTTGATGGAGTTTATCCGAGTGCGTACCCACCTCACCAGGGAATCTATCGTCATTGTTGTGCTTACTATTCGACCCACCCACTCGGCCTGGTAGAGCGAATACCACAAGCGAGGCTACGTCGAGGTCGGTTCGCCCAACATTTACAACTCGAAACTCTGGAAGACCTCTGGTCACTGGCAAAATTACGCCGAAGACATGTTCGGCCTCTCTGTCGACAAGGAGGAGTTCGCCGTCAAGCCCATGAACTGCCCCGGGCACTGTCTGATCTTTGACGCGAGAGAGAGGAGTTACAAGGAGTTGCCTTTGAGGATGGCCGAGTTTGGTGTTCTGCACAGGAACGAGGCTAGTGGAGCTTTGAGCGGGTTGACCAGGGTGAGAAGGTTCGTGCAGGACGATGCACACATCTTCTGTACCCCGGATCAGGTGCGTGGTTTCCATTTTACGGTATTCGGACTCGTCTGCGCCTTTGGCTAACATGGTCCCCGCGCACGCCAGATCGAAAGCGAGATTGCCGGCATCTTCGACTTTATGGACACCATCTACTGCAAATTCGGCATGGAGTTCAAGGTCGGCCTTTCCACCCGTAACCCGGACAAGTTCATCGGCGACCTCGCCATCTGGGACAAGGCCGAGGCTCAGCTCAAGGCCGTGCTAGACAATGTCGCTCCGGGCAAATGGAAGTTGAACGAGGGAGACGGAGCGTTCTACGGACCGAAGATTGACATCTCGTTGACGGACGCTCTGAAGCGGGAGTTCCAGTGTGCCACCATCCAGGTCAGTTTTGACCTGATGTCGCGCCTGTCTGACACGTTTCACATCGCTTACCTTGTTTTCCCTTTATCCATAACTCGCGCAGCTCGACTTCAACCTTCCCGAGCGGTTCAACCTGACCTACAACGGTCCCGAGCAATCCTCAGAGGCCAACCCCACTCGACCGGTCATGATCCACCGAGCGCTCGTCGGGTCCATCGAGAGATTCATTGGGGTCTTGACGGAACATTGCGCGGGCAACTGGCCGTTCTGGTTGAGCCCTAGGCAGGTTGTTGTCATTCCTGTTGCGCCGGTCTACGTGAGTTATCAGTCGCTGGAGGGTCTTTGAGGTTTGTGGAACAGAGGCTAATGAGGCGTCTTCGTCTGAACATGCAACCTCTACTGCCTGACGATCTCCTTCATGCCGCTTTTCTCCCTTCATCTCCTCGATTCCACGCTGCAGAAAGACTATGCCAACGAGGTCGCCGCCAAGCTCTGGGACAAGGGTCTCTTTGCCGAAGCCGACGTCTCGCCGGAAACGCTCAAGAAGAAGATTCTCAACGCCGAAGTCGCCCGATGGAACTTTATCTTGGTCGTGGGTGAGGACGAGATGACGAACCGGTCGGTCAACGTCAGGTCGAGGGACGAGGAGCAGAAGGGACGAAGCGAGACATTGAGCTTGGAGGACGCTGTGGAGAAGTTGGTCAAGTTGAAGGAGACCAAAGGGGCGGTTTCCAAGTTGGAGTAGAGACTTGATTTGTGAGGTACTTGACACCTGGCGTGATTACTATTGCATGGTGTCTTAATCGCCGATAAGCGACACTTGTTGTCACCTGTCATCTGCTCTTTGTCCGGTGGTGGATCGCTTTTCGTGTGTGCGCTGTGTGCGCTGTCCTCCCCCCGTGCTCCCCGCGTTGTCTTTCCCATTTCCCCCTTGAAACGCGGATTCAGCCACGCCCTCGCCTCCCGGTTAGCGTTCTGCAGCTTTCTTGCCAGATTGGGAAATAAATTCATATCGGATGGGCGAAAGGGGAGGGAGAGGGAAGAGCGCAGAGTCACTGCTCGGTATCGGTATCGATCTGATCTCTGCAAGTTTCTCGGTCTCTTCCTGACCTTCTGCCTATCCTGTAATACACATCCTGGTGCAGCTGTGAGGATATCGTTAACGTCCCGCCCCCATCGCCATTCAGCCGACTCTCTCTTTTGTTCGAACCGACTGGTGCCGAGGACGCGCAACAATCGAATCGGAGCAAAACGAGACAGAGATATCCACGGTTCAAGGCTCGAGGGTTCGTTTTTCTACTCAAAGTCGTGGTACATCGTCATCTCTAACGATAACAACACATAGGCTTTGAAGGTTAACTAGATAGTCGCTGAATCATAGAGAAGAGCCACGAAACATCTTGGTACAAGCTGGTTCAAGGTGAGCCGGCTAGAGTGTCGGGTCGAGCGTAGACAGGACATGTCTGACGGTGTTCATATAGAGTTTTACCACGAAGCTAGACTCGTCTGCAAGCTACATACGAACCGAGAAGAACGACGATCGAGTTTAACTTTAGGACCACCAAGAGGAAGTGCTACGACACTGGTACGGATCGATTCCGAACGCGGTCTGCAGTATTAGACGAACACTCGCTCGAAACCTAGGCGACCGAGATAGCGTTCATAATCTCGACCTGGATCTTATCATTGCAAAGCTCTTCTACGGAATCTTTGCGTCCATTTATCTTTTTATACGACACCAGAGCTCAAAGCTCTACACCCTACTTCATCAAACATTTGATTTCATACCACACGCGCTACACCTCGTTTCCTCTCGACCTACATTCGAACTATCCTTCATCTCGATTCCCATCTCGACTGGAGCCACAAAACCTCGACCTTGAAGTAGCCTCTCGATCTACGAAAAGGACTCATAACTTACCCAATCGACTCAACAAGACCGAACGACGATACCGGCATGATGTCAGTCGACACCGCAAATTCTACCTCTCGAGCGAGCCCAGCTAGCACAAGCGGGATAACCATCTCGAGGAACAAGCCCGTTAGCGGGTTCACGACCACAGCTCCTTTGGATCGGAGTAAAGGAGGTCACGCTTCGACCGTCCTTGGGACCGCTTCGAGTGCCGGTTTGGGGAGTCCGCTTACCACGACTCCTAGTACGAGTGCGGGTGGAGTAGCTGGAGATAAGGACGGGGAGAGCAGTGCAAAGATCGTCTCGGCGATGATCATCCCTGGAGAAGGACAGGGGACACCGGGTCCCAACTCGAGTGTACCGGCTGCGTCTGCTCGAGCGGGTTCTCACGGAAACGGGACCGGGAGTGGAAGTGGGAAAGGATGGGCCTCGGGGTATTCCACCCCCGAAGCTGGGCTGGGGGACTTTAAGCGAAAGAGGGATCAAGCCGCACAAGCACATGCACAACAACCATTGAGGGCCCCGGTCAACCCGGCAAACTATGAATACAGCTCTGATGAGATGGAAGAAGACATGGCGGACGACGATTCGGACGAGGATATCGAGCGGGAACCTTTACCTGGCGAGAACATCTTTTCCAGGATCAGAGGAGGCTCAGAGGAGGAAGAGGAGGATGGGACCGTCCTCGTTCAACGTCGAGCTGCTGGGCATGGAGCCGGGGACGAGGTGGACGAGCTGGAGAGCGTGAACGGGGACGGGGCAGAACCGGGCAAGTTGGGCCAGGTCAAGAAGATCAAGTTGGTACTCAACAATGGGAAGTCGAAAGCTGGGAAGATGGTCGTGGGGCCGGATGGCAAGGCGAGAAAGAGGTCAGTCTCGAGTGGTCTCGTTTCTTCTCCCTTTCCTTTTCGTTCTGCGTTAGGTCGGGAGATCGAGGTCGACAGTGTGGAAAGGAGTAATCGAGCACGGAGTCGAAGTCGAGGGGGTGACGAGGAGATACCTTTGCTTTGACACGGAGAACCGTTCCAAAGGAGGCTCGCGGGGTAGCCAAGGGGGGACGCGAGTGGGGGTGAAGGTTAGCTTGGCACATAAAACAAGATTATCAGATGCGGGTTTCAGAGAATTGGGTTATAGAACGGTCGTCTTATTTCCCGGGGCACAAACGAGCTGACACCAACACTTCTTTACATTATTTGTCTTATCTTTTATCGCCGTCACGCTACATACACTCGTTCGTCAACATACCGATGCTGGCCGCATGTAACCCGCTGGACATTTTCATCTCCAACTACTCGACCACCCTCAAATCCGCCTCGTCCGCCGGGAAACGCCTGACCGCTCCTGCTTCCGTATTCGATGCTCCACCTCGGCGACCCCGACCTCGACGATACGATTCGCTTCCCGCTCTACGCACCTCGAAACTGATCGAACGGGTGAAACGTGGATCACCTAAACCTACACGACGGGCTCGGTCGGTGTTCGGGCTGGGTGCGGATCTTTGGGATTTGGACACGTCCGATGCTGTACTGCGGAATCGACGTGGTCGGTCGTGGCCTCTGATCAAACGGACACCTTCGCCACTCTCCCGGACGATTGATGTTGCCGATACGGACTTTGACAACGACGACGACGTGGATCCGGAAACGCTGGCTCTGGATGACAGTGATGAGAATCGTGCTGTCAAGCGACGCAAGGTTGGCGGAGACGGTGCGAGTGAGGGAAGCGTTCCGCCCAAAGACAAGATCAAGGCCGGCCTGATCGACGGAGAGTTGAAGGTCCCTGGACCTAGACGGAGCAGTGGTGGAAACAAACGGGCCGATCGACCGAGACGGCCACCTCCCCTGGAGATGTCGTCGGGGAACCGAGAACTGCCTCCGCCTTCCGCTGGCATGATGTCGAGCATGAGGAACACAGGGATGGTCAGTCCGGTCGTATCTGGGTTTCCGCTACACCAAGCCGACAAGGTTACGCGAGAGGCAGTGAGTAGTACAGAACACTGGTTTAATCGATAGTTGTTTGGCTAAGAAGATTGTCTCTATCAGTTCCGCAACTCGATGGCTATCAAAGACGCTCAACGATCGCTTATTCAGCAGCGCAAAGAAGGAGCCATCCCGCCCGCCTCGGATCTGCCTGGTGGTGGACCACCTCCTTCAGCCGGACCGCTTCCTACTTTGTTGACTTACATTCCTACGTCGGGAGAGGGGACCGGCAGTTTCAGTGAGCGACGGGGCGACGCCGTCAAGAACAAGGTTAAAGGGATGAAATTGAACACGGGTGATATGTCGAGCGTACGTGACGGTCTACGAGTGAGTCAAGTCATCTTAGCTAGTTGGTCAGTCCGGTTTCGGGTAGTTCGCTGATAGACGTGTCTGAGCCAGACCGCACCGTCCGGCAAGTTTGACGGACAATCAGGGGACGAAGCAGAAGATGACGACGAGTACGACGCTCGTGAAGCCGCCGGATATGACGCAGAAGGGAACAGTTATTACGAGATGGAGAAAAAACAGCGTGCTGAAGAAGCTGCCGCTGCTACGTCCGGAGACCCTTCCGTCAACGCTCGTGGGCAGCCTCGCACGGCGTATCCGGCTTTGGGTTCGAGTTTGCAAGCTCAGCAAAAGGGCAAGGGTCCGTCGAACCGAGGCCTCCCTTCGTCGTTGCACATTCCGCCTTACAGTCAACGCACCGCATCTCAGCAGCATCCTGGACCACCCGGTCATCCCGACGGGCCTGTACCTGATACTGCCGGGGGCCGACCACCACCTGGTATGATGCCTCACCCTGGCTACTACCCATACCCGGGACCTCCCCCTGGACATCCCATGGCTGGACCTCCGGGACGAGGGATGCCTGGCATGCCTCCCGGTTACCACCCTGGACAATACGATCGCGAGCGGGACGCTTTCATGAGCCATTTCGCCAAGTTCTACGACGCTCTGCTTGATTCTACCCAGCTTCGAGCTGATCTGGCCACCAAGATCCACAAGGCCAACGAGCTCGTCGGAGCCCATCAGATCGAGCTCAGAAAGGTGGAGAACTTGAGGCAGCAATACGAGGCCGCGTTGGCCGATCTGAAGGCGCGCACGGACAAGGTTTTGGGGCCGGGTGAACCCAAAACGGGAGGTAGTGGGACTTCGGAGGCAGGTGGGGCCGCCGCTGCTGGTTCGACAAGGCCCAAGAGCTCGACAGGACCTGCTGGTGACGTCGAGATGGCCTCCTCATAGCGGCACATCATACAGGCGCAAAGGTCGTGCATACATGTGAGATTGCGATTGATTTCGGGAGAGAGATCGCAGAGTCGTGTTTGTAACAACAGTTCGAAAATGGAGAGCTGTCGAGTGGTGTTGGAACTCGAGCTACTAGTAGTAATACAGTGTATATATCCCCGGTACACATTCACATTCCAAACAACTTGCTTATCCTCAACCGCGTTCCTTCCCACCCGTCCAATGCCGGTCGTACATCGAGGTAAAAGCTGAGGTTGCCTGGTGCAGGCGAGTTGGGTCCGGGTTGGACGCTCGAGGGAGGTCGACCGGAGTAAAAATCGATCACGTAACGGATCTCCTCGCCGCATCGGTTGATCACCCAGTCATGGCGGTCGAATGGAGCCGTGTAGCTGTAGCCATAGAGATGATCATCGGTTTAGTACGGTCAGATCTTAATTGGGCCAGGCTCGAGACTTACCCAAGAGCAACGTTGATCCACGCCTTTGGCGTCCTCTCCTTCGGCCGACCTTTAAAGCTGACTAATCGGATCCCTCCACACTTGTCCCCTCCCTGACCCGCTTCCCACTTCAAGACCTCTGCCCAAGCTTTCTCGTTGACGGCATTGTGAATCGGTACGATGGTCTGCATGTCAGCCGGATTCGGGGGGTTCGAACCGTCCGAGTAGAGACCGGCTTGGTGTTTCCGTAGCATGGCTCGGAAGAATTGGCCCTCGGACGGGTAGACCCATTTATTCTCCTCGGATGTGGCATCGGAAGAAGAGTGACCAGAGGGTGTTTCTGATGCTTGTGTCGAGCTCGAGGCGACGGGTGATTCCGGAGCATATCGAGGGATGGAGGAGACGACCCTATCCTCGGACAATCGTCGTACCCGTTTGCCAGAAGGTACAGGGCCGGCGGGAGCCGACGAGCTCGAATCCTGGTCTGTGGACGATGCAGCGTCCTTGAAGCCTTCTACTGCCTGGGCTTTAGGTTGGAAGGGCGAATCCCGACCCGGGTTAGCAGCTAGCCAAGCAGCTCTCGTCGAGTGGTCCACGGGACACCTGTCGGCCGAGGCGTCCGCTGCTGCAGGAGCCGATGCAGGCGTAGCGGCAGGCTTGGGTTGTTCCTTTGATCCCCAGAGACTCCCGAACATTGTGTGACGTTGCGTAGATGTGGTAATGGTGATCAGATCGGTAGAGTTGAAAGATGAGGTGGACTTTGAACTTTGTCAACTTATTTCGACCTTGGGTCGATCGCTCGGCCGGGACCCGAGAGCGCGCTTGTCGTCCGCGCTTCTGTTGCGCCCAATCAGGTAGGTGGCAAATCGGTCAATCATGACAGTCGAACCTAGGTGCTTCTGCACACGCTATACCGGCGCATGTTACCTCGCCAAACCACTTTTCTCATGTTTCCAGTGATTGACTCCCCGCTACATAGCCATAGCAGACCAGCCTTGGCGTAGCAGAAGCTCAGATGAAAGGAGCAAACGGGGTTCGTGAGCAGGCCTTGGCGTTGTCTATAGTGCAGAGATGCCGCGCACGCAAGATTGTACGCAATTTGCTTTGATCACGAGACCAGCGCTTCCCTTGAGCTATCCTTTCCCGAACCTCGGGGCACGATCGACAGACACTCGCAGCAGTTGGTGTGCGAGCATACGAGTATATAGTTGAGAGAGACTCGGGTTCACGCTGTGGACACCCGATACTGCCGACTTTTCCTCACATATCCGACCACCAAGTGATGACACTGTTCGAGAAGTTCAGCCCAAAATCAAGGCGCCCGAGTCACAAACCTCGTGACAAGTCTCAACAGGTCGGTAGTGAGCGGGGTCATCCGGGAACCGTGACGAGGGTAGTGAAAGGCCAGAAGCTAGGGATTCTAGCTCGAGTGAGGGTGCAGGGAGCGGAAGAACACGCTCAGAATGAACGGACCCAAACTATAGCTGATGAGCTGGAAGCGAGAACAATCGCAGAAGTGCGCGAACATCTTGCGTCCGAACGTGAGGGATTGTGCGTGATCCCGATCTCGCAGGCGGATGCTGAGTCTGAAGCCATCGAACGGATCCGGAAAGAGGTCTCAAGCTGTGACGCCTACACCAATGGCCAGCGCACTTTCCAAGAAGTTTGCGCACAAGTCTGCGAGTCGATACAGACTGGCGGATATTCCGACAGCTCGGTGGAAGTGAAGGAGGATCCCGCCATGATACCTGTGGTCTTTTCTGTAGTATAATTCTATGATCATGTAACTGGTTTCCTGTAATTGCATGTGGTTCCCCTCACATAATCCTGCCCTGACACAAGCGAGGACCTAGTTGGCCAGTACCGCTACAATATGTCTGCCTTCACCTAACTGCATCTCATTACCGTAAGTTTACCGATATCACAGGTTCCAGTACGAGAGTTTAAGGCTAGAAATTTCTAAGGAGGGTCATTGCGGTAAAAGTTAGATATTTTCGACTAGGCGAGCAGTGAGGAAAATGATCTGAGAGAAGATTCGAGGTGATTATAGAAATTGCGTTTATTCAGGCGGCCTTCTACGAGAAAAGCCAGCGTCAACCCATTTGGGCAAAACAAGAGGAATGCGCTACAATCCTTGGGCATACTGACGAAGCATCACAATAATACCTCGCTTGGTACCCAGAATCGGGAAGCGTGGCAATGCTCACAATGTCGAAAGCCGAATCGCACAGTCAAGTTTTAGATTTTGGGTGAAACCCCCACTGATGCGGGCAGGAATGCGTCTGCGGGCAATCTTGGGTGTCAGGGAAGGCGCTCCTCGGCATCAGCGGTCTCGGCTTGAACGGATTCGGTCGCGCCATCGTTGCGTTATCTCTGGGCAACGTACTACCTTTCATTATGCATGCTTGCTCGTCACATTGAGCAAATTTGCCTGTTCTACCCGTCATTGCGAGGGAGCCCTGCAGGCAGTGCAGCGACTGAGGATCAGCTGAAACATGCTTCTCGAAAGGGATGAGACTCTCCTTTGTCGTCGTCTCAACCTGCTGGTTCTTGGTTCTTGACGAGGACGGAGGCAAGTATCCCGCCGTATTCGTATATAGGCCTGTAAATCCTGCCTCGACGAAATGTTACTCCACGATCGATTACAGATTAGATCGTATAACCCGCAGTCTAAACGAAACGCTACGAATGGTACGCCTGAATTTTAATATGTCAAATCTTGCTAATGCTCAACGGTTCGGCAAAAATCGCATGAGTTCTGTCGAGTCAGGACAGATCGACACCGGAACCGGACGATCGAGCACTCAGGCTCCCATGACACCGGATCTCGCCGAACGCAAACCGCGTCCTGAGGTTTTCGGGCTGGTGAAGAAAGAATCAGATCGTTACACTCGTCTCAATTGGCTCGAGCCAGGCAATGTGCAGAGCGGATACTGGATTTCTGGCCCGAACAACGTGACAACCTGGGAGAATGGAATTGAGAAGGAATGGGTTTATCAACCTGGAGCTGACGAGTGGGTCGAGGTGTGGAAGGATGGTAGTTTTAGGCGTACGGAAGGCGACATGCATAGGGCCGTGGTCCGAAAGGGCGCTGGATGGAAATTCGCTGCCGCCGCGGAGAATGATATCCCGTCCGACGTGAACACTGTCTCGACCAGCAGCATGTCCGGCATCGACCACATTGGTTCGACCAGTCACGACACCAGGATCGTAAACAGCCACGATGACCCGGAGGGAACGGCTCCACCTTCGACCACCACCACCTCTTGAACACGAGGGAATCTGATGATTCTATACCTGCTCGTTCTGTTCGCTTTCCACAATGTATAATAGCTCTGCGTCTAGTTGTTGTTGTAATTCTCCGCTTCTAGTGATTGTCATTTGCATTTCTATTGATCTAGCCAGTTCCGGTCCGTATTCTTGACGTATCCATTACTCTCTCCAAGACGGCTTCTCCGAATCCGACCCGGTCCATTCATCGTACAGCATTGCTGCCCTTGCCCCGCTCCTCTATCCGTTCAGCTCAGCGATTCCCTTCAACCCGATACCCATATCCGCCCGCCCTCTCCCCAGCTCCTCACAGCCCCTTAACCCTCCTTCTCGAATACAACCACTCCATACCTGAAATTCCCATTCCCGAAACCCCTTCGCATCGCCTGGAAAGCCCTCAAGAACGCTACGACATCCCTGCCTTGCGAGAAGGCAAACGCCCAGAGGGAAGGGGATTGGATCAGGGAGAGGGAGATGTCCCTGTTGAGCGTGTGGAGGCAAGCATGAAAGGAAGTCAGTTTGAGCCAAGGGAAAGTACGGCGGGCAGTAGCAGGACAGAAGCGAAGGTGGAAAGTCCGGGGCTTACCAAGTCCTCTTCACATTCGCGCTGACATCCATCGCCTCTCCACCCTCCCTGACCCTCAACCCGTTCTGTTCGGCCTTGTTCAGGTAGCCGTCCATGGTATCCAAGGGCGGCAACAACATGCCCACTTCGATCGGGTCGATGTCCTCGTCGAATTGCTTTTGGGTAAGATCGGGGGCTTTGAGCCAGTCGGCGATGACGAGCTTGCCCTTTTCCTTTTCAGTAGAGTTGTTGTCGTTTTGGTTTTTGAGCAAGAGGGAAGAAGAGCGGAAAAACAAGTCCTTGTTGGGGAGGTGCGAGAGGGCTTCGGAGATCCAGACGATATCGAAGGTGCCGTGAGGAAAGTGATCCCCCATCTTTTCGGCGTCGAGTTGGATGTACTGGACAGAACCTTTCCCGACGGAGATCTTCTCGCCGGATCGATCTTGCCCGGTAGCAACAGTTTGAGTGGTAGAAGATCCATTGGTACCGGCGACCAGCTTGTCGGTAAGCTCGTAAGCGATCTTGATCTGCTCAGAACTGATCGTCACGCCCGTCACGTCCCATCCGCGTTGTTCGGCCAGATAACGGGTCGTCCCGCCTACCCCACAACCGACGTCCAGCACTCGGAGTTTGAGGGGTTGTTCATTGGTAGATTTGGAAGCGGGTTGAAGGTGAGAAGGAAGACCGAGCTGTTGGGCGTAGTCCGGGGAGCACTGGTGTCCGGCTCGGGAGAGGAGGAGCTCGATGAGGTGCACCTGAGCGATTTCTTTGGTGAGATTGTCGGTCTCCGGGGTCCAGTATCCCTGAAAGTTCGATAAAACAACGATCTTAGCAACGGTACTTTGCGACGAACAGGTGTGACAGAGCTTGCATGGTGGATATGTTGACCCCTGCTCGACACATTCCAGAGCAAGTCTCGTCTCAGCCATAATTCCTGACAGCTTTCAAATAACACTTCATATTTCTCACTCACCACAAGCTCAGGTAGTAGTTGGAACAGATATCGTAATGCGACTTGATCCTATCCTTCAGCGACGCAAATGAGGTTGCAGATGACGAGTCGTCCGCAACATCGGCCGGCTGTTTGGCCACGGGGATGGCCGGCGGGGCAGCGGTCTCTTGGGAGATATCGATGGTCATGGTTCAGGGCTGATCGTGAGAGGCTGCAATGGACAGAGTTGGGGATGAGATGCGAGTTGTGATGGAAATCGATATGTTACCCAAAAGTTGAATCGACGTCGACCATCCGAATGTGTTCGATCGACGAGAATGTGTGCGTGCTCTCGTCATCAAACGAGGATCGGGACGATATCGGATGTAAAATGATACCGGAAATCGGAAGCAAACACGTAATCGCCTGACGTAAGATCCAGCGCGCTCTGCGCCCCCATCAACCCTATGAACGATATCGGATCGACCTCGACGTCGAAACCAAATCTGAGGGAGGGAGCACAGTCAGGCTCGCAGGCTCGAACAGTCTTGGAAAGTATGCTCATGTGCCAGAGACCTCTTATGAAAGGGTCTGGACGATGAGATCGGCAAGATCACCGCTACGTCTTTCACGTATCGCACACTGGTTTTAGCAGTCCAGTTCTGATACACGTACGCGGATACCCTCGACCTACCTCGTGATGTTTCGAGTGTTTCCCATGCTCTGCCCAGGCCAAGAATGTTTTGTCGAGTTGAACCATTACGTGACTCACCGAAACCTACGCCGAGCTTCCTATCTATATCCCTTCCAGACTGACCCGAAGGCGTTTAGACGTGTGTCTCTTATCTCCGGCGGACCTAAGATTTGGTGAGGGCGATTGAGCTACATTAGCGTTGATCAGCATGATCAGAGATACTTCAATAAATATATAAGTGTGGCATCAGATCAACAGCTGCGAATGATTCGACGGTGCGCAAACCAGATTCCCTGAACAAAAGACATAACCAGCGAATCAGGACTGTCAGCCATCCACATCGCCATGCCAGCCAAACGAGCACAAGCGCCCATGGATCTAGGAGACATTCTACTCTACATCGCAGGTACGTCGCGCAACAGCCTCATCGTCGGTAAAAAAACAGAACATGCAAGCGCTGATCTCTTCCTGCCTTCCTTCGATCAACCTTGTGCTCGACTTGTAGCCATCTTCGTCCCCCCACTACCCATCATCGCCAAACACGGCTGCTCCGCACAGATCCCCCTGAACATCCTGTTGTGCATTCTCGGTTGGATCCCAGGAGTGATCCATGCGTGGGTGGTCATCTCCAGAAACCCAGCTCGGCCGGAATTGTACCCACCCGCCTACTGAGCTGATCTAGAGTTGGTCATGAGGCAAGAAGTAAGCCAGGCCAGAGTTTGACACTTCGCCTTGTGATAGGTGCAACAGCTCATGCGCGATATAGATTGCAGATCACCGGACTCGCCTCTAAGACACGATTCTAGCAGGCCTTCGAGGTCTCCGGCCACCCTTCGATATTGCCTGCTCCTGTGATTGAACTTTGTACCGGATAGCAAAGTTGAGCTGTAACAAACTCGGATATCCTATTCTCTTGACGATACATATTATGCTCGGACCCTGGTTCTCGTTGACCAGCATCCCGGTTTGTTGATGAAGAACCTTATGTGATCATGATGCGAATTGTGTTTGTGTAGTCATCGTAAAAGAGCGCAACAAGGCCGCTCCGTAATACAGGTTGCGATGTGGGGTAGGAATACGCGATCCACACGCCTCTCGTGATTTCGAACCCCGTTGTGCTGGTGGCGGGGTCCCAACGTATGTGCGTACAACTATAAAAGCGGGCTGACCTCTCCTCATCGCCCGTGATTCGGTCCATTGTGACCATCCTTCACTTCTTCCCTGGTACCTTATCCTCAAGCACCACCTCTTCGTGCCATCTCCATGACCTTCCACCCGCCCGTCTCGGTGTTATCCAGCTCGCTCTCTTCCAGCGTCAACACGGCCGCATAGACGACCGACTCGACCCCGTCCGGACGACCGACGACGACCTTGCCGTCCTTGGCGGATCGGAAGAGGAGGATCTCTTGCGTGGCAAACGTGACGAGGAAGACGGGAACGTCGTTCTCGAGGATCTTGCCGGTGGAAATCTGGTGCGCGATCGGTGCAGGTCAATATGGGGCAAAGGTGTCGAAATACGAAACGGGCGGGCTCACATCTACGCTACGGATATCCAGGACTCGGCTGTCCGATACGAGGCCCTGCTTCAAGTACTGTTCCATCGTTGCCCACAACATGTTGTATGTCTGGGTAAACGCAAGTTGTTTCCACAATTCCCCTGTCAGCTCCCTCTCCTCCTGCTTGACACACCTCCAACCGAACCCGAACTCACAGCCTCCCCACACCACATCTTCAAGCTCTCCTTGTCCGCATTTAAATACGCATCCACCACCTCGGGGACGATATACTCCCTCAACTCCCGCTGGAACGCCTCCATCTGGAAATCCGGATCCAACGCCCTGATCATCCTGATCACCCTCGCCGTCTCGTTCTCTTCAAACCATCCTCCTACGGTCGATGTCACGCTCCGCAGGGTGGACACGACGGGGTTCTCGGACTCGTAATACTGTTCCTGCCAACGTTGGTACGCTTCACTGCGTTTCAGGCGTTGAGACCAGGTGTCCTCGGGTTCTTGTGTGGAGGAGAGGACCAAAGCCTCTCCAGCTTCCGGGTTGGCTTCCACCCGTTTCCTCTTGCCGCTCAACCCCGCCTTCTTGAGCCTCTCTTCCCGTCGTTTCCTCCTGACCTCCCTGTCCTCGTACCCTCCGTACCTCGAACTCTCCTCGAAGGCTTCTACCACGCTCTCGCTCAAAGCCTTGTAGGCAGCCGTGTTCCTCACGGGGGCCGTGGCGGTAGTGACACCCTGAGAGATCGCAGCGGACGTCTTGGTGAGTTGACGCATGAACTCGGAATCTTCCACTTGTTGTAATGCGTCGGAGACACCGTCAGAGATTCGGAGACCTTGTCGTTTCATCTCTTCAGCGGCGGCTCGGAGTTTGGGGTTTTCCTTGATCGAGGCGACGATCTGCGCGTCGAAGCAAAGTCAGAATCAAGCGTCGAGAGTTGACAGCTCAACGTCAGCATGTATCCCAAAATATAAAACAGGTCAAGATAACGCCGAGACTCACCCTCGACCTCTCATAAGCCTCCCTAGCCTTTTTCATGGCCTCGCTATCCGCAAACTTGTCCACATCTCCCTGAAGCTTCTTGACATCTTCCTGCAACTCTCGGTTCTTCTGAATCTCCTCTTTGAGCGTCTGAACGAAGACCTTGAACGGGGATTGAGGTGGGAGGTTGGATCGTTCGTTCTGATGGCGAGGAGAGGTGTGGAAGGAGGCGGTAGAGGAGAGGAAGGGGGAAGGTTGTGTTGATGACGACGACGTCCAGTTGGGAGCGAGTGATGTTCGGACGGAGATCGGATGGGAGGGGAGGACAACCGGTCGGATAGGGTTGCGGCGGAGGTGCAGGAGTTGATGGATAGGTCGAGATCGCATGATTTTAGATGCTTGCTATGCTAAAGATTCTATAAGGAGAATGATCAGAGGAATAGCTGTTGAGCAAGCAAGGATCGATCTTGTCGTGGTTTGCATGGTTTGGGACCATGTTCCAACTTTTGCCCGACACCAGAGGTCCCCATTTGCGTTTGCTCGATCATTCTCTCCCGGCGCGAGTGTGGATGCCGAGAGAGTGACGGCATCGCTTGAGGGTCGACCTCCTTAAAAATAACACCCAGATGAGATGACGCGTGAGAACGAGCGAGAGAGTGAGCCAGGTCCAGGCTGCCCACTCTACCTCTAAGATGCGCGCTTCTAATTGACACATTGCGCTTCGGACTTTACTTTCCGCGAATTACACGCACGCCTCCCCCTCTCACCGCCCCCTCGCAACGACCTCATCTCGTGCCCAAGTCATGCGATCGACCCAAATACACCTGCCTTTGCTCTGGCTCTTCACGACAACAACGCATCAATAACGTCTAGTACGCTCGCTTTCGACTTATACACTTCGTCAGATCCAACTCGGCCGCTTATCCGTTCTCTGGGCTTTGTTTTCTGTCACTCCGTCTAGTTCGTCAAGATGGGTAAGGTTCACGGATCCCTCGCTCGTGCCGGAAAGGTCAAGTCGCAAACTCCCAAGGTGGAGAAGCAAGAGAGTGCGTATCATGGATGTTTGCCGCTGGATCGTCGGAAGAGATGGGAGGGACTGGAGGAGAGAGGCGCCGGTTAGGGGAAGGATTGGAAGGCTGATCTGGGCTCTCCTCTCTTTCTATTTGCTCTTTTCGCTGGCTACTACCAATCTGAACGGCTTCCCTTCGACCATGTTACTTTCGCATAATTTGACGATCTTCGAATAATAAACTGGAATCTACCTCGAACCATCAATGAACCGATGATGACGAACAAACCGGACCTACAACTTATCAATACCGTCTACAATTCAATCATTCTCTGGGTCACCCTACCAACCACTCGAAACCTGTCACTGCTATGACCACTTGCGATGATAGAGCCCAAGCGACCTAAGGGTCGAGCGAAGAAGAGGGTTCAGTACGTCAGGCGATTCGTCAACGTCACCACCGCCCCCGGTGGAAAGAGGAAGATGTGAGTGTCCCTTTCCTCCTTTTTTTCTGTCTCGCTTCTTGTTTCCTTGGAGGGACCACCATCATCCAATCAACCCACACTCGCGTGTTCGAGATCGAACAAGCCGATTTCGATCGGCCCAACTACGTACCGGATATTCCGCGCAACATTCGCAAACGCAAACAAGCACATAATCTCAAAGGGGGTGGCCCGTCGTGCCAATGATGATACCGATTACTTTAGCATAGTTCATACTTACCCTGCCTTTGGGCGGGAATGGTGACGAACCAATATCTTTCAAATGTCTTTCGCTCCTATCTGAACGACCTCGACACCCACCCACTTTTGCGTGTTGTGTTATCCCCCTCAACATCCCCCTCGCGGATCAAACTGGAACAAGTTTGTTTGTCGCAACAGAAGGCTGATTCGAATGACTTTGCTTTGCTCTTTCTCTCGTCGACCTCGCTCTCGTGTTCGTGGGATAATAGGAACCAGCAGCCCGCCGGAAAGTCTGGTTAAACGTCAACACGGATCGTGCGAGACGGAAATTGGGCATTTTTGGGGTGGATGGATTGGATTTGGGTCTTTGTATTTGCTACGGATATACATTGCCCGTCTACTTCAAACTTTGGTCGTGTGGGGTGCGGCACGTTGTGCTGCAGGCCGGGAAGTCTCATCGGCCGAGTCTGTGTCCTGTGAGCGATGGATCAGAAAGCGTGCATTTAGGTAATAGTACAACTACAGACGATTGATAATACAACGGGGTGTTACGAGTCTAAAAGAGCTTTCGGATGATCCATCAACAAGTGCCTGTTGCGACACAAGGAAAGAATACCATCGCATAAGCTAGATTTTGAGTCTCAAGCTTTGTCTCGAGATTGCTTACCGAGCTCGAGCAGGAGGAGGTTGGAAGCGTTGAAATTGTACTTTTTCTTCAAGAGCTGTCGAGCGTATCCATCTGAGCCAGAAGAACCGTGAACTCGTCAGCGATATTTCTAACGTGCACTCAAGGTGTGTGGAAAGCTTACCGTTATACAGCCTGTGTGTAAACCGCATCGACACAGAAGAATGCTTCAAGTCAGCTGACGTTCGCTTGTAAGAGTCGGCCAGTGTCAAGGGCTCACCCGTTAAAGTAGACTTTGCCCAGCAGAGCGTCTGCTTTTCGGTACCCCTCGATCCCACCGTCGAAGAAACCTAGTCGACGTTTCTCAAAGCTGTGTGCGGGCAAGGCGATGCGTCAGACCACGAGACGGCGGTTGACCGTGCTGGAAGAGGTATCGCGGTAGGGCTTACAATTGCTGTTCCATACTGTCGTAATAGAGACGAAAGGGTAACAAAGATCATTCAGCGAACGTCGTCGGTCTTCTATGCGATGAAGATAGCGGACGACCTACATTCTCACAGCACGAGGGTGCATCTCCCCTAATTCGTCCACATACAGCCTGTTTTCGAATGAGATCAGCTTGACGACCCCATGCCCATTCCGAATCGTTGACCTGCGGAAGGAAGAGGAACGAGGGAGACTCACGGTGAAGCGAAGAAATCGAAGATGGCGAACAAGACGTCTTCGCAGGTGATTCCCATCCTGTTCCTCACCCTGTCGTAGCCACAGTCAACACACAGCACGTCCCCATCAATCGGCTCTAGTCAGTTAAGAGATTGGAAGAAAGAAAACGATCGGACACAGAATAACTTACCGGACACACCAACCCGTCTCGACATGCCCCAAATTCAACTCCTCGACGATCGGAGAAGTAGCCGGTTGACCCCTTTCCTTGATCCCTGCGCATGACAAACGTCATCATGTGATGACTCGTCAGTACTGCTTACAACTTCGGCAAGGGAGGTATCTAGGGAAAGAGGAAGGGATAGCAGCGGGCTCACACTCGGTCTCGGTATCATCGTAATCCACCCAAATAGCTGCGAACTGCGGGTGTTCGGTAATGTTATAGGCGAGGTACTATTCCGGACAACGAATTCGATTGATCAGATATCACGTTTGCATCGAGAGAGGTTTCCTGATATGGAACGGGAGAAGGGAAAGGAGGGGAAAGCGAGGCGGGACTGACTTTGGCGTATGGTTTCTTGTCCCATCCTTGCAAGTTCAATAGAGCTGCGATACGATACGTCACGAATGGGTTGCACGAAACGAAAATGTGGTATACTGTCAGCCTACAGCCCATCCTTTACGGTTTTTGGAATTGGAGGGAGATGGTATGCTTGAATGGTCGGACGAAGGAACGCTTACGGTGGATGATTAGCGGATCTTGCAGCTGAGCCGCTTGCAGGTAAGAGAGCACTGGTCCGTATCCCGGCCGTCTACATATCGATCATACAGTCCGTGTCAGTACGGAGCGAATCTACAGCGACCGAACGATGTGTGATGCTTACGAGGGCTTGAAAGGACCTATATATCATCCGAATCGATGAGCAGTACTGTGAGTGGTATTCAGTGCAGATGACTGTACGAGTCCGAGCTGCTTACCGATGATAATCGCTGGATCTCGGTAGCCGTCATGACCGTGGATGATAACAGGATTTGAGGACATTCTGGTGGGTGGGAGCCCGAGTTTGACTCGTTATCGAATTAGGTTGGTGGCAATGAACAACACGATTGAGTTAAGCCGTTCCTTCGCTGGTGGTATCGAAGGTAGGGGAATGTGTAGCTTGATGAGTGATAGGTATGGGTGTCTGTTTGTCGTCCTTTACGATACACTGAACGATGTATCAGAGTTGCGCCGAGGCTGAGGGTGTCAGATTATATTCAGGACGAGGAGGTGTAGGTATCGATCGTCGCTGTCGTCATTTCGAGGGAGATATACGCAATCCGAGGGCGAGCGATCACGCACGCACGTTTCCTTATCTCTAAAAAGCGAGAAGGGAGAATCTCCTTTTGCAGCAGATCAGATCGTCAAAGTTCCTTTGATCCTCTTTTCAGCTCCTTGCGCATAGATTCGGTGGTTGTGCTTTGTTTATATCTGTTGTTTGTTGTGATCGTCCTTTGATGCGAAGAGAACATTCCTTTCAAAGGAAAGCCATCGACCCATCGACCTCCTTTCGATCCCGCGTGCGCGTACTCCGCGTTTCAGATTGTTGAGCCATACCCCGAACACGACCCCCGGGATTAAATCGGCCCGGATACCCGATTGCAAAACCTTCTTCCAGCTTTCACAGGAGGTGGTGACGCGCTCTTTGAGAGGAGCACAAAGTGCCTTTGAGACGTCGGAAGACCCTGGAATCAGTTCTTACCAACTCCGATATGAATAGCACGTACGAGAATAAATGTCCGGGGATGGGAATCTCGTTCCACATGTCTTGCGTCTGAAAGGACTCAGCAGATTGCTCGAAACGACGGGCGAGCGTGCGATTTTCCGATGTCTGTCGGTCTATCGACTCAGTTCCAGACGACGACCTGATGGCAGGCCCCGTCAATCAATATGCTCATCGGCGATGGAGGAATGGCTTTCAATGAAGACATGCGCAGTAAAGACCGTAGCAGTCATGAAAGCCGAAACCGCAAGAAGTGCCCACCTTACCAAGCTTAAAGCGAGGGCATTCGTAGCCGCCGTCATCCTTATGACCGAAAGCGAATCTGCATCCTGTGCATATTTTCGAAGCTGTCTTACAACAAGTCGGACGGTGGCCTGTTCAGATACATATACGTAGAAGCGTCGCTCACGCCGACCTTGCCACGAATGGCACCCTGAGTGTCTCGGTGCACATTTGTATAGTGTAACTGTAGCATCGAATGAAGACCACAGCGTTCTTTTTGTGCTCCGCGGTAACCATCCTATGAAGCAAAGCGGGCGGTGTTACGGATTTGAAAATCAATTATTTCATCTTCCTTTGTGCGAGACCTTTGCGGAGGATGTGTTGTGGTGCGAAAACCGATAAAGCACGGCCTTGTCTCCCTATCGAATCGATGGATAATTCTCGGAAGTATATGAAACTGTAGTCTTTCCATGGCTCATTCGTACATCGTATAGTCTCGAATCATCGATATCACGGGCGAGCCGGTTTATTATCTTTACGGAATATCTTTTCCTGTCCTTGATCATATCCCTTCACCAGGCTTATTTGAATCGAACCTTGTCCGTGGGCTACCAGCATCAGGCGCTGAAAGCCTGCTGACCCTCTGGCGCCATCTCGGGAAGGCCGACGTTCTCGCTCGCCTCACGTCGATCCGCCCAATACTGTGGGCAGCTCTTCCTCGCCCAAGCGTTACTGACAGTATTGTGTGCTCCGCCCGATCCGCAGTACCGGTTGTGGTCGCACGGAGGCATCCTTTCCCAAGAGACCCATTTGTACTTCGTCAAATCCCGGTTAGCAAACTCGGTCTGCCAGGTAGAGTTGACCAGAGGGTATTGGCCGGTGTAAACAGCGTCAGCGCTGAGAACGATGCTCTCCGCCTCGGGACTCGTGTACGGCGTGATCGGCCCAGGGGTATCGAGTCGAGCGGGTAGGACGGTGACCGGGATAACACCATAGTGGGTGCGGCGGTATCCCCTCGCCTTCGGCCGTCTGGGTCGGTACTCTCCTGCCCATGCATCGTCGTCGGTCAAGTCGGATACGGGTGTGGTCGAAGATCCAGCCGACTCTTCTTCACAGGAGAATTGGGTGAAGAGTTGCACTCTAATCAGGTTGTTCAGATCGAAAAAGGTCGACTGGAAGGTGGGCGTGGCGTTCAGAAAGCTGAGGTCCAGATCTTCAATGAGCTTCACGAGCACGACAGCCGTCTCAAAGAAGCGACTCACACGGCAAGGTCTAGATCTAGCGGAAGATGCCAGGAGTCCCTCTCGAGCTTCTTTCCACCGGACTTCTCACGGCCATGCGCCATGCGCCACATCGAACGCCTCATCATGAAACTTTCCTCCTCGCTTTCATCCTCTGCATGCCTCTCCGGATCTGGCCCGCAGATCTGATCCATAGGTTGTTGCCGACGCACTAGGCCACGGCCATTAGGCAGGCTGAATCGTGTAAGCTCGCCGTACTCAGAGATAGATGAGCAACTGTCTGCAACCGCCTGTTGAGATCCGTTTCGAGCGTATCCCATTGCCCAAGTATCATTTCGGCAAGAAGCCAATTCAAGCTTGACGTATACCGGATATTCAGTGCCGTTTCCAACCTTGTCGATGGTGACTTGTACAGGATACGCAGTATCTTTGCATACGGTACACGTCATTTAGCGGGCCCGAACGCACCGTAAGCCAGCCGAAGGTGACTCACTCGAAACCAATTGTCCTTGATTAGGGATAGACAGGCTGACAGTGAAGTTGGCGTCGCTGCCTTCATCCTATTCAACGAGCCATCAGTCTCAAGCACCAACGGATCGACGTACAGCTTGAACTTACACAAGCGGGAAGCCATGGCCCAATATCATAATGGTCAGGTGCCCCAGCCGGTTTCAAGTTGTCTGGTCGAGCCAATGTCACTTCCTTCTGCAAGTCAGAGGAAGCGGTCTGTGCATGACCACCTGGCAAGAAGCCGCTCTGACCAGCAATGACGTCTATAATGTCTCCATCTGCCTTTGTCAGACTGAAGTAATACTCAAACATCCCTTCCACCTCGGATACCTAAAGGAGACGGGACGATAAGATCGCTTATCCAGTCGATTGCCTATCCCACTCACATCGTCGTCGCCGAAGCTGTATGAAATCACGCCATCTCCGAATTGGGGAGGGTACTGTTGATACAGCAGTCTATGCCATTAGAAAGCGCGATTTGTGTCTACACGGAGTCTCTACTCACGTTGGTCAGAGGTACATGGACGTTAAATTGTCGCACTGCGTAGAAGTCGAAATCATTCACGGTCGATGCTGCGGGTTGCTCATTTGCAGTCAGTAGAAGTTGGTGATTCTCGTAGCACCTTTAACGTACTATTTTCGGAGCCGTCATGCAGCTGGAGTTCCAGTTTGTAGTCGAATATGTCCCTTTCGACAGCACGAATGATCCAGAGATTCTTGTCTTTGCGCTTTTCCTCTGTGGAACGAGATGGCATGGCAAGCCTTAGCCCGTTGGCCCCAAGAGTTATTGCACTGCGCAGTACAACTTACCGTACTCCTCCATGAGCTTATGATATGGGTCTTCCGCCCCCTTAGTGCTATGCCAGCCTCCCTCCAGTATAGGGGCGAGACCAGGTTCGTCTTCCGAGTTTTGGTCCGCGCCTCGTACGATGAATGATTCGTTCCATACAGGACGCTCGGGCAAGGTCACGTTGCTAGCCCTGATGGCGACATCTAATCAGAGAACCGAGCATAGAAATCACGCTCCTTGGACTCACGCGAATTTCAGAATGGCTCGCTCTTTGAGACGTAAACCGACTTCCCATTTAACGATCTGGTTGCATTCAGTCCCGTTGAGGTACAATCGAGCATCGGCCGGAGTGGAGAGACCTGGGTAGAGATCAGGCGCCCTGACCCATCCTGCGGGATAACAGTCGAACGTTTTCTCGCTACTTGATGCATGTCGACGAGCAGAGACTGTTGTGGCGATGCCCGACAAGAGAACCGCGAAGGGGATGAGCATCTTCTGCGTCAGACTCTCGATATCGCAGGTAATTTGATGATGAGACTTCGATAGCAAGGGAAAGGGGCATCCCGTCCCCCACTCTCGGTATATATGGGAAATGGAGCCTGGCATGGCCTAGCAGCCGAATCACAGGCACGACATAGCCGAGGTGGCTGCAGCCAGCGCCACGCGGGTGAAACCTTGTTCTTGGCTTGGCGTCTTCCCGAACGAGCAGAAATTGACCGAGCCCGAGGTTCGAAAGCGGTCACGATGAAGTACGCAGGCTGCCTCGCTTGAACAACAATAGCGGAACATGCCGAATAGATCGATCACGCTCGACTACGATCGCTTAGATACGTCGCCGAGGCTGCGTGATATATGCGGTGAGCGCCTTGAGTATGATGTCGTCAAACGTAACATCGTCTTCGAAACAGCGCGGACAACAGCGCGAATAGACCAGTCCGCGCTGTATGCAACACTGCCCCCCTCGGTTCGATACTTTTCGAATGAGGTAGTTTCAGATCTGCTCCATCGCCCAGGATACAGTCCGAGTCGTGAATTTGCTTCCTGCGTTGGCTGGGACCCGGATCGTAGCGATACCCATTGCCTGTGATTCCCAGAACCCTGCTACTCAGCCGTGGAGTCTTTTGATTCTTGCCGTATCACTCACTTTCAGTTGATCCACCTCTACAGGGACTTTCCCGCTCTCCAGATGAACGACATGACTGACCAGTCTCGCTGGCTCGTATTCTCGCTTCAATCTGCCTGAGATCGTTACGGCCGAGATAGAGGTTTCTCTTGAAGTCTTCTTGGCCCGGTTGGCTCCATTCAGTGTGCGGACGATCGTATCCACATAGTCGATAGCAGTATAACCATCGGTTTCTCGATCGTTGTTCGAGTTGACTATGCGTAAACACAGATGACCTTGATCGCTCGCTAAACATCCGGCGGCCTACCTGATCCGAGAAGCACTTACGCAAGAGGACCTTGGCTTTCAGCGTCTTTGACTTCGCTATTGCCGATGCAACTCCCTTGAGGGCCAGACAGGGTACGATACTGGTCCACAAGCTTCCGCAGCTATATACGAGCATGTCGTTGTGAGCGAGGTGTTGAAGCATCTCGGCATTCGGATCGGGCTTGATCTCTTGCCCATAGTCCGATATGTAGAACACGCCTGAAATGCAAGTGGATCGTCAAATTTAGCGAGGTGACCGATACACCGACTGTCTTACTTACGTTCTATCCTCGATGGCAACGGCACTTCCTCGATCCCCTTTGTGTATAGCGAGTTCCGATCGACCGGCCCGTCATCGCTACCATGCTCGGGTATCGTCCTTTCCCTCTTGAACAAGAGTTGCTTAGACTTCTTACTCCTAAGCCTGACCTCTCCCGCAGCCATGGCCACACTCAAAGGGGACTCTCTCCAAGGCGAGCCTTGTCTCTCGATTGGCCTCGGAGTAGAGGCTCCAGACCGTTGACCCGACGTGAGGGAATCAACTGAGGACGAATACTGCAGTAAATCGTCCTTTCCGGGTTCCAATTCAGACTCTGACGTCGAGGTGTCCTCTTCCGACGACGAATCGCCGGTAGCAAAGGACATGGAGTCTTTTCGCCGTCTGTGCTTATTACGGTTGAATGGGGAGCTGGTCTGCGACTCCGGCAGTATCTTGCTTGGTGGAGGAGCGGGATGGGAGATCTCGCATCTACAGCCAAATGAAGGTAAGTTGCCTGTCTTCTTCAAGCACGGGCTAACGCCTTCAACTCACTGTCCGGTGATCAAAAAGCCATTCTCCTGTGAATGAATGAGGGAGGGTGAGCAGAAGACCGAAAGGCTCAATCGAGACGCGATACATACCAAGCGAGCAGCAATCGTGATCCTCTCTGCATCGATACCGATGTCAACCATCAGTCTCAATGCGAAGATACTCACGCTGTACCTTTCTTTGCACTCACGATTGGTCAAGATCACGGGCAAGACGGCCCCTGAGTGTTGCGAATCCGAGACTGCTCGGAAAATGAAGATGGCCCCCGGCAGACCCCCTAGCATGTCCCTCGCTGCAGCAAGGAATGCGTTTCCCACCGAACAATTGCGAAATGAAAAATGTTTATGGGCTCGTTTGAGGATGAGGGTGTTGAAGTGGACGAGGAACGCTAAGCAAATCGACCGGGCGGGTTCAGCTTGACTTCGATAACGAGAAATCTAGATGCAGAGCCGACTCACAACGAATACATTCTCGCCTGTCACTGGGCACATTCTTCCATAACGGGCTCTTCCCCTCGACCAGATCCGCCCACATCTCCCTCGCCTGCCTTTCCGTACAATCCTTCGGGAACCGATGTGCGAACAGATCGTGGACCGCCTGTGTCGTTTGAGCATTCTTTGATGATTCGCCGTTGGGACTCGGAGAGAGTGGATCGTTGGTCGAGGTATTGATGAGTCGGATGAGCCGGGAACGGATATCTCCTATAGCAGGTCCTCCTAGCACTCGAAGGATCTCTGAGCTGCTTCCTCCATCATCACTGACTGAACTAGCACGATTACGACGCATTACATCAATCAGTCAGACGTTATCAAATTGCATCTATGTCGCTCTGCGAGTGACTGCTCTATGACAGCGAACACCGACTCACCTGGCAAGACGAAGGCACAGTTCTCGCCGAACGCGTGTACGAAATCGTTCGCGGCCGTTCCCCCTGAGATGACCACATACGACCTCTTTCTCTTCTCCTCCTCTTTTCCGTCCATGTAGCCCGTCCGAAGTCGACCAGCGATATCCAAGGGGCTGTCGACAGCTAAGGGGCTCTCGACGGGGTCGTCTAAAGAGATCTGATCCATCTGGCTGGGGAGGGTGAACCCCGTAGAGTCTTCTCCTTTCCTCTCCTCGGCTAGTTGTGCTCGGGTGTTGAAGCTGTACCTGTGCATGTTCTGGAGAGACTTGCTAATGTCGTCCATGATGAGATGGTTCGTGCTTCGCAATCGAGGAGATGCTGGTGGTTAAGGGTCGTCGATCGTCGAGACCGTTTCCTGGCTTCCTGTTTCGCTGAAGAGCTCTCCAGCTTCCCTCGCGAGAGTCTGGCCCAGCTACTCGATTACCTTGTTCGATCCCTATGTTCGGAGCGGCACTCTAGGCTCTTATTACAGCCTTCAGGCTATTGCGTACGGGTATCCAGGTATAACGTCTTCCCAAGGTAGATACGGTACGGCGGCTCGGCGGCTTCAGCACGACCACTCTGGGTCAGGGACGACTTCGGTCCGGCATTTACGTAACGGGTCAGCCATCGACCAGATCTGGCGGCATAGATTGGGTTGAGATGAGGTGAGAGAGTCCGATCTGTTATGTCGGATATGGTATAGAATAGTCGATGTAAGTAGGCATTCGGAGAATTCCCTCATTCAGCTGTAATCTCGTACTGTCGAGCCGAATCATCCCCCTTTCATGCATTCGCTGTGTCACTTGCGCTTTCGGCTGCGAGCGAGGTTCTAGAGTTCTATCTTGTGCCTTTGTCAAAGACAATTACGGCCTATGGCGAGGAATCAATCGGCCATATGGCTCAAAACTAGTAGTTATACCCATTCGCAATGCTTTGGCTGATTGTGCTGACATGGTCCAGGCATCGAATTGCGTCATCGAGATGAGGATGATGATGGCAGATCAGATCAGTTCAAATGGCTCATCAGGCGCGTCCAGGGTCACGTGCTCGACTATCGACGACGGGCTTGACCGGCAAGTCACTCAGCCAACTTGCATCATAGCCATAGCATCATACATCATGCAATCATCAACTTTCATCGTCAAAGTTACGACCACACTTCGTCAGCCTTTCAGCCTGTGCGACCTGCGCAAAGGTCTTGGATCATAGTAGTAACATCGTCCAGTATACCTATCTTGAACGCCCACCGGCTTATCTTGACTGTGTCTCCAGCTGCAAGTGTCTTAACGAGCTTTCATCAATGCGATCGTGCGAAATCCAGCTGACAACCTGGCATTGGATACATTCAGATACCTATAAACACGCAGAGTCACCCCTTATACCGATTCGATAGCCTACCAGTGGCCAGTGGCAGTCGCATCCTATCTGGCTAGGGGTGAAAGGATTTCAAGAATCACGCTCGCACTTCTTTCCCTGAATCACGCTCGCACTTCTTTCCCTGATTCTCGTGAACATTTTCCAGGCGTATCGTAATCTCACTTCCTTTCCGTCTGGGCTTTTGGGCGATCGAAGGACGAGGTCAGTCTTGAAGGGTTTGCTGCGAGACTAATACCGGGTTACACCTCTGTGCTGACACACATGTTCATTCGTAGATCAGTTGCCAGTTTTTGCTGGGAGACAGTTGGTACCCAGCAGTCATCGAGCGATAGTCTTTTGTTCAACACAGTAAGCCGACGTTTCTTACGATCGTTATCCGTAATGGGGAAGGACACTTCGTGCGAGAATCCGTGCGGCTGACTGATGATGACCTTATGACTGAACTTTTCAGTTTACTTGTCCCGCCGGAGTCGTTCGCAAGAAATATCGTCCCTCATCCCAAGCAATCTCTCGGCCTTCGGCTGATAGGCAAAGTGCGGTCCGATCGAAATCTCTCAAGACCGGCCAGGGAAGGCGACGGAAGATTACTGACTTGCAACACAAGGCCGTCCGACATCTATTGGACTGAGTCAACAATTTGATTATCGTGGGTATTCTTGATCGATTACCATCACAGTCACGGCCACCGCCCATCAATGCGGGCTGACGTTGACGATCTCCCAGCTGTCTCCCGAACCCGATCTGATGAGTGCCAACGGAACACCCGAGGATCCTGTTGAAGTCACAAGGAACTCATCCGACGAATCCGAAGACGATCCTGACAAGACTCTGACCAACGTCTCCATGCTCAGGTCTGGAAAGTCCCGAACTGCTCAGCCCGGAGCTAGTCAGTCACGCAAAACCGATCGGTCGAACGACATTGTGGTAGAGTGTTATGACGGACACATCACGGTTGCTCGAGAGCTGCTTGAGAAGAGGTATGTGGATTTGTGATTTAACACCAAGTCATGCTCCGTCAGTGATCGATGTGGCACGGTCACTGATACGATTGATGGCATAGTCCTGTTTGGAAAGACGCACTAGATATCGCTTCTCTACCCAGAGAAACAGCCGATTCTGACGCGGAACCTGCTTCGAAGAAAAGAAAGATCGACGAGTCGAACAACTTCAAGCTTTCCGAATCCCTCGAAGTCATGAGAATCATTCTGGGTCTTCTTTCGGAGGATCAGGCCAAGGTCAACAAAGCCACCAAACCCGATTGGTCCTGGCGCCCCCTCAGGACGTCTCCTCAAAGCGCGATGGAGGTTATTCCTCTTATGGACAAGTACGATATTCCAAACATCTACCAACGTTTTGTGGAAAAGTTATGGATGATTGCGTGCCAAAACAAGGAGCAAGCTCTGATCGTATTCATGGTCGCGTATCAAGATCGAAACGTTCCCCTTGCTCGACACGCCATGCGACACTTCAAGGACATGTGTCACCCTATCCGTTTCAGTCACGACTTCGTCTCGAATCAACTCTATGGAGGCGTCTGGTGGTTCCTGATCCGAGCACTGTATGATCATCGGGAAGAGCCCGTAGACTGGGCCAACGTCGCAGACAAGGTTGTCTATCCTGCTGAGTAAGGACGAGTTCTGTCATTACAAGTCTGGTAGATTGCGCTAACGAGTTGCATGTGATGCGTAGCTGGAAACACCCCAAGAACAAGCTGGCCGAAGAGATGGCGTTGGGTCCCATGGAGATCACCGAACATCCTCTGCCGATCGAGCAACAGCCTCAGCCGTCGACTCAGGGGAGTCCAGCCCAGGAACCGACTCAACAATCTGAATCGTCTTCGACCGCACGCGCGCCCGTATATCAGCCCCACTGCTCTCATCAATGATGGACGCGACGTGAGATTGCCGCAGCATCGGTGGAATTTCCAATCTGTATCCCTCGTCTTCTGCAGAATCGACGTAGTGTGTAACCATACGTTCCCCGACATGACCGTTCATCAGTGTGTAATTTAGCCGGGTTGCCGAGCTACCTTGTATTCCGAACGGGCCAGACCGGGCTTTTGCTCTCCATGAGCACTTGCTATTCGTTTCATCTATCGAACGATAAAGATAGAACAGCGAGATCGTCACTGATGACCTCATGGTCTGAACGATCTAGTCATGACAACTCTCATACGTAACCTTACGTAAGCCATGATCGCCGCACCCAAAGGATGCCCGATTAGCGATCAGTTCGCCGTGTTGTTACCTACCTGACCGATCTCATCAAATACTCTTCTACATCTATCAGATATCCTTTACTGCATCACATGAAGTCAAATCGACAGTTAAACCACTTCGACCTCATCCCCGATACATTGCTAGACTATAACAAACACTGCACGTCTGTCGACGCCGCTTGATCGCCCATTCCCTGCTCGCATACCTCGCCAAATCGCTAGAGGCGATCAAGAACCCAATTTTTCCTCATTCGCTTTACTACAATCAGATACCACGGTATGTCTTTCGACTTGGATCGGAATCGCATTCTGACCGCTTTGTATCTTCTCAAAGACTCGCGATGACGCTTATCTCGAAGGAAGTCGATGAGGATCTCGATCTCATCAAAGTTACCGCTAAATATGGGGGAAGCATGAAGGTTCCTCGGCGATTGTTGATGATGAGGTGGATACTGGGACTTGTCTGACTGAGATTCACTAACTGACCGGCTGTCAGCTGTGTAGCTCTGTTTGGCGCGACGCCCTCGATATTGGCGACTTGCCAAAGCTCAGAGACAACCTGGAGCCGATGGAGAAGAAAAGGAAACTCGACCGAGACTTCCCCATTATCAATTTTGTCCTTCCGATATTGAAAATCGTATTCAAGCTTCTCGACAGCAATGTCGAGCCGCAAGATTACGAACCTGGATCTTTCGCAGAGTGGCCGGTGACACACCCCATACACACCTACAGAGCCGTCATCGAAGCTTCGGACATGTACGATCTTCCGGAAATCGTACCTCGTTTCTTCGAAATGCTTTGGCAGCTAGCTTCCCGCAATAAACAATCGGCATTCTTCGTTTTCGTTGTCGCATGCGACTGCAAAGACGCTGCCCTAGCTCGATTTGCCATCCAGAACTTCAAAGATCTCACCCACCCAGTCTACTTCTCAAGGAACATTGCTCGGCAGCTGGAAATCGGTGGGTGGCGAGTATTGTTAAGAGCGGTCCACGGACTCGCTGCTGGGAGGATTGACTGGCAAGCGGTTGCAAAGGCTGCAGAATTCCCCGAAGAGTGAGAAGTTTAAACCATCCGTTCAAAAACATAGCTCTACGCTGACTGTGCCCCAATATATTTGAGCATTAAGTTGGAAACAGTCCAGCAAAGTCTGGGATACCCTCGGACTGGCCATCGAGGTCGAGGAAGAACCCATCCTCTCCGCTCCCTCTGACTGAGATGATATACATTATGTCAGTCGTCGTCCGACCATCGTTCAGATGCGTGCTAATAGACAATGACCTGAACCGGTTTCAGTGAATGCCCTCTAGACAAGCCATCAGGGGTGGCGGTGTCCCATCATTTTCATCCGCCCCCCCCCCCCCCCCCCCCCCGCCATAACTCTCATACCTGTCTTTACTCGATAAAACTTTCCGTGACATCTCCTTTGAATCTCCGTTGCATCACTGGACTATAAAGCTAGCGTCCGACCTGTCTTTGTAGTATCAAGCGCTGTTGCGCCATTAGAATGTTCATGTCATGTCCCCTTTTCCCGTTAAAGACGGACGTTTTTGGGACTCAGACCTCGTGAAAGTTTATCGCAGGCGATAGCGCCTGAAAATCACGTAGTCCTATCGACAGGCTGTTCCGGTTAGGTGACACCGGGTGAGTCATCCTAGCAGATTACATATATATATGCGCTTGACTATCATTGGTCTCGGAGAGCACGAGGCAAGAAGCTGGTCTCAATCCGGCCTGGACCTCGATAAATTATCATTATCGGGTGTCACATCGATAACAACCCTGCTTGTTTCTCTTCGACCATGACTTCCGACGAGGACGTTTTGGAAGTGATTGCCGAGAACGGCGACATCGTGCGCGTGAAGCGAAAACTATTGATGATCAGGTAAGAAAGGAAGGTGCTCAGCTCAATAGCTCATCAGTTCAACACAGCGGAAAAACTGATGTTGAATGAATATATCGGATCAGCCCGGTCTTCAGAGACGCTTTCGAAATGGACTCGTTATCGAAGAATGCCCAGACATCCGAGGTATCCAAGTCCGCCGATGGCAGAATCAAAATCGAAGGAAGCACAGCTGCTATCCGATGGCTTTTTGGACTCCTTGATGGCTCAAGTCCGGGGGATCTTGGGGTTCCAACCGATGAAATCACAAGCACGCCACCTATCACACCATGCATGGACGCTATGAGTTTAGCGGACAAGTTCGACATTCCGTGCTTCAGAAACCTTATGACAGAAGCAGTCTTGCGGCTCACCGAATATGGCACATATCAAGCGTTAACGGCATACTCGTTGGCTTACAATCTTGGTGATCAGACACTGGCGAGATTGGCAGTGTCAAAAATTACCGATTTCTGTCCACCCCATAAATGGCGGCTGGATATCGTCGAAGCGATCGGGCTCAGGCCGTGGTGGAGTCTGATCGATGCTTACAACGACTTGGGCGACTCGGCAAAGGACGACGAGTGGATGAAGCAGGTCGCGAAGAAACTTGACATCAAACCAGTGAGCCCCGCCTCAGCCAAATCGTAACTCGACGTACTGCTAAACAGACTTCTTCCCTCGAACCAGTAATCGTATAATCCCTGGGTAAACGGCCTCCGACCGTCTCATCAGCCGCTCCGTGAAAATTACGCTGAGGGTTACTTTTACACCGAATCGGAAAGTTACCAGGTGGCTATTCGTCACGCCGGAAACCGATGACACAGGCTAGGAATTCAGGCTTTGGTTTCAGAGGATGTAGACTGTCAGCGTCGATGGACGTATATGATACTATGTACAGTACTACGCTCTTCCTGAGGCTTCTAATCCCCCTGCCAGTCACGCCCTACATGACATAACATCGGTACCTTATGTGAAAGAGGTTTGCCTGTATCAGCGCGAGTTGAAGCTCTAGGGCTACTTGACCGTGCTTGTTCTCTCGGAATCTTCTTTCGATGAGTTCAAATATGATGCCCCGGAACGGAACCCCAATATGCTGTCCCGTGGCAATGAAGAATAAGGATGTGAACGTCAGAATACAAGTGGGCTAACGCCATGATTTGCCTATCCCCTTCCGCTACTTTAGGCAGACATTGCTGCTAATGCCTAGTCTAAAGCTTGCGATGTCGATTCGAACAACGCATCATCGACCTCCCAATAAGATGGGTTTCACATCGAGTAAGAATGCATATCGAATTGTCGAAGACGGTCGAAGCATTCCGGTTATAATGTCCGATGTAGTTGCTCGATGATCTTAGCCGAGAGCAGGTGCGATTGAATGTGGTCGGCTCCCTTGTTGCGAGCGAGGATAGTTAATGGACTTGATCGAAGTGCAAAATAGAATAGGGCTTACCATAGGAAGGATCACCAAACAGTGAGACACACCGAGCCATTTGAACGTGGAACTATCATCGGCTTTTAACCAATTTTCGGCCCGAAAGGCAGCGCATAGAGACCACCAAGGCTGCCAGAGCATCAGCTTTGCAGTCTGGAGATCCCATAGCGACGGATTGACTAGGGGAGACATCCGCTGTACCGCCTCCCTGGCTAATACGACATCGTTCAGGACGTATGCAACGGTGTAGACAGTGATCGCGAGCTGTGGACTGGTGCGAGAGACGTCCCACAGGGCGTTGTCCAATAAAGCCGGATAGAAAGGAATGTCAAATTGGTCTGCCAGTGAAACAGCTTCAAGTAATGGGACTGGGGAAGGAGGGGTGCGTGTTTCCGGAGTGACTTTGTAAGAGTCGTCTATCTCGGCCGGTTTGAGATTTTCTAGAAGTCCAAACAGCCAGCGGATTGCAAGAGCGTCGGCCTCGATCCTGATTCTCCCGTCTTTGTTTCGTTCTACAGCTTCTTGTTTAGTCTCTGCAACGGTATTCGAGCTTAACGTCGTAGAGAAGAGATCTATGAGAAAGGCATCTCGGAAGACCGGGCTATCCGTCATGACGAGCAAGAACGGTGGGGTCAGCCCCGATGCATGCGCTTTCTTCCAACTCTAATTGATCTTCTTACTCACCTGATAAGCATTGCCTTTCGTGATACAGGAACAATCTCTCCATGATTGGCTAGTACTTCGATGATATCGTCATCACTGGGTGGGGTGGATATGCTACCTGTGGGCATCTATCGTATTAAGCAGAGGTTTCCACAGGACGATCAACCTCGCAGATTCGTCTGCAGCTCGAAAAGGCCAATTTACGACCTACCTGGGACGGACGTTGATACTCTTGGCTGGGTATAAATGTTCAGGTTAGTGTAGAGGAGCTCGATCGGTGACGGACCGATGTCTAGACCAGTTCGAACGGATGGCGGAGATGATACCCGCGCGACAAGGTCACGTGACATCCCGCGGCGCCTGAAGACTCGTGTTTCACCTTTGGCGATAGGGCTACAGCCATTGACGTCATTTTGTCAAGAGGTTCTCAGCCGCTACAACTTTTTCACACGGTTGTGATGACAGGGTGTGACTACAGGCGACAGGCGACAGCGAGACAGACTTTCAACCGATGATTGTTGTATCCTTCTCAGATTTCAGACAAGCCGACTTACGCGATTACAAATTGTCGACGGGATTCGAAATTTTGGGGTTCTCGACGTCGGGGGTCCTTTCGATCTATTATCGACTAGCTTTCTCTGGTACCTTATGGAACAACAGACGGGTACCCGACCTCCTTTGAGTGTGTTTTTCGCCGCGAATCCTTTCAGACAACAGTATCGTTCGAGGGTTTTTAGAACCTTGCGCGACCCCGGGACATAATCGGCAATGAACAAAGCGCTTCGATTCCAATTTCGGTTTCTGGGTGCGTCCCAGTCAATTATATATATGCTGGTCAAGAAGATCAATGGTGAAGCCTGAACCATTCCCTAGTATTCGACCACCATCAGATACTCGTCAATACATTCCAGCGAGCCCGGGCTTCGTCATCTCCCCGATCCTCAATCGATATCACTTTGTCATTTGTCAATATGCCCACCAACATTACCGCCTGTCCACCTTCCGATGCGGCCGCGCCTCCGGCCGACGACGAGAAGATTGCGGTCAAAGTCGCGAACAACGAGAGCTTTTGCGTCAAATATGAACTCTTAATGCTCAGGTAAGCCTAGGCATCCTCGTAACAGCTCAGAATACTCCAAGACTTATAGCTCCTCGCATCTCGACTCAGCTCGGTCCTTCGCGACGCTTTCCACATGCAGTCCTTATCCGGCGGGGCTTCCGACAAGCAAGCTATCAAGAACGCAGAGATCGAACTCAACTGCACGGCCGGGCAAGCCAAATGGCTGTTTGGCATCCTAGAAGGGAAGGGTCTTAACGACCTCAAGGAATCCACAATGAGATTTTCTTCAGTCGGACCGTCTCTTGGGAGCCTCATGAGTTCGGAGGACGCAACCACTCCGTCGCCTATCGTCCTCAGGCACGTCCTTCGCTCGGCAGATTTCTACGATTTCCCTTTTTTTCCTCGGATCATGAAAGAGGTCTTGTACGAACTCGCCGATAAGGGAACTGCCTATGCGCTATCGGCTGCTGCTATGGCGATCGATCAGAGGGACCTGAAGATGGCGAGGTATGCGATCAAGCATATGGGAGGTTTGCCGAGTCCGCTGGCCTTCGACAAGCTTGCGGTGCAAGCTATCGGATTGGATGTATGGTGGTGTCTTGTTGATGCCTATCGCAGGACGATCGCCGACGCCCGGACCTCAGTGAGAGTTCACTATGATACGCAAACGCAAGAGGTAGCGGTGCCTTGGTCTGGAGATCTCACTCAATGGACATCCATTGCAAACGCGATCGTTTTCGAGTAGAAGATCATGATGTGAGTTCTTCTCCAGAGTTGCGGGTTCCGGTCGGAATACTACTGATGCAACTTGAAACTGCTTCACCTTTACCTTCAGCTGACGGGGATCACTTCGTCGATGATTTCGGACCGAACCCCTGCTTCAGACATGAAGCTAAGCAATATAGCTACTATAAATTTCCTACGCGTCAGATCCAGCGGCCATACACGAGGTCGCTTCCTGTCTTGCATACGAGTACTTCAAACAATGTTCAAAAATTACTATGCCTCATATGGACCGAATTATTACTTGCTTCAAACCACAAGCCCCTCATGTCCCTGTTTGCGCCAAGTATTAAGCATGTTCTATCATCACCCCGAGATCGTGCTTCTCAGACAAATAGAGCTGTTGTAGAGGCCTTGAGCGATAATTGGGAATCTGGTTCGAGTCGGATTGCTCGAGAAGTCGACTGCTATGGTTTCAGATGCCTTCACCCCTAACACTCCGACTGGGGAATAATACCGATCTCATACTGGAAACCTGCACAGTGATCAGTCGCGTGGATGGTATTTCTGGACTCTGGTCTTTATAGCGATGAAAGGCTTCTTTCGCTTCCAAAAATATGTAGCGATCATCCTGGGGTCATCGATTCATGTGAGTGAGAGAAATCCCCTGGAAGGACCGCGATACGCAACGGATTTACCTCTCGCTTCATGTCATTCTCCGCTCAAACTAGATAGGATCGCCGTCGATGAAGGCTTAGTTTGACAAGCTTCATTCGGTTCGCCGAGAAGCAATCGTCTATCATACGCAAGCGAGAGATAGCCGCCTCTAAGGAAAGTAGGTCCTTTCGTACCTTGTATCCATTTGGCGATAGCCAACAAGAGCAAATAGAACGCTATTGCGCTTCACCCCCCTTTTTTTAAGGTTCGCACGTCCGAAGCCTATTACAATTATCCTGGGCGCGTTGCGCATCTCCTCTTCCCCATTACCTAACCACAACCCTTACGATGACGAGATAGGAGGTCTCATGCGCTTCACAGCGAAAACATGTTGGAACTATCCGCTTCTCCGGAAGATGACAAACAGATCCACCTGTGTATCCGAGCCTGATAATATAGTAGCAGATTTGCGGTCCTTTCGATCCATGCTAGGCTGGCTACCTTTCGTTCCTGGAAGAAGAACAGATCCACCCGACCCACCGGCTAACTGCCGTCGTCATCTTTTGAATCGGTCGTACAATCGTACGATTGATACTTTTGCGTATGCCAAGAATCGTATATATTGACGAAGACTGAAAAGCTTGGTTGGCGAGAGGGAATCAAGAATCATTACTCCTGCAGGATCGCACCACTCATAATCGCAGACTCAATACGAGATTATCGCGCTTACCCAAATCGATCTTTAAATCTCGTCAAGATCATGTCGACTACCGACACTACCGCCTCGAAACCTGTTGCGAAGGTGCCTCCCTCCGATGACGAGATGGTCGAGATCAAGGTCGCGGACGGTAAAACGCTCTCCGTGAGATTCGCTCTGCTTATGTGCAGGTGAGGGCGATTGTTCGCTGGTGCTCGAGCTGTACTGAGCGCCATCGCTCTCTTTCCCTTCCTAGCTCGGTATTCCGTGATGCGATTCATATGCAAGCTCTGTCCGAGAGCAACACCGGCGGCATCAAGGCCAAGAAGCTGGATCTGGAGATGAAATGCAGTCTGGTGGCTGCCAAGTTGTTGTTCGCCCTGCTGGCCGGACAAGACTACAAAAGCCTCGCCAGCACTTCTCCTAACAACGACCAGGAACTGCGCGATCTCTTGACAACGCAGAACCGTGATATCCCCCTCGTCCCCGTTTTTCGAGATGTTCTCGCTCAGGCCGACTTCTTGGATATACCGTTCGTGCCCCAACTATTGGTCTCGATGCTTTCTCCTATCGGTCACCTCGGAATGCATCAATCCATCTCGGCCTTCGCGATCGCTGTTCAGCTGGGTCACGTCGCATTAGCAAAGTTCGCTGTCGAGCGCATGGTCGGCCTACCCAATCCTCTAGCATTTGAAGACTCTACCGTCCGCAACCTGCAGATGGATGCGTGGAGAATTCTAATTCAAGCTTATCATAAGGCCATAGTTCCCGCTCAAAGCTTATACAAACGAGAATTCAATGGCATCAGCCGTGCATACGAATATGTGACGACCCAGGCATCTCCCGCCTGGATCGGCGATGCCAAGCAATGGAAACTCCTATCCGAGGCCATCGTATTCAAATGAAACGTTGAATATAGCCGTAAGTACCAGTTTCGGACCTGAAGCGTCGGCCCGCCCGATCTGACCACTTATGCTTGGTACTCGCGTCTTCAGCTTCGTGAACACGCTTTTCGGCTCACCTCTCCGCAGACGTCTCACAAACATATCGACTTGTTACTATCACGCCGGCAACTATCGACTCCCGAGATCGACAACATAAGTACGAGGAATATATAACTCTCACTCGTACGGGGAGAGTAATAGGAATCTCCTCGATTATCACTGTAATACTGTAAAATCTGCCTGCTGAGTGCCTTATGGATCCGTTCTTACGTATATCTCGAAACGGCCAAAATGTGTAAACGATTTCTGCCTTTTTCGAGCATGGTCAGAATTCTTTGGACAGTCAACTTGAAGCATGTTTTTCTTGTTTATAAAGGTATAACGTATTCCATTGGCCTTGATGGATACGGCTGCAGAAGACACCTGATCGGCCTGGGACTGCTCAAGGACTCTCAGTATCCGCCAAACGAGGTTAAGGTTTGGCTGCAAGCGCGCAGACTGCCCTTGCGCCCTTGCTCCGCCGTTGTTACCAGGGACAGCAAAATAAGATGCAGAACGCTTCAGCGATCAGTGGCCAGTAATGATTAGATGCATCGCTTGATCGTGCGAGCGGAACGACATTATCGTGGTAGCCACGAATCCTATTACCCACAGGCCACAGGACAGCTCAGGCCGACATTCCGATCCTGGGTATCATGCTAGAGACGCGATGACGTAATGTCTCAGAATATATCCCAGCGGAAATTTGGCGACAAGGGGGGTCCTTTGATACCTTTGTTGATCAAATTCATCGGATCATTCACTTCTCGTACGATATCCACCTGGATCGAACTTCCAGCTATTTGTCTGATCCTCCCGGGAAGTCCAGAGTAGATCGCCTCTTCAAACGCGACAACGTTGCTCTCGTTGATCTCTTCCACATCGGACATCTGAATCTATCGAGTCGTCGAGATTTTCGGCGAGCAGCCGACGCTGATTGACGGCCAAGATTCTAAAGGCTTACAGACAGAAGAGGTGAGCTCTGCAAGGTACTACGATGCCGCGCCATCAATGAGGTAGTGCTAATATGCTGATCGTCGATACTTGGCTCAGCTCCTGATCAACATGCCAATAGAAATCGAACTGTTCCCACTCGGTACCCGTGCCAATGAGATCATTAGGGCCAAGATCGCGTCAGGAGATATCCTTCTCGTCAAGTGGAGTACTTTGCTGCTCAGGTGAGTCCCTTTGACCTAGATAATCTGTCTGTCGGTGAGAGTCAAGTCCTTACGCGTGAATTTCCTAGTCCGGTCCTTAGAGATGCCTTTCACATGCAATCTTTGGCTGACAAATCGCTGACCGATGCTCAAACCACTGGGCTGGACAAACCTACATCTGATTTTCAACCCGACATCCACGGCAGTCTCGGTGCTGTTACTTGGTTCTTTGGGGCTCTGGAAGGTCTCGAGCTCAGTCGACTGACCGACACGGATCACGATGACTGGTCCACGGTGGCTTACTTGACAGAACACATGTCATCCGAGACTCCCTGGGTTCCTTGTCCAAAATATCTTTCGGAAGCGTTGGAGCTCGGCGACTTCTACGACATATCCCTCTTTCCTCGCTTGATGACGGAAATGCTCTGGAAGCTAGCCCGAGTCGGAAAGTTCTTCGCCCTCAGCTCTTTCACCATCGCTGTGCAGCTACACGATCTGCACCTAGCAAAGTTTGCGGTGAAGAGAATGGAAGGTCTTCCTCGCCCTTCACTCTTCCCAAAAGGGACAGCCGAGGCTATGGGTGCTGGACCATGGTGGTGTCTCGTAGCGGCTTACGAGCGGGCGATCATTGGAAACAGTTCGCATCATCCCGCTTACCAGAGCTATCAAGCGGACGAGTGGACCGGTAGCGCAGCTCAATGGAGGTCCATGGCGGAAGCTTTCCGTTTCGAGTGAGACGGCATGAAAATCGGAGGTGAGTTAGTGTACGAGTACGTTTGGCCAGTACCGTGAATCGCTTCTTACTGAACCTTTTACATCAATTCCCTTAGTCCACGTCCTTACGAGCGTCAAAGATTATCTTAGCTTTACAATCCACGAGACTCGATGGCTTAGACGGAGTCTGCTTCATGTATCGGGAGAAGTAATTCTCGAAATCCCGTATGGCGAACAGTACGCAATCATATGCAATGTTTCATCACTTCTATCCTATAGCCCAAAAACAGCTCCTGACGTCTAACGAGCTCTTTCAAACCACCATGATCCGTTTCTAAGCAAGCGCGCTTATTCCTATTGACTCGAGGAATGGGCTCTCAGTGTCTTTCGTCCTACCAAATCACTAACGGAAACCTTCCGCCTCACTTGGACCTCATCTGTTCAGGACCCGGAATACTTGATCTGTAATGCTGGAAATACTCGTTTATGAAAGCTTATGAACAGCGTATCGGGGAAACTTGCCACATATGTGCTTTCGGATGTCGAAACAAACTGGAAAGGCAGTCATGTCGATCGCTATTGTCTGCGACGTCCTTTGCATCACGTTCGACAGCATATATCATTTCAGTCTTCCAAGCGATCCGCGGCAGAATAGACAAATTCATGGGCACTCTCTTAGCTTAGCGGTTCATTCGGCGCAGGGGTTTCATCGCGGAAGTGAAATCCTAGTAGGGCGCGCTCCGACTACGAATAGAGGCAATCACTCTGTTATGATATTGATGATCACCTTTTGTTATCGGACAGTGTCGCAGGTATGCATGACTGGCATGACTGGCTCACCATGCCTAGCCTGTCATACATACACTTTACTATTGGATCAAGCCCGAAGGCGACGATCGAAACGTTCTGTAGACCTCCGGCTATCGCTCTGACGTCAGCGATCAGCGACATCATCGCGGCTCTCTCCATCATGGCAAATGGCTACTCATGACATCATGGCGTGGAAGCAAAGATTCTCGACGCTCGATGAGAGGTCCTTTCATGATGTCAGTCTATCACTTCTCAACCTGCGACCTGAGAACTGCTGACCCCCAGAAATGATAGATGCATAGACGTTCACCGAGTCCGTCATCAACAAGGAGAATATAACGACCAAGTGAGAGATCTCCCACTTGACGCGGCAATCAATCGACTCATAGCTTGCACGGGACTCGACAGATACATTCTCCTTAGGGTGAGGTGAATACGGAAGGATCCAACAGCAATCTGCGATCCCTCGTACCACTCGCCCATTCATCTCTACAGGCGAAAAACCTCGTAAGCCACAAACGAATGTTTCTCTTTTGTTGAGCTATCGATCGATACTCAGACAAATATCTTGTGCGTTCATTTAGTGACCGCCAAGAAGATGCCGTTTCTGCCAAAGGACGATAACGAGATCGTCCAGGTCAAGGTCAAGACTGGCGAGACTATCCCTGTTCGCCTCGGAACTTTACTTATCAGGTAGATATGAAAATCGGTCCGAGCAACAAGACCGTAACAGGCATTGACACCAGTTTTGGCACACTACAGCCCTGTCCTGAGGAACGCGTTGCTGGCGCATACTCTACCCGGTCGACATCATGACGAGAATAAGGCAGGCGATACGGAACCCCTGGAAATGAACATCGAGCTCAATGGCAGTCTTCAAGCCTCGAAATGGTTCATCGGCATACTAGAAGCGACCGATTTGAAACAGTTGGCGACATTCGATCTTCCACGATACACCCCTCACTTGGAATTAGCTGAGGCATTCCTTCGTCAAGATTCTTCACCCAGGGTGCTATCGGAAGCCCTCTCGATGTCCGACTTTTACGATATCGCTTTCTTCAAGATCCTCATGGTCGAAACGATCCGTCGAGTAGCTAAGAAAGGCCATATATACGCACTGTCGGCATTCGTAATGGGAGTCAAGATAGGGGATCTCGAAGTCACGAACTTCGCTCTTGGCTACATGTCGGACCTGCCCGACCCCGATGACTTTGACCTTCCGATGACCGAAGCGATCGGTCTGCCAGCATTCCGGATTCTCGTCCGAGCTTACTGCTTGGCGAACACATGCACACGTGTTCAGCCCAAGGATCTGATCGAACACATCGACCTTGATTGATGTTGGCTCGTAAGGGATATATCTGTGAGAGAATCCCGAGTGTCGAGCACCTGACAACATTATCAATGCTGACTATGCTGCCGGATTCGTGTATCGCCTTACAGTAGGGACCCGTGAGTGGGGAGATATCAGGAATCGATCATTTGGACGATCCGTTCAACCGCTTGGAATGACGCTTCAGCCCGTGAGGGACAGATACAGACAAGATACTTCAAGCAGGCCATTCGTCAGTAGTACAGCAGCATATATCGATATGGAACTCATGGTTTCTGTCTCAAAAGAGCTCAATACCATTGTACTTGAACGACCCGTTGCCTGTTACCGAGATCCAAACGAGTTTAGTAGCCAGTACTAGGTTGAATCCTGGCGCTGGCGGCCTATGAGCCTTATCTTCTAGGATGCTCAGGAACTGCCCACTCTGACGTCTCTGAAGTTCCATATAATCAATTTCAAATCGTCGCTCAGCTGATGACGATGTTGTTGTTGCGACCTTAAAAACAACGTACCTTTGACTCTTTTGTTCATGAAACGCGGAAGCAGAAAAGGGGGACAGAAGGCAGAGGAGAGAGTAGCGCGAGAAGCTTGTGGGCATGTGGGCTCATATACCTTCAGGACACGAACGCTCAAACTTGCCCTCCACTTCCTCGCCGAGACTCGCATAAGCTACAATCCAAGACTTTGCTACTTCCGACACTCGTGGTGAGCTTCCGATCTTGACGATGTTTCAGAGAACGACTAGTCAAAGACATGCCCCATAGATGCCTGAAAACGTCCAAGCCGCCCCTGAAGTCCCTGCCGCCGCGCAGGAAGAAGATGTTGTTGAGGTGCTCGCCGAGGCAGGGAAGAAGGTCCGGGTCAAGAGAAGGACTCTGTTGCTTAGGTAATTTCGCTCATTTTCGTTCTGCTCATGGTTACTATCGAATACTGATTCATATCGCCTCTCAGTCCCGTCATCAGGCAGATGTTAGAGGCGCAGGTGGGAGAGGGAGATGATCGCAAGCCCATCGCTGCCGGTCCGAACATCGAAATAAAGGCTTCAGCTGCTGCGATTAAATGGCTCTTCGGTCTCATCGAAGGGAAATCGTTTACCGAGCTGGGAATCCCCGAAGCCAAGGACCTTGAGAAACCACCACCTACCAAGCCAATTCATGACGCGAGAAACCTGGCCGATGTCTACGATATACCGTTTTTCGATCCGATCCTGACCGAAGCGATGTGGAAGCTCGCCTCGATGGGAACTTATTACGCCGTCACCGCCCTCGGAGTCGGCTATAGCATGGCGAACCAATCTCTTTGCCGGTTTGCAGTCAGCAACATGACAGGGTTAGCCATCCCTCATAAACTGTCATACAGTTCTTTCGATACTATGGGCAGTGGAGCAGCGTGGGCGATTATCACGGCGGTTCCCAAGTGCAAAGAATTTTGCTCTTGCGACCACGCTTGGACGGGGAAATCCATGGGGGGCTGTTCCGGAGCGAAGTGGACCACCTCACATCAGCAGTGGCTGGAGATTTCCAAAAACATGATGTTTCCCGGTCGGTAGACCCCCTCAAGGCATTTTTTCGGTAAGCTCTATATCGAGCCCCATCGAAATGGTCATGGCAAACTAACTGACAGACGATAGCATAGCTTGCCGCGTCCTTGAAAGTGTATAACTAGCGGGCGTCATCAGTGGGAAGCGGAGTCGAAAACAAATCACGTCATCGGTGGAGAGCGATCACCTGGATAGCCATCTCATGCGACGACTCGAGCGGTGGCATATAGACTTTGTGAATAGCTCATGACGGTGATGGAATGTGGTAGATATGGTTTTCCAATATAACATCGAGTCACAATCTCTTTTTGGGCCAGGCTCGAAGTGTATAAAACAGTCAACCCCCCATTTTCTCAACATCAAGCTGGCATCAGCGGTACGAGTGCGAGGCTCCAGGCCAGCAAGACCAGTCGACAATTACTGACGGCCACTGCAAGAGAGTCGTGTTGGAAGCCGACCGACCCCGATGTCATCCTCTTGAACAATGTGATTGACGTCATGGAAGCTTGATTATGTCATTGAAGGCGGCGGTCAGGCGATCCCTACAACGATGATGATATCTTTGGCTTCTTTGTTCGCGAAACGCGAAAGTGGAATGACGTATAGGAACGTTAAGGCCCTCTGGCCTCTGAGAAGCATATCTCACAACGTGATCATGTATAAGACGCACCGATCTGGAGAAGCAGAACACATTCCCCTCTTATTCAAATCGGTTTCAGTTTGTGTCCATCGAAATAGTCACGAGACTTCGACCTCTACTGTCCTCCATACTCAATCACTCACGCAAACGTAAAACCTCTTCCTCTTTTCAACTCGGCTCAGGGGATATCGACTGATCGCAACTGAGATCTTACTGCTCAGATGCCCATTCCTCAAGATGACGACGTCATTGAAATCCTTGTCAATAATAACGAGACAGTCCAGGTCAAAAGGAAGACTTTAATGCTCAGGTGAGTTCTACCCAGACTCGGAGCGCGTGAATGCTGCTAAATAAGGACTTTCACTCTACATAGTCCTGTCTTCCGGGATGCTTTCGGTATCCAATCGATAGGCGACCAAAGAGAAGCTCTCAAGGACCAGCGAATCGAGATCGATGCTTCTGCGAAGGGCGTTCGATGGTTATTCGGGCTTCTGGAGGGATCTACGTTGGAGGCGCTCGGGGCTGGTCCGGAACAATTTCGACGATCGACGGATTTCGATCCGCAGCCGGTACACGAAGCAAGAGCTCTCGCCGACCGATACGATATTCCCTCCTTCGACGGTGTCTTGGTTCAGGCTATGTTGGAATTAGCACGCTGGGGTAAAAGGTCCGCCGCGACTGCATTGGGTATTGCGTATGCCATGCACGACCAGGCGCTCTGCGAGTTCGCTGCATCGCGTTTGGAGCCTCACGAAGAACGTCCGCACACCTTGAGCCAGAAGTTCGCGAACGCTATCGGACACGGCGCATCGGGGGCATTGGCAATGGCCTACCTGAAGTGTGAAAGCTTTTGTCCTTGCCGCCATCATCCCTCGTTCAAAGGTTGTGGGGTTCAATCGCATTGGACAGGTTCGACAGAACAATGGGCGGAGCTTGCTCGACATATGGAACTCCCGAAAATCTAGATTCCTTCCTTTGCCGCGGGTATGTCAAATGTATCTTCTAGAGCCTAGAGCGTTCGATATGATTACGCTGATTCTTTGGTCGCGCAGCATCGATAACAGATCGATAACAGAGAATGAACCGATAGATTAGGGACGTGGTCGCAGGGTCGCATACGAGGGAATACGTCGATATATTCTGAGTTGTGGTCCGGCTGAGAGTCGAGAAGCGGTGACATACGATAGATTTCCGCTTCGCAAATGTAAATGTCAGATTGACGATATAAATTATGCTATAGGATCTTATGTGGGAACAATATGAAAACTCTGCATCTCGGTGGTGCGGAAGGCCATGAACCGTCTTTACGCTCTTTTGCCCTTTTCGGCGGAGGCAAGAATAAATTCCGGGTATCGCAGAGTGTTTTTCTTCGGGTACTACAAAGCGTGAAACAAGAGCGCGAAAGCGCGCTACCGTTGATCACGCTCATATCGGATCCACTCGGAGTGATCTGCCTGACGTCACAAAAGAGACATCGATATCATGTCGATACTCATGACGACATCGTGCTGCCCTACCCTTGATACTTTTGTTCTTGATGACCAATCAAGGGTGGATATCAGTCGAGGGTAATCCGGTCGAGAAGCCAAGGTATCGGTGGAACCAGATATATACAAGCTAATCCGGCAAGGTTACCTCCGAGATACAACTCAAAGACTGCTCGACTCGGAGACATCAATACGGTCGAATCCTTGAAAATCCCTTAGCCTTATCCTCCGCAAACTCGCTTCAAACAAGGTAAGCCACCTACGTGAACGATTGCGTGCAGATCCAGCTCCTGATACCTTCGCCTTCTTAGATGCCAGGTTCCGGTGAAACTCTTCCTCACGACGAAGACTACATTGATGTCCGAGTCGATTCGGGCGAGACCGTACGAGTTCGTCGAAGGACCCTGCTGCTCAGGTAAGCGGAATGACCAGTAAACCTCTTACGGTGGCTGATTCGGCATTGACGGTTGTAGTCCCGTCATCAGGGACGCCTTCAGTATTCAGTCCAAGTCGAATGTGAAATCCCTCTCGGCCGGATCTAAGGCTCAAGAGGAATCCACTTCGTCCACCGATGCTCCGATCGAATTGGGAGGCAGTGCAGACGCTCTCAACTGGCTGATTGGCCTCTTGGAAGCGACGCCACTCAAAGAACTCGGGATGTCAGCGGAAGATGCTATTTCCGCTCCACCCTCAATTCGTCCGTTGCAGGAGGCGATCGAGCTCGCCGACAAACTCGATATTCCCTTCTACAAGAATCTGGTTCTACAAGCCATGTACTCCTTAGCCAAACAGGGCAAGTACCAGGCTATCAGCGCCTACAACATCGGCTGTGCCTTAGGAGATATCGATCTGGCCCGCTCCGCGGTAGTCGCGATGGTCGGCTTGCCAACACCTCTCGAATTTTCCCGTACGGAATTACAGGACATGAATGTCATTGCATGGTCTATGCTTCATGAAGCTTGGAGGCGCTGCTCATCGTTCAATCCGAAACACCTAGACGGCTACTGTAACCGAGGGCACTGGGATGGAACTCAAGCCCAGTGGCATGAATTGGCCACCCAGATCAAGTTCGAAGATCGAGTGAGTACATCTCGACCGTCACCCGCATGTCCCCTCCTTCGTGAAAGCGCTAAACGGTACGCATCCACGATAGCCTTGATCTGGTTCGTTCGCCCGTCTGGGCCGAAGCGGCGCGTCAAGGGGTCAAATACGGATATGATAGGGAAGGACTGCGCTGCTGTTCAATTTCCTACTAGATCTAGTCAGCTTACGGGTAGCCGGAACTTGTATAGCAGAACCGATTTTGCTGTCTCGCCCCCGACTGATATGTTGGCTGTGCAATGCATTCGGGGCATTGAAAAAAGACTCGTCCTTGATGCGAGCGGCAATCAGAAGCTTTCCGGCGCCATTTACGAGCTTACAAAAACTGCATTCTACCTGAAGTCACCACCTCGTCCTTAATCACATTCGCTGCGACAAATCGTTCGTTCAAAAAGCGACAACAATCCGTTTCCCATATAGCGGCCAATTAAGGTTTGAGATGCCTCCGTCGTCGCGGCGCTGTTTCGTATGCCAGCTGACCTGTCATCGACTCATAACACTTGGCCAATACTGCCCGAGTTCGATTCGCTGATCTAGCCCAGATTTCCGTCAACTCCTCCGCATCAATCAGGCGTCCAACCAGAGTAATCTGAAACTGAAATCGATCATGTCAGGCGCCCGCTCCAGCTGGTACTGATCCCATCAATCCCTCACGCTTCTCGTCGACGCGTTTCCCGATTTCGCGTGACGCGTCTGCTTCTCGTGGTCATCATAGTCCTAATTCTGTAAAGACAAAATCTACATGGATAGAAATCTGTCTGTACCAGGTACCTTCCACCATCTATCATCAGCTCACCGCTCTCATAAGTGCTAGAGCCAGCGATATTCGCAGCTAACAATAGGCATGTGTTGTCGTTAGGCTGTCATCTGCTTCTCACCGCTGATGCCTGGTTGCGGTTGCAGGTCTATCGAGACGAGGGTGAACGGTTAGTTCTGATTGTTCGAGCTTCAAACCCTTCCTTAGGTTCGATCTGGACGTCTGTGTAGCTCCCGATAACTCAGCTCATGTCTTTCTTCTTGGAAATACGTCCGGACATTGGTACAAAAAGCATCCTTCCTTTCTGCCTCGGTGGTAACTTCGCTGGTGTGAACCTACCTTACAGTTTCGACTTCCTGATCGGATTGTACACGAGGCTCCAATCATGTGAGCCCTAGTGTATTGCGACATCACCGGGAGTTCTAACCCTAAGCTAGACGCCAAGCTTGCAGCCATCATGGACGACGATAAATTTACCATCGAATGTCAAGGAGGATCCTTCCAGGTCAACCGCAAACTCCTTCTGCTCAGGCAAGCCGGATTATCTCGCTCTCGCTCAGCACGATACTAACTACAAGGTCATCATCTGCAGTCCCGTTCTCAGAGATGCCATTTCCATCGGTTCGGACCTCACCATGAGCGTTTCGGATCGAGCAAACGTCAAGAAGCTCACCCTAGAAGAGCCTCGGGACCACCTTCGACTCATGTTCGACCTCATGGACGGTTTCGGCCGGAGGAAAACAGAAAACGCATTCGACGAATACCCTGCATCGGCCTACATCGCTATGCCAACCGTCTGCGACAAATACGATGTCACTTGGTTGCCTTGGGTCATGAGAGGACATCTATGGGAAGCTGCCAGCGTCTATGAATTCGACCGGGTAATTGCGATCTACGAGATCGCGTTCAAGCTCAACTGGCAGGAGCTTGCTGCCCACGCTGTGAAGAATCTGGGGGACTGTCCGCATCCTACCGATTTCTGTGTCAAGATTGCCCGAAGGCTCGGCCTGGACGGGTACCATTGCCTGGTCAGCGCTGCTCGCAGAGCTGGTAGCGGAGATTGGTCCAGAATTGCATTGCGGCTTAGGTGGCCTGAAAGGTCAGTGCAAGATCGCGCTTTGCCTCTTCTATATATCGGGGTCACAGGACTCATTTCAGCACTGCTCAGTTGGCCCGCGTATGACGAGGACGGCTTGGGGATGACCGTAGAACAGGCTGAAGTGGAAGACGACTAGCCTATCGTTATATCCGTGGCCTTCCTTCCCAGACCACATGCGCTCTCTGCGGGTAATTCTGCAACGTCGATGTATATCTCACGCAACTCTCGGCCTATTATTGCCACGACTTTGACTTGTTTCGACAACTACATGCGATTACAACGTTGTAATAGTAACTATCCTACAATCTTCCTTTTTCAGATGAGCGGCAATCGTGGTGCCTTGGTTATCTAGTCGTCCCAGATACCCTCAAGTTCCTCATCCCAGCCTGTAAGCCCGGTGCAGGCGCCCTGCCAGGCGACTTGCTGCGTTCCTTCTGTTGGCTCTTCAGGAGTCGACGCAGGTCTGCCGGTCTAGCCCAAAACTTGATACCTCCTGCTCGTGAGACGGTGACGACGGCTTCTTGCAAGAAATTGAGTTGGTTCATCATGCACGGCTCGATGAGCTTGGTCTGATAGGGCGAGGTGTATTCAGTATCGGCACGAATTTTACGGGCAACGAACGTGAGGTGTGCAACATACCATGACAGGCTGCAGCATGGCGACATCGCTTCGCAGGGGAGCGCCATGGTAGGTCCCACCTCCGCTCAACGCAACCTCATCTCCAGCGGTTTGAGTCTCGTCGCGACGACCTCCTGCTGTAAGGTCGGTAACCGATCCGATACTCAGACGATGATGGGCATGACCATGCCTCGGTCGCTGTAGTGACGCAGCCGAAAAGTCCCAGAACAGGATCTTGCCGTCCTCGCCGACGCTACCAAATCGGTACCCTCGAGCGTTGCTCCGTCTTCGGTCAAACGTGATCGAAGTAACGTAGCTCGTGTGACCCTGACAACGGGCGACGATCCGGCCTTCGATGGGCGAGTAGATCGTAATGAGGTCGTCTTGACCACCGGTCTATGAGCGGAACATCAGTACGTTGCGCTCTAACGCTTGAAATCGAACCCGCTCACCAGGACATATCTGCCATCCGGACTCCAGACGAGCTGCAAAGATTGGAGAGATTTCAGTTTTGTAGTTCAAAAAGGGAAAGGCACAATAGTCCAACTCACCGTAGTTAGAGCACCATAATATCCTGCATATACGTCCATGATCCTGCAAAGCGATCACGCGGTAATCATCAGCCTCGTCCGAGAACCACCTGAGAGGCTTGCTGCGAACTCACTTTGAGCTGTTAACGTCGATGAGCTTGAGCGTCCCATCCTCCGAGATGACCGCCAAGACTTGTCCATCGGGCGAGAATTCCATTTCTACAACATCCCAACATCGTATCAGTATGATCCGGAATTTGGGTTCAGTAAGCCCAAAGGAAGACCCACGTCGAACACCCTTGACCCCGACCTTCCAGACGACGCTAGGGTTCCTCCCCGCCCAACTCATCAGCCCGCCTCCACCTCCATGTTGTTTCTCGAGGACCTTTTTATCGACGACCTGTTCCTCGTTTTTCCAGATGAACATCATCTCGGCCCGTTTAGCCCGTTGTCGCTCGATCTCGATCTTGACCTCGGCATCCAGGCCGGCTGTCCCCTCTGCAGCGGTTGCTGGGTCAGTCCCGTCGAGACCGAGGATTGAGCTGTGGGTACCGACGGGACGAGCTTGAGCTTCTTCTTCAGTCTTGAGAACCGCGTCTCTCATCCCCGCCGCCCAGGGCGCAGCGACGGTGGTGACGAGATAAGGCGGGTCTTCTTTTTCGGTGCTGAATGTGAAGATGTTGCCGTCGGTGTAGAGGACGTAGAAGATAGTCGGGATACGAGGGTGCCAGCGGATCTGGGCGATCGGGAAGGGGTGGACGATACCCTGCAATGTGTAACGAGATGATTGCTGATTAGCTGAAAGCGTCTGTGATGGGGGTGCAGAGCGTAATGACTCACTCCTTTGCTGAACCTGGTGTACTTTCCGAAGATGGGATCTATCAACCAGACCATCAGCCATGCGAACCGAAACCAACGGTTTGCTCGCTCGACACCCACCGACCCAAACCAGATCACCCGTCGCGAAACCGACCATGATATCCAGCCTCTCCCCCTGCAACCCAGGCGCAACCTTGGTCGTCTCACAAACCGCATGCGCGGTGATATTGGCAGAAAACCACATCCTCATGATCGGTTCCTTTTGTTTCCCCGCCGGGTCTACATACGCCCAAACGAGGGTTCGTCCGGTGTTCATGAACGCCCAGTGAGTGACCGGGGGGTTCGAGCCTCTCGGTGGGGTGTTGGAAAAGTGTGAAGCCGAGTAGACGGTAGGGTCTAGGTGAGGAGGGTTGCTGACTAGTCTGGAGAACGATTCAGAGGCCGACACTCGAGTGACGAAGGAAGAGTTTGTCGATCGAAGGTTGTTCTTCGGTCGAGGTGGGAGTCGTGATTTTCCTCCTGGTCCACGAGCTCCGTAAGTAGCTTCGTATTGCAACTTGTTCTGAGCCGAATCATCTTCGTCCTCGTCGGAAGAACCGGCGTTGTCGGTCTTCTTGACGGCCTGTTGCTGCTGCTGTTCTTGCTTCTTGGCTCCTCCTCGTCCGAGCAACCCTCCGAACCCTCCGCTACTCTGATTGTTACCCTCGTTTCCAGTCTTCCCGTTCCCGTTGATACTGAACGTGACAAAGTTCGCCCGGATAGGCCAAGGGTTAGGGACTCCGTTCGTCCCGTTCCCTTGCCCGAAAGCGGGTCCAGCAACAGGTCCACCAGGAGCTACAGGACTCGCCGAAGCAGGCGGTCCTCCTCCCATCCCAAACATGCCCGGCGGAATTCCTCCCATTCCCATCCCCGCCATGGCCATCGCCGGACTCATCCCCCCAAACCCGGTCGCAGGCGGTCCAGAAGGGATAGGCATGGGAGGTGGGAGCAAGGTCGCATTGGTCATCATGTTGGGAATCAACGTGTAGTTCCCCTCGGGCGAGGAAAAGCTGGGTGGTGGGAGGACCGGTGCGTTGGGGTCGACATAGGTAGGCATGGGTGGTGGTACGTATTGTCGGACGACACGCTCCGGCATCGGGGGAAGCGGGAAGAAGGCTGGTGGTGCGAACATGGTTGTTTGATCTTCTTGTCTAGACTTAGTGGAATTTAGTATCGGTACGTCCGTGTCCTTGTCGCAGCAGTGGTCTGGGGAAACCTTGGGTGAGTTGACTCTCTCTTGAGGTTATAGATCGGCCAGGATGCCAATGAGGTTGGATGTCGTCGACGATGATGATGCCACCGGGGTCCCACCGGGGAACGGCGAGCAAGGAAGCGAGGAAGCGCGTCGCCTCTCGGACCGTGCCGGGACGATCGAGGGTGCGCAGCCATGAATGATGGATGGATGAGCAACAGTCGCAGTGGTCGCTAAGAGATAGCGATAGATAATATACGGGTAGCTTGGAGTGCAAAAAAGTATCCTAGCTCGCCTAAACTTGATGATCAGCGTTGTCGAAGCCTTGTCAGTCGGTTGACACCTCGAGGGTTTATCGTGCCAAACTGGACCCGCAAAAGCCAAAAAGATTAGCCCATTGTGGGGATCGAACCCACGACCTGCCGATCGCCAGAAGAGGCAGTAAGAGTCGGCTGCTCTACCAACGGAGCTCAACGGGCTATTCCAACTTGGATGTCAAGAAACTTATTGCAAAAAATATATCAATATTTGTTTCGAAAAGCGTCTTGCAGCGTCAACCTTTCTGGACCTTTGCGAGATCCAATATATCCAACACCTACCTATCCATCTCGCCGTTCACTGTCATATACTTCATAACAGCCCTCCCATCATCATGTACAGAGGCCGCTCAAGATCCCCCGAAGATCGCTCCTCACGCCGATATCCCTCTGACCGGGATCGAAACGGCTCAGGACCTGGACCGAGCCGACCACCGTACGATTCTGGTCGACGTGACGAAGGCAACTACAGTCGACGAGGAGGACGGGACGACCGAAGAGGAGGATTCGGTTCTGATAGACCGAGAGATAGTGGATATGGAGGGAGAAACGGCGCTGGCAACGGGGATAGGAAAAGGGAATACACAGAGGACGATCGAGAGAGGGAAAGAAGGGATCAGAGAGCTGGATACGATGATCGTCGGAGAACGTCGGTGAGTCGTTGACATTCCTTCATGAGCCAAATCCAGTAGACGGTTACTCGAATACATTATGGCACCTTGTATGCTGACCACTGTCCTATTCTTGTCGTCGATAGGCCTCTCCACCACCCAAAAAAGACCCCCCTAAGCCAAACTTTGCACCTTCCGGCCTCCTAGCCGCCGAGACCAACACTGTCAAGGTCGACCCCGCCAAAGCGGCCGCAGCAGGGAAAGCCGATGTCAAGGGAGTGCTGCTGAAGTACAACGAACCGCCTGAAGCTAGGAAACCTACCCAGAACTTCAGGTTGTATGTCTTCAAAGGGAACGAACAGGTCGGTAAGTTGTAGTCCGGGTCGAGGGACATAGACAGTGAAGAACGCAGGATGCTCGTTGACTGCTAACAAGACTTCATCGTGGAACAGAGCTTATTCAGATATACCGCCAATCTGCCTATCTCGTTGGAAGAGACCGTATCGTATGTAAATCACCTCGTCGTTTGCAGGCTCGCGTTTGACCCCTCCTGGTCACTGCCTGTACATAGGTGGCAGACATACCCATCTCTCACCCTTCCGCATCAAAACAACATGCAGTGATTCAATATCGACAGGTGGTAGAGAAGAGCGAGTTTGGGGATACCAAGACCCGGATCAAGTGAGTTTCGTTGCGGTCAAAATGATGGATTGTGCACTGCGGCTGACGTCAAAGCGATTCATGGTAATTCTACAAGGCCTTTCGTGATTGACTTGGATTCCACGAATGGTACTTTCGTCAATGATGAGCAGATCCCAGCTTCCAGGTGAGCTGATCGAGAAACATAGCTACCGCGAGCGGAGTTGCTCATGTCTCCCTTTTGATGCTTCATGCTGGTAGGTACTACGAAATCCGAGAGAACGACAGTAAGCGAGTTCCCCATATTGCCTTACGTTCCCGGCCTCCTGGCTAATCCTTCTTCTTTGTCTTGTGATAGTCCTCAAATTTGCACAATCTACTCGAGAATACGTTCTCTTGTCCGAAGACAGCGCCAAATGATATATGGCTCTCAAGATGGCATGCAGCAAGTGTATCCAGTATCTTTCGTTGCATCTGTCCCAATGAATTATACAAGTATACTGTTGGTGCCATTCAAGGGACGCTCGGCGACCCAGCTGGTAGTCATTGATCCAGCCCCCGATTCCCACCCTACCTGGATTTCTGTTCGGCAAATTCCGTCTCGGCCTTGGTGTCGAATCCCTCCGTGTGGTTGAAGTCTGCGTCTTCTCCGATATTGTCGATTTCAAGAGGGGGCTGGTAGACCTTGACGGTGATCCTGCCGTCGTTGTACCTCTTGGATCGACTGATCCACATGACCAACCCGTAGATCGTCAGAGGTATGAAGCCGATCATGGGGATAAGGAACGAGATGTGTGCGGAATAGCGATCCGACACAGCGCTCTGCATGGCGGGCCAAACGGCTCCTCCGCTGACACCGGCACTGATCAAACCTGATAGATAATGTGGTATTAGATACTTGCACCACAACCACACATGCAATGTTCGACAGGTGAGATCTCCACATACCAGATCCTAATTTGGCATAGATTCCAAGGTCCGAGGTGGCCACTGTTGACGGCACGAGCTGTAATCAGCAGGAATTACATAGAACATGACTCAGAACACCGCTCACCAGAGAAGATGGTCGGGTAGCAAGTCGACTCGAAGAAGAATATCAGGAAAAGGCAAGCAATCCCACCTGACAGTCGCGCGCCTGTATCAGCATTCGTTCCAAATTCACAGTGCTGGCTTCGACAGTGCTCACCTTTACCAGGAATGACAGAAGTTAATATCGAGAATATTATCAGTCCTACTCCGTTGATGAACAGCGAGAAACAGGGGTCGATGTAGCGAAGGTAAACCACGCCGATGAATCTCCCAACCGTGAAAACGGCTTGACAGCCCGAGAACATGTTGGAAGCGGTAGCATCGCTGATAGTGTTCACTCCGGGTTGGTGAGTGAGGTAAAAGATGACATGCGATGCCACCTGTCATCGAGGACGACACGGGAGCGCGGGAATGAAGTTGTGGAATACGGCGCAGGGGTGAGGAGCAGCAGAACGCGAAGTGCACGAACAAACAATGAAACAAGGAGAGTCAGAGGGGCGGATCTGCGGAAGCTATATCTCCAGGACTCACCGCAACTTGTGCTCCTGCAAGATCGGTAAGATATATCAGCTGATTGACAAATTAAGAATTTCGGAACTCGTCGACTCACCTGTGTATGCAAATTCCGCTACAAATCCATATATGGTGTGCTTTTGCTTGAGGAAGCCTCTGAGTGACGTGGTTTCTTCGACGTCGAGAGCGATGACTTGACGGACTTCAGGGAGTCTAGCGAATATGAGCAGGACGTTGAGGAGTACGCCGAAGCAACTCATCGCCAGGTACACATATTGCACGGACCCGAGAGAACCACTGTCGTCGCTCTCGTTGAAGAACGTCTTCGAAGCGATCAAGGGTCCGATTACTGTTGCAATCCCATTGAACGCTTGAGCCAGTGTCAAACGGAAAGCGGCGTATTGGGGTGGTCCCAATAGCGTCATGTACGAGTTGGCTGCCTTGATGATGGGACGTAATCAACATGCGATTTCGATATCCCTGTCCAAGCAAGCCTGGTGTCACTCACCACTTCCAACGTGGCCAGACCCGACGCGATGAGGAACGTGAAGGCGATAAACATGCCGTACTGGCGGTAACTGCATACGCCGAACAGCCATCAGTCCTACCTACATCGCACATACTGTTTAAAACACACTCACACAGCCGCTGGCCAGAAAAGTATAGCACCTATGTGAACAAATCACAACGTCAGCATACGGGTCCGGATGACTGGCTTGATCACGCGCTTACCGATGGAAAACAGTCCCAGTCCGACATGTATGCCAATCTTATACCCGTAACGTCTCATGAAGATTCCCATAGGAGGTGCAACCACCAAGTATGCTACGAAATAGGCGAATTGAAGCAGGGTAGTCTCTGTTCTCGATAGGTCGAAGATCTCCAAGACTGAGAGCGTATCAATGAGGTCAATAGCATGATGACAAGAAGCAAAGACTCTGTCCAAAGCTTACAGTGTGCGTTCAAGACATCCAGAAGTCCATATGAGAACCTGTCATTGCGCAATATTCGTTTAGCCGCAACGCCTGCCCACCTGGAAGCTCGCGTTCTCACCCCCAGAGGAAGAAGAGCGATGTGACTATGCTGAAGGAGAACACAATCTGCCTCCTTGTCATCTGCGTGTAATCGGTGGGAACGGGCGCCATGTTGCCTGAACGTGTACTTCGTTAGAAAACAAACATCGACCAGGGGAGAGAATTGACGGTCGAAGGACGTAGAAGGGCAGCTCGTGCTTTCAGTGACGGTTGACCGGACACCATCGACTCTTATACCGATCGGTGCACGAATGTCCCAGGTGTTTGGTCAAGCGGTAGCGCTGCGCTAATTCGCGATCGGGATAAAGTTGCCCCTCCGGGCCCCGCTTAGGCGAGAGTCTGTCCCTGCGCCTGCTGTATATGGATATATGGTGAATCTCGACTGTACGCCACGCCCTGTTTGTCACGTCGCACGTTATCGAGGTGTGAAATGCCCGCGGGTATACCCGCATTTGGGCCAAGGAGATGGGCAAGCGAAATGGCGTGTTGGAAACCCAAGCAGCCGAACGATAGAACCACCCGACCACCTTCTTGGTAGCCTCGTTGGGAATTCTATGGCCTATGATTGTTGTCTCCCGCAGACTCGAGCGTATCACAAGCCCGGTATCATGTAGCTTCAGCCACATACATCGCATCATGTTGCGACCATGATGCAAACGTAAAGACCCGAACAGTATGAGACTCGTTCGATTTTCCATCCTTGCGTATTGCATATCGCTAGTCTGAAGCTCGATATCGCCAGGAAGCTGGCAATGATCGAGAGATTTGTTGAATATTCTGAGAGTGATTTGACGTAACGGCCGGAGCACGCTGAATTGATTCGTTCATCTTTCGTCACGCTCACTTGACCGGTTTCCTGTTTCGCTCAGACGGTGCTTAACAGATTCGCAGCCTTCCATTGATCGCTTCCAGGAGCCCTTCTCTTTGTGCACCAAGATGTTCAGTCATTTCGAAAAATCCATGCAGTGGCTTGCTCGCTGGACCCCAGACTATCGCATCTATATTTGTATCCATAATCAGACTTGACCTGAAAAACCTGCCAGGGAGGCCCGTGCCGTCCGACATTAATCATATCTTGAGCAACGCGACTATCCGCTCGAGACCCCGTTTGTCCTCGTCGTCAAAGGTGTTCTTGACCGTGCTATCGAGGTCAAGCACGCCCACGGTAACTCCGTCCTTTTGGCTCTTGAGCGGCAAGACGATCTCCGATTGCGATAAAGCGTCGCATGCTTGAAACAGGAAGGAGCAAAACGTTCGTATCAGTCCACGGAAAATACTCTCGAGGATAGTCTTGTGGGTCCCTCTCTCGCTCTCTTACCGATATGACCCGGATAGGTATGCACGTCTCCAACGACCAGAGTCTCGTTCTTCAAAAACGCATCCGCACAAACTCCTTTTCCCGGTTTCGTTTGGATTACCTGACAAGCAGGTCGACCGCAGAAGGGTCCCAAGAGGAGGGGTCCTGATCGCGATTGCTCAGGAGGATGTACGTAGAAGCCTAACTTGTTCGGTATGTGAGCAAGGAAACCGACATTAAGCTTTGGATGTCAACACCGACTCACCACACCAGTTCACCACCGGCTCGCCATCGTCTCGTCGTCCGTATAAACTTGATCCGAGGTACGAGTTGTACAAGACCGAGCTGGCGTTGGCAAAGTTGGATACCTTCAAAAGCTCCTCAGTCAGATAGGTACTACCCACCCATTCCGAGCATGACTTACCCAGTAGTCCTGTCCGTCCACCAAGGCCGAGATGGATTCCTCGACATGAGCATAGAACGCTGCTTTGCTGATCTCCAAGGATTCAAGTGTTGGGCCGCCTCAGATCGCTGGGCTGCTGAAGGTAAGACTCCCGACCTACTCACGTCTTTATGTCATCCGGTACGAAAGCTGCGTCGGCGTGAGGCATGGTGTCCGAGAGTGCTAGCTGAACTATTGGTCTTAGAAACGTCGTGTTGAGATGTCTCAGCGAAAGCCGAATCGACTTGAATTGCATGTTCGACTTTCTTTTGGTTGTCGACAATTGACAACAATCTGAAATTTGCTTCCGCACATGAGTAACCTGCATCAGGACGATCACCACTTGCAAATGTCTGGAGCTCGACAACCGTTGCTAGATGCATCAACCCAATTACTATCGATCACATGTCTTCATCTACAATTACTTGACAAGATTCAAAAGGTTCGTACAAAACATCATCGCTTGGGTCTCGCGGTATAGAAGAATTCGTTCGTTCGTGAGTGTGTTTGCGTTGTCGTATCACGCGGTACTCCAAGATTCAGTGTATCGTCAAGATATCCGTTGGTCGGATATTTGTGTATATATATCGAGGTGGGTGATCCCGCAGATGCTGCTGATGCTTCCCTCCAGTTGTATTCAGTGCAGCTCAAAACGCTTCAGAATTCCATATCCTGATCGTCATGCGTGCCCGTGTTCAGGAGCCCGCCAAACCTGATCCCCGATCCGAGTCCAGCGTGGTCCTGTCCAGCAGGAGCGAACGACTTGCCTGGAGTAGGAGGAAAGAGAGAAGGCTCGAGGGTCCCGACGGTATGCGCGTTGAGCCCGGACGAACGGTTGACCGGGGTCAAGTAGTCGCTAGCTGCGCTATCGAATTGGCTCTGGGTTGGGGTGAGGAGGTCGCTGGTATCCAATTGATGCGCCGCGGCGAGGAATCCAGCGGTCGTACCCGACACACCATCGATCTTTATCTCGGGTCGACCGGCATGGAGAGCGTTGGTACCCAGATCGGTATCGAGACGGAGGGGGAACTGGAACCTCGTTACCGAGTCGTCCAGTACCTTTTTCCCTCGAGCGCGACGCGAGGATGACATCGACATGCTCGAATCCCAGGCCGACGGTGGCGTATCCAAGCTCATCCCCATACCCATTCCCTTGGGCGTAGTCCCACCAGAACCGAGAATGACCCCACTAGGGAACCTTGGACCCGTCGGCGTGTTCTCAAAAGTGAGACTTCGGCGGATCTTGTGACCTCTCGCCTGGGATTCCGGACTAAACTCCCTGGACATCCTCGACATCCGCTTCTCCTTGCCTACTCCGCCGTTGACGAGATCAGTGACAACATCCTCTTCCCGCTCCTGCTCCTGTCCCTGTTGTCCCATGATGGCGTCTAGTACGTCTTGTCCGCTCGAAAGACCTCTCAGATGACGGTGGTTGCCCGAGATGGATACGCTCGTAGGCCTCGATCGGACCTTTGTCGGATGTCCGCTCCCCGGAGAGAGCTCCCAATTACCCTCGGGGTAATCCTTGGGTGGCAACAACAACGAGCTCAGAGATTTCGACGGTAGGTGACCGAGTTGATGGGACGGCGTCGTGGCCGAAGTCACTGAGACCGGCCTCATCAAGGGCAACGGAGTGTCATCGGTCGCATACGCCCCAGCCGCCTTGGGCGCAGGTGGAGGCTGCATCGTCAATTCCCGAGCCCTCTCCACACCTGCCATGGGAGTGGCCGGAATATCACCCATCTTGTTAGCCCTTCCAAGACCAGAGGCAGGGTACCTGTTCGACCTGACGCTCGTCTTCCCATACAAAGGATCCCTCTCTTCCTCGCTGACCTCCTTGTCGCTCTCTAGCGAGAATCCCTTTTCCATCCGAATGATCTCGTCCAAGACGTCCTTCATGTCGTCGTTCCCGATCGATACAGATGCTGATGCAGATGTGGATGACGACGATGACGAAGACGAGGAAGCGGATCGCAGTCCCGGATGAAGCTGACTCTGAGTCTGACCCTGAGAGCCAACCTCCCGCAGGACGAACGAAGGCCGTCTCAACTTCCTCCCTTTGCCCGCACTCGCTCCGGGCATAGACACGTTACACCCCTGCTCCTCCTGTGCGATCAATCCGGTCCCATCCGAAGTCGACCGGTTCCTCATACCCAGCTTGAACCGCTTAGGGCCGCTCGATCCGGGTACACCTTGCTTCTCGTACGATTCCAGGGAGAATGCGTTCATGTCCAACGTATGCGAGTCAGAGTTGGAGAAGCCGTACCCGTGGGTCCTAGAGGCGAAAGTAGAATCGGGTCCGAGTAGGAATTCTTGTTTTTCCTCCTTGTTCATCTCCTTGGCACCGAACCTTGACCTGGTAGATTCGTTAACGGAAGCCATAGATGCTGTGGCACCAGCGGTGGTCGAGATGGAACTGCCCGAGACGGTTGATGCCCAACTCTCGTTCCTCCCGTGAGCATCCCCCCTGGCACCCCCTATCAACTCTGGGATCCTCCCCGCCGACAGAGACATGGACGAACTGGCGTTACTACCCATAGAATCCGCATGTCCTGACCGGTCGTACCGTCTCCTCCTCCTCTCCTCTTTCATCATCTCCTCCAGAGCTTGTCGTCGATAATGAGACGCGCTCCATTCCACGTTGGCGTGCGCGTAAGGGTGGGAGACGGATTCGTGCAACGAGGCCGTGATGGGGAAGTTAGACTTGGAGGCGTGGGCAGAGTAGTCGAACGGCGCGTCGGCGAATCGGTCGGATGGGCTGGATGAGGTCACAGGTAGAGAGGCGGACGATTCCGGGTTGCCCGACTGGTTGGGGTTGGATGGGCCGTCTTCCAAAATGGCAGATAGGGATTGTTCAGAGGTCCGGCGAGAAGCATCGTTGAAACACAAGGCGGACATCGCATCCGTCCTTGCACAAGCTGCAACATTACCAGGCGGAGCTTCAGCTTCTTGCGGCTTGATAGCGTTTTTACACGGACCGCTGAGGCTAGACTCACCAACCGAGCAAAAGATGTCATCCATCTCGACGTTCTGGCCACACATGCAACTTCGCTTGGGCTCAGGCGAAGAGAAGGTAGATCCGAACCGCGTCGACTCGAGTGCCATGATGTTGGGGTCTTGTTGTTTGGTAGACGGTCGCGTCGAGGAATATCGAGGTTGTATATGTAGCAGTAGACTGGTCGCGCCGATAGTTCGACGTGTGCCAGATAAGATCAACGATGAGGTATCCCTGAAGGGATTAGTGAGTTGACTAGCTGACGTGAGCCTTAGACCAGAAAGGATACTGCTGGTAGTCGTGCCTCGTGAGATCTCTCAGCGGCTCAGCAGACTGGTGATTCTCGACAGAGGGCGTTCGGTGTTGAGCGTTCTTTGTCTGTATCAAGGCGACCGGTGTTCCTGGTCTTGGCAGGCAGACAAAGGTCGTTGAGACGTGAGAAGAAGGTGGCGCAAGAGTAGTCGTCGTTGTTGTTGATGCGGGTGTGAGAAGTGAGAGAGGCGGGGGATGTGTGTGAGTGTGAGATTCTCGAGAATGTTTGTATTACGAGCTGCGAGCTGAGGTCCGAAGCTGCTCGAGACGCGTCTCTAGGTTGTTTCCGAAAGCGGCAAGGAAGCAAAAAAAGGTGATGATGAGCCGATCAACAAATAAATTGATCCCGTCAGTAGCGATCAAATCTCATCAGCACCGCCTCGGCAGTGTGATATGATCGGACCGTTGTGAAGCCTTGCTAGCGTAACAATCTCAGAATGACGGTGTAGTAGGAGGTTGGTGCTAGTGCAGGATATGTAATTCTAGCAGACATCTCCAATCGCATCTTTCACGAGATCACGATCAGATGTCGCAAGATTTGTTTGTTGATCGTTGATGAACTCGCGTCGCTGATCGCTGCCGCCGATCAGCTGAGTCACAAGACGCGTCGGCTCAAAGAGGAAAAAAGGGACCACGCGTCGCAGCCGATGCGAAGGAGAACTTTGGTTGATAGCGCGCAAATACCAAACGCGCAAGGAGCATCACCACCGCCCACCGGACAGTCACAAGCAAAAGCAAGCAACTAAAGGATCCCTCTACGTGGAGATCCTGTTGCATCTCCCCTACATCGTATGGTAACATCATGAATATTCAGGACGTTCGGACCATCAGACCGTTCCACATCCGATCTCTGATCGAACGCGTTCCCCAAGCGCGTCTTGCGTCACCCAGTCTTCTAGCGCGGGTAGTCACCTTCAAAGGGTTTCAAGGCACAATCACAATCTTATCTTTCGGGACGCGGATCGTGGGATCGGATGGTCGGACTAATCTGAGGTCGGGGATGATCGAGTCGGATGACCGAGTCTGGGCTAGCAAGCCGTCATCTACCGCTCCATCGCTCGTGAGATCGTCAAGGACATTATTGTGCCAGAAAATACAACAACCCAAACGGGCGGAGAACGTCCAGTGGAATCCATCTAAATTGTCCAGCGACTTTTCTCTCTACCGATAATGGCCCGTCTACCAGACCAGCGCCGTATCATCCCTATAATTCATCCTCTTCGCATACTCCAACTTTTCCTGTTCCGTCAACCTGTCCTGCCCCGTCCAATTGGCACTGCTGCTTCTCGGCCTCTTGGCCGCTCGAGCGCCGATGAACACGTCTTCCATCTTGAACTCTGGCATGGGACCGAACAGGTGAGCGGGATCGAGGGTGCCCTGCATGTCGATCGCTCGGCGGAGGGCGGGTGAGGCTGCCCATGAGGCGGCATCGTCCTCGGAATCGGATTCCAGGCCGTAGCTATGGAGGTAGAAGCTTGTCAGCGATGTCGTCTTTGAGACGGAAAATTCGAAACTGCTCACTCTGAATCGATATCAGGCAACTCGATATCCTCTGCCCTGGTATCCTGTTCTCCGCCGGTCGCTCCCGTCGCTGCCTTTCCAACGTTGACCACCGCCGCCTGTCCGACAGCGAACACGCCGCCAGCCTGAGCGGGCGTGACCGTCTTTCGATCCCCACCGCCAGGGACGATCGTCGAATTCCTCACGCCCGCATGTGTCTGCTGGTTCATCATCGGCCGCTGCAGACCCGCCTGCATGGACGCCTTGGCAGGTCGCACAGGACCCGCGTTGGCCAAGCTGGGTTTGCTGGGTGCGCCCAAAGGTCGAGATGGACCTGCAGGAGGATTGACCGTAGAGGAAGCACTGGCGGTCGCTGTGGGGACGAGAGGTCCCGTGGGGATGATGGTCTTCATGATCGGATGAGGTCGGGTCGGTGCCGTGCTCTTGTTGAGCTCTGGAGCTGCCGGCTTGCCGACAGGTTCGCGAGTTTTGGCGTGGATCTGAGCCGGTCGCTTGACCTCTTTCGGTGCGGCTGCCATCTGTCGAAAAGGTCATCGCACAATCAGTATCCGAAACACTTTACTCGAATCCAGACGGGGAGCACCGACCTTCGCCTTTTTCTGGCTTGCTGCTAAAGCCGCCTTCTCCTTTTCCGCTATGCCCCTTTCGTACGCCTCTTTTCGTTTCCTCTCCTGTTCCTCCCGAAGCTTCTTGAGTCGTTCTTGTCGGGCGAGCTTTTCCTTACGCTCGGCCTCTTGCTCGGCTTTTTCTCGAGCGGCACGCTCACGCATCTCGTCCCGCTTACGCTGATCTCGAGCTTCTTGCTTGGCTGCACGGTTGGCTGCCATGGCCGCTTCCTGTAGTGATAGCGAGATGCCGTGCGATAGCGATTAGTATCGGACTGGACTACGATGCACTGTGCGCTTTTATGACTTGCCTTTTCTCGAGCCTGCTGAGCTTTCATCAGGCTGTCGATCTGACCAATAACCGGACGCTGTCCGTCAACCTTTCGGGCGATACTGGAGGCTAGGAATAGGTTCTTCTGGGCGGTCGCCTTCGACGTGGTGGAGGATCCCAGTTTGGAGGATGCCAATGATGAAGTGTTAGAGCGCTAAGAGAAAGATGCGGGCAAGATCTCTCAGACTGAAGCTCGAAATCGCGAAGCCATATACGTCACACTCACCTTGCCAGCGGGAATGGTCTTCTCGGTCATGGTCTCTCCATCGGACGGTGCCTCGTATCCCTCGTCCGTTTCCTCGTCGCCCAAGCGCATCTCCTTTGTTATCAAGGCCACTGCTTCTTCGATATCCTCCTTGAACTCGTCGGCTTGTTCGTTTTCCTCTTCTTCCTCTGAAGACGACTCGACTTCTTCGCGTTCAGTTTCAGCGTCGTCCTCATCGATATCATCATCTTCGTCATCGGGCACGACCTGTGCAGTCGAAGCGGACAAGCCTGATCTTCTAGGTGATGTCTTCGTGATGACGGTAGGGGCATTTTGCGCCAGCGGTGTGGGCTTGGAAGTAGCTCCTGCATCATGCAGGGGCGGAGAAGAAGGCGTCTGAGCCTGAGCTCTAGGTGCAGAGGCATCTCTTGAAAACAGGTCGGAAACCTCTCTCGAAGGCAACCTGTCGACGACCTTGATGTCCTCGGCGGAATCGACGCGCATCATCGAAATCTTTGGCTGACGGACCACCGGCGGCAAGGCCGCGTTTTGCAAGTGAGAAGGCCCCCGAGCTTGATGAGGAGCGAAAGCGCCCGCGCGGAACGCCCTTGGAGGCGAAACCATTGGTGTGGTAGACTCGACGACCCGGAGGTCTTGCTTGACAGGGGTAGAAAGTGTTGGTCGCGGGTTCGAGTTCGTCGGAGCAGCTTCAACGTGGTCGACATGCATATCGTCGTCTTGTTCTTCGGCTACGTGAGAAGCAGTCTGCGCATGCTGATCGACGGGATAGACGGGTGCCGTAGGTGTGGTAGATATGGCTTCAACCGCTTCTTGCTGGACTTCGACGATCACGACTTCTTCACTCGTCGCGGTAGCAGTCAGCGTCTGCAGTTCCACGTCCACCGTATCCTCTCGCTCAGAAACCACTCTGACTACTTCTGCCTCCTTTGCTGGCTTCATCTCGACGTCATCCGTGATAGCAGCCTCGACGACTGCGGCGACCGCGGTTCTCTTGCTGAATCCTTCCTGTTCATCCGCCTCGTCTGCTTCGAGCTCGTCTTCTGCCTCGCTCTCGTCCTGTGGTTTCTTGTTCTCGAGAGCTTCCTGCCTAGGCAAAAGACTAATCGGTCCATTCTCGCTCTTTGGACTTCCCGCCGCTTCATCCCTCAACCTCAACCCGCCCAAGGTGCTCCTCAACGGATTCCAACCGGCTCCGCCGCCAAGGATCCCATGGTGTGCGCCATTTATCGGTGGCCCTCCCAGCGTCATGCGCGAATTCGAGGCTGCAAAAGAGGCCGCGGCCTTTTTCTCTTCCAGGTCGGCGATCATCCTGGCGAGCTTGCTTTGCGGCATGGATTCGGCCTGAATTTCCGCGGGAACATGTTGATTGATATGCCTTGATGCGCTGATAGTCTCCAGAGGTTGCCTCTCGGCCGGCTTGCCATCCGCTGACGATTTGGGGGCATCCTTGATCTCGACATCGTACTCCTTGTGCGTCACACCTACTGACGCCACCTTCTCGACCTCAGTCTTTTCCTTACGGACATCAACAACAGGCTCCACCTGCATGACCACGTCGTCACACACATCATCCGCCTCCTCTTCCTCTTCTTCAACGTCCCGTTCGAACTCGCTCTTCTTTCTCAACGCGTGCCCTGCCATACTCTTCCTCACTCCCTGTTCACCTCCCGCATTGGCCATCGCCTGGCGTAGCCAACTGCTCCTCACTCCCGGTCCGCTCTTCTTGCCATTGCCCTGGGAAACAGGTCCCGCTTTCTGGTCTTGACCTTGGCTGGCAGTATGCCTCGAGATTGGAGCAGGAGTAGCGGCAGGTGCTGAAACAGGTCCAGCGTTCACCTGGCGTAGAGAAACCACAGGAGCGAGCCTGACCGACTTGACGTTGGTCGGTCCGGCCTTGTCCTGCCCGTCGGTATCAATACCTTCATCGACTTTCTCCTGGTCGCCACCGTCAAGCTTCTTGCCAGCCTCCAGGTTCATGGTCATCCTCTTCTGGCCGCCAATGCTCTTTCCCCTCATCGGATCCCTTGAGGGTAAAGCGGCAAAGGCGACCGAAGACGGGGAGAACGAGATGGGTGCTTGTCTGTCCGCGCCGTATATCGATTTCCTTGCTGTAGTCGCATCCGTCCCGGTCCTGGTGGTCGAAACAGATGCAGACTTAACGGGGGTGGTCGAATCTCGCAACGGGATCATGTAGTCGGTCCGTCCTGTCTTTTCTCCTTCATCTTGAGCTTTTTCCGGGGTCAGCAGATGCGACGGGGTTGGAGATGGTGAATCCTGGATAGGTGAGCTTGGGCTCGAAGTAGAATTAGAAGTAGAAGCCGACACCGTTGAAAGGTCCACCTGCATGTCCACATCTCCTAGTCCCTCCACCTCGACTGGTCCAGGTTGTTCGACCGCGGACTTGATAGGGCTCGCGAGCGTAACCTCACCCAGAGTCTGGGCAATATGCTCCATATCCACCTGTTGTCTTTCCTCTTGTCCATGTTCCTCTGGCACGTCCTCCTTTTTCTCCGATTCGCTGGCCATCGAGACCTTTCCAGCCGGCGTGGGCGAAACCGGACTTGCAGCTTGCTCCTCCTCCACCTCGTCCTCTACATCGATTTGTTCGATGTCCGCCACATGTTCCTCTTCCTTCCGGTCTACCGCGGCCTGAGGTTCATCTACTACCTCATTGCCTCGTTCCGCATCGTGTTCCACCTCTGCCATAACCTCGTCGCCTGCTGCCTCCGTCTCGAGGACCTCCTCGACATCCATGTTCACCGCGACATCTGCTTGCGCCTCTACCCCTACTCGCTTTCCCGCACGAGACCCCGAAGCCGGTCGATTGAGATCATCATGCACGAGGAACGGGTTCGACTCCTCTAGCCCTGGCTGACGAGCTTGAGCTCTAGGTTTAGGTTTGAGGACTTTAGTAGGGGTTCCAGGAGATAAGGGAGTTGTCGATCCAGATTCAGATATAGGAGATCCAGGAGACATCATAGAGACGGGAGGCTTGGATGAAGAGGATACGGTAGTGGTCGGCGCAAAGAGGAGCTTCTTGACCGTGGGCTGAAAATTCGGTGAAAGAGAAAGAACCGAGTTCACATACACAGGTCATAATAAGCATCGGTCAAGGTCAAATCGCTTTAAATGTTTGTCAGCTTACCTTCGAGCTCTTCCTTAGTACTAGATCCTCATCCTCTTCATCCACTCTCGATCCAAGATTCGCGTTGGCCAACCGGATTTTCTCCCCCCTCTCCTTCTCTTTGGCGATGCCCGTCCGTGTCTTGGGTACCGTCCGGGGGGTTCGTGAGGGGGTCTTAAGGATCTGTGCTAAGTTCCCGCTGTAATTGCAAGAACAAAGGATTTGAAAGCAAGCGGATGGAATGCCAAATTGGAGTCAGTAAACAACACCTTTGTAATCACAGCTGCTTAAAGGCGTCGACATACCTAGCACCGGCCCTTCCGGCCAGGGCGACCCTCTCGACGTTGTTCATGTAATCCTCCAACCAGTCATATCCCTTGACTTGTAACAAGTCTTCCAGCCCGGAAAGCGCCGATTCCGCTTGACTGTCGATGGTCCCTTGAAGTTTGAAGGTGTAAGGCGTAAAAACTGTTGATGTTGAGCTTGAAGGGAACATGATGCATGAAATTGAAGATTGTGGTAGGCGGTGGTCGTGACAAGTAGAGCCTGCTGCGTTAGTCGAAAAGGGGTCCTTTGAAGTCCGCTCTTCGCCGTAATTCTGTCGAGCACAGCCTCTCTGTCCGATCTCTTGAATACCTCGTTGCTGTCACAAGTGTTTGTAGAGTCGAGGTGGTAAACGATAAAGATATGAGAGCACACAAGGTCGGTTTGTTGACGATTGAGTGATGCGAGAGGTGAGGTAGATCACGTGATATTGTTGTCGATTGAGTAGAATCTACTTGAACACAACACATCCCGGGGGGTCACTTCAACTCTGCTCTACCTCTAAATCATACATCTGACAATTCAAGAAGTCGAAGAACTTCAATCATTCGTCTTGACTGACAGTCAAATTCAACATCAAATAGCACTTCGATAATAGTCTTGTTCCACCATGCTGACGGCGCATACCCGCAAAGTCCGCACGTACGGCAAATCAAACACGGTCAGTCTCGCGAACTCTTCTCGTTTGATCTTTCCTTCGTTCGACTTGCATCTGACACGTCCTTTCTCGTCTCTTGATAACATGTCATTCCGGTCGGGTACCACAGCGAATCGTCAACGATCAGAACCTATTCGACCGTGTCGTTTCGCCTACCAAGTACCACTCTCCTGTTCGTAATCCAAGGCGAGATGCACGGGGTCGAGATGCCGACGAGTTCGATGATGAGGGTGACGAGGATAAAGAAGAAGAGGATGACTCCGAAGTGGATTCCGAGAACAAACAAACTATCCTCCGGCCGAAGATTAGAACCCGCCCAGCTCCACTCTCGCAGAAGAACGTCAACCATTCCATCTCTCAGCCTGATTTCGGAAAGACAAAACTGAAAACGAGAGGATCCAAGGTCGCTGACGTTGGTACCTCTCTATATGCCAAGAAGCAACAAGCAAAGGCACGACCTCAGCCTGTGAAAATTCGAACGCAAGACAACAAGCCGGTCGAAAATCGACAAGCTCGGGGTATCAGGTCGGAAGCCCAAATCCAAGCTCGGCCACCCATCTCCGTATCGATTTCCATCTCATCGACCGCTTCCATAGAGTCCTGCTCGTCAGCCTCTACGAGTACAAGCTTCGTCTCCGCTCAGTCGACTACTCTGCCCAGCACCAGCACTGCTACTAGCAATAGTATCGAAGGCGAAGACAGTGTTGGGACAAAAATCTTCGAGGCGGATGGGGATACCGGGCTGGACCTAGAACCAGCGCTCCAAGGATTGCGATCGTTCAGGGTTTCTAGCGGGCGGTTCGAAGATGCCCCCGAGGACGACGACATTCACATGAAGATGGGTATAGATTCGGAATTGAGGATGGGTGGGGAGATCCGGGGTTCGGATTCTGGTCTGGATTCCGGGCCTGGATCTCGGTCGGACATGGCATCGAAAGTAGCCGAGTCGAGCGGAGCTGAGGCCGGAAAGGACGTCGATGTACAGGCAGGCAACACCATTGAGGAGGAAAGCGAAGAACAAGTCGATGATCAAGAAGAGGAGGAGGAAGAGGAAATTGTCCTCCCTGTTCTTAGGCGACGGACAAGGAAGAACCACCCTCGGGCCTCGAGGATCAGTGTAGAGTCGTCGAAAGTGACAACTACTACTACTGTGATCGAGACTTCGGGTTCGGCCTCGACGACGAGCTCAGGGTCTTCCTCTCTGCTAGCCAGCGATGGGCCGAGGCCGAGGAGAGGAAGAGGGAGAAAGGTGGTCGTTACCCCTGAGAGCAGTCAACGCGCATCGTCCGCCAACGACCAGGAGAAACTAGCGGTAGAGCCAGAAGAAGTCGATGACAAGACTCGCGATTTGATCGTGGTTCTCCCGCCTAGGAAGACCACCCCAATGCGCTCCCCTTCTCCAGTAGGAACCAAGACCGACGCCATCGAGCTCGTCCAAACGTCCCTTGAGGCGGTAAACTTGGATCTAGCGGGATCTGAAGCTAAGAGTCCGCTTCAAGAGCTTCTCGACCTGTGCGGCCAACCGTCGGCTCCTGATTTCAGTGCGTTCCTCTCTACGCACGTTTTCGGGCTGGCCGAGCAACACGCGCTCGGACATCACTTCGAGGAAGGGCAGAGTGAGAGGGACGTAACTACGGGATCGAACGGGTTTAGGAAGGTCGGCGAGGCGAGTTATTCCGAGGTTTACGCTCTGGTCTTGAACGACTCTCCGACTCAAGGCAAGAGCAAAGCCAAGCCGAGAACCAAGGGACGAGCCGCAGCTGGGAAGAAGAAGCAGATCGACTCGCCAACGAGGGAGACGGGATTGGTAGTGAAGGTCATCCCGTTGATTGAACAGGCTAAACCGGCAAGCTCAGACGGCGGAAATGACGAAGATGAGGCGGACGAGGAGGTGGCTTGTTCCCTGGTAGCAGACGTCAAGCGGGAGATCGAGATTACGCGGTTGATGAGCGGGATGGCAGAAGGGTTTGTGCGGTGTCACGGGTGAGTTCAGGGGTCTTGCCATTCATCGAGTTTCTTTACGAGATGTTGACGCTGCGCGTGTTTGATGGTTAACAGGGCGTATGTGGTGCGAGGGAGTTACCCCGAAGTCTTGCTCGACGCTTGGGATGAGTTTGAGGATCAACGCGGATCTGATAGTGTTCGGCCTGGTAAGTCGCCTCATCTTGATCTGCCTTACTTGATGCTCTTGCTAGCATGCTAAGCTTGACCCATCACATTTCAGGAGATCTTCCGGAGATTCAGCTCTACGCGCTGATCGTGCTCGAGAATGCGGGGGTCGACCTAGAGTCATTCGAGTTTGACAAGACGACCGGATGGAAGCAGGCTTGGGGTGCGGTTATGCAGGTCGTCAAGACGTTGGCAGAGGGGGAAGTCAAGGCGAGGTTCGAAGTGAGTCGGGTCGACTGCGATCGCCAAAATCTAATCTGTGTAAGGCAAAAGCTGACGATCGCTTGATCCTTGTAGCATCGAGATCTACACGAAGGTCAGGTCCTCCTTCGACCGGTCGAGACCAGCGCTCATGACGACCCAGCGGATGCCGCGCATCCCGCCTTTATCGGGTACAAGGCGACCATGGTCGACTTCGGACTGTCCCGAGTGGACCACCCGGTTATGGGAGATCAGGACCCTTACTTTACGCCCATCCCGGAAGACGTTTTCAGCGGCGTCGGGGACCAGTGGGACGTGTACCGTGCGATCCGGGATCTCGTGGATGACGAGTCGGATGGGGACTGGGCAGGACATTTGCCGAGGACCAATCTGATGTGGTTGAGACATCTCGCCAGGGTGCTCCTGCACTCGACCAGGAGTCTGAAGCGGCCGCGAGCGAAGCCGGCCGTCAAGGGCACAACGCGGAAACCGGTAGCGGCGGCGGTGTCAGTAAAACCGCCAGAGAACGTCATATACTATGAGAAGCTTGTCGACTTTGAACGGACATTAGCGGAGGTACTGGAAGGACCGACGACGAGGCCGAGGACACGGCAGAAGAGGACAGCCAAAGGTGTGGCGACAGGCGGGACCAAGATGACGACTATGGTCGAGTTCGCGGAATTGATGAGGACGAAGGAATGGATATAGTGATAGACAAGCGACGTTGTATGAGTAATAGCTGGAACCCTATAATGAGAATGTTATACGATGTCCCGACGTTGAATGCCTTCGAAGTTGATCTGAACGCGTGAGAAATGCCCCGGGGAGGGTAGATGTTGATGAAGAGAGAGGAGGATAGATGTTCACTCAACATCACACTTCGTCGACCTCGTCTCATTCCATCAACTTCGCATCAACATACTTGATTCGAACCGTTCAACAACCGCAGCCGCCATCGCTTTCACATACCCAAACATACACTCGTGAATACATATCATACCCAATCATGCACTCGCCAATCCCACACAAACTCGACGACAAGCATTCCGGCTCTCCGTCTTCCCCTTCATCCAAACGATCCGCCTTTCGCCCGATCAGCAAGATGGTCTCCAAGGTCAACCACGAGTTTCTCTCGCGAGACCCCTTTGCCGAGTCTTCAACTTCGTCTTCGGGGAAAGATAGACCTATCCATGTGATGACTCCGGCCAAGAGCAAATTGGGCGGATTCTTTGGAGGTAGCAATGCAAACGGAAACGCTACCCCGTCGTCGTCCTCCCGACTGAGGAGGCCTAGTACGACCGCATCAGACGTTAGCAGTCTAGCTTCGGGATCCAATACAAACACGAGTTCGTATAACGACTCAATGGGGCCGCCTCCTGTTCCCGCGCCGATGCCCAAGATCAGAGCGGGGATGACACCGGAAGCGAGGACCCGTCATATGCCTCTGCCCAAACCTGCTCGGAGAGAAGCTTTGGGCTCGGCGAGCAATCCGCAAAATCAGAACCAGGGGGATGTAAGACCTACGACGATGAGGCTAGTAAGAACCGCTCAGGATGATGAGGAGGGAGATGGGTTGGACGTCCCGATGTTATCTGCCTTGGGAACTAGGCGGATGGAGGAAGATCATGTGGATATGGGCATGGAGGAGTTGCAAGCCGGGCTGGAGGACGTCTCTTTGGATGCGTGGGACGCGTCTAGAGGACAGGATGAGACGGTGCTCGTCACTATCAGGTATGTTCTGGTTGAGGATAGGTGATTAGGGTTCATACGAAAAGGCTAACCCGGACGACATTATACGCTGCCAGGATCCGGCCGATCTCGAATCCTTCAGATAGTAACGCCTGGTCCACGTTGATGGACGCTGGAAGCTCCAGACCAAGGACAATCAGACTGGCCGATGGATCTCGGAGGGATTGGCACTTTGACCAGATCCTTCCCACAACCGCCTCGAACGCAGAGACTTACCTCACCTCGGCGTTACCGCACGTCCGATCTGCCATGTTGGGGTACAACTCGCTATGCTTCGCTTACGGTCAAACCGGATCGGGCAAGTCTCATACGATGTCCGGGACATCTCAATCGCCCGGAGTGGTTCCCCTCGCTGTGGAAGAGATCTTCCGAATCATCAAGCGGGAGACGACGAGGGAGTGGGTCTTGCGTGCTTCTTACCTCGAGCTGTACAACGAGGCTCTCGGCGACTTGTTGGCGCCCGAGGGGAGCAAGGGCGAGGTCACGATCTTGAACGGGAAGAAGGAGGGAGAGGTCAGGATCAATGGGTTGACAGAGATGGTCGTCACCAATGTGGGCGAGGTGAAGAAGGTTCTGAACATCGGAGAGGGGAGGAGGAGGACAGGGTGTACCGATTGGAACGAGCGATCCTCGCGATCTCATAGTGTGTTCAGGATTGTGAGTCCGCTACCGTCCTACGTCAATCTCTACGAAAACTTCTGATCGATATGGATTCGTCGACTGCAGGTCATCGAATCGCGAGCCAAGGGAGGCCGGGATGATGACGTGCGGGGAAAGAACAAGGCTACCCGGATCAGTACTCTTAGCTTGATCGATCTCGCTGGCTCCGAGCGGGCGACCGATAACAAAGAGAGGAACGCCGAGGGGAAACACATCAACCAGTCGTAAGTCTAGACGAACCCTGGATTACAATCAATACGTGCTGAAGTATAATTGCGTTCATCCGCAAAGCCTGTTGACGCTCAAGAACGTCATTTCGAAATTGGCGGAACAGTCTGCGAAGAAGACTACTGGGCATATCCCCTATCGTGATTCCAAGCTGTGGGTCGAATCTGACTCTACACGGCGTCGACCGAACAGAGCTAATCCCGAGGGTGCTCTTCCACAGTACACGACTCTTGCAAACATCGCTCTCGGGTTCAGCCCGGATTTCGGTCATTTGCACGATCAACCCCGCTCACTCGGCCGTAACGGAATCACAATCGACCTTGAACTTTGCAGCGGGAATCAAGCGAGTCGTCTTGAACGCCAAGCAGACCGAGGTTGTCGATCCCGCTGCCTTGATCCAGCAGTATCAGAACGAGATTGCCGAGCTCAAGGTGAGATCATGCGACACGCACGACAGGAGATACACATTTCGAGGTTCTGATTGATTTGCTTTGGCACAGGCGAAACTGGCCGCGCGGGACGCTGAAGTGGCCGAGGTTGACAACGGGCCCAAGCGGACGACTATGGCACAGGTGAGCTGTAGCGGCTGTTGAACATACGTCTTCCGCTAACATTCCGATGCCCGATACAAACAGCGCGAGGAGAGGGACCGGTTCCAGAACCGTCTGTCCGAGCTGAAACGCTTGATCTTGGATTCTTCAAGCGTGGCAGAAGACGAGGTTGTGGAACGTTCAGGACTGGCAAGACCGGCGAGTCCCTCGAAGAGCTCAATCGAGTATGACAAGTCGACCTACTCGGTGAGTCGTTGAAATGTACTTCACATGTACAATCTCGATGGCTGATAACAGCCGCTTTCAAACCTTGCAGCTGCAACAAGAGGCCCACGTCGCTCAGGCCAAGGTCGCGGAACAGCAAGCCGAAATAGAAAAGCTTAAGCGGGAGCTTGCTCTCCGGCCGAAGGATGTGGATGGCCGTATAGGCGAACTGCAACTGCAGGTCGATCAGCTGACCGAAATGACACGTAGGTCGGCTGAAGATGATCGATGCTAGATTCGATGCCGTAAGCTGATGCGACCTTTGTTGTACACAGACGAGTACGAGAAGAACCTCCTCGAACCCGCTCGCAAGCTTCGCGAAGACGTTGAGGCCGAGTGGTTGCCGAAGGTACAGGCCCTCGAAGCCCGAGCCAAGGAAAAAGAAATCTTCTACAAGGCGCTATACGACTCCGTCCACGGTCTCAAGAGCGAGAACAGCAAGCTCAAGGAGGTGAGTCGTCGCGGTGCCTCGTCCTTGACATCCCTGATCCTGATCTTCTCGCATCACAGAAAAACGCACGTCTCGAAAGCGTTCAAAGCGAATACGGGAAACTGTTGCACGACTTGGAAACGACCATGAATCAGGAGAACACAATCCCTACGACGAACTCGGAGAGCTCGTGTTTCACCAAGAACCGCAACGTCTCTCTTGGATCTGATATGGGCGTCTTGAGGCCCGTATCCGATAACCCGAGGATACCGAGCGTCAGCATGCAATCCGTCAACAGGAACCTGGCTATCGCCAATGCGCAGAAGGGATTCGGGATGCGCTCGTTGAAGGAGGATTCAATGTTCGATCTTGCCAAGGAGGTCGCAGAACTTGATCGCGGCTTGTTGGACGAGACGTTCTAGGCATGGACTTTACACGATAATACTGTATCAACCACATAATGACAAATGAGAGCTATATCGAACGTAACGAGCGCTATACAATAAAAGGAAGGATATAATAATCGGAACGACGACAGGAAAGACACCATCGAGGGGAAAGCACAACCCCGAGTGTGCCTATTTGTGCACGACATGACCCCTGGTCCTCGTCCCCTTCTCATCGAGCCAATTTTATCCTTGAGATGATGAGCCCGGTGTCTCAACTTCTCCAACTCGGGGTTGCGCCTTTTGCGAGGGGGTGTTGCGATAGGTGCTTTCTCTCCAATGAGCAATCGGGGGCCGGCGTGATTCGCAATGGTTGCCGATTTGAAGACGGCGTCGATTAGAAGCTCTTGTCTACAGACAGTACGAAGCCACTTCAGCCAGGTAGTCGGTGCATCTATGAAGTCATCAACAGGGTATTTTCAGTAAAGATCTTCCGAAACTGGTCACGCGCAGCGGTGAGGCTGTAACTCACCATCTTCCATTCCACGGGTTTGGTTTGGCACTCCGTCTTGGAGAATAGCTTTGAAAACAGGCTTCCACTCGGGGACAGCCAAAATCCAACAGCCGTATGCTCTCTCAAGCATCAACAGGAGGAGAGCGATAGGGGAGGAAACCCTATCGCACTTAGACTCCAGGACGAGCTCTCCGATCTGTGCGTAGTGAGGTCAGCGCATGTCACGCACGAATCAACAAATACAAGACAGTCCACTCACAGCTTCAGCCTTGAGCGCATCAACCTGGCCCGCCAATTCCTTCTCCCAGATCTCGTTAATTCCAGCACCGATCCTCCTTTGCGTGACTAGGTCGATGGTGTAGAAAGACGGCAGGGTTTCCTCTGAGAATCCCTTTTCACCCTTGTCACAGAGTACCGCTTGCGAGTATACGAAGCGGCCGGGCTCAGGGAGCGTTGGGATAAGAAGGCTGAACAAAGTATCAACCTCATTGCGGGTGAAATCCATGAAGGCTGTAGGGGTGTTGGCGGAGCTCATGGCGACAGTATGATGGTATAGGAGTTCGCGTTGTTGATGCTGACATATCGTGACCCGGCAAGGGCATCGTTTGATTCGACATCCCTCGCTTCTTATAGTCGTTGGCTAGATAGGGGATTGGATTCTATTTGTTTTGATTTGATGAGAGGTGAGAGGTTCGAGATTTGTTGTGATCTGCGATCGCACGTAGGATTCCTTTGAAACGTCGGGGTAACCTTCCTTTCGATCGTCAAAGGACGATCCTTTGACGATCGGAAGCAAAAACCCACGATCCACCTGCTGGGTCGACAACCGTTAGGTCAGTAATTCAGTAAAGACCCACCGGCTACCAGACGGCTAATTGCTATCTACGGTCTGCAGTCTGCCCAACCAATGTGGATCCGGAATTGTCAAAAACAATGATGTCATAGCACGACGTTGGCGATGATACAATAGCGGGAAAATCTCCTTCCTCTTTTCCTTAGTAACCACCTCCTCCACCACCTTCCCGACCCGTCTGCCCCGCCATCTGTCGTCGTTGAGCGTCCTCGAGCTTGGGACAGTTGACAATCGAATGACCGAGACCACCACAGACGGCACATGCCTTTCCGACCGTTCCAGCGGCGTGGTACTTTTCCATCGGATCATCGATCGATTTGATGAACTCGGGAACCCTACAACCGGCGAGATTCGGATGTCAGTCATAAGATTTTGATATATGGCAAATGGCGACGGCCGACTCACTTTTGCTTGGCTTCAAGTAGCAGGTACTTCAAGTCCAACAAGATGGCCTCGTTCAAGCTGGCGTCGACAAACGTCGTTGCCAAACCCGTTCGACCTCCACGACCGGTACGACCGATCTGATGGACATAATCTTCGATCTCCTTTGGCATGGTGTAGTTGATGACGTGCTGTAAGATGAGACGGGATCATATCAAAAGGTGTTTCTCAGTAGATTCTGACAATCAGTTACTAGACGTACCTTGATCTCGGCGAAATCCAAACCCTTGGATCCGACTCCACTGGCAATCAAAACATCTTTCCGCCCGTCCTTGAAAGAGGTGATGGCAAACTCTCGCTCTTCCGGACCTTTTAGCACAAAAGAGCTTGTCAATTACCGTGTCACAGCAATTGTAAGGTGGTAAGTCTTACTCTTGCTACCGTGAATCGCCACAGCTTCGACCCCCTTCAGCAAGAGGTACTCCTGGATGTCTATGCGTGAACGAGTCGATGAGTATATAGTTATGAATTCTCTCAGGCAAAGTCGGACTCACCGTCGACTTCGTTCTTGTTGTCACTGAAGACAACGACAGGAGGAGGCGTCTTCTGCAGACATTCGAGGAGGTACAGCATCTTGGCCTCTTGCTTGACATATTCGACTTCTTGGATGACCTAAAAGCATGTATAAGATCGTGTTAGATACGCCCGATCTGGTCTTAGACAGAACGACCCAGTACGCACATCCAAGTTGGCTGCTCCTGCTCGACCGACGTTGATCAGGACCGGTTCGATCAAGGAAGCCTGTGCGAAATCTCGAATCTTTTGGGGCATTGTTGCTGAGAATAGGAGGGTCTGACGTTGGTGCTATAAGCGGTGATGAGTCGTCAACCAGAGTCTAGACGGTTCCTAACTACTGAGAGTGGAGGGCGGTACTTACGCTAAAGAAGGACATGATCGTTCGGACGTCTTCCTCGAAACCCATATCGACCATTCGATCGGCCTCGTCGAAACACATGTACCTGAAGTCATAGCGAGTGATCAGCATCGACTCGAGATAGCACGAAGTTCTCATACTATTACGCACTTGCAGTTCTCCAAGTTCAGCTTCTTCTTCTCCAGCATGTCCATTAGTCGACCCGGAGTGGCGATCACAATGTGTACACCTCGGTTGAGCACTTCGGATTGATCGGCCATATTGATACCTCCCATACACAGAAGCGATCGGATTTCGGGGTATTCGCCCTTCTCTGCCAGGACTTTGCACATAGCCACGCATCCTTCATAGGTCTGTCTGGCCAGTTCTCGCTGTACACAAACCGAAACGTGGGGATGAGCATCCCGGCACGACAGCCGAATGGGAGGAGCCAAACTCCGAGCTTACCGAAGGACAGATGACCATGGCTACAGGCCCTTCTCCTCGAACGAAGGGCAACCTAGCCTCCATTTCCAGACTCGCCATGATGGCCGGGAGCGTGAATGCCAAGGTCTTTCCGGAACCGGTCTGGGCGACACCGATAATGTCCCTGCCCTGCAGAGCGGTTGGGATTCCCTGCGTCTGAATCGGTGACGGTTTGAGAATACCTTTGCTCTTCAGGTATTTGAGGATCGGAGCGGGCAATTTCATATCCTGTGTGGAATGTAGGGTATGAGCATGGCGAGAACGATGAGAAATGCAGTATCACAGCCAGCTCACCTCGAAGCGGGAGATGGGAGGAGGGATATCGTCCCCTTCGGCGATGATATGATGCTGTTCTCGAACCTCGTCGTTCTGAGCCTCGGTCCGGTCTCGGATGTAACGCGGTGCCTGCCATCTAAGAGCGTATCCATCATCAGCTCCTGGATGATCGAGACTGAGTGAGCATAGACACTTGTGCTCACGTTGTCTTGATACTCTCGGTATAGCTCACACCCTTAGCCAACTCGGCAGCACTCGCCAACTTCTTTTGCTGCTTCTCGAGAGCGGCCAAGATCTCGGCTTCCTTCTTTGCCTCTCGCTCGAGATCGGTCTCCTGCAGGTCCAACTCGGCTTGCCTCTTCTTAACTTCCTGAGCCTCCTCTAGCAGTGTACGTTCCTTCCTCGCCTTTTCACGCCGTACCTCCTCGGCTGCCTCTTGCTCTCGCTGAAATGCCTCTTGCTCGCGAGCGAGATCTTCAGGCGTCTTTGTCACGGTCTTTGCCGGTTGGTGACGTTGTGAGAGGGAAGAGAGCAGGTTGGCCCTACGCTTGGCGACGGGAACGTAGGGAGTATAGTTGTCGTCATCCTCATCATTCGCCACAGCTGATCCATTCGAGGCTCCGTTGCTGGTGTGCCCGTTGGTCATGCCGTTGGGTGGCGAGTTTGAACCACTAGCTACGGGCGCGGTCATCAGGGACCGCTCAAATTCGGTAATCGAGTTGCGTCTCCTCTTGAAGCCTCGAGAGGTCTCTGTTGCGGTGGCCATGATGAATGAGTTTGAATGTGTCACTTCGTTTCTAATTTTGCTATACTAACCGCCGAATGTGTCGTAAATGGTGAAGAATGATATGGGTTGAGGTTGGGTCGATCGATAATGATTGAGGGGGAACCAAGGTGGAGGCTGATCTTGCATGGAAGTGGTCTTTTACATTAATTTCCAGCTTTACTATTTGCACACATCGCAAGCGGTATAGCCCGTTGAGCTCCGTTGGTAGAGCAGCCGACTCTTACTTCTCAATTCTGGTGACAGAATTCGAAGTTATCGGCAGGTCGTGGGTTCGATCCCCACAATGGGCTAATCTTTTTGGCTTTTTTGCCCTCGGCGATGACATATACCCATTGTCGTATCTTGTCTTCGCCCTTCTCTTATCTAAGTTTGTGCGTGATACAAGACATTGGATACCATCTTTACCAGCTCTAGATAATCGTCAGCGTCAGTCTTCAGTCTGGCTATGCTGTGAAATGCGTTCCTCTCGCGCTCTGACGGTAGCAAACGACGAAGACAGTTCATCTGCGCGGCGTGAGCGTGTGGCCTGTGTCAGTCCGAGCGGCCTTGGCCCTGATTGCGAGATAATCCACGACCAGTACACAGGAAGTGTCAGCCGAGGTCTAGATCTGGGACTCTAGGAGAGGTGAATCAGTAATCAGTCAATGCAGCCGAAACTCGAAAACGATATGCAGATCACGTGGAGGTGTAGCGCACGCTGGCTGTCACCGGTTTCATATCGCACAACTTCGTTTTTCTTCTTCCGCTGGATGCTGGCAGCTCATCTTAACACCGCATGCAGCAGGCTGTATCGATAGTGCTTGGACAGCGATGTTCATATTGCGACACTTACCGAAGGTTTACCCGATCTTCCCCAAGGACGTAAGGACAAAGAGGAAACAAGATACCCAAAGGACCTTCATTCTATTTCGGAAGCTGATCATCTGCGGGAAGCAAGATCTCAAAGGACCCCTTGTTTGCTCTGAGAATATATATGTAACTACCAGGTCGTCCTACTCATCGAAGTTCGACGGGTATGGGGAGCAAAGTCAGAAGCATTCTTATCGTTTTTGGTCAGTCTTCCGGACAGGGTACCCGTAAGGTCAAGCGATCACTTACTAATCAGGGTACTGTCTCGCCATCTTCCGTGGACGACGGCCCGTAAGCAGATAGTAGCGAGCCGACCGAACCATGGATGACGATCGCCTATTCTTTTTACGATGTCGTCTTGACAAGGAGGTCATCGTGCGACGAAGGCTATTGTTATTGAGGTAAGCACTGGTATATTGTGTAATGCTATGAAACGACACTTGACACTGTTGTGCATTCTCAGCCCTGTATTCAGGGATATGTTGATCGTCGGTGATGCCCCGAGCGATATCCCTGATGGACGACCATCGAAGAGGCGACGCATCGAACCTACTCAAGATAATACTATTCCTCTGGACGACGATTTCGGGCCTTTAAACTTCCTTTTCAAGTTGCTCGACGGTTCCTTGGGTCTACTGAAGGACTACAATAGACACCATATCATGGGGGTCAAATCGCTCGCCGACAAATATGAGTTGCCCTTGGTAACCCGGCTGCTTGGCGAGCGGTTGTGGCAGGAAGTCGCCGAAGGAACCTACTATCCGATTTGGGCTTACGCAATCGCGATGCGTATGCAACGGCGAGCACTCGCTCGATACGCATTGCGTTGTATGCCCAAAAACACGCGACGGCCGCACAAATGGAGCTTGAGTACAGCGCAGATCGTAGGCGTAGATGCTTGGCACTGTGTGATCAATGCCGCCAACGGTTGCGAAACTTTTTCCTGGGAGAAGGTTTCTGAATGTCTGGAATTTCCCCCATCGTAAGTGACCGCGCTGAGGCAGGCCGGGATACAGAATCGCTGAACGCTCTTTGCAGGTGGACCGTCGACACTCCGGGAGATGCGTAATGTCGCATGATTGGTTACAGTCTCGAGTCTTCTGCCCTGTAAGCTGATCTTCACCGCTCTCCGAACATCAGTATTTCGGGTGTTCAACATCACATAAGACTAAATCCGCCTCTCGCCCTCTTGACAGTATTTTGCGGACGTCATTGCATCCCCAAAGCTTCCAAGTGCCGATCCCTTGCGTTTCCAATGCCTCAAGATGGTGATCGGTTCTTTCACCGACGACAGGCACTTGACACTTAACGATCCACAAGCCGGCGTTGCGAGCCTGTAAAAATCAGCAAGAAATCACGATATCTGACTGTTTCTCGATCGAACCATGTTTGTGGCAACCAGACCCTCTTCCAGACGATTCGATTTATCAGGTCGAACAAAGGCCTCGGCGCTCAGCTACTGATTCCAACAAATACGTCCGCGCATTCTGAAACAGATAGCTGCGTACGGGGGGACTTTCTGCTCGCATGCGACAGCGTGACATATCGATATTCAAACATATTGTACCTCGATTTTTCCCAAGGACTGCTCCGCAAAGTATGGCATTGTCGTTGTACAAATGATCAGTCGGCTAACGGAGGGGAAGAGAGAAGAACAAAGCAGCCAAAGGACCCCTGGCCGATCGGAAGCTGATTCGTCTCCAGGGATCGAAATTCTCGAAGAAGCCGTCCAACTGTACATCTCTCTCTCTCTCTCTCTCTCTCTCTCTCTCTCTCTCTCTCTTTCTTCACCGTATATGCGTGAATGGTACTCGTATATCGCACTCGCAAGTCTAATTTATGTGATTACTTGCCAATCGAACGGTCAGTCGAGCCGTTTAGTCCCCGATCGCCGAGACAAGGCGCACAAGCTCAAAGGATGTCGCACTTCCAATCTCTACAGAGCTACGGAACGTACAGAACCAATATCCCAATCTCCGAGGGACAGCTATACAGAATTATTCTACCGTCTAAACATGGACGACGATCGAGTCTACACGTTACGTTGCCGCGGTGGCCAGACGGTCATGGTGAAGAAGAAGCTGTTACTGTTGAGGTTCGTCATCTAGATGAGGGATGTTCGGTACCATTGTGGCTTATGAAGTGTGATCAGTCCCGTATTCAGGGATATGTTAATCGTTGGAAGTCCTGCCCGCGACAATACAAACGACGATAGCGCACAACCTAGACAAAACCGCAGCCACCTTGACACGGACGAGGCCTACACCATTACCGTCGACGATGACGCAAAATCTCTACGCTTGGTGTTCCTCCTTCTTGACGATGTCAGATATCCCGAAGCCGATTTGCAGGATTTCGAGATCTGCGACATGAACAACGTGAAGGCCCTTGCCGACAAGTACGACCTGTCTATCGTACCCAGTTTATTGGTCGGACGGCTCTGGGAAGAAGTATCGAGAGAAGATGGCTACGATCCGCTCTGGGTATTTGCAGTGGCTGTACACTTCCGGGCCCACCATCTCGCCCGCTATGCATGTAGCATGGGCGGCAGCTCCGATCAACCTTCGTGTCAATATTGGTGGGCCATCCAAAAGATCGGTCTTGAGGCGTACTACATCCTGTCCGCTGCGGAGAATAGATGCAGTATGGAGGGCGAATCCTTTTCGTGGAAAGCGATCGCCAAAGATCTTGTTTTTGTCAGTCGGCGAGTGCGCTGAATCACCTGATCCATGAGCGCTGACATGATGTTCTGTTCTAGCTGGAAGACATGGACGAAGATGAAAAGATCGTTCCCGATGATTGGCAACGCACGATCTCTCCCTTGCGTCCGGCTTTACTCTATCAAACTAGACGGGTAGCTACCTATGATAAGAAGGAAAATTCGACCTAGCCGAGGCGGACCCTCTTGGCTTGATTCCCGATGAGAAATGAGCGATACGGAATGGCGAACAAGGAAGTAGACTCCATCAATTTATGACCGGACTACATAATTGGGCTCTCTCGAATGCTCAACACTCTCGGTCAAGTACGGGCATTATGATGATATGTGACTGTTTGACAAGACCGAAGCACTACATAGATCGAACACAACTACTGTAAGATAACCTGACCTATATGCAAGCACAAACTACAGACAAAGCAATGACCTAGCATCGAGCAGCCAAACGTAAACGGAACCCGGGTCCTCCTGTTGTCGTCGGCGGGCCGAGCATTGTCCTGCGATGATTCCTTCCATGTCGTGGAAGCCTCACACATTCCTCTTCCTACCCCTCTGACTACGCCCTTTCGGTTTCACCTCGTTCCAACCATCGTCGTTACCGCCGAAATCGTCCGGAATCCCCGTAGGCGTCGCGATCGACGGCTCGACGGGTGCGAGCGGGATGACGGGCGACGCAGGCGCTTGTCGCCCGTCCTGTTTTCTTACGAACCGGTTATTGCTGTTGTTGCCGCCATCGGTTGGTCTCGCTCCTCCCTGTCCACCTGGACCACCGAGCAGACCTCGGGTCATCCGTTTGAACGTCGAATCCTGGAGGGCCAACTTGGGCCTCTCCGTCCTCGTCTTTCGCGCTTCCACGCCCACGTCGTTACCCTGGGCCTTTCTATTTCTAGGCGGATGTTCGTCTGCACTCGTCATTGACGGTGTCGGGGTGACAATCGCCGTCGATGCCGGGGTCACGGGCGAGTCCGGCAAGGATAGTAACTCCGTTGGCCGCCTTCCGTTCCCGCCCCGAGCCTGTCGATCATGATGATGCGGCGATGCCGAGTGATCGAAAGACTGCTGCCTTGAATGCCCTCCTCTGCCCCGTCCACCCCGTGGAGCTCCATCGTGACGCGGGTGTTGGTGGTGTTGATTCGATTCGGATCTCCAGGACGACGTTCCCGCACTCGGACCTCGAGGCGGTTCATTGACGGCTGGGGCTGCCGTCCGTCGGTCCCAATCTATCCGATCGGCCAGGGGAATTTTGGCCGCCTTGGGCCGTACGTCTTCCTTCTTCTCCTGGTCCTCCACCACCGGTTCGAGCGTCGGCTCCTGTTCAACCTTCCGTTCTGGCTCCTTGTCATCCTCTACCCCGCTATCCGCCCCGGCATCGGTCACTTCCTCCTCGACCTTCTCCTCTTCCTCCTTTTTATCTGTCGCTGCAGCCGCACCGCCCATTCCCCACTGGGCCATGACATCCTCCATGAACCCGCCGACCTCGTCCTCCTCATCATCGTCGGCCCAGTTGATCCCCGAAGATTCCGTAGGGTCCGTCTGCAGGAAACGCGAGATGGGTTCCAGAGTTTTAGGTTTGACCGGTTCGGCAGGTGCAGCGGGGGTCGATATAGGTGCGGCCAAGGCAGGCTGAGCAGGTACTTCTGCTGTAGCTACCGTCGTCGGCTTGTCCTCGATCTTGACGGCCTGGATCTTGGCACCCAGATCATCCACCTTCTTTTCCACCGTTTCCTTTCCAACGCCCTGGTCCTTCTTTCCTCCTACCGAACCCGCCGCAGCCTGCCTGTTCTTCGGCGCCCAGATCGAATCTTCAACTCCGAGCTTCTTCTTCAACCCTGGATCTGTGCGATCTCGGGATTCACGCTCGATCTCCTTGTCCACGACGCCCGGTTGATTCGGATCGTCCGAGTCGTCATCATCGTGAACGCCGGCAGACTTTGCAGAGACAACAGGTTTGGTAGCAGAGCCGTTCTGTGACCCTGATTTCGACTTGTCGTCGGCATCGCTCTTGGCTTTCTCCTTGCTATCGTTGTTGTTGTTGTTGTTGTCCTCCTCATCAGAGTCACCCCAGATGGACTTCCAGAGTTCTTCCTTTTCCTGCCTCCTGTTCCCTCTTCCGCTAGCAGAACCTCCTCGTCGACCCCCGTTCATAGCCGAAGAAGGCTCTACCACGGTGAAACCGGCGTGTTGTTGTCCGTGCCCATGTCCACCGTGATATCCACCACGACTACCTCTCGTTGAACCTCCAAACCCGCCGGGTCCTGCATTCGCCTGAGGGTTATTCAGCGCGGCATAAGCTCGTTGACGGGAAGCTTCTTCACCCAGCGTCAACGCCTTTTGACCAGCGGCAGACGATCCTCGAGAGTGCGTCTGGTGAGGCGGGAGGTCGTGTTTTCCACTAGCAGATCGTGGTACGGGAGGAGGTCTCGTCGAAGCTGTTCCTGCAGGTTTGGAAGAAGAAGAGGAGGAGGATGCGATTTTCGAGGTGAGGGGTTTAGAGGTCTTTTCGGAGGAAGAGGAGGCCGAGCCGGTAGAGCTAGCGGCACCGAGTTTGGCTCGGTTCGAGGGTGCCCACATGGATTCCGCCATGGTGAAATGGTCCTAACAAGATTAGAACGGCTTCTTTTGCGAGGTGAGTAGGTTGTTCGTGGACGATCTAGGTATTTCGGGAAGTCGAGAGGATTTGAGAGCAGAAGGTTCCGGTCCAATTCGATTCAGGCCGTGATTGTTTGGTTTGTTCTGGTTTCGCCTGGGTTAATTGGGTTGAAGAGATAGATGGATCAAGATGCAGATTTTAGGTATTCAGTATATGTGTATCGGAGATTGGTTGTGGAGTTGGAGTCGTATCAAGAGATTTTGATTTCCTTTGACGATATTTCGGATGGCGAAATCTTGTGAGAGGATGAGAGAGATGACGACGGGTAGGAGGTCAAGGGAGGTGGTACTTTTTCCCAGCGCGGGATGGGGAATGAGCGAATTAAATTGAGCTTCACCTATTTCTCGACCTCGAGGTTGACATACGTTACAGAGTCGTAATGTTGTAATCGATCGATGATATCCACCTCGAGTTGTCTCAGAAGCAGACTCGTACAGACTCATAGACTCAGCTACTCTACACCTACCACTTCCACAATGTCCCGCGCTCAACAACCCGAACTCAAAAAGGTGAGCTTCTCGCGCCGCAACATAGCCGTTCCCGAGCTGCCCTAAGCTGACCTCCCTTTTCGCACGCTATGATCAGTACATGGACAAGCCCGTCCGTCTACACCTCAACGCCAACAGGTACATCAGCGGGACCCTCCGAGGATACGACATGTTCCTCAACTTGGTCCTCGATGACACCATGGAGGACGTCGGGGGTGGGGAGACGGTCCCGATCAAGACTACCGTGAGTATGCAAATAGTTTCGAGGTTGTCGTGCTTGTTCTCGGCATCAAGGCGGGAAGAGAGCTGATAGACCGTCCTTTCGCCACTCTGCTGTCTTATCTCTCATGCATCCCTTCGACTGCGCGTTTGTCACGTATCAGGTCGTCCGTGGAAACTCGGTCGTCTCGATAGAACTGCTGCACAACCAGCGGGTTTACCGATAAGAGTCTCTCCTTCAAAATATCAGGGGTCGATGGATGCGGGATGGATGGGAAGAGTGATGGTGGATCGGGGAACGGCGTGAGGCTTCGGGTATCGAGGTGCGGCAGGAGCAGATGGACAGGGAGCGTGGGAGCACTGGGGGCACGGGTTGGAAGAGTGGAGAGTGCGCGGACGAGGAAATGGATGTGGGGAGATCGGGATTGCCTTCGAAGATCGATGGAGGGTCTAGGACGATATCGGAACAAGACAAACAACATGACGAATCAGGGCGGGTCAAGACGGATGGGACCGGGAAAGCAGATGTCGATTCAGGCATTCTGGACGACAATAAGCCAGACTGGACCTTCCTCGATGTCATCGCACCATCAGGACTGAATTCAATCACCTTCGATAGACCTCTCCTATCCGACACGCTCATCGCTCATCGTAATCTCTTACGCAAACCTCCGGCACTTCATTCTTTCCTTTGCACGTCGGACTCGGCTTCTCTCGCACTTCTCGTCGACCTTCACCTAGCACCTGGACCTTCTATTCGTCCTTCACCAAAATTTATGAGAGGAATGAGAACGGGTAGAGGCGTGTGCATGGGGTTCTGACAGTAATTCGTGTTTCGTTTCTTTCGGAGTGGCATTTTTTGTAATACGATCTCTCCTTTTTGTTTTGATGAGAGATATACGACCAGAAATAAAAGATCAGCACGCATAGAAGGAAAGGAGGGCGTTATCTTTAGCATCTCTGATTGACAAGGCAAATATCCTAGAAAATCAGGCAGAGTCGCCTTTTCAGGGGAAAGGGTCGTAAGGCGCAGGGCAGAACATTTGACTGCATTATTCTGAGTCCATGGCGGCGGAATATTCACCGGCGTAAACAAGCCTACACTAGGCCCAGCGTCCTGAATCCCCTGAGGGAGCAATGCAGGGCGAGGCACTTGAAGTTCGGGAGAAACCAGTCCGCAGGTGATGCTGGGATTAGACTGAGTAACATCTTCTTCTTCCTCGTCGAAGGCAGCAATATCAAGGACCTGGACTTTAATCGGGCGGGATGGTATGTCAGGTCAAGAGTGAACTTGGTGTGCTCGCAGGCGCGCTGTCGATCTTGAGACCCCGTAAAGTCATCGGTATCGGCACGGGCTTCGCAGCAGATTCCGGTGTCAGGAATCGTTTCAGATCGGCCGAAGCTCTCGCTAGGCCGTTCACCACCGCACTGGAGTCCACATGCTTAGTCGAGGTTCGGAGTGACCCTTCAATATACGACCAGTCCGAAACAGTTCACATGGAAGAAGCGCGTTTCACCGTAAAGCCCGCGCTTGATCCGATACATGTGGCAAACAAACTTCTATAACAAGCGCTTCAATGGTAAACTACCTCACTCTAGCTGCAGCTATGGGATGGTGTACCGGGTATCTGAAGCGGGATAAAGGCTCTCTAGATCGCGCATTCACTTTCGTGAGTACAGCAGTGAGCGGGAAGAAGGGACACTCGATCCTTCATCTGTGATCATCTGTCATCTTCCTGCTGACATGACGCCTGCGCGCGGACCTACCGTTATCCAGCTAAATGGAGGAGGAACGCTACCAGAGCAGAAGGTTTCCTAGACAGAAATGGCCTACATAATTTCCCTAGTGTAGACAACGATATCTGCCACAACGATGACGCATTTGGGGGGAATTTGAGAAGGGTGGGCCACTCGGTTTGGTCTGGATTTCTTGTCACAAGCTTTCCGGTCTCATGCGATGTACATTCTAGATTACGTACGACATAAGGTACATAGCTTGACGTCAAGTACGTACTAAGCAGAGTGAAACGAAATGCCGATTGGATAAAGAGCGCCTAGCTTGACAAGAAGTAAATAGACGAGACCTACTACCTACTTGGAGAGTTGGCCACGATGCGCGAAGGCTGACGCCGACCACAGCGGAACCAAGGTTCATCGAGCTCTATCTGGATTCAGACGAGATGGAGGCACGCGTGATAGACGTTTTACAATCTTAAACACGACACCTTCTTGATGGTCCTCGAACTCATCACTCCTTCAAATATTTGGCACCGGCTTCAGGTCTCTCTACGCCGGCTGCAGCTACCTATCAAAAGACACCTAGGCCAGCTCAGATCATAGCAAAGGTTGAAGCTCCTGGCATTATAGCGCATAGCATCAAATGCTGTGCAGCGTTTTGAAGCGTTCCAAAACCAATGACGGGTAAAATTACGGATCGCCGCGGTTCGATTCCCGTCGACGCTTCATACAGGTTGTCCGTCTCCTTCGTCTTCCTCGCCGTCCGCCCCGAACATGTCCTGATGATCGTCCTCGTCGTTGTTATCACCCTAGTATATGCTTATAGCAAGCGATAGACCTGGGTCGATTATTGCACTCAGCCTTGACGACGCTGACTTGGCCCGATAAGCGGGTCCATACTACAGAGCAGCCGAGCTCGTTTTCGCCTGAAGTGATTCGTCACCGGATCTTGAAGAACCATACCGCTGATACTACAGGTGCATCCACGCCTGGACGGAACGCGCGCCTAGCAGATCGCTAACAAAGCGTTCCGTCCACGCGCGAACCTCACTGTATGGTCGACAATTACCTCAAATCGGTCGACTTGAAACTGAACGGCCAGCCTCTTGCTCTTATCTTGAGCTGCTGGTTTGAAGTCGGGTGGGGTACCAGCCAACGGAGAATCCTGACGAGGGGTTTTGAATTAGGAAGCACCACTAGCATTCAGCTTCACACGACAAAGCTCATCAGCTCGACGGATCGGGCGCACCGATTGCCACCTTTACAGTGAGGCTTATTAGTGATGATCGTGTTTGAGCATTTGCACACCGTCTGCTGCTAACTGTATGCACTCTGTATGCATCTCAATGGAGAGAAGAACTGCCTCGATTGCCGATACTGTCGACTTGGCCTCCAAACGCGGTTTGACCTGATTTCGAGTGCGAAGACGATCATGCAGTGCCTATACCATCCAGAAAAAAAATGTTGGAAACGCAATCCCTCCGTTGCGACCACCCAGATCCGATGTGGTTTGTTATGAACATGCATGATGTAATGTCGGTATGATCTCTTTACACTGATCTTGTCTCTATCGTACAACCAAAAAAATGCCAGCCGCGTTCTAGATGCCTTTTCCCCCTTTGCCACCACCACCTGGCCCTCTCTCGCTCGCTTACTTCTTTTGCTTCTGCTCGGCGACCTGGTTGATCAATCCCTTGCCCTGGAGGGCGGAAGCGATGTTCTTCAAAGCCTGGCATTCCATCTACGGGAAGCAGGGGGGCGAGTCGATTTGTCAGCACAGCGTGAATAGAAGAGCAGCGCGAGGTGAACTCCGACTGACCTTGCGCTGAGTGCCTCGAGCCTCGGTACCCATGTGAGGTAGGAGGGTGATGTGGTTCATCTCGACGAGACGTTGGTCGATCTCGGGTTCGTTGGGGAAGACGTCAAGACCGGCCGAGTAGAGCTGTGTGGTGGAAGTGTCGGTTTGTCAGGATTGGAGAGGAAACATATTATCAAGATTAGCTGGAAGAGAGCGATGCGGCTTACCTTGCCGTTGGTCAAAGCCTCGATCAGGGCTTCCTGGTCGACCACACCACCTCGAGCCGTGTTGATCAAGATGCTGCCATCCTTCATCTTTTCAAATTCGGCCTTGCCGAAACTACCCTTGGTCTTGTCATTGAGGGGCAAGTTCAAGCTGACGATATCGCTCCGCTTCAAGAGCTCGTCACGGTCGGCGACGTATTCGCATTCGAAATCGGGAGCGGGCGAGATGGGGTTCCGGTTGTGGTAAATGACCTTCATGCCGAAGGCCAAGCATCGCTTGCCGACGACGGATCCGATACCTCCCATGCCGATGATCCCGATCGTTTTGCCCTCGGGGTCGTGAGCGGGCGAAAGACCTTGCTTCCACTTGCCCGATCGGGCGTTGGTCTCGGCCTTCCAGTATTGACGCAACGAAGAGAGGATGAGGAACATGGCCGTCGTCGCCGTGGCATCATCGACGGCACCGGGGGTGTGGGAGACCTCGATCCCACGTGCGGTCGAGGAGGGGAGGTCGATCTGGTCGTACCCGGCTCCGTTGTGGCAGATGTACTTGACGGACGAAGGGAGGGCGTTGATGATCTCGGGGTCGAACACGCCGATCGAGTTGGCAGAGTCGTTGTGTCTAAAAGGCGCGCAGATAGAGTCAGCAGGAGACAGCGAAACGACGTGTCGCGAGCGCGAGGACTAACCGGTAGATGGCGACAATATCCGAGTACTTGCCCTTGAGGTCGTTCAAGAACTCTTCCCTCGACTGGCTGGTGAAAGGCTGCAGGCACGCAACAAAACAGCGGAATGGACACTTAGCGATGGGCGTTCTCGTTACGAGTGCCTCTATGCCGCTGTCGACTTACCACAATCTCGGCATCAGCGGCACCGAGAATCTCCTTGGCATCCTCGGTAGCCCAGACGAGGTTCTGCTTGACGTTTCCTATAGGCAGAAAGGAAAGACAAGCGTATCGTAAATCAGCACGGGATCTCGGCGGAATACATCAGCTCAACCTGGACTTGCCACAGATGAGAACTTTGGAGGGCATGATTGGGATAGTTTTCGGTAGAAGTGAGAGAGAAGAGAAGAGTGTCGGTGAAGCGGTGAACAAGTAGAGAGGTCGGGATGATGATGGGCAAGTCATTGTCAAGTTGTTGTCTCTCTCTCTTTATATATGGTCGAACTCGCAAAGAATACCCCGCCCGTCGTTCTCGAGTCCGGTCCGGGAAGGCCGGAACATCTTCCGGTTGATCCGGAATCAAAGGAAAGGCAGCGAACCCATCAGAGCTGAGACTCTTCGTCGGTCATCCGATGCGATGACGCGTACAATTAAGTCGAGTGAAACTCTTGCAAAAGTTGAATCGAACGACCTGCGACCTGAATTCAGGCAGACCTCTTTCTACACTTCAATCAGCCATACCTCTTAGCCATACCTCTGAGCCATAAAGATAGAGACCTAAATCGAGTCATCCTGTTCCGAAGAAATACCTCTCTGCTCCTGCGCAACCTGGCAAGACCCCTGATGACGGCCTCGAGACCACCCTTCCCGGGAGGATGGACCTCGATCGACCTGACGCCAGACGAGCTGTCCCTGAGAAAGTGAGCGGGTCCCCTATCACTTAGAGTTGAAGCTTGCTGATCATCGATTATGTATTTGCCCACAGTACGTTACCTGTCGGACAGACGTTCGTTTGGCACAGACTCGCACTGCCGACCAGAACTAAAAGCTACCCCGGGTCCAGCACCTCGTCACCTGCACCTGAAGAGCTCGTCAAGGTAGAAGACGCATCCAGCGCAATGAAGGTCGAATCTTCAAATTCTTTCGTTGCCAGTCAGGTCAAGTTGGAAATGAGCGAGTCGACCTGGAAAGATTCGATATCGACAACGACGATGATGACGACCGTTACATCGACCTCGAGCATGGTCAAGATAGAGGAACACCCCCAGACTGAGCTTGATACCGCCATCCCGATCATGCCAGAGCTCCCTTTGGACGTCTCATCAAGCTCCAACGCGGTGTTTCATACCTCGCAAGCAGATTCGAAGGTAGAAGACAGGCCCAAGCACATCTCCGCCGTACCTCCAGCACAACGAAACCCAGAGGAACAAGAACAAGTACATGAGCAAGAAATCGATGACCCGGAGGAAGACGAACCCCTAGAAGAATACTCCCGAGCCATCCCTAATCCCGATCGGGTGATTCTCTTACGTCAAACGAAGACCAAGATATGGATCGTCTCCGTTTTACCGAACTCAGCTGTAGCAGAACATAATGAATCAGACAGGGCTATCACAGGAAAGGCAGAGAGGGAGGAGAGGGACAAGGCCTGGTTTGCCGATTATTTCCAGTTGCCCAATTTAACGCCCGGAGCGACTAGCAGTGTCCCGATGGGTGATTCCGAAGGTCGTTCTGCAGACCCTTCAACAGGAGAAAGTCGACCCAGAGCTCCGCTTTTACCTCTACCCCTAATGGACCAATACGCACATTGGAAAGAGCTCGACCCGTTACTCTTCGGGAAAGCATACGATAGGGACGAGCTACCAAAGGGCGTGAGGGTGGTCAGGCAGGAAGGGTGGGAGTGTCTGATCTCGTAAGTCGACTTTGTTTTCTCTCTGGGTCAATGATCGTTTCGGGGGAACTGTGTATAGGAAGGCTGTGCGGTGTAACCTTGTCGAGTCTTGTAGTCATTAGAGGACACGGAGCGGGCGAAGGGCCTCGAGCGATGGAGACTGGGGATAGGGTGGAAATCGAGAACAGAGGGCTGATTCTCTGGGTTGTATCTCTCTTATCTTGCAAATACATATAATCATAAATCGTTACGTCCTTGCCCATTACAAATTCCCCACACGCATTGGATGACAGTTTCATCACCTCGTCGGCGAACAACGTACCTCGAATCACATCCCTCTTGCACAAGCTGCAAGCACACTTCTCGCCAGTGCTCTTGACGCTTCCACATCCAGGACCGGAGGCTCTGGCGAATGCGAGCGCAAGCGCGATCCCAGTCGGACCAGAGGAACAGCCGTTAGAGCTCGAAACCCAGGACACCGAATATCGTCTCTTCCCTCCTCCTTCTGCTCTGATATCTGACCGTAATCTGGACCAGACTCTGCGAGGGATAGGGTTCGGCTATCGAGCCGGGTTCATCGTGAACAGTCTCGCGCTCTTGGTCGCCGAGCACGGCAATACCGACCTGGGCGAAGGCACAGTTGAGGGCACGATAACGACGCGCGGTGTCCAAGCGTTCTTGAGAAGCTTGAGGTACGAGGATGAAGAGGAGCGGGGCAAGTGGAGGACCGAGTTGATCAGGTTGAAGGGTGTCGGGAGAAAGGTGGCGGATTGTATCGGGTTGATGTCGATGGACAAGGTGAGCGGAGAGAGGCGTACGCGCGCGCGTGTCACGTGATTGTTCGATTTCTGAATTTCCCGTTCGACCTCCACCTCCTCCCTCCTTCAACCTCACTCGACATGGTCCCTTCAGCCAAACGTGGTCCCCATCGATACTCACTTGCAGCAGATCGCAGCTCGTCATCCTCAATTCCCATCCAAACTAAAACACAAGTCCACATCCTCTGAACCCGTATATAACCAGGTTCAAGAATTCCTTACAAAGCTCTGGGGAGGACCAGCAGAACAGACACATCTACCTGGAAACGGATTCGCCGGTTGGGCACAAGCCGTCATGTTTGCCGCCGATCTCAAAGGGTCGACCGCCGTCGAGTCGAGCAAGACGAAAGCGAGCTCGAGTGGAGCCGGGAAGAAGAGAAAGGCCGGCGATGAGGGTGAAGGGAAACGAGAGGGAAAGGGCGTGAAGAGCATCAAGTCTGACAAGGATACGCTCAGGACGGAGAATGGCTCCGCTTCGGCCGGGTCGTCCAAGACCAAGGAGGCTGTTGTGGCTGCCAAAGCTTTCGCTCATCCGACCAAGGTCAAGGCTTTGAGAATGCTGCCTGCACTGGAACAGCAGCTGACGTCAACGGAGTACGATCCGAACCCGCTCATCCCCTTGCTCTCCCTCGCTCGACACCCGGAACCTGAAGTCGTTCACAAGGCCATCTGGGCCCTCTACCGGGTGTTCAACAAGTTCATCAACGAGGATCGGCTACAAGGCCTTGGACTGCTGCCCTTTGATAGGACGAAGACGAATGAGGTCAAGGACCAGAGCAAGATGGTCAGGCGATGGATGGAGGAGAGGCTGTACGACTATGCCGACATCCTGGCAGGGTGTCTTCGGGATAGGGAGCCTTCGTTGAGAAAGTCCGGATCGAGCTTGATCTTTTCGCTCTTGCCGCCCTTGTCCGGGAACCTGTCGACCCATATCGGACGACCCCAGATCGCTACGGCCTACCTTGCCTACGTGTTGAACGCGCTCGTGCTCTCGACCGTCTCATTACGAGGCAGCCGACCGACGGGCAGGTCGAGTGCGGCCAATGCTGCTCGACCTGTCAACAATTCGACGGGGTTGTGGGAAATCGTCGAGGATAACCAGGCAACGATGGAGGACAACGAGCTACCTGCCGATGTCGTACACGATGCCGGTAAAAAGCTCGCCGATTACGATGACTTACGATGGGCGGTCTTCAAAGGCTTCTCGTGAGTTCCCTATCGTTTCACTTTTCGCGATGCCTGAGCTAATTGCGATATCAATGCGATGATTCTCCTTCAGCAACCTGATCGAATCCTATTCTACCGGAACCGGCGGTGGATCATTCCCCATCGGCATGAGCGGCAACATCCTCTCCCTCATCCTCCCTCTCAACAACCTCCCTCAGAACGCCGAAGACATCAACGAGTTCTACTTCCCCCACCTCTCGAAGAAACCGGCAAAGAAGAAGCCCAAACGCGCCGTGGAAAAGCCTGGCAAGAACGGCGAGAACCCGCAGAGTTGGATGGACTTTTTCGATTCGTCCGAAGACGAGTCGTCGTCCGAGGAGGAGGTCGAGGTCGAGGTGGACAAGAAGACGGGTGTCAAGCGAAAGCGGGTCAAGAAGCAAAAGGTCAAGAAGGATGTGCACAACCTGGTGTGGAGCGTCGTCAGTCAGAAAAAGGTGTTTACGGATTGTTGGTTGGGCGTCTTGGGCATGCCGTAGGTCGCGCTTGCTTCTCTAACTCACGGAGAAAGCGGAAACTGATCAAGTACCGCCTTACAGCTTGTCGCAGCCAGAGACTCGGTCGATTCTGCTCGTCCTGCATTCGGTGTTGTTCCCCAACTTGATCCGAGGGAGGGTGGTCAGGATCACAGACTGGTTAGGCGGTCTCTGTGATCAGGGCGGACCATTGGCGCTCCTGTCACTGAACGGTCTGTTCATTTTGATGTCGAAGTACAACCTGTGAGTCTAGCCGGGCTCGCTTTCCGGCTGAAGAGCGATGAGCTGATGAGGGTATCGTTCTACTATCAGGGAATACCCTCATTTCTACAAGAGGTTGTACGGCTTCATGGATCGCGAGGTCTTGCACGTCAAGCATCGAGCGAGGTTTTTCCGATTGACCGAGACCTTTTTGCGATCACCGTGAGTCAACTTGATCAATCTGGCCATTGGCCGAGCACAAGCTGATCGCACGAATTACCTTCATAGGCTCTTGCCTGCTGCACTTGTAGCGTCGTTTGTGAAGCGCCTGGCCCGATTGTCCCTTTCGGCTCCTCCTTCTTCGGCCGTCATGACAATTCCCTTCATCTACAACATGCTCAAGCGACATCCATCATGTATGGGCATGCTGCATCGACCTACGGCGGTGATAGCGCCATCGGGCGATGAGGACGACGACAGCAACGCCGATCCCTTTGACGCCGATGAGAAGGACCCGTTGAAGACGGGCGCTCTGGATTCGAGTTTATGGGAGCTCAAAGGCTTGCAAAAGCATTACTTGAGCCACGTCTCGACTATGGGCAAGATCTTTGAAGAGGTCTTTACCAAGCCCGAATTCAACCTGGACGACTTTCTCGATCACTCCTATGCTACCGTGAGTAGAGTTATACGGATCGCTTTGCTCATCAGCTGAACCAATTGCTCTCACGTCCTGCAGCTCTTCGAGACCGAAGTCAAGCGAAGACTAAAGAACCCGCCCGCCTTGGCCACAGACAAGACCTCGAGCCCCTTCGCGCTGGTCAAGGACGAGCGGCCCGAGAATGGCGATATCATCAACGAGTTGTTTACGTTCAGTAAATGAGCAGATCGACCGGGTTGTAGTCGTTGAGCAACATCCATACCAGTTTATAGCTGTATATCTTGTCGTCACGCATGTCAGCTGCCCGGTTCCCAACTCGCGCAACTTGACGCTGCTGCTACTGGCTACCGAGCGGGCGACCATCACGTGAAATGGGATTTGCGCGATTCATGACTCATAATCTTGTAGCAGCACAACTTATCGAGCTTTGATGGAATGCTGAACTGCTGATCGTGACCCGCAAAGACACCACTCGCATACCGCATCTAGCTGCTGTGCTTGATTGTTCGCAATATTAAACCCCAAAAGACTGCATGTCAAGTATCCTGAGAGCTATCAGGTCACGAAACCTTTCATATTTCCCACGACGATCAATCATGACCACCTCGATACCCAAACCCGCGCAGCAACCTCAACAGATTCAGCCGTCCCCAACGGAAGCCATCTTTTTCGGTCACCTCAACGATTTCGTGAGGGAAGGGAGGTTTCATGTAGAACCCAAAATTCCGGCAACAGAATGCCGAATAGCAGGTGGCTGGGTGCGGGACAAGGTGAGCAATAAATTATGAAACGAAGAGTGTCTCGCACTGCGCTGACCGAGATTTCAATGTCAGCTTCTTGGCCTTCCTTCCCACGACCTGGACGTCACCCTTTCTTCCTGCGCAGGCTACCCTTTCGCTCAAGCTTTCGTAGAATACCTTCGTTCGGTCCCTTCGGCCGAGTCTATCGAGATCACCTCCATCGGCAAGGTCTCTGCCAACCCTGAACAAAGTAAACATCTGGAGACTGCTACTACACGGATCTTGGGATTGGAATGTGATTTCGTACAGCTTCGAAGCGAGGTATATGCGGATGGTAGTCGAATTCCCACGGAAGTGGTACGTGCATGTTCGGTATCGTTCGAGCTGAGCGTTCTCCAGGCTGATTCCTGAGGGAAATGTCGACACAGCGGATAGGCACGCCCCTCGAAGATGCAGAGCGACGAGATATCACCATCAACACCTTGTTCTACAATGTGCATACCCAGTCGGTGGAGGATTGGACGGGCAAGGTGCGTCGCTAGGTGTTCGTCCTCAATTCGGCTACAGGCAGCTTATTGAGACTTTTTCTCTACGCTTGCATCAGGGAATGAACGACCTAGCAGATCACCGCATCCGGACGCCGCTTCCACCACTACAAACGTTCTACGACGATCCTCTTCGAATCCTGAGATGCCTACGATTCGCCAGTCGATTTGGCTATGCGCTTGACAAGGAGCTCACCGAGTGTTTGGGGGACGAGACTCTGATGGTGAGCGTTCGGAAGCATGGTTCTTGCCCTGTTCCTGTGTCATTCAACCTGACGGGCTTGTGAACGTGACAGGAAAGCCTAAGGACGAGGATCTCTCGTGAACGAGTGGGGATCGAGGTGGAAAAGATGATCAAGGGTAGGTCGATTTCTGGCGCCAGACTCGGTGTTTCCACATTAATGTATATTTCTCTGCACACAGGACCGAATCCCCTCCTTGCCATCGAGCTCATTACCAATCTCAACCTATACCCTCACATCTTTGTCATCCCAACTGCGAAACCCGCTGACCCGAAAGACTTTTTCCCCGCACCTCACCCCATCAGCGACGCTCTTCTCGGCGGCCAGATCCTCACCTCGATCATGTCGGGTGACTTGCGCTCGCACGTCCATCCAGCATTGTTCGCCAAGCTGAACGAGCGTAGGTTGCACGCCATCTGGTTAGCGATCGCCCTGCTACCTTACCGAGGGGGTCTTTTGAAGGAGAAGAAGAAAGATATGACGATGGCCGAAGTCGTCATCCGGGACGGGATCAAGGTCAGTTTTTTCAGAATCAGAATATTCAAGTCAAAGTAGTTTCCTGACGGCTTTGATTTGGCAAGTAGCTAGGAAACGCCGAGCGGGAAGCCGTTGCCAGACTGTATGCCGCTCATGACAAGCTATCACCGCCAGCATTCCACTCGCATGAACCAGAAAGGCTTCGGTCTGGGCTTGGTGAGTCACTCATGACTGACTTCCAGCTCGCCTTGGACGTCTCATTGACCTTATGCAACGATTCTGGTCCAGGGCTGATTCTGAGAGAGGTGTACATCAATGATCCAGCAACGGATACCGCCTGGACGAACGCGCTCGTGTTCTCGATGATCATGGACCTGTTGCCTTATGTCCAACTCGATGACATCCAGGCCAGTGAGTCAGAGTCGCGGAATACAGCGTTTATAAGCTCTGACAATCGACGCGTGTCGTGACAGATGAGCGAGTCTTGGAGGTTATGAAGCGGTATTACGACTACACTGCCAAGGTCGAGGAATTGGGATTGGGATCGGCCATCGAAGAAAAACCGAGAATCGATGTGAGCCTTCGTCATCAATGTCGTGTTGCAGTTTCTATGACCTGCGAAGCTGATCATCAGCGATTCTCTGCAGGGCAACGAGCTGAACGCGACGCTCGGCTTGAAGCCGTCCCAGTTGACCAAGTATCTCATGCTCGAAGTGGTCCGATGGCAGCTAGACAACCCTAGCGGGACGGCCGAGGATTGCAAGGCCTTTTTGTTGAAGAGTCAAGCAGAGGGGACGTTGCCGACGATGGAGAGTCTGGGGTTGGGGGTTCCCGCGAACAAGAAGAGGAGGAGGGATTGAGACGAGGCAGGAGTTGTCTTTACGCACGAAGTGATACGCAAGCCATCTATCATGATCTATCACCATGCCGGATCCTGAAAAGCGGCAGATGACATTCATGACATTCCAGCTGGTTCGGTCCGGATCCGTTTGCGTCACCGAGCGAGCGAGCTAAATGACGCGATCGACGCGTCGCGCGATCTTTGTCTTTCTCGATCGATCGCGTTTTCCCGATCCAGAGTCCCCCGTGGGATGGGGTCATGTCATTCCGCCTACGTCACATCGTTCCTATTCCCCCGATCTGATGGTTGAAGCATGTTCCAGCGTTTATGCGTTGCGGTGGATCCTCGTGCGTCATACCTCCTTTGAGTACTAGTCAGCGATCCCAGCGAAGAGTATATAGTCGGACGAGCGAGTTGGTGATAGTCTCAACCGTAACATTCCACCTTCTCGATAGCTCTACTCAACAAATCTCTTTACACTTGCCCAAGCAAACCAAACCACACTCGACTTCAAAACCACATCACAATGTCCAACTCTACCATCCCCGTTACCAACTCGGCCGACAAGACCACCGCCGATGTCTCCAAGGACGACGCCCGAAACGCTGAGAGCGCCGTCTCCGGTGTTGTTCCCAAGAGTAAGTAGCCAGCTATTCCTCGACCGTCTCTGTCTAGACCCTATGCTTACCTTAATAACGGTGTCATCGTTCTTCGTAGGCGAGGTCGAGGACCTGAAGGACTCTCTCGGTGGAGGAGAGACTCTCGACAACGAGGCCGGCGTTACCACCCGAGGTGCCGAGAACGACGCTTACGCTCAGGAGAAGAAGGTCGACAACCTCGACCTTTAAGCCGATCGGTCGGTTCGGGAGCGATGCGGAAGGGACGAGGAGTAGAGAGGGATGTCATGTATCGGCGGGTGAACGCCAATGTACAAAGTAGCACACAATAATAATAATATCGCTGGCCATCTGACTTGCACCTCCGCATCGACATTGACCTGCCCATCTGCTCAGAGATTCTAAATCGTTCAACGTTGTTACGACGGTACGACATCTCGATGTTGTGAACGAAGAGATGGCCACAAGTACTGGCGGATGATGATGACTAAGCAGAAATGGGTCGAGGAAGAGGCGGATCCGCGCGAAGTTGGTAGAACGAGGCGAAAGGAGAGCGAACTCCTCGATACCGGGGCGGGGAAGTTGATAAACTGCTCGAGTTAACCGTCTCTACGCCCAAGCAGTGGCGAATACACCAATCCATCCATCTACCTACATATCACTTTAAGCAGGAACAAAGCATTCGCAGAGGAAAGAAACAGGCAGAGGTTTTCCATAGAGCGTCCTCTTTTTCGGTCTTACGATATCGGTTACGACAGCCAGTCTCGCCTCACTTAAAGCATAGAGATATAGACATACAGCATCTCATCAGCAGCAGCAGCAGCAGCACCATTAACATCAGCATCAGTAAATCACAGACAGACTCAAAGACTCACGGAAAAGGACTTGAACGCAACGAATCTTTCGCTTTTCGACTCTCCTCTTTGTATCGGTTCGAAAATCATGTCGCTCGCCACTACCGCTCCACAACAACCAGTCCGTCTCCCAGATGGCGGTATTCTTGCCGGTCAATCCGAGCATGGTCGCAGAAACAACGGCAACCACAACAACCAAAACCGTCGAAGACGGCCTTCTCAGGCGAACGGTGGCGAGCAGGCCGGAGACGTCATGCCCGGGACCGGGGCGTACCTCTTGCAACAACAGCAACAGCAGCAACGAGCTCGCGGGAATCGAGCTAGGCGAGGAAACCAGACTCACGGAGATGGGTCTGCGTCAGTACCGCCTCCTTCTCAGGTTCAGGCTCATCAGCAGCAGCCCAATGGGCAATCTGGACCTTCCACCGATGGTCAGCAAGGGCAAGGACAAGGACAGGGGAAACGAAGAAATCGCCCCCCTAGGCATCAAAACAGGCCCGCTCAAGGCCAGACGAATGGGGATACTCAACCCGGCAGTCAGCCCTTGAGTCGGGTTCCCACGAACGGGTCGACGGCGGGTTCGAATGCTTCGGCTTCGAACGCGCCTACGAACCGACGTGGTGGACAGGCGAGGAGCCGGGGTTTCAACTCCCAGCTGACCGAGACGGCGAATGGGGACGATAGGTTGGATCCCTCGGCTGGTCCTTTCGTCCCTGGAGATCGAGCTCAGCGGGGCAAAAATAATGGCAATCAGGCCAGACGTCCGCAGACTCATTCTCGGTCTCAGTCTCAAGGCAATCTGGATCAGCCGCCTCATCTGGCATCCGCATCGTCGACCTCTACCAATGTACAGTATCAGATACAGGATCAACAGAACCAAGCTCGTTCCCGGATCCAACCTCAACCCAACTACCGCCGGAACGCTCGGACGAGGAAGCCTTTCCAGGGCAACTTATCGGGTGCTACTATGGATTTCGAGGAGATGCAGGAAAGAGCCGTCATGGGCGGAGCTATCCCCGCTGCAGAGCGCAAATACAGGGGATGGGGAGGTATGAAGGATGAAGAAGACGGCTTGGTATCAAAGCTGGTCAGAGGACTTGGTGGTGTCGGTGGAAACTGGCTGGAGTGTGTGATCGTGAGTATTTGCGGCGTCCGTTGTGTGTGTCCTTTCATCTTCTGACACGCTTGGCTTGCTATCAGTGCTTTTCGACCATCTTACCTCAACAACCCATCTGGTCCTGCTCGCCTACGACATCGGCGGTGGTACCAGGTGAAATCACCACGAACGCATGCTGTTACACCCCCTTCCACCTTTCGTGCATTCAAGACTGGTCTTCCCGATCTCTCGCCGAAGCGAAAGAAAAGACCAGAGACAGGGATACCCGGATCTACCCGGAAGAACCTGTTCTCACCTGGAGGTGCCCCGGCTGTCAGAAGAAGCGGGTCAAGGAGGCCAACAAGTACGAGTGTTACTGCGGCAAGGTCAAGAACCTGTCGACTGGTCACGGAGCGGTTGGGAAGGATACGACTGGGGATGGCTCGAGCCTGGTCTTGCCCCATTCGTGCGGGAACAGCTGTTCCAGGGATAGGTCTTACTGTGGACACCCTTGTCCCTTGCAGTGTCACGTAAGCGCGAGAGAGCGAGAGACCAAACTCTGCAGCGGCTGATAATGATCTGCGCCCTCTATAGCCTGGCCCCTGTCCACCTTGTCAGGTCCCACTCGTCATCCCCTGTCCATCTCACAAGAAGGACCTCGTTGTCAAATGTTCGCTCGCCAAGGGAAAAGACGTTCCTGTACCGGCATGCGAAGAGCCTTGCGAAAAGCTCCTGGCGTGTCAAGCGCATGCATGTGACAAACTCTGTCACGATGGCGATTGCGCCAAGTGCACAGCGAAGGAGACCGTTCGGTGTTATTGCGGCGTGGATGAGCGGGAGGTAGATTGCGGATGGAGAAAGCGAGAGGAGCAGACTTGCGGAGACGGAAAGGATACCTGGGAAGGAAGGTTTGGATGTGAACGGGTATGCGCGAGACCGTATGATTGCGGAAATCATACGTGTCAAGAGGTACGTTTTGGGTTTGAAACACGTAACTCTTGCCTGTACACTGACAACAAGCCTCTCCATCTGCAGGAATGTCACCCGCATCCTCTCGAAACCTTGAAATGCCCACGATCGCCCGATTTGGTGACACATTGTCCATGTGGACGAACGCCGCTCGGCGAATTAACATCCACTTCAAGGATGTCGTGCACAGAGAAGATCCCGACCTGCGCTCTCAGGTGCAATCGACCGCGGTCTGACTGCGATCATCCGTGTGATAAACTCTGTCACGAGGGCGAATGCACGCCCTGTAGAGAGATGGTTGTCCTTCCTTGCCGATGCGGTTCCAGCAAGGTCGAGATGATCTGCTCGGAAAGGCAGGAGATGGAGAAACAAGGGCAAGAAGTGCTTTGCGAAAGGGTGTGCAAAGCATTGAGGAGGTGAGTTCCGATGTCGCTACTGGCAATGCAGAGTCGTGGTTTCCTGACTTTGCTTCACGTATTGTATAGCTGCGGACGCCACGAATGTGCCAGGTTCTGTTGTCCGCTTTCGTACCAGGCCAAGTTCAAGGGAAAGAAGCGAGATATTGCTGCTTTGGGTGACGACGAAGCGGGTCTACATACCTGCAGTCTTCCTTGCAACAAAGTATTGACGTGCGGCGTGCATCATTGCCCCAAGCCCGATCATCGCGGCCCGTGCCCGCCCTGTCTAGAAGCGAGCTACGAGGAGGTTCGTTCCGTTTCACCTCGGAATGACTATGAACCCTTTTGCTTACTCTGTTTTCCTTTACAGCTTGGCTGCAACTGTGGACGTACCGTCATCCATCCACCCATCCGTTGCGGTACGGTAATCGATTGCACGTATCCTTGTGCCCGACCTGCCCCGGAATGCGGCCATCCCAAGGTTCCGCATACTTGCCATGAGACCGAAGCATGTCCTCCATGCCCCTACTTGACGACCAAGAAGTGTGCATGCGGCAAGAATGAGGTGAAGAACGTTAGGTGTAGTCAGGAAAAGGTGACCTGCGGAGTCATTTGCAACTCGTGAGTCGAGATGAAAGCATTGGAACCTTAGCGGGTTCGCATGTGCTTATCCCTCTCTCTGCCAGGTTACTTTCGTGCGGTTACCATCACTGCATGAAGCCATGTCATTCGGCTGGAGATTGCGAGGAGCCTTGCCAGCAGGTTTGCCAGAAGCCCAAGCGACTTTGGTAAGTTTCCCTATCCGAAACACTGTCGAAACCGCTGCTAAGCCTACTCCCGCACATATAGCAAACACCCCTGTCCGATCACTTGCCACGCTCCTTCCGCTTGTCCCGAGGATGAACCTTGCAGTGCGACTGTGGATCAGACTTGTCCTTGCGGCCACGTAAAGCAGCGAACAGCCTGCGGGGCATGCACGGGCAACCCGGTCTCACGGGAATCCGTACAACTCAAGTGCGTTTCCGAGTGCGCTCAACGTCAACGTAACGCCAGGTTGGCAGAAGCCCTTGGGATCAAACCTTCGGAAAAGCTCGTGGAGTATCCCGCCGAACTGCGCACTTTCGCAACCGCCAATCACGCCTTTGTGCTTACCGTCGAAAAGGCCTTCAACGACTTCTTTATGGGACCAAAACAAGCGACATTGTTACCTCATACCCCCGCTCACAAACGTCAATTCATCCTGGGGCTCGCCGAAGTCTACCGCTTTGGAACCGAGCTTGTCGACGCAGACCCACACCGGAGTGTGCAGCTCCGTCGACGGATCGACAGTCGAATCCCGAATCCACTCCTTTCTGCTGCCACCGGTGCTCCTCCAGCTGCAAAGCGTCAACTAGGCGGGTTGGGCGATATGAAGAAGGCTTCCTTTGCCAGTTTAGCTGGACCTAGCTCGGTTATCGCCCCAAACCCCGTCAGAGGATGGGGGAGTGCATCGCTCTCGCGTCCCTCTAGCCCCCAAGTTCACCCTTCGCGAATGTCGGGAACGCCATCGCTTGCTCGTCCTTCGAGTCGGCCTGAACCACCGGTGTCAACTGGCTCGGGGATTCACAAACTCGATCACATCACGGGTTCTTATACCCCACCTCAGAAAAGAGACATCGAGGAGAATGCGAAGGATTGGGATGAGGAAGATTAGCCGGATGTAGCTCGGGGACGCTAAATGATGATCGATCACTACGCTGTAGTACATCTGTATGATACATCATCTTGTTAGGCTCGAATATCGCTCAAGACTTCTCCTTTGAGGTCTCGCTCGATCCCCGCCAATAGTCGCGTGTGGTGGGCCTCCTTGTCTCCACTCTGCACTGCTGCAGCAAGGTGGTGGACAGCAACGGAATAGAGGAACGGCTGATTTGCCTTGGTCACCCATTGTTTCGTGAGGGCTTGTAAATACGCAAACAACATGTCGGGATCCTCTTCGTGTGGCTCGTAATATGGCATAAGAGAACCTGTCTCCAGCAGCACCTGCTCTTTCGAGAGCCTCACTGATCGCAGAACCGAAGGCTGCTCTGACCATACAAGCTGGCGATAGTCGATGGGATAAGCTTGAGAGATAGGAACCAACAAAAGCTGGCTGAACGTAACGTCTGAAAGGGACATGGCGTCGTAAAGCTGGACAAAGTCGCCGTAGATCTGTAGGAAGGTTGTTTCTGCCGGAGTGATCGATGTGGAAACCTCGTCGAGCCTGGTTTGTGGTAGGCTAGCTTGTGGCTGCAAACAGGGCGTAACCATCTCCTGTAGAAGACGGGAGACTACAGGGTCTCGGAACATCTCGTCATTCCTTTCCACATCCCTCGCTCCCTCGAGGAGGAATACCTTCATTGCATTTAGAATGACGGTCGAGCGACTCTGCGACTGCCGACTGAATCGCTGCACGAGACTGGCTAGGGTCAGTGTCGCCCGTACCATTTCCAAGCGACTCGCGTCCCAAGCTGGAGGAAGTTGCTTGAAGACCGTAGACGACTCCCGTCGCAAGTACTGCTCCAAAGCGATGTAAACCCAATCCGATCGCAATGGTAGGCCTTCCACTGCTTTCTGGTTCCGATCAGACACGCGCAACGTAGCGGTTGCTCTGAGCATGTTCGATAGCGGTGTCTCTGGTGTCGCAAGGTGTTCCAGATCTGGTAGTATACCGTAATGTAGGAATGGTCTGAGAATGTAGAGGCCGTGGCGATGTCCCACCTGTTCGATAATCTCGTCCGGCCAGGCTAGATCAAGCAGTTTGTCCACAAGCTGCATGGCGTGGTCTTCCTCACCCGGCCGAGCCGCTTCAATGATGGGGACCGCAGCTCGAGCGAACTCGGCGGGCGGGAGAGATCGTTGCAAGATCAACAGCTGGTATGAGAGGACATTGATGGCTGAAGAAGTTGTCGTCTTCGTATTTCCTGCCTCCGGTTCGAGCAATTTTTTCAAGCAATTCGCGATATCGAAATCATCGGCCTTGCGGAATGCGGACAGTCCTAGGGTACCGAGCAGCTCGGTTAAACGAGCCGCGAACATGGCACGTAGCTGAGATTCTTCGGTATTCGCCTTGAGGTCGCTAGACAGGATCGTTTGCAGGGTTTGCAGAGGTTCAACCTCTTGCAAAGCCGTCTTCAATGCCACCTTGTCATCGTTTCCATTTCGCTCGTGATTCAGCTCGCACCCTCTGATCCATGCCGTCAAGACTCCAACAGCGGCCGTTGCTGTCTCCCAAATCGAGGCACTCATTTCGACGTTTTGAGAAGGCCATAAAGCGCGCAGCACGTGCTCCGCCTCATCCTGCCAACCGTAGCTGGATATCTGGGTCCAGATGAGATCGTGCTCATGTTCCAGACTATGCGGGTCCTTAGCAGAAACCAACCAGACGCGCAGCAGGTTGAGGTAAGCCCGGGTCGTGTAGAGAATCTCCGGTTGATCGTCTTTATGTTCACGGCGAGCGACCCAAACCCCGAGCGCAACCCAGATCTCCGAGGTGTTACTCAACAGGGTGCCATTGAGACCGTAACGCGCCAGTTTCTCGTAGAGATCTATGATGAGTCCGGCGAAAGTCCAGGCCTCCGTATCGGTAGATGAAGCGGAAGCTCCGCTCCATGGAGCAAAGTACAAGAACTTGAGTGGTACGTCATATGCCCCTACGTTTAAAAGATTCTTTGTTGCGGATCTCGAAGCCGTTGTGCAGGATCTTAGCAGGCGTATCACGAGCAGCGAAATGGCAGCCTCGATCCGCCCATCAGCGGTCTCTCGGTCGCCCGTTGGTCGGGGCCACTCGAGCTTGCCCAAAAAGTTTCGCAGTAACCGTGGTACGATCAGGGCCACCTCATTCGAGGCTTGCACAGAACTGAGCGAGATGTTGAGCAAGATGCCGACGAGTTGACGGATTGAAGTCAAGGACAGATGGGAGAAACGGACAGGCTGATCGAGCATTCCAAAGATTCGATCCAGTATCGCAGGGAGGGGGAGAAGTTTGACCCATGCCGCAGTATGGGCAAGATGTTCGGGATCGTTCATCAGACCGTCGTCCGAGAGACCGTTGCCCTCGATCGCAGACCTGGGATTACTGCCCATAGACGCGTACAGGGCAGTGATGGCTTCCCGAAGGACCCCAGCGTTCTTCTCGGCCGAACACAGGACCCCGACGATCACGTCGATCCCTCGTTTCTGCACCTTGCTTTCGTTGATCTGCTCTCGTACAGCTTCAGGGTATGTATCCCGTTGGCTCAACACCTTGCCAAGAACGCCCAGCATCATCGTTCTCTGTGGCAGAAAGGTGCTAGCGCACAGCTGAATGATTTCGTCCACGGTATACCCCGCTCGGCCGGATTCGTCCCCATGGTGGTGCAATCCTTTGTGTGCCGCCATTTCCTCGGATTCAGCCACTGTCAAAGGCTTGCCCGAAAAGTCGAAGCGAGTCTGATGTGTCGACGACCCTTCTGTGGCTGCAGGTCCAGGTCTACTAGTTGACTGGATCCATTCGAGCTCGGCTGGGTTTGCAGCTTGATTAGGAAAGTAGCGTTGATGAATATAGCTCGGCGACAGTTCGTCGATCGTGGTTTCGTGTTCCGAGCCAGAAGGTGGTAAGGGCACGGGATCTTCAGCGAACCTGACTTTGGCCTGAGCGCCTGGAAATTCGAGGTCTCAGCTATGGCGAAACTCATCAATCAACGCTTCAAAATCCACTCACCAGGCTTCTTTGCTCCTACACCTGCTGATTCGGCGAAAGTTTCGTCTTGTTCATCAGGCTCTCCTTCCTCGACCTGCTGAGTCTCGGCATCCGGCTCGCCGCCCGACGAAGAGACGACCTCCTCTGACGGTTTCTCTTCCCCAGAGCTCGACGGTCCGGAAGTTTGCTGCTGAGCCTTCTTCTCAGCCCTAGATCTTAGCATTGCCAATAGATCCGGAGAAATCATCGACTCGAGCTCTTCTAGCTCATGATCCCTCTCTGACCGTGACATCCCGGCGATCTTGGCATCGTTCTCGTCCTGGCAATCCTTGAGGAGATCCTGAGTGGACCGGCCTGTAGCCTCCCTTTCCGCCAGGTCCGGCTCGCTTCCCGTCTTGAAAGCTGGACCATCAAAACGACTTGTTTGCACTACAGGCGGCGCATTCGAGTATGGCCGAGCTGACGGCCCGGCCGCTGCAGCTCCTCTCGCTCTCTTGAACTGAGATATCCGTTGTGACCGATGTTGAACCTGAGGAAACCCGGATTGGGACGGAGTTGGGGGTGCAGGAGGTGCAGCAGACGATGCGCTCGACCTCTCGGTGACTTCCTTGACCAGAGACATGATTGGTTCGTAAGGCTGTATTCCATATTCGAGATCCCTCGAGTAGTAGGTAGCAGTAGACAGAGTAGAATTGATACATGACATGAGTTGCAAGTACCTCGACCTGAAATCTCGACCTCCACCCTTCACAAGATTACGTAAGCAGAAAGACCCATGCCAATGGTAATGCTGTATAGTAAATGCTACAACTCGTCTCTATGTCTATTCGATCGAGTCTTGGCAAACACGGCTTCCAGAGCTGAGAGGGGTAGGGGTCCCAGTTCAGCATGGTGCAACACACCATCTCGATTCGCGTCTGCTTACCGTCTCTTGTCGAATCTGAAACGCTCGATGGCATGACGACTGAGTACTCGATATAAAGGTCACCATGCGGTAGATGAGCATGTGCTGGCATCTGATTTATGGAAGCTCGATATCAGCAAGGGTCGCCCGTACTATCCCAACCTTAAAAACTCACTCCCTCTCCCTTGATGACATCGACGTGACCTGGCTGGGTAGTCCCCGGGCGAGCGATCCTTACGGTCTTGCCATCCAGATGTGTCAGATTCCTCTCGAACCCTAACAGTGCCTCATCGACCCCGATGATCTCTCTGCGATATAGCCCCGCATCTTTTCTCCTCCACTCGGCGTCCTTGTGCGCGTACACCTTGACGAGGACGTCGCCGGGGATATCCCAGTCTGGGCTCTCGTCCGCTTCCCCGTCGAACAACATCTCGAAGCCTTCATGAGCGCCTGGAGGTAGGTAGAAGCTGAGGTTGTTGTCGCTCTGTACGACCTTTTGTCCGCGGCAGTGAGGACACGGTTTGGCTACCGTCTTGCCCTTTCCGTGACAGGTGTTGCATGTCGCTTGCATCTGGGTGAACATTCCAGGGAAGATCTGAGCCTTTTGGATGGTGACACCAGCACCTCGACAGGTCTTGCACGTGTGAATATCAGAGTCGGAAGCGGCCCCGGATCCTCGACAATGATCACACAAGGTCTTGCGAGGGAGGGTGAACTGTAGGGTACCGGCAAGGAACGGTCGATTTAGCCGAACTGACCGAGCTCAAAACCGCGCACGCAGGTCACTGACCTCCTCGTAATTCCCAACAAACATGTGCTTTAACTCGACGTCCATTCTGACCTGCATATCCGGCCCTCTTCTCTCCTGAGGACCTCGACCCCCTCCTCCGAAGAATTGACTGAACATGTCAAAGGGGTTATGATGCCCCCCACCTCGATTGCCCTGCTGCTCGTGCTGCTTCAACCCCTCGTGCCCATATCGATCGTATATCGACCTCTTGTCCTCGTCTGACAGGACTTCATAGGCTTCCGAGATGGAGATGAACTTTTCTTCGGCATCAGGCGCAGAGTTCTTGTCTGGATGGTATTTCCGAGACAGCTTGCGGTAAGCCTTTTTGATTTCGGATTCTCCAGCGCTCTTCGAGACTACATTGATCGATTTGGCTTAGCACACTTCTTGGCGATTAATAACAGCCTGATTATGGAGCTCACCTCCCAGAGTCTTGTAGTAATCCTGCTGTGCGAGTACACAAGCTAGACTGGCCAGCAAGAGCAGACATATCCGCAGGATCGTCGTCGTTTGCGACATTTCGAGAAGAAGCGCGGTCAAGCCGAGGGAAACGTCCAGACAGAATCCTGCAGGTTCCAATCTTAGTCAAGTCTATCGGGCTTGTGTCTATATGGTAGCTCTTGGAACCCTGCCTCCAAAGGTGGTAACGTGCAATAGGATTGAGATGGACACTATCGATGTGGAAGCTCGAAGTCTCCGGAGCGAAGGCGACGCGGATGCAAATTACGGCATCACCCAGAGCCGCTCCTATCGAAGGTGAAATGTCTGACTTGATCAACCTTTATCCAGAACTACCTCCCTTCAGACTGGTGCTATGCGAAATCGAGACATCTCCACCACCTAGGCCCGAGACAGGATCGGAATCAAAGTAGATTGGAGCTAATTATCCGTCATTCGCGAACCCGGATCGTCAAATTTACGAGCTGGATGCTACTTCGAGGCGTACAAACTCTGTCAAGAACTACCACACTCGTTTCTCCAAGTTCGATACTCCCTTCATCTGCTCGCCTGGCCATCAAGTTCCGGTCTAGAAACCAAGCTATTACCTACTCTCAACTCCGTCCTCACTCTTGTAAGATGGCTCAAGCCGCTAGTACCAAAGTAACCCAGCCGGAATGGCAGGTCCCAAAACCTCTGGTCGAGGAGCCCGTTCTCAAAGTCTACAACTCGTTGACCCGCAAAAAGGCAAGTCGAAGAGCTGGCTCCTCCTCGGTAGGATCCTTGTCTAACCAGTCTGCTATCTGACACAGGATCCCTTTGTACCTCTCAAGGGACGTCAGGTCGACTGGTACAACTGTGGACCTACCGTCTATGACTCGGCACATATGGGACATGCTCGAAACTACCTCACTCAGGATATCATTAGGAGGATCTTGAGAGATTTCTTTGCCTACGACGTCAACTTTGTCCAGAACGTGACCGACTTGGACGACAAGGTGCGCCTATAGTCACGAGTTTTACCGAACACGAGCTGACCGAGTGTAATCCTGCTTTCATGATCATGTAAAAACAGATCATTGTCAGGGCAAGGGAACAGCATCTTCTCAAAGCTTTCCGAGATGCCAACCCTACCCTGTCGGAAACCTTGAAAGGCGACATCAAGACCGCCTTTTCCGCCTACTTGAGCTCGAAACTCTTGAAAGTACTCAAAGAGACCGATGCGCCTCAGCAGGGTGAGACCGAGCTTGCGACTCTGGATAGGTTGTTCAAGAAGGATCAGTCGGATGCGGCGTGGGCGAAGGAGATGAGGGAGAAGGAAGAAAAGTTTGGGTTGATTTTGGGCAGCCTTGTGAGTCAATCTCTTTTCGTATCATTATGGAAGCAAGATCTTGCACTAAATACGAGACTGACTTTGTCCTCATCGTAGCAATCCGCCAAGGCGGGCATCGAGACCGCAAAAGATGCCAACGAGGCCATCGATATGGCCAAAGATGTTCTCTCATGGTATCTTGACAAAAAGGTCAGTAAAGAGAACTTATATCTAGCTTTCGGACCGCTCGCTTATTGGCGTTTAATCTTCCCCATATTGCAGGACGGACACACCGTCACCGATCCTGCCATTTTCCGTGCTTTGGCCGCTCATTGGGAAGACTCTTTCAACTCGGACATGCGCAAGCTTCGAATTTTGCCACCCGACACGGTCACCCGAGTTTCGGAATACGTTCCTGAAATCGTCAGCTTCGTCGAGAAGATCATCGAAAACGGGTTCGCTTATGTTCAGGAGGGAAACGTCTGGTTCGACGTCGAAGCTTTCGAGGGCGCCAAGAATGGAAAGGGCAAGGAAAAGGAGGAGGACTTCGAGCACGTCTATGCCAAGTTGGCACCGTGGAGCAAGGGCAACAGGGAATTGTTGGAGGAGGGTGAAGGTAAGCGTTGTATACTAGGTGAAATGTTCGGGGGTTTCAGACTGATAGAACTTGATAACTGTGCCGAAGGCTCGCTAACGACAGGTCGAACGAAACGTTCCTCGGCCGACTTCGCGCTTTGGAAGTCTTGCAAGCCTGGCGAGCCCACTTGGCCTTCGCCCTGGGGTCCCGGACGACCTGGGTGGCACATCGAGTGCTCGGTGATGGCTAGCGAAGTGCTCGGGCGACGGATGGATATTCATTCCGGTGGAGTGGATTTGATGTTCCCTCACCATGACAACGAGATTGCGCAATCAGAGGTCAGTATCTGCGGTCTTTTGTTTTTCGTTGCGATGCTGATTATATCGCTGCCGGATGAATAGGCATACCATGACTGCCGCCAATGGGTCAACTACTTCCTGCATACCGGTCACTTGCACATTCAAGGACTCAAAATGAGCAAATCGCTCAAAAACTTTATCACAATAGAGGTTCGTTGTCTAGCAAGTTAAAATCAAGGCATAATGAAGGTCTGACCGGTCAGCTCCACGTTACCCTCATCTAGGAAGCACTACAAACCTGGAGCCCAAGACAACTTCGATTGGCCTTCATGATGCAAACGTGGAGTTCGAAGATGGACCTGACAGACGGCACGCGGACGGGAATGGAAAATATCGAGGAGACCTTCAACGTGAGTCGATAAGGTCTGCCTTGGCAAGTGCGACGCTAATCCTCACTGTATGGAACAGAACTTTTTCCGGAAAGTGAAAGCCAAAGTCGCCGACTTTGAGAACACTCTAGCGCCATCAGATGGATATCATTACCATGAAGACCTTGAGAAGCGCTTGCTGGAAGAGTAAGCGACTAATAGCAATGACGTCTGGCCAGTTCGCCGAGTTGACTTTATCTTGTTTCCAGCCTGCACAAGTCCCAGCACAGCCTACGAGTAGCCCTTTGCGACTCGTTCAACACACCAGAAGCGCTTATCGTGCTCACAGAGCTGGTCAGCTCCGCGAACGTGTATCTGCAAGCTCGGCCAAGGCCTCGTAATATCGAGCCCGTCAAATCTGTGGCTCAGTGGATCACCAGGATGCTCAAGATGTTTGGACTCGGTGAAGGTGCTGCGATTCATCAGGACGGTGCGATCGGGTGGGGAGAAACGATGAAGGCTGGACAGGAGGAGGAGACTACCGTTGACGTGAGTGAAAAACAGCAAGAGCTTCAGATGCGTTTGCTAATCGGTCTGGTATCTGCTAGCGGGAAGCCATCCTCATGCCATATTTACGCACATTGTCCACCTTCCGTGATGATCTCCGAAAGCTGGCCTTGGGAGGTGCTACCGGAAAAGACTTTTTGGAACTCTGCGACCGACTGAGAGATAACGAATTGGTTGATCTCGGTGTCGCCTTGGATGACCAAGAAGGTAAGCCCAATATTTGCCTTGCGAATTTGTGCACAGTCTGATAGTCCGACTTGTACGACAGATGGACATGCTCTAGTCAAACTCGCTCCCGCCGATGATCTGCGTCGAGCTAGAGATGAGAAGAAGGCAGCGATCGAAGCCAAGCTCGCACGAAAGGCGGCCGCCGCCGCTGCAGAGGAGCAGAAGCGTCTGGCCAAGCTAGAAAAGTCGAAGATATCGCCGCTCGAGATGTTCAGGCCGCCACATGTGGACGCAGGTCTTTACACAGCGTGGGACGAAAACGGTCTTCCGACCAAGGATGACAAGGGTGAAGATGTTACGAAAGCTAAAAGTAAAAAGCTGAAGAAGGAATGGGATGCTCAGGCCAAGGCGCATGAGGAGTGGAAGAAGATTGTTGGCACGGGCGAGGTCGTTGAAGGCAGCTTGTGATCTAGAACAGATAGAGCATATTGCATCCTGCCTCGCTAGACCTTGGCAAGTTTCTCGATTTTATCGATCCTCTCTATCTTCCCGATCCGCTCAATCCTCTCGATTCCTTCATAAATAGCGTTGCCATCGTTGTCGATCTTCGCTGCCGAGAACCTCTGGGTGATCTCGGACCCGTCGATCCGCTCGACTTTTTCGGTCTTTTCGAGGACAGTTTCCGGCTGGGCGACTGCCTCTTGCCTGGAGCTTTTCAAGAGATCGTGATCGAGCTTCAAGCTCTTCATGAATACGAGTAGCTGATCTTCCGCTGGTTCCGGTCGATCCCATACAGTTCATCAGCTCGGAAGGGCGTGTAGTACAGTCTCGTGTACTCTTACCTTTCTGTTGGGTGGGTTGCCCCTGTCCGAAATATCTGCGGAATCTCGTAATATACTCGAAGGATCCATCACTGATGGTTAAGACACTTAGTTGGAGAGGGAATGAGTCCGAGGTGAACGAAGTCAAATCTTACGGGTGTGACCAATGTATCTCAATGGGCCGCTTGCCATGATAATGTCTGATCGCTAATTCACCACCTATTGTCTTGCCGAGCTTAGTCCGCAGGCTCTGTGGGCTATAACCAGATTGCTGCAGCGGTGGTGCTTACCCTCTACATCGTTCACCCGTCCGAATATCTCGTAGTCGTAGTCTTCACCCTTCACGTATATATGCGGCTTACGAGGTTCCTGCTCCTTCGCCAAAAGATACTTTGGCTCAATGGTGGGGTCGACCTCCAGTATGCCTCTGACAAGTTCATCGAACTGCATAGACTTGCTGAAATTGGGACACGTCTTTGGAGAAGAAGGAGGAGGAGGAGACATAGCAACTAGAGCTACAGCTTGTTATACTTTATACTGGAACAGCCTGTATGTACCCACGTGATCACGAACATCGTGTATAGCATGTATAGAGATCGTAGAGGCCAGTTTATATATTCTGCAAAGAAGGTTGAAACACACGATGCTGCTCCTCTCGCCCAATCGGATAGTAAGGGGCACAGGATGGTTATGGTGTGATGGCTGATTCGCACAACCGGGCGAGGACTCAAGCAGGAGGCCTCCTTTTGACTGTATCTCTATTGAATCAAGTCTAAGCGACCCAAAGGAGGGTATTCTTTCTAAGCGATAATGCTAAATGCTACATCTCGTTCAGGCACGATAGAAATGGTTGGGGACGTTCGATCATGTTGATCTGTGATCACACAGAAGATCTAAGATAGTACAGTTATACAGTTAATCAATTCAAAATAGGAAAAAGGAACAAGAAAGTGGGGATGTACAGAATATCCTTTCATTGGCTAGTAACCACAAATTTCTCTCCAGGCCTATGAACTGTGAGTTATGTCAAGGATCGCTGACGCTGCAAAGGGATCGATCATACCATAAGCCATAAGCCGTAAGATCCCTCTTCGTATGCTTAGCGTGTATCCTGCCCTTTCTGATTCTTTTCTTCTTCCTTTCTTTTGGGTGGATCTCGGTAACGCTTCGACAATCTTTGCCGAAGATTCCCGCATCAGCCATTCCGGACATGTTCCGTTATACTGTACTTTCACAGATCCACTTGTGACCTCGGTCCGTATCAACTTTTTGAATTCTTGGACTCCTTTTGATACGGAGTCAGGTAATCAAGATTGGCGATATCGCGACATATCGCGGCTGTCGCTTGACCTCTCTGTTGTAGACAAAAGGGCGTGGCCCCGGCGGAGGCAAATTGAAGAAGGAGTGAAACATGAGAAAAGTGCGAATCGTAAAGTCGTCGTGGATTCGCATATGTATGTATATCAAGGTTCAGACGGCGATCAAGATGATAATCAGAAAGCAGTCTAGAGAACGTAAATGTAGGGAATAGATTGGACGAGCTGTCTCATCCCTAGAGCAGACCCGTCGACGCATGATGCGCAGTAGCGGACGCGCTACATGAGGTCCTTTCCGCGATTCTGGGGGCAGTCTTGCGGGAGATAGATCTTGACGGACCCATCAGGATAGGTCAAGCGGGCCGAAGCCTGGTCTATTCGCGTAGCCGTACAGGTAAAACGTTAGTGCTGGAGAACCTCGGAAACTGGGTAGAAGGCTCTTACAACCAGGAAGACCGTTGTTCCAATAGTGAAACCCCTCGCCCCAGTAGTATTCATAAGCTCCATCGCTATCAAAACCAGACACCCGCGCATCACCGGTCAGCGGATCGCGATGATCCCGTTCGGTTCTCCAGAGTTGCAACTCACCAACAACTCTTATAAACGGTCATGTTGTTCTTGCCTGTGGTTTCCTGCCCCGCGCTACCGTTCTCCCTGAGCTGTATGTAATCGCCTGCAAAGCCGACACCCTCGTGAGAAGCCGATCTGCGTGAACGTAGCGATCCCGTTATACTTACTATTTTCGTCTTTATATGCAGAGACAAATTTATGTTTCCGGGTTAATTCAATTCCCCCTGGACCGATGACCTTGACGACAGGAGGTTTGAAGGCGGCCGCAGGCTGACGTTTCTCGGCCTCGCGAATCGCAGCGGCGACGCTGGGGGATCGACCGGCGAAAAGCTCCTTGAAGCGCTGAAAGACTTTGAATGGAGATAGGGACATGATGATGTGAGAAGTATGGGTGATCTTGTCAAGTCTGGGTAAAGTATGGTAAAGTTTCTAGCTTCGCTGTTTACGACGAAAAGTATGTGATGAAGATAGTCTTATATACCCTTCTTGTTCAGGAAGAAGCTTCTCGATTGCGTTGCCATAATGCCTAGTGTCTATTGTCGTGCACTGCGAATCGTGATCCTGTCTGATTGTTGTTTTTCGGGTCGGAGTTAGGCTCAACAATAACAACGAGGAAAACAAACTACCGACGACGACGGCTGAAACGTTTGTTTGTTGGTAGCGCGCGTGATCGACGTGATTCAGATTGAAGAGCGAAAGGGATTGATGGCAAGGTGGATCGGATTGATGGGAAGAAAGCAATGGCCGATCATTTCGATTCGATGATCAAGGAATCGTGAAAAGTCGGATTCCGATCGCTTTGCCATGTTTCGACTTTGGACTTGAACATACCATCGATATCACGTATCACGCCACCGATACCTTATACACAACCATATACTTCGACATCCCCAAACGACACATATTCAGTTCGTCGGCTACTCTGCGGGCCCCCACCCGCTGGATCGGCGAGCAGCCCAACGATCATACCCAGTGGCTAGATGTCCACCGCTCGTCGAAAGAAGTATACCGTTTAGAGTACTCGTACAAGACTCGTACGAGGTGCCACTATACCTTACTCCTGTTCCTTGTTGGCGACATCATCGCTCAGCACAGTCCAGTCGCTACCTGTAAGTTATCCTGGTGACTTCTCTCATAAAGGGTAGCGATAGGCTGAAAATTGACGTTTACCCAGTCCAGCGTTCATTCGGGTGATCAACTACATCAGCGTCATCTACTCGATCTGAAACAAGCACACAGCCCATCGTACCTATACCAGAGTAACTAGATCTTCCCTCTCGATACCATTGAATCGCATACAGTTTAAGAAGGGCTCGACGATGGCGGAATCGATGTCGCTCGCCAAACCCACACCTCCCCTTCATACCTTTGAAGCGACCTCGTCCGATCTGGCGAAGAACGTGTCCCGACAACCTCCAAAGTCGGAACATGCTCTCCCCGGCAAACATGCCGGCAATCAGCTCGTCATGGCCAGTCATCGCCCCAACAAAGGGGTCATCCTGTCAGAGGACGAATCTTATTGTTCGGAGGAGACTGTAGAGAACGAACCTACGGACCCGGAGTGGAATGGAAGCTCTGATGGGGAGGATGACACGAGTGATGACGAGAAACAATCCCAAAGGATGATACAGTACGCGGGCATCAGAGATATGCAAGCTATCGCAAGCCTTTCTAACATCGACGTATGCACAGGCAGAGTATACAACCAGTCCGCAGATCTTCTCGCAGGAAACAGCCTCCAGAGAAACTCAGACTCACGAGAGGACAAGCGTCGAGAGATCATCAATACCAGAGCATCGTCAATGCCGCGGTCACATGCGCCAGGCATGTCAGCCAAATGACCTCTCTTCGAGATGGTCCTCCACCGAAAGCACCGATCATCATCGATTCCCCCATACAAAAGCAACCGAAGAACACGACGACAGCCAGACCTCTCAAAGAGAACGTTCTGGGAGTCCAATTGAACGCACCGTCTACGACCAATATCATTGGAAATGGATTGCCTCTGCCCCTTCCGACGCAGATGAAAGTCCATCGCCCGCAATGGCCGACATTCCAGTTTCTTGATCACATCCAACCTGGACTACCGGTCCCAGATTTGAACCGCTTCAATCCCGTCATTGCAGCAGGACGACCACCGAATCTCGCCGCCGCTGGAGATCGAGCTGCCATCCCGCGAGGCGAACCCTCCGGCCACATCGTTCGACCTCTCTTGCTTCCTCCTGTACCTCCTCTTACCAAGCTCGCCGTCTCGGGAGAGAAATATCATCCCGGCGAGGCCAACCTCCCTCCCTTTCGAAACGTCTTTACACCCTGGGATTTGCGACCCTATCCGAAATCGCCACCCACCGCTCCGTCCAAGTGGCGTCCCTTGCCCCTCGCCGATCAACCTCTACCACGTGGACGTCCCGGACCAAAGTTTGAACCATGGGCTACCCGAACTGAATTAGTCCCGCCCTTGTCCCTGCCGAGTCAGCTGGACAAGCCAATGTCCATCGATCTCGACCGTGAAACGCAGTCGTGGTCGATGTGCGGCGCGGAGGGCGGAAAAGGAAAGGGTCGGGCTGGGATCGATCAGAGTTGGAATCCGGAATGACGACCTGCATGAATCTGCTTGCTCGATGAGCCGCATTGCGCTCCACACATCGACAACCGTACGGAAGCGACGATCCACCAGACTTCGTATCTCTTTCGATGACCCGTTTGTAATCGCCTGGAATCTTCTCGAGCCCTGCGAACGCAGATGACGAAGCAGAGATACGCATGTGCATGTTCGCAGTCATGGTCCCTTATCGTAGGCGAGCCTGAAACGTTTCTCGTGACGGCGGGGTTAGAACTGGGATACCACGAGGGCGTGTATCGTGGCGGAACGGATGTCCTTCTGCCGGCGGCGCATACCGCTGCGGGTCTCTGAGGGGCGTGATCACGTTCCTGACGCGTTTCCAACCGAAAGGTGCTCGCGAACGACGGCGAAGGATATTTTGGGTTGCGATCTCGACCGCGATTGTGACTTGCACGACCTTTGTGTTGATCCGCTCCGCATCGAATGGCCCATAGGATGCCAGGATACTTATTATGGTCGGGCTCGATTCCCGACCGTTGAGCTTCCAAGGGCGTGGCCTTTGCCATCGATTTCTATCATCTCATCTACATTCTTCATCACCACCCACTCGCTCGACCCCTCAACCCTCCTATTCAACACATCACGATGGGTGCCAACGTTTCCGTCTCTCGCCTCAGCACGATCGGACCTGGGCAAGCGTTCAACACTCAGATCCCCCACGGCAAGCTATCGCGATCCGCCATCGCCGCGCTGGGCGAGTTGGGCTACGGTCAGACGGGGTACAATGACGAGCCCGCCGTCGTCAACTTTTTCGCGACCGCCTCGCAAGCTGAAGAATACCACAAGCGAGCCATCGAGCTGTTGAAGGAAAAGACGCCCAAGAAGTTGAGGGCCGAGTTCCCCATCGTCGTCAAGCCGTGTCGGGTCACTCGCATGATCCAACCTACGGCCATGTGATCATCGCCCGGAGCATTTCGCGTTTGATCGATCATCAAAATGGAAGGAGGGTCGTCGGTGGATCGAGATCCACTGATGATCGTTTCATCCCTTGATCGAACGCGATGACCGGCATCGGCAAAGGGAAAGGAAGGGCGGATAGAAGCAGATTGGAAGACGACACTTTACGCGATGGAAGCATCACAACAATATTACACATCAATACGACCAACTCACGACGACACAATGAACGACGAACAACAACAAATAGAGACAGAGCAAGGATGACATGCGGCGAAGACGAATCCCCTTATAATCAACATTACTACTATCAACACAACTCGATCGACCCTATCCCCTCTCATCCTTACCGATCCATGAAGCTACAGTTCAAAGCCCTCGCCTACCGCGCATACCCACTTCAAAGCAGATTCCACATCACCGACATCACCGATCACGGATGTCATCGATACTGTCGACGCCCAAGCTTGACCAGTCGGCCAATGGATTTGCTCGTTGCACCCCTTGCCCTGCCTCACCGCAAGCGGACTGCGATGGCTTCCAGTACCTGGACGCTCGGGCTTTTGCGGGGGAAGAATCGACTGCAGGCTCCGCGACGGACTGGAACCTGCAGTCATCTCTCCCTCGTGCATCGAGCCATCCACCTCGTACGCCTCCTCGACGTAGGATGAGTTGGGCTTTTCGTCGGAATCACGGCGATCCATTCTTCGGTGCAAAGGAGGCCAAGGCATCGCCTGTCGGGGCTCTTGGCGACGTGAGGACACCGCCGGCAACCAGTGGAGATATGGTACAGCCGGATTTGCCAACTATCACTGGGTCTGCTCCGGGTACGGAGCTCTCCGAACAACACCAATCTCCTCTCGCCAAACGCATAATCAAACGCATCCCACGCATCCTATTCCCCTCGTCACACCAGCGACCTCGTTCGACATCGAACGCACGGCATATGACGGAACTGCGCAACTACGAGTACGTCAGTTGTTGCGCTGGATGCTATGGGTCGTGAGTATCGGCTTGTTATCTGAGAAGGCACGCAGAATTGCACAAGTTGCTGACGTGCGTGTATGTTGGCGATTGACAGTGGGTTGATTTGTGACAAACGGGAAAAGGGCATGTGCTCGCAGTGTGAGCGAGAGGGCAAAACGTCGTGCAACTGGATCACCCTTGCCGAACAGAGGGAGAGGGATCGATGGTAGCAGCACGAATGATGAGGGCAGGATGACATGGACAATTACATATTTACGGCTACGCTTTATTGTATACTGGACATAGATGATGTTTCTGTTTATTGATCGAGGATCGCGAATCACTATCCACATCTGCGGACTATACATGCGAGCACAATGTATGCCGAAGGCAAGGCTGTGCAGCTTTCGGAGCGAGCAAAACCGACATTCGGGGCTCTAAGGTAAAAAATACAGCTTTCGGATCGTGCGAGGCGGTCGAAAGTTGTGGACTATGCCGTTGTGGGTTTGTCCAGTCTGATATCGTCTCTTGCATTTAGGACGGAGAGGTATACGGTCCACGCGATGCCTTTTCCAAGATTACAGTAGTGAGTTAGCTGCAGTGGTTCCATATCAATCTCAAGGCAGCTTACCGCATGTAGATTGGAACTGGGTAATGAAGAATAAGATGTGAGCTTGGAAAGCCTGTCAATGACCCAGTCCACGCTTACAGGAACTCGATAACTGAAAATGGATGGGTAGCAACATGAATCGGTAAGTCAATTGGACGATCGAACGTTGTCAAATGCGCGACGACTAAGTTTAGGCTTACGGAAGGGGCATCAACCTGAAGTTGACGGCTTGCACTAGCGGCCATACTTTCCAATTGGCAATCAAAGCAGCTGAAAGACGGGCAGACGAGGGTTCGAGCGATCTCATTCAAGCACTCTACTAACACTCGAGTCAGGGCACTCACGGGTATACATCTGTAGAGCCAGGGTCGTAAACGGCTACGTCAGCAAGACAATCTCGCTGGGATACGAAACGATCAAACTCACATCGCTGAACTTGTCCTTGACTCCGTTGGTATCACGGCCTTCCATGTAGCCCATGGCTGCAACGAAAAGCGCCAGCTGCGACAGAGACCAAGGGTTAGCAGTATCCATCATTGTCGATCCATGTCTTTCTCACTCACACCGAAGGGCGCTCTATTGGGTACGTCGATCATGGCGGTCAGCGAGCGGGATCTGGATAGAAATTTGACTGCCGATCGATGCCAATACTCACAGCACGAATTGATCCATGAACACCCTCTTTGCGGTCTGTACGCCCGTGCTACCTCCCGGGACCTTGAGAGGGATTTTCCTCTCGAGGAATTTCATCCACACTCCGACCAGAGGACCGATAGCCACCCCGAACGCAGCGAACCGCAATGTACGGTAAGGATCATATGTAGGTGCAGGAGGCTGGAACTCTAGTGTATCGGGATGAGGAACCGATGGCCGAGCGAGGAGGATCTGCGATGTTTGTGCCTGATTGTCGTGGTGGAAATATAAGAGCTCGGTGGTAAGGTGGGTATTGATATCAGCTCATGCAGCTACTGACAACTGCGTCTCCGATACTATTAAGCGCTCCGTTGGTGATCATCAAAGTGGGGACCGGCCTCCTCTCGAAGTTGCTAAGATCATCGCGAGCTTATCAGCTGGTTGGCTCGATCGTGGTTGTAACACTCTCCAGTCTCTCACGAGGTGTAAACCTTGGCGAAAGCGCCAATCAGACCTGGAACGGGCATAGCGGACGATCTGTTTGCCTTGCTGTGCCAGGATGCAGGTCGATAGCAGAAGAAGCGAATAAAGTCGATTGTTCAAAGCTGAATGGTCAAATTCAAATCTCGAGATTCGTAAGGAAGCGACGTCTCCAAGATCGGCCATCGGCGACGCGAAAATCGAGAAAAGACGTCATCATCAGAGGGTCGGCGACTTGTGAAACGACGATGTGATCACAATCGAAACATGACCAAAATCTATTGGTATCAACCAAGTCTTTACAAAAATCAATCCTCGTCGTCCGTCTCGTACTCGCTGTCATCGGCGTCTCGACTGGCGGACCTGTCCACCTCGACGATAAGAGATCCGCCGCCCTGCATGATGATATCCCAAGATCCGCTTCGAAGGTCGACTTCTTTGCGCGGATAGCTTGTAAAGAGTTTGACTGGGGTATGAGAGACTGATTCACCGCCGTTGGTGTCGGCGGATGCGTATGGATCGACGAAGCCTGATGGAGCTATGGTGGGATCCTCGTCGGGCGATTTGTCGGTGGCCAAGAGCAGGCTCTCCGCCCATCTGAAGATGTCGGCCAAGCTCTCGTCGTCCTTTCTGAACACCTTGATGTTCCGCGCAGGTCCGTTGCCTTGCGGCAGTCTGAGCTGTATGCGCACGGCGAGACCCGCCTTGACGTCTTCGGCCGGCACTTCGACCATCTCTCGGAATCGTCGCCGTTGATACCGCCTCCATAGCAGCAAGTCGTCCTTCAACTTCTTCTCCAGAGCCTCTTTGTTCTGCCGTTCCCGTTCAGCCTTCTGTTTCCGTTCCGTCTCTTCCCTCTCCAGGCGTTCTCGCTCTTCCCTTTCCCGTCGCGATGCCATGATACGCTCGCTGTCTCGACGAGCCGACTCGGCGGCTCTCCGATCCTGGTCCTCACGCATCCTGCGAGACTCTTCGAGAGCCCTCCTCTCCCGTTTGACACGAGCGAGAAAAGGTTGACTTCGAGGGATCAGGGTCGAATCGAGCAAGTGCAAGATCGAGGGCAACGACGTCGTGGTTGCAGGCGAGCCCGCGATGGTGGTCAAGATGGTAAGTCGGGCGTTGGAGACCGAGGCGGAGGTCGTCGAACCGGTCGCAGGCGGGAGGAGCGAGAAGAAGGTAAGAGAGGGGTACGTGGTGATCTGCAAGGTCTGGGCGACTGTGTAGCGCAAAATGCAAAATGGACGGTGGTCAGCGCCAGTGTTCGCAAAGAAAGATGACTCGAGCCTCACCTTGATATGCCTCGCGATCGCGAACGTCTCCCGCCCAGACCGCGATATTCTTTTCGCGAAAGACTCGTCCCAGCTCCTCGTTCAGCAAGACCTCCCGCTTGAACGCCTCGTCGTCCTCGTGTTCAGCGCAACAGAGGATGACCACGCCGAGCTTGGGATCGGCTCTGATGCCTCGAAGGAACTCCTTGTAGGGGCCTCGGTAAAAGTCCGGCAGTTGATCGAGGTCGACTGGGGATGGAGTGTAATCTTCCCGTAGGGACTGGACAAAGGGCTTGTTCCGAGCCGATGGATTCGGGAGGATTCGACCTTGCGAGGAAGGAGGTACCAAGAGTCGAGGTAATATGCTCAGAATAGAGTTTGGAACGATGGTCCTCGCTGTGCAAAGGGGAGCATCAAGGCTTTCAGTAAGCAAGCGAACAATCAAGGAGACTGCCATCATCTAATGCTTACCTAACATGTACCAGAACCCGATCAGGATCCGCAATACGAAGCGGACGGGCAGAAAGAGACCGTAGACCGTTCCCAGACCGAGTCTTGCGACGATCGGGGTGCTTTGGTTTCGGCTGCTAGGAGGAGAGGGCGGATATGATGACCCTGACGAAGCCGTCCGTCGAGGGGATGCAGGTCTGGCAGGCGATGCTTGGCGACGGTGAGGTGTCGAAGAGGAAGCCGAATAGTGCAGATTTATAGCTCGCTGGCGAAGAAACATAATAGAGCAGAGTAATTCGTCAGCTAGCGTCGATGATTCGGGCGCGAAATGCGACCCCTCACCTCGATGTTCCAGTCGGAGGCCCGAAGGAGCTCTTCACAGCTTGTCCTCCCGATCTCGCCATCGGCAGCCGTGATGGCGACCATCTGGTCGAGGACCTCGGCTCTCTTGGCGGCAGAGTCCATGGTGTAGAATGAGTCTGAAATGCTGAACCGTGCAGACTCGATGGTGATAGGAGTGGTAGATTGTGACTTGCATAACTTGTGACTTGTGCGACGTAGATGATCGCTCATCGGCCATGTGCGGCGTGTCATAAGCGGACATTTGGCTGATTTGACATGTCCGCTATCCTAGTAGAACGGCCAAACAGCTCATCAAACGGTTTGACCGAGATGTAAGACCGTCTTACAGGTGCTACAACCGTTTTACACAAGTTACAACCGTTTTACGCATGTTACAATGCGGTATGACCGTTCTCACATGCCTATCGCCCGAAATCTGGGTAGCATCGAATACTTTGTATGAAAAAGTAGACCTCCGACAAGGATGATTATTGCTGGTCGGACAAAATTGGGCAATTGCCTATCGAGCTATTGACCCGGTTGACAACATTAACAAACGGTGTAATAACAAAAACGGGTTTGAGCGTCTGAATCTCGAGAAACATCGTTCGACATGCGTAAAAACGGTTTTTATGAGAAAAAAAACGGTTTTACAATCTGTGGAACCGTCTTACAACCTGTTCGACCGTCCTACCGGTTATTCGGGGACTAGCCGTTTCCCTCGGAAGCATTCGTCATCACTCGATTGATTGATCATCATCAGGGCCCGATCGTCAGTTCTAGCTAGCTAAAAGATAGATGGTTGCGGAAGCGAATTTGCAATGGTATAGCCCATCGGACCAGCCATCTCACAAAATCTACCGGAATTCACCGAAATCCCCGACAATCTGGGGTGATCTCGAGTTCTATCCTGCTACTATGCCGTAAAACTATCTGCAACAATCTGTGCTAGCAAATATTCTAGCCCCTATCGAGCCGCTTTTTTGACGCACGTGGCGGAGAGCGGTCGACGGTCGACTGCAGACTGCCGAATTCTGCAGAATTCGGCACCGACCTGATCAACTCCAGATACTATGTTGTATGTTGTACTACTGTCTATGATCGCTATGCCGAATTTGAATCGTTGAGCGGATCATCAACCATGTCTGAATACCATCACCATCCCCATCAGCAGCAGCAGCAGCAACAGCAACAACATGTGCAACGGGATTGGAGTCAGCACGAGAGGGAGTACTACGCCTCTCTGTCTGATCTGAGGACGTTTCAGCAACCTCTCCCTCATCCGAATCATCACCACGGCCAGTATCCGTACCCTTCACCAATCGGCGAAGGTCCTCGAGGTTACCTCGCAGGCCCTGCAGGCACCTTGGTGGCTCCAAGCACCCAAGGACACCCGCAGACTGCCGAATTCGGCGGAACTCGGGACATGAGTCCATTGGACTCTCCCCTCTTGACTTCGATCAACGCTTTACCTAGCCTGCCCGCCGCTCCTGCTATCCCTCCGGCCCAGGCTGCAACTCCTACCTCTGCTCCTGGCAACCCTCCTGCCAACCAGAACGTTCGCTGGTATGAGTGGATGGAGGATCTCCTTGCCGACCTCCTTGTTGCGGAGGTGAAGGTCACACGCAACAAGGTCACCATGGGCATGCCCGTATTCTCCAAGATTGCCAACCTGATCAATGAAGCGATGGACGCTCGAACCGACCCCACGCCCAATGGGAGATTGGATGGTATCAAAGTTAAGAACAAGACAGGAATCTTGACGGCAGAATTCTACAAGCCTCTCGAGCGGATGAGGAAGAGGTCGGGCTGGGGTTGGGATCACCAGCTGCATCGTCCCCTTGTTGATGACGAGGCGTTCGAAGACTACGTCAAGCACTGGGTGAGCTGAAGATTGCAGCCGAATTCTGCAGAATTCGGCAACACAAGCTGATCCCGTTCAAACATCGTCACACAGGTCGGGACCCCAACCGTGTCTCAAATCAGACGTCTGCGAGACAATGGATGGCGGCTCTACCCCAAGTGGAAGATCATCCGTGAAGGTCATGGAGCTACGGGTGATTTTGCCTTCCGGGGTGGAGCTCCGATCCCTTCCCAACCCGAACCTCCTGCCGGAGAGGCGGAAGAGTCGGCCAGCGAAGGTGAAGCGAACAGTCAGCCGCAGGGTACTCCCCAATGTCCCCACAGCAGCAGGAGCCGGGGCAGGGGTGGATCGTCTTCCGCTGGATCAATTGCTTCGATGAGCAATCGCCGACGCGATGAGGATCAGCCCGACTTTGCTTCCCTTGGCAAGACGTTTGTTGAACAGCTGGCATCAGTCACTCAGCAAGCAACTTCGCAGATCTTGACTCGTGGTTCCGCTTTGCTCAAGGAGGATATCGCAGCCATGGAAATCAGCGTGGTCGACGCTCGGAAACTTCGCCTCCGTCTCGCCAAAGACCGTACGCTGGCCGAGTCTTATGCCCATCAATCCGAAGAAGACCGCCGGGAGTTGCTACAAGCAGTCTTGGAAGATCTACAGGGCTGAGTTTTTGTGTTTGTAATTAACCACAGTGCTCCCGAATTCTGCCGAATTCGGTGTATCAATGAAACGTCTGTCAAATGAGAGCTAGGAGCTAGACACTTGCGAATGTGCTCACCTACGAATTCTGCCCAATTCGGCAGCCCTCTTGCACTCATTCCGGTTGGGTGGCAGGAATGACCTCCCATCGAGCGAAGTTGTCATCCGCAATCTTTTCTCGCAGTGCAACCATAGGATCACTGCGAGCATCTGGATCGTTCCTTTCCCTCCGGGCAACGGGTTCGTCTGGATCCAACCCTACCCCAGAGAGAAGATCCTGATCGTCTGGTACTGGCTCGCAGTCGTCTTTGTTGTCAGACATGAAGTTCTGCAGTGCGCAAAGTGCATAGATGACTTGCACTTGCTTAGCCGGGGCATAGTACGTTCCGGCTCGCAATGCCTTGAACCTCGCTTTCATGATACCCCAAACCTGTTCAATGGGCATGCGGAGACTGGAATGTTGGTGATTGTACACCTCCTCCCTAGTCGCTGGCTGTCGTCTGGATCGCTTCCATGCGGCAAGGTGGTATGCTGTCCCATTGTAGGGCGTGAGTACCTGGCATCGAAGAGTGAATCCTGCATCTCCGAGTAGATAATACCCTTGCGGAATTGGAATGTCTTCGTGGCGAAGACAATCGTACCAGATGCTGATATCCGGCTCAGGACCTTCCCAGCCAGCGTTCACGTAACAAAGCCGACGATCTAAATCGCATATACCGAGGACGTTCCATGAGAGACCACCTTTGCGATCTCGGAAATTACCCTCTCTATGGCTTGGAGGATGCGCAGTGATGAGGGTGCCATCGATAGCGCCGCAAGCCTGTTGAAATGCCCCGAGCTTCCTGCTCCGGGCGAATTTGCGATGAGGCAATTGGTTTGGACGAGGAAAGCGCACCATCTCGCTGTAGAATGGGTCGGTGGCGAGGGCAGTCACCGTGACATCAACAGCTCTATTAATGAAATGATCAGCCGAATTCGGCCGAATTCGGTTACGACCCTCATCTCGGCTCACCTGAAAGATTGAGAACACATGATGCACATTCAGCCGAACTCGACCGAATTCGTACAAATTTACTCAACTCACTCACCTGGACACCGCTGCCAAGCTTCTGTTGAACTCTAAGCCTGTCTGCCGGTGACCTGTGCCATGCCTCAATGCATGCAGAGCGATGGCCAACGTTTCTTGCGAGCCCACGCGTTGTGTCGCCAACGACCTCCCAGCTGTTCCAAGTTTGCTCGCGAGCAGTCGCATGGCAGAAGGACTCATGCCAAACGCATTCATGCATCGTGCTCGGTTATTAAGAGCCTCCATCAATCTCATTTGTCCAGAGAACCTGGATGTGGAGTAGGCCAGCCGTGTTCGTGAAGGGTTTTGTTTCTGGTTTCGTTGCTGTCGATTGCACAGCAACACGAGGCTGATAAATTGGACAACAAAGTCCCTATCTCTACTCGAGTTATCTGACATGTTGCAGGGTGACCTTGTGCCGAAGTCTGCAGAATTCGGCTGAGCACAACAACGCATGTATCGACGATCGACGACAACCACGATATGCTTGTCGTCAAATCGCAGATGGAAATTGAGATGACGTCAAGGACCTATTTGCCTCCGTATTTGCACCCGACGCGCGTTTGAGCGACCGTTTCATCCCTTGATCGTCGCTGCTTGACGACGCTGTTGCCATCAATATCACCAAAGGACCTCTTCAGTTCCAACGCAGAAAACGCAGAGACTTCGAGAAGAGGGTCCTTTGGATTGTTCCTGTTCATCAAACAACAACAACAGCCACGTCGACGCGTATGACTCCATCAAAACAAAGAAAAAAACACGTCGCGTCTGCTCAGCCAGTGAGGAAGGTATATACACACGATCAATTCACATCCCCCCTTCCCCCCCCCTCATCGTCCTTTTCTCTTTTCCTCTCTTCACTCTCAACTCTATCTCTCCGACTCTATCTCTCTTCCCAACTTTACTTAATCCTCGTCTTGATAACAACATGGCCCCTGAACGTCCCGCCAAATCCTCCTCCTCTAAACGCACCAACCCCGCCAACCCCGCCAATCGTACTTCTCGGAACGCCCTTGGGCGATTCGTGTCTCGTCCCGGAGCTGGAGCTCCCGCTGGCGCTCAGGAGGAGTGGGATAGGATGCAGAGGGGGGAAGGGGGTCGTCAGTCGACTCTTCCAAACCTGAGAGTGAGTACGATGCGATCGTGATCCTTCTTCCTTTCACCGTCGGTTGTTCCCCTCTTGTCTTTCGTTCTTTGTCGAGTAAACGACTGACTCTCCCGAATTCTACCGAATTCGGTAGTTTGCTCAGACCGAAGAGGAAGAAGAACGGGACGTCCAGAAGGCCATCGGCAAGTCTCTCAAGATGGCTAAGTTTGAAAAGATCCTTACCAAGGAGCGACTTGCAGCGGAAACTCGCCTCGCCCAAGAGCAAGCCGAACGGGACGCCGTCAACCAAGGAGCTCGCATCTCCCCCATCCCCGACGACAACCAAGGAGCTCGTATCTCTCCCATCCCCGATGACGACGACGTGATCGTCAAGACCGAGAAGATTGATGAGCCTGTAAGTTGGGGTGTTTGCTAGCTTCAAAGTCGGAATCGAAGGCTTACCGAATTCTGCAAACTTCGGCAGATCCCTCCAAAGAACAAACGCAAGGACAAGGCCAAGGCGAAGCAGGCGGAGGTCATCGAGGTGAGTTATTCCTGTTAGAGAGTGATCGGTTTGCGCTTACGAATTCTGCAAACTTCGTCAGCTTTCCTCGACCGAGGAGCCGGAGGCCAACGCCAAGGCGAAGGCCAAGGCCGAGAAGAAGAGGAGGAGGAAGGCCGAGAAGATGGCGCGGGAGGTGAAGAAGGAGGTGGAGGAGCTTGTCCCTGTGAGTTATCCATCTTTCGCTCCATTTCAGCTTGAACATGATACTAATTCCTTCCTTCCCTATGCGTTTAGAGCGACGACGACGTCAAGGCCCTCGTCGCCGACTTCCCGTCTAAAAACCTCGAGGATGCCTGGATCATTGACGGGAAGAACCCCGTCAAGGTTTGTGTAAGTCTGTGCTCTCTCTTTTACACATCCTCATCGTGGTACTAACTTCATTCGCAAACGATAGATCTTTACGAAAGGTTACGACTGGGTAGGAGCTCTTGCGAGACTCGAAGAGGCTGCCCAGATGTCGAACGAAAAGGAGAAGAACGCCATGGCCAAGAGTATCGGCTTGATGGGACCTCGTTCGTCCCCCGACATGACTGCGGCCCGACGAAATTTCTGGCTCGCCCGAGGGATCGACTTCGATAAGACCTTCAACGCTCAAACGGGCTACGACGTCGGCGTCTATACCGGAGAGGTGAGTTGGCGCTTACCGAATTCAGCCGAATTCGGCAGAGTCCTGCGTCTTTTGCACTGATCACTGACACCGGTACGATTGCTTCTCTCTTCAGGAACGAAGCATTCGAACCGCGAAGGAGGGGGGCAAAGCAGTTGTCGAGTTCGAACACATCATGTGCACCCCCTGCGCCAGGAAGAAGAAGGATGACCCGGAGCAGCGATGCTTCGCCACAAGGCCCTTCACCGCCTGCACCGCCTGCGCTGATCGCGGCAAGGCTTGCGACTTCAAGGAGATGCAGCGCGCCTTCGTCAACCAGCACGTCATCGGTGCTGCGAAGACCTTGCAAACTATCGGCAAGAAGATTCGCAAGAAGGTCAAGGGCAAGAAGGGGTTGACGATTGCTATCGACATGATGGCGGTGAGTTTTTCTCTGATTCAAACCAGTGATTCCGCGATCCGTGACTGACCGAATTCGGAAAAATTCGTACAGGCTGTCACCGACATTCTCAAGGCCTCCGACGTCGGTATCCCCGGTCTCCACGACTCGCTGAACCGTTACTTCGAGATTCAGTCAGCCAAGATCGACGCAACCTCCAAGAGCGGCAAATCGATGATCGGGCTGTTGAATGAGAGTCGAGGCGAGCAGGTTGCCCGAGAAGTCGAGCAGGGCATGAAGGCTCCCCGCCGCAAAGACGTCGAAACCCAGGCCGTCCTCGACGCGGCCTTCGACAACTTGCCCAGCACCCCTCAGAAGCGCAAGGCCATCGCTGCTCCCGACCAGCGAGCGACCGTCGAGGACTACGATGACGACATGGACATCGACGAGCCGGTCGCCTCGGGATCGGGATCGGGTAAGAAGAAGGCGATCAAGGCCGCGCCCCCCAAGGAAGAGACCTCCGACTCGGACTCGTCGGACTCTTCGTCTTCTTCGGAAGACGAGAGCTCCAGCGACTCCGACTAAGTTGCCTCTTGGTAGACCCCCGCTCAATGCATAGGGTCCCTTACTACCTGATTTCTCTCGCGAAGTCTCTGTTCAGGTAGGGGTTTTTATAGATTAAGACTTCGCCCGTTATTATACGGTAAATATGTGATAGAGGTTTGTAATTACGAGGCTGGTTTCTTTTCTTATGCCATGCCATGCTACGAGCGACTACGAGTGATCGCCGAATTCGGTGAACTTCGGCTGATGTCTTTGTCAAAGAGTTCTGATTCACCCGTTCCCCGAATTCTGCAGAATTCGGCAAGACCTTTGCTATGGAGATGAAACACACATCGTCTGAGATATCACGTGATGACGTGGCTGCTATTTGTATCCGCGCGGAGGCAAACAATGCAAACAGATAGAACTCGCGATCACCCACGGCAAACTATCCGACCTCGCTAGCGCGCTATCTGCGCGCAGATACTCGTGAGAAAATAATTATAATCTAGATAGAACTCGCGACCGGGCCCTCACTTCGGCTAGAAATGTGATCAAATTTACACGTGTACATCGTCCATCGTCCATCCATATATGCCATATACCCCTATACACTTGATATCTTCCCGTCCACACCTCGAAATATCAGAGAAACACCTACCACAACCCCAATCAAATCATTGACCACCATCATGCCCCCCATCTCGAACCCCAGCATCATCTTCAACGAATTGCCCAAGGGCGAACCCACCTTGGAGACCCTCAAGATCGACGAGTCTGCTCAGATCGATCTCGAGGAAGAGCTCAAGGAAAATGAGATCATCCTCAAACTCGTATGCGTCTCGCTCGACCCGTACATGCGAGGGCGAATGCGAGAGGAGCACATCAAGTCTTACAGCCCCGCGTTCCCTTTGAACAAGCCGTGAGTCGGCGTGCTAAATTCGAATGTCACATAAACTGGGCAAGTGCTTATTCGGCTCGTCTGCACTACAGTATCGGCGGACACGGAGTTGCCAAGGTCATCAAGAGCAAGTCTAGCCGATACGAGGAGGGAGTCCACATCTACGGCGTCTTGCGTGAGTCTGACGAGCTACGTGGCGACAAGCTGGAGAATCGTGTCGCTGACAACGCATACGCGCCTACCGTAGCCTACACCACCTACATCCGCCGAATGGCTCCTACCGAACAGGAGGATGCGCAGAACGCCAAGTTCTTCGGAGGACCCGCCCTCAAGATCCTCAAGAACGAGGAAAACTTGTCGTGGAGCACCTACATCGGTGCCGCGGGGATGCCGGGAAAGACGGCGTACATGGCCTGGAAGGAGTACTCTCCCGTTCAAGGGCACATTGGCCAAGCAAAGGTCGCCTACATCTCTGCGGGTTCGGGTCCCGTAGGATCGCTCGCCATTCAGATGGCTAAAAAAGACGGATACAAGGTCATCGCGTCGGCAGGGAGCGACAAGAAGATTCAGTTCTGCAAGGATATTGGAGCTGATGTGGTCTTCAACTGTGAGCGTCGTTGCCCTTATGCACCCCCTCCTTCATATCGCCGATAAGCTCATCCCGACCTCCTTGCGACGATACAGACAAGACCGACAACCCGGACGAGATTTTCGCCAAGGAAGCGCCCGAAGGCATCGACGTCAACTGGGTCAACGTTGGAGGCAAGGCTTTCGAGACCGAGCTCGCTCACTCGGCGTCTCACGGCCGAGTCATCGTTTGCGGTTGGATCTCTGCCTACAACGGCAAGTCTGACGGGATCACCAACCTGTTCCAGATCGTTGCCAAGCGTTTGCAGTGAGTGTCTTCGGTATACGACATCTCGTCTTCCGGTCGGCATCGGAACTGACACCCATTGTTTGCTACATCTGCCCAGCGTCAACGGTTTCATCGTCGGAGATCTCGAGCCCAAGTATGGCAGCGAATTCTACTCGACGGTGCCGAAGGCTTTGGCCAGCGGGGAAGTCAAGTTCTCCGAGGTCAAGTACGACGGGCTGGACAAGATCCCGCAAGCCTTTATCGACCTGCTTGCTGGCAAGCAGGGAGGCGGCGATGGGCTGGGTAAGGTAGTCATCGAGATCAAGTAGATGGGTTGCGATACGAAACGAGGCCAAGTTTTGTATGGGGATCCACGAACCAATGAATAGATATCAAGCCGCATGATAGACTTTGTAAATTGTCAAGGGACAATCCTTTTACAAGGGTTCTCCTCCCAATCTCTGACCGCTCCTGCCCCAGTTGTGCGATGTAGTCCTCCCCTCGCTGGTAGCAGATGTCCTCCCGCCAGCCGTGCTGCCTCGCCCACGAGCCGCCTCGAAGCCCCGCCCGTAGATGCGGTCCGTCTGGCCACTCGGGAAAAGGTTGAGGAACCGACGCGGAGCCTGAAGAGGGTTGCGTCGTTTGATCTTGGCCGATGGATGTGTAGGCAAGTAGGTCGAGAGGAACCACCTGGAAAGAGCGGTCCATCAGTTGATGCGCTTCGAGAGCGCGATGCTGCTTCGATTTCCTTACCATGTGTGACCAGCTAGCATGCCGACGAGTCCGGCAATACCCTTGGGTGGACCGCCCAAGATCAAGTCAAGCACGATCATAGCTATGGGGTAATCTGCATTCATATCGACGTGTCAGCGTTTCGTCTCGCTTGACTGTGAACGGCTGCATCTCACATGGCACGGGGATATTGAGCAAGCCGAATAGGCTGATGCTCATCGTTGGATTGGCACGACACCAGAGGTAGTTCTGAGCATGTAGTAGAGGTCTAAACAAGAAGGGTATGTTGAAAGGGATGTTGAAGACCTGCCCAATGATGATTGCCGCAGCAGAAGTCCATCAGCCAGGCAACTACCCAAACACACGCTGCAAATACTTCGTACCAAGATGATACAGGCTACCATGAGATTGGCCCATGCATACTCTCCTGTCCTGTTCAAACTGGCGTAGCGTTTTGGATTCCCGGTCAGACTCATTCCTCATTCCATCACGGTCGGGCTGACTCACAAGGTTTCTTTCTCCAGACTGCTACCGTTGCGGTAGATTAAGAAAAAGTCATAGAGCGCCGGAAAGCCACCTCCCACAAAGAAGAACGAAGACCAGAGCCTCCAAACCTCCCATTCTTGGCGGATATGTGGCCAAGATAGATAGATCTGGAAGATGCGAACGGCCTGCTCAGCCATCCACGTAGTAATCTCTTCTCAAACCGACAGGCTGAACTGACAGATCCAGGTGAAAGCTGCTGTAGCAAGACGGGCCTTTAGAATAAAATGATTCCTCCATTTAGCTTTCACCGACACACCGACGGATGGCGGACAGACGATAGACTGACCCTGTGAACAAGACTATCGAGATCAGGAAGAAGCGTGTCACCGGAGGGACATTGTGGATCAGACCTTGAAGATCAGCCATGGCGATTTGCTGCCTTCGAGGATATCCCAGGATGGTCTAGAAGGACTATATAAGGATACGCTTGCACTATATGGCAGGTGATGAAATCAGACGATCAATATCAGATGTTGCAAGATGAATATCATCGCAATATGGAGAACAGGTGCACACGCCCGCTCATGACGAATCCCACGTCGAGCCGAGCAGGGCGTGTCTTACCGAATCACTTGCGGGGAGATTAACAAGCTCCGGGTTGACTGAACAGAGCTTCACTTTGCACAATGCTCTATCGCCTGCTGGGGTTTTCCTACAAATCTGCTCTTCGACATACAGAGGCACTGCTCATTATTTGCACAAAAGCGGGATAGTTATCGCTGTCATGACCGTTGTGGATACTGTAGGCAAGGCTCGAAGGTCCAAGTGTCCAAAAGGAAATCCGTCCTCACGCTCGGCCCAACGTGCGAAAATTCGTCCAGATATCAAGAGTCAGGGATTTACGAGCCCTTTTAGTCTCGCTTGACCTATCCTCCATACATCTCCCACCGCGCGATCCAGCTCGTCCGTCCATGCTGCGCTGTATCGAGGCCTGACCTTGCTCGTAACAGCCTCGCTATCGAGAGCGGGCCGCTCTATATCGCCGTTCTCAAGGGCCAAAGGTGTTCTTGCATGCTCAAGGCCGAGGCGCTCTTCGATCTCGGTCACGATAGCGCTCCGGGGACGACCCGCGACAAAGGTGATGTAGGGCAACGAAGGGTATATGGCCGTGTATACTTTGTTCAGATGCGCCAGCCTTATGAAAAGAGACGATAAGCTCCGCTTCAGCATCCTACAACCATTTTGGTACGCGATATTGAACTCGCAGGCTCACCTTCGTAGAACGGGTTCAGGTGTGGGCTTGAGATTACCCTGCTCCTTGCTACTGAGTGCGCTCAAGCCTTGCACTTCGCCGATCAGCGGATGTCCTCCGATCAGGTTTTGTCGGTCCTCCATAGGCCACGTGGTGACCTCGACCTGACAAGCATCCAGGATCTGACTATAGCTCGATAGTGCCGACGCTTGCAATTTTGAGTGCACATTTGGAACCAGTTTCCTTGAGAGGATTTCTGATGGCTCAAGGAGGAGGACGAGGAAACGGTGGAGCTCGGTTTGATCCTGTTGCAGCGATTGCAGGCTTGGCAAGGACATGGTCGCAGATAAAGAGATTAGGTTGTGGCAGGTCTATGAGGATGAGGGGTCCTGCATTTGACTGGGGCACCCGTGTTATATGGGAAAGCAGAGCGTACATCGCACATCATCATCCTACATCCGGAAGCAAAAGACGTGTCGCAAAGCCCGATGTTGTCGGAAAGATTGGGTCGGACCGTCCCATCTACTCCCGTTGGAATAGCCGCAAGATGAGATAATAGGTCGCACCGATAAAGCGGAATGCTATCGTTCGGGAAAGGCAGCCGTTGGTAAGTCGCTGTTGCAACAGAAAATTCTTCGACAGAACTTACCGGCCAAGCCCGCCACCGAGTAGAGCAAGAAACCCATGTAGGTCTGAGAGGTTGGGCTGCCCGCAGTACTCGTCGTGCTGGATCAAGACGAGCCCCAGTCAACGGATTGGGTATATTTCGGGACTGCACGAGAATGCTTACAGAATCCCTGCACATAACGCTCCATTTGAAAGTACCCATGCCATCAAGACGTTGGTTCTAAAAGTCTTATAGTAATCTTCTTGCTTCTGCGTCTTGGATCTGGTAGGCTTGACAACCGGGATAGGCTCCGCGAGAAGCTTCAACTCGTCCGCATAGAGTGCGTTAATGTCCTTCTCTTCTGTCGGTACAGCCAAGATGACTTCGTCTTTCTTGGCGCCTTTCCCGCTGGCTGCAGCTCCCAAATCCATCGATACCGTGTCGGAACCCTTAGTTCCCCAACTGACGTCGTGAACGTTACTGAAGGCGTAAACGCTGCAGGAAACGATAACGTTTTTAGGCTCAACCGGACTAGGCTTCAGGACCGCTCATACTCACTTCAGAACGTTGATATAGGAAGGAGCCAACTATGATATTGGAGAATCAGCGGACTGAGACCATAGATTTGGGAGGATCGTTTGGACTTACGAAAAGATATTGCAAGAATGAGGTGACTTTGCGAGACACACAAGTTTAGCCGATCTTGCTATACTGGCCGAGCCAACGGATAGACTCACCCATATGCCAGGGATCGAACGCTAGAAGAGACGACACGACATATAGTCCGTATGTCACCGCTAGAGACAGCACGATATTCCGGAACACTTTATTGTCCAGAATCTCTTGCGCATCGATCGCACCATCAGCTTGTATCGATTGGATCCCTTTGACGGCCAGCCAAACTGCAATGCTCGGTGATTAGTACGCAAAATCTGCTCCCAGCGTTCGGTCCGTGGCTCACTAGCAGCAAATATCATATATCCAGTAATGACTGCAAAGCCGACCATGGCCATGGTGTATGCCACCTTGGAACTGTAACGACACATGAATGAGCTGGGATCGGTAATCTTGACATAAGTCCACTTACCCGGCCGGCCGGTTGCCCATGGACATCAAGAAACACATTATGAGGAGTGCAAGGTAGATATAATTGAGCGGATACCGAATATACTTGAAGAAGCTGCCATAAGCGTCCAGCGATTGGGCCAGCACAAACTGTCGAGCGCAAAAGGTCAATGCCGCTCTCATGCTGGTGGTAGTCGTCTCTTGGTGCAACTTACGAACGCAATGTAATAATTGCCCTGCGAAAAACAATGATATGAGCACGAGCGTGAGTGTCAACGCCTCTACCGGCTTACAATGGAGAACCAAGCGAAAATGATGTTGAAAGTTTCTAGTCGATCGTAAAAGCCGCGTTTTAGTGCATGAAGGGGGACATTACGTGAAGCTAACTCACGGTAAAGCAACTCGATATGCAGGAAGAGCTTGCGCCCGAAGGAATGACTGCCAGATATGCTTTGAGACATTCGGTTCTCACTTGTAGATAACGGCACCAACTTACGAGGATCGATAAATATAACCGAAGTGCACTATCGAGTGTATGGCAGCGAAGAATGAACCGTTGAGCCACCGTCTCCGCTGGGCCACCAGCTCTGGGACCTGGAAACAGGATCTAAGGATAAGCCGACGTGGTCTAAACTACCGGTGATTTTGGCCGACTTACGCCATCAGGAACATCGGTGATTGCACTAGCCGATTTCACGTAGTGCAGAATCCAATTGCTGTTACGCTTGGAAACGAGTTCCCAACAGAGAATCCGATCTGCAATGTCAGCAATGGTCAGCGACAGTGGCGCGGTAAAAGGCTTGCCGACAAGCGACCAAGGTGAGCCATACCTTCAGCTAGGTACATGTTAGCCGTGCTGCTCGGAGTTGAATTCAATGAGCTCGATCATTGGTCGCAAGAGTTCTTCATCGATACGAGACTCACAAGATCCCTGCATCCGCTCCATGCATAGTCTCGCCCAGGAAATACTGTTTCAGGGGGCCGTTGCCGGAGATGTCATTCTCGAGAGCCTTGTACCGGTAGGCCGAGAAAGCACCGGGACTTCAAGAACAACCAGGATTAGAGGTGCGCGGCGATTTGTTATGCCAGTCCATACCCACAGTACCGTGATATATCTGCATAACGCCGACGTGCGATGCAGTTAGTTCATACCCGCTAGAGTGAGGTCATTGAATGCTCACCCAAAGGCCGACTCCAGTGGTTTGTCCAAGATGTTGCTCAGTTTGTACTCGACTATCAGGCAGAACGAGTTAGAATGCGAAGGACACGGATCGCCCTTCTTACGTACAGTTTTGAGCAGCAACCAAAGGATTCAGGAGGTTCTTCCAGTATTTGCCTTTCAACGCGACAATCTCCCCGCAAGCCCCCCCGCAATTCGGTTTGAGATCAAAAGTCTTCCACAGATGATAAATGGAGGTAGGAGCTGGATCTGTTCCAACATCGAGCAGCACACAGACACTACAGGTTCAGGAGCTCATGTCAGCTCTACGTCGGTGAGGCACATATAAGAAAACAGCGCTCACTTTGGCTGTAGAATCGGACCGAATGCACTGATCATGTCATCATCAGCAACACGATATGCGGTGAGTGCGTGAGATTAGCTAGCGGACGTACTTGAAGAACCATCGGTGACTGTTGATCTTCTTTGCGTTGTTTTCCTTTTCGAGCAAACAGCCTTTGAGTGACATATGCCGAAGCGAAGGCGGGAAAGCTTCGTACCTTTACACAGAGAATCATCTGCACCGGTGCCCATTTCTTGCCTGGCACTACTTGGTATTTGGAGTTGATGTAGACTGTACAAGGCGGAAGCTCAGCAAAGCCCTCACTCAGGCGGGACCCTTGGGATGAATAGCCTACGTTGCGTTGTGTATTCATACACATGTGCAGTCTGGAATGACGGGAGCTTTGAGTAATGCACTACACTGATCATGCGGATGAACGAAACTTACCACCGGTTTGCCATTGACCACATTCTTGGCCACGCCTTCCTGATATACACCCAGAGCCGCCAGCATGGCTCGAGTTCGAGGATTAAAGATCTTGCGTCCATCGACCACTACGCAAACGACAACCTAGACGGGTTGTCAATGGCTTAGTAGCCTTCAGTAACGGCGAGGCCAATTTTGCGCAAATTACCTTTTTCCACCCATCGTCCTTCCAGATTGGACTACGTTCTCGTTCGTTCAGGTGGGCAATGTTCGCCATGACCCCTCGCATGGTCCGTGCGAACAGGACATCGTCTTCCTGTTGCAGTGATGGGACGGCTTAAGTGTGCTCAACGCGGGCCCAGCGGATTAGAAATGTCGCTCACGTTGTACATGGTAATCACGATGAAAATCTCAGTCTTTCTGGTAGGTTCGTATAATTGTTTCTGCCTGAGCGTGTATTGCTCTGCCTGTAAAGTTGGCATTTGGTTAGGTCGAGCGATGCGTATCAATCGGTGAGACTGGGCTCTTGCCATGAAATCGTCCGGTTGACTGGTGACTGCCGTGTATCTCATCAAGGAGAACTCCTGTTCTTTCCGATGAGCAATCGGGCAGAGATCGAGTAGAGCGGATGGTACCGGACACTCGAGGACGAGATTACCTCGAAACAGCCTGTGATGAAATTACGAGAACATGTCAATGCCACGACCACAGGTGGCGAGCCCCGCTCAGTTGTACTGACTGCACTCTCTTGGTCGTCTTGAGGCGCCGAAGGATTCGTTCTGGAGCGGGTCCATATCTCATAGTAATGGGTTCGTCCGGATTCACCGTCGAACCATTCCCCGTCATGCTAGGGTTCCTGCCAAAGGGTGTACCATAACGACCATCGCCGGTATCTTGTCGATACAAGAGAGGTTCATCCGCCAGATCTGCGCTTGGAGTGACCCTTCCATCATTGACGTTTGAGTTATAGGGAGAGTACGGACGGGGTGGCGGGTAATAACCTTGGGCTTGTCCATCGACCGTGAGACCCGATTGCATAGAGCTTGAATGGTGCACAAGCGGAGGCGGTGAAGTCAAACGCGAGTCTGGTAAGTAGATACCCGTCGGTGGACCAGCAGAGGGGGCGTTTGATGTTACTGGCGGCGCTCCATAACCGCTTGGAGGATATATGCCCGGCGACGCATATCGTTGATTAAAGTCATACCCTGATGCGCTCGGCTGCTGACCATAGACGTCACCCGGTGGGCCAGGGGAGGGCGATGCCCGTGAAGGCTCGATGTAGGGTTGCTGATAGCCTGAAGTTCCGTGAGGAGGATTGCCAGAGTTTAGGGGGTCGGCGTATGGATAAGGGGCATTGTTGCTGCCGTAGGAATCTTGATGATGATGTCCGCCATTGTTCTCATTGAACGGGTCGACGGGATATTGATCATACTGCATAGAACGATCAAGGTTCAAGGGGGATATCCACTCGATTCAGCTCAGCGATATCGGTCTCGAGGAGGAAGTAGTTCGTCCGTGAACAGGAATGACCCACGGGCTGATTGCCGTTGAAGGGGGGTGGATAAGCCATGCCTCGGGCGTCTCTTCAATGCACCCAGAATGTCAAGGTCGTCCTGTCGTTTGAACGCAGACCTGATGATCGTTTGCACCTCGGCTAACAGCTAACGTCTTGGAGTGAGACGACTGAGACGTCTACTGACTGTATAGGGGTGGTTGATGAATGAATGGTTGTAGAGGGGATTCCCTTGTATAGTACCTGCAGCATGTCGCGATCATCAGCAACACAGCTTTGTCCCATCTCGCATGGAAGTAAAAATAGCTTCCGACCATTTCCATCCTACTAGTAGTAGTACAAGCAGCTAGGATTATCGTTACATATAACATACAACAAACTACATACAGAAGCGGTCATACATCTAGAGCAGTTAGCAGCATTCGATCCTAACGGTCCTCTCATATCCTCTGCACCAGTAGATCGTACGCTTTCTCGCAGTCCTCCAGGTTGACCTGCAAAATGAGCGCGTCAGACTGTATCCTCACAGCCGTTCGGACGTCAACTGACTATGATGTTAGCCGAATGATAAGTAGAGATGCTGTGCATCTCGTCAGCTTGCCTGGTCTCGTCTGAAAGAGGCTAAAGCACACGTCACTACTGACTAGAGCATCTGGATACCTCCTTTCCTCAGGCGCTCGTTAATGCGTTGCAGGACACCGGAACGATCTGGAAAGGCAAGGCGATGTCAGCAAGTATCGAAACGCTCCATATTCGGGTACAGTCTGTGTCTACCCAAGTGAACGGCGTCATGACCGTTTTTCGAGGTGCCTAAGCCCAGATCCATGCGCAAACATTTCTGAACGGTGCTGCCAGGAAGAGGACGGAGGCAGATATCTTGTGTCGCAATGGAGTCTGCGTTCGTCGCCGCGATCGAATGCGGGGCCGTCATCGGAACGCCATCGAGATCAAGATCGACATCGTCGAGATCTCCGCCGCTGAACACCAGTAGGCTTCTCTCTTCCCGGTCGGGGAACATCCTCCTCAAAATATCGATTTCGGTCATCAGACTGGATCCTTCTCTCGTTCTGACATAGGAGAAGAACGGGCGAATCCTCTGCCGAGAGTCGTCATGATGTCCTCGGTTGTCGAAACGTTCCGGTCGGAACGATCCACTCGGGGTGTTGCGTCGAACTGACCGAAACTCCTCAGGGCTACAAATAAAGAGGGTGAGACGGTACCGCCACAGCGCTTCACCCTCGTTATTCAAGCCAATCATCATCAAGTTTCCGGGGTCGATGGTTACGCCTTCCTCTCCATCGTTGTCGCTGGCGCCCACGAGAGTTTCGTCAGGCCGGCCACCATTTTCTTCCAGACAAGTCATGCCTTCATCACCGTCCCGCTTCTCTCGCGTGGAAGGGTAAATCGACATGAACTCCGCCTTCGACAGCATATCGATGCTCTCGTGCGTAGAGTACCCTTCATCGCGCACGTGCATAGACAGGTCTTCCTCCGACTGTCACGCAGACAAGTAGATACCACTGCCCATCAATGTCTATATCTTGACTCACAACACGAGGGAACCTACATATGAGTTTCGGGAGCTGAGCCAATCGTCTTTTAAGAGCGAGGCTGCAGAAAGAGAACGATCCCTTCCAACGTCGTTCTCCGACCCGACCGAGAAAATAGGCCCATCAAGGCTGGCCTCCATGGAAATGCTCGCGTACCCGTCCTGACTAAACGAACCCGTCCACTCGAGAGCAGTCGAGGGGTCCCTCACGCACCCTGAACGAAAGACATCGGTGTGGGCGGTATCAGCAGTCAACCCGATCATACAGGTTTCTTCCTTCAAAGACTCACATCCCCATCGCTCGAACATGTCCACTGCTCTGGCGAAATCTCTCTCTTTCACAAGACAGAACTCTGCTAGGCTCGATGACTGATACTGTATGGGTACGAAAGGTACGGATATGGACAGCATAGTATGTCAGTGATCTGCCGGGTGCGGGATTCCCTTACATACGGCCCTACCTGTATCGGTATCTCCGCGTCCGCCAAACAGCGAGTGATCCGTGCCACCGCTGTAGCAACGATCGATCGATTAAGCGCTGATCTAAGGTTATCATGTGCATCATACAACCCACCATCTTGAATGTCACTTCCATCGACTTCCAGTTGAAAAACCCTCCATCGAGATCGGCTTATCCGCAGGCCTCTATCTTTGTACAGCTGGATAGTCGCGGTCGCAGCCCAGATTTCTTCTACGATATGCGAGGCGGCATAGATGGAAAGCTCGTTTTGGTTGGAGTTGAGCGCAAAAAAGTTGGACGACTCTCGATCGTGCGCTCGATGGATGGTGCTCATGATATGGCCCACCATCGCCTGCTCGAGAGGCAAGTGATCCAAATTGTCCGGTCTCTCAATGCTGATGGGCACGTTGACAACAAGAATGCAGGTGTCGAGGATGTTGATGTTGATCGTGGGTGACATCTTTTCTTTATTCGATCGTCGGATTTTCTCTCAGTTCAAGACTGGTAAATTTATAGGTATGCTGAATTGTAAGAAAGAGATTAGATCCGCATCTCATTCGATGGCGAGATCGCAAGGTGTATTATACAGTGTACCATTTACAGTGGCCTTGCAGGCCTTGCCTATCAGTGGCAGCACTAAAGGATGACCTCTCCGCATCGAGGGAAAGTTGTACCAGATCCCTCAGATTGCGAATGAATCATTTCCGCAAGTGACGTGCTCAAAAAAGGACAAAAGAATTTCAAGTAGAAGAACGATGATGAATCCTTCGATCGTTCGAACATTCGCATGCGGTGTCGCGTACTGTACCCTCCTTTATCGGTGGATCCGTGATGCGACAATCATTCCAAAGGAAGACCGAATCGCACCGAACCGAAATCGATCGACAACAAGGTTTGCAGCCGCGCCTCCTTTGGCACGCGACAAGGGTTTGAGCCGCGAGGAGCGCTTATCGGAGCAGTTCATCTCCGGATTCCAAGACCTATTCCCGAGGCCGACGTAACACTACATTGCAGGCGTATGTACGGAGTGATGATCCGTAGACGCTGATCGACGCGATTCGTTCGGTACGGAATGCCGACTGCAACTCGTTCGCTGAGCCCCAATGCTCTACGCGGAGCACGTCGAATAGTATTGGTGCAGTATGTCAGGTCATACCGAGGCACATGCAATGTTTGGCATACTCGAGCGAGGCCATGTACATGACCGTTTCGACAAGGACATCCCCACTAAATAACGTCAACAAGGGTATCACGAAGGTTGCCTCATTCGACATCGTTGGATAACCTCGACAGATAGTCTTGCAGATTCGCAGCGGCATCGCCTCTCTCGACTTCTTGCTCCAGCACCCTGGAATCGTTCAGGGTTTCCGAAGGCCAATCGACCGGATACGTTGTTTCGTCTTCCGAGTGAACGTCCTGCTCGGCCGAATCGTCGTGGAGCTGGTGAGCCGAGTCGTCTATCATCCGAAGTCCGACCATTGTCATGACAGGTGAACCGTTTGTGTCTACTTCTCGTGTAGCCTTTGGAGTGGTATGACTGACGAGATCGATGTCGGGGTCAATCAGAGACTCTTCGTGCGACGTGAGCGCGATAGTATGAAGAGTCTGGTCCAGCTCGGGGGTGTTGCCGGGCCTGGTTGCATCGGATAGCCCTGAAGAGATAGCTTGTTCGACTCGCTTCCTAGGATTGTCCTTCAAGTCCGCGATGAATCCCTCTCCAGCGGCATGGGATTGGCTATCAACACCGGCAGTGAAGCCGGTATTCCGCTTGCGCTTTTTGGCTCTACCGGACTCAGCCTGTTCCACCGTGTCCTCCGAAACACAGCCAGGATCGTTGACCTTGTTCTTTCGACCTTTGGGCCGGCCAATCTTGACTCGTTTGGGCACCGGCAAGCTCGATTCGTCTGGCATGATCCCGTCCACCAACATCCATGTCTCCACATCGACTGGAGGGCGTTTCTGTCGAAGCGGTTCGAGCTTGAACCTGTGCAGGGGCGCTGCTGCATGACCTCGGCCCTTCGCTTCGGCAACAATTTGCTGAGCAACAATATCAATCCTGTCGTACAGGGATTGCAACTACAGTCCGCGGACGCGTCAGTGGGGGGAATAGCAAACACGATACCGCGATCGCTTACCTCGACACTGCGCCAACGAGGGGTTTTGACTTCCAAGACCTTGTCGTGCACCAACAACTGCCCGTTCCGGTCGGTTCGTGCGGAATCTGCCAGTCTTTGCCAAACGCCAGGTGCTAGGCCAGAGTCGTCACCTTCCGAAGAATCTTCGGAAGACATGTAATCCATCCGCCTATAGTCATTCCTCAGCTTCAAGAGGCGATTCAAATTCGCCTACTCCAAACACTTACAGCAGATTCTGAGCGACATGTTCCGCCATCCTGGTCGCCGCTTTCGAACGCTTCTTCTGTTTCTGTATTTACTAGGAGATTGATAAACGTGCTGCACGCAATGCTCGGTTCTTATGTAGACTTGCCAAATCCTTCCTGGCCCATCGTCTACCTCTTTTGTTGTCCCGAGCCCCCTTCTCTTTGGCCACAAGATCAATTTGTGCACTGTAGCGTTTAGCGAAATTGAGAAAGGCCGTCGCGGCAGCGTTCTATCCGGCAGGGGGAAGGTCAGATCCACGTTGGCTGAATGCGAGCACCAAACCTACCCTGCAGGACTCGAAGTTTTGTTGAGCCAGAGGTATGGATGTGTTGTGCATATGAGGCTGGATATCGTGCAATACTAGGCTGGCGATATGATCTTGGTACTGATAAGGCATCTCGCATACACTATTAGCGTTTCTTCAGATTTTACCAGACCAACAGACTCACAGCGATATTGTCTGGATGACGATGACCTTTGAGCCAATCCGGACCGCCTTGTTCTGGTCCGGGCAGAGGTCCTTGTTCGTCCGGTGCCTGACCCCATATGCTTCGCATCTACACACGATATCGATCTTCTTCTCTTCAGCTGGCAAGTCTCGCTCGCTGTCACCACTGACACTCGCCTTTTGCCTGATCGCTTTCTGAAGAACAGAAACATATCCGTCAGATTGACTCCCCATCTGTCGTCTCGAAAAGATGATCGGGCAGCACAGCACGTACAGCTAGATGATCCGTCCTTGCCCGTATGACCATGCGTTTACCGGTCGAGTCATTCATAGGGACTATCTCTCTTTTTGCAGCGACACCTCTATCCGTGATTTTACGCTTGCGAGTCGAGCGGGATGAAATCCCGAGCTCATTACGGCTAGACTCGGAAGATTCTCCACCTAGATCGGTCGATTGTCTTTGACTCTTGGCATAGTTGGACGGGCCGGCTTGAATCTCGTGGGTTTCTGCCTCGTGATCGATGTGATCGGAAGCGACGCCGCCCGGAAATGTCATCGCTGCGAGCTGTCCCAGCGTCTGTGCAGCAGCAGCGGCCATCGCGCCGTCGGTACTTTCTAGTCGTCGTACGTGTTCTTTGAGCCGCTTCACTTCAGCTCGAAGCTGCTCCATATCCATGTCGGCCTTTCCAGATTCGGGATTGTCGTCTGTTGCGGACAATTTTTGCGCCTGGTGTAGAGAAACGTCTTCGGGGTACTGCTGGAGCTGGTCGGTGATGGGTACTTCGGCCCCAAAGTGGGGAGAATAGGTAGGTTCGGGATGTTCCGATCCGTCCAGTTCGACTCCCCCTTCGACGAACGCGACATCATGTGTGCTCTCGATCTCGTTGCCCTCATGAGGCAGGACGACTGTTCCAGTCAGAGTATCAAGCAATGCTTGTTGAGCTTCTGACAAGTCAAAGGCATCGCGATCGTCAATGAAGGTCATCAACACGGGGTTGCTGGGCCATCAGACCTACCATGCTCGCCTACATGAATGCTGTTGTCCGACTGAGTGCCGTATATATCCCTGCGTAGCATGCGTAGACTCTCCAGCTCGTCCTCAGTGAGCATCGAGTCTCTGTTGCCTGCTTTTTATGCAAGATCATCCGAACGAACGCCGACGCAATCTCCGTTCAATGTCAGGTAGTATAGCATCGTCCAACCTAAACGCGTCACCTACCGGCATCGATCGAGTGATCCATGTCGACGACGTTTCTACCGAGAAGACGTGAAGATATGCGCAGCGATCCAGCGATGGCCCTAGGACACAGCAAAGACCAGACAATGGCTAGAATCCGGGACGTGGTAGTATCCAAACAATGGTGTAGCGGTAACGTACAAAACCGGATCGGACTATCAAGCTATCAAGTTGCCAGTTGCACACTCCGCGAAACTCTGGCCGCGACCGTGTGCGTCGCCCCCTTCGCGCTGGTCTCTTGTGAGCATCATATCTAGTTCAACCGCGCTGTCATGCTGTCATAAGATAGCGATCATGCCGTATAAACATTCCCCTTTCAACGACAATGCAATACCGCTGCAACCTCATCAAGCCTGATCTTCAAAGGTTTCAGAGAGACTTCGCGGCTCGGTAATCATGAAAGCGGCGATTTGCAGGCTCTCAACCTCCTCACCACCCTGTTTACTAGGTTTCATGGCGTTATCTGCCCGTTTTGCTTCGGCCAAAGTCTTTGGATTCACAACATGAAAAGCGAGGTCTTTGCCTTGCTCCAACCCTTGTAAACCCCCCATGTTTCGTACAATCTGCTTGACGCTCATACGATTTGCTGTTACCGTCGTCATGCCACGGGACGCTCCGGCGAGCATGCTCCTAGTCGTGTGAGGTGAGGGTACTTTTGGTGGGGGTGATGTGCGCCTTGTGGTCTTTTTTCTTTCGATCATGCCCTGGGAGCCATCGCTATCCAAGATGCGGCCGCAAGTGGCCATCAGCCGATTCGCAAAGGACCGAGACGGGGGCGACACAGAATCGATGTCGCTGGATTCGAGCACCCCCACGCTAAAAGTGCGCAGCGGTCCAGAGAGAGGCTGGTGGCGAGACATTGCCCAGAAGGGTGAAAGTCCACCTTTTAGGTCTTGTGTGCTGAACATGTGTCCCGCCCGATAGGCCTCGCGGGGACCGGCAATCTTCCTGACGATATCGTGACACCTTTCCATGGCTTCCCGTGTTGTCCAAAATCGCACATCCTCGGGAGACACTCTGCGAACCTCACACATCGTATCGATGGCCGCGCTGAGCTCGTCGACCAAGCCCGATCGAACCTCTTGCTTGAGTTGGACCGTCAGGGCTCGAGTATGCTCCTCGGTACCAAGCTCGCCCTCCGTAGCCGGCCTGTCCTCAGTCACATGGCCATCCGTACGAGATGTTGCGCGTTTCCAGATCCTGGGTACCGGCTGATACCTAGCTTCTGCCTCTTCATCAGACTCGGGTAAATCCGCATGGGTAATGTCTGAGAGCAGAGCGATGAGAAGGCTGAGGTCGAGGTTCAAATCTAACGATGCTACCGTCTGTACTCGGCTAGGTTCCCCTGCGGCTGATGGTGCGTCCTCCGGGTCACCGAATCGCAAGTCGATATCTAGCCCTTTGATGAACTCATACATCGCCTGTATACGAGGGTCTTCGTTTTGTTCGTCCATTCGGGACAGCCTGTAGGTCAGGCAGACGTCGTTTCCCATGGCCGCGCTGTGGCTCCTTGCGGCCTCTCGCATATCGAGACATTGTTTCACTAGACTGATGTGCCTATACTTGTTTTCTGATTGTTCTCGCGGTTGATCCTGCGATGTGATCTCGCTCTCTTGTAGCTCCGCTAGCACGCGAGATGCTCTTATAGAATTGATTTTGTGCCAACAATTACCGTTGGCCGAAACGACGTCGATCTTGAATGCGGCCACATCCGTTATGGTCCTCACGTTCAAGTTGATTGCGGTGACTGGTTTGGGAGCAGACAGAACTTCCTTCCAGACGGCCAGGAGGAAGGATGTATTGCTCGAGAGGTTGTCGATCGGACGATCAGCTTCGAAAAGCTGTGTAGGATGAGAGAGGATGAACGATGTTCAGACGTAAGCTTCACAAGCAAACAAGAAAGAGGAAGCCTCACGTAGTCGTGGTGAGCGAGCTCTTTCTTACAGAGCTCCTCAAATTTGACGAGCCCCGATACTTCCGGCTCGGAATAGTCGGCATTGCGGTCCAGTATAGGGGGAAGATATGCATCCCTTTTGCTCTCGCTATGAAAAGCAGCTACGGACCGGCACAAGACCTGCCAGAAACCGGAGGGTAAACGTCGAGACGATCAGCCATGACTCGACATGCCGATGCAACTGTGATAATTTCACCTACCTGCAAGGTCAGGCGATGTGACAAAAGGGCCGCATTTCCCTGGGCGCCGTTGGCTTCCATGTAGACAAAAGTGCGGCGACAAGCAGCAATCCAGTCGCAAGAGTCCAACTGCCACGGCAGTAATGGATGAGACGCCTTGTGAACGCTTGATGATCAAGTCATATTAGGATCGCAACCTCGCCGTTTCTTTGATACCCATTTCTGTGATTAGTCATCAATTCTACCGTTCATTTTGCTTCCGCTCTCACAGCACCGAACATCCAGGCCATCGCCGGTGCACAATCATATCGCTATTCACAATAATAATCTGTACAACTATTGGCTATTGGCCTCTGATTCTTCTTGCGACCGAACCTTGATAGCTATCGCGGACCAGAATTCTGAAGAAATGGTGAGCACACCACGACGTGTTCACCTTTTACGCATCGGCTGATCGTCCTCGACGGTCTATGGGCTAGCATGGGGTCAAGAGATCACGCATCGATGCTCAAGCACAGGCAGCCAAGCAGAAAGAAGATGCTCATATAAGAGACACTTACGCCGAGCTTGTGGAACAGTGCTGGATGAAGGTACGTGACAGCAGCTAGTCATGTTAGTCTCTGTACCGAGCTGATATCTGATCGATTCCGTTCGCTATCTCAGAGATCGGCAAAAGAGTACTCGCTTGCGAGTCTCGCGCAAACCACCAAGGTGTTAGATATAAATCCCGAGTTCTATACAATCTGGAACTTTCGTAGGGAGATCTTGCTGGGAGGACTCTTGGATGGGCAAGTCCTGACATGTTCGACAGCGGTCTTGACATGGACTGATGGCCTGTTGCCCTGTCATGCAGTCCTGCAGCGGTAACTTTACTGCAGCAGGACTTGAAGTTGACGGTATCCTACTTGCAAATCCATCCCAAGGTCTACTGGATCTGGACTCATCGGAAATGGTGTCTCGAAAGGATGCCCGATGATATCGAGGACCATGTCAATTGGAAGCAGCAGACTTGGAAGGCAGAGCTTGGCCTGGTCGAAAAAATGCTCGAGCGCGACGCCCGGAATTGTAAGCCTAAAACTTTGGAGTCCGAGCGCTGTTCCCCAGTTGAGGTCTAGATTGCAGTTCACGCGTGGGATTACAGGCGCCATGTTCTTGCTTCAGGATTCCCGAATCGGGGACCAGATGCTGAGCTCAAGTATACGACAAAGAAAATCGAGGGCAACTTTTCGAACTTCTCCGCTTGGCATCAGCGCACCAAGGTTTTGGGTTCGCTCTGGGAGGACATGCAGAGAGAAGGGATCCGGGAAAATCTGGATGAAATCGAACGAATGAAACAGGCAGGTATGTTGAGGTCATATCACTATGGATTCCGAAAGCATGGGAGTCTAACCTGTATACGCAGAGTTTGAGCTCGTACTGCAGGCACTCTGGACCGATCCAGGCGATCAATCCGGCTGGCTATACCACAGATGGCTCGTTGGAAATGGCAAGTCCTCTGGTTTCACGGTCGCAAGTTTCTGTCTGACGTGATAGAAAGAAACAGGAGAAGATGAGCTCATCTTAGGCAGAGAGATCGATAATATCCGGGAATTGCTGGATGTTGAACCAGATGCTAAATGTGGGTCGTCACGAACCTGATGAATACCCAATGTGTTGAAGAACATCAGGATCTCTACACAGGGCCTTTGGACAGCCTCGTACATTACTCTATGCTGCAGCTTGGTCGGCATGGAGTTTCAGACGCCTCTATGGTCAAATTGGACATTGAGCGGTGGCTCTCTCGGCTCCAACAGGTCGACCCATTTCGTCGCCGAAGATATGCCGAGCTTCGTAAGTCGCGATGAACATGCAGCATCTTCTTTGACGGCTCGCTGATGCTGTAATGAATAGTTGTCCAGCTCTCGTCGGCAAATTGACAATTTCGCTGGGGTATATCGTCTACAAAATCCCTTCACTCTTTCTATTCAACATGCCCCCTCGTCCAAAGGCGCCCGCAACAACACTAAAAGGATCAAGCGATTCCGAAACTTCTACCAGGAACAGATCGTGCCGGTCGATAGAGGCTTCCTGGTTTCTACGGATTTCACGGATGAGGGCATGGTGTCTGGCGCAAGCAGGGCACTCGGGATCCGCATCGGGTAGACATCTAGAGAAGAAAGAGTAGATCAGTTGAAGAACGTTCTCAGACCTTGTCAAGCCGCGCGCGCACCTTTGATGATAACTATGTTTACACATGAAATGCACGCTTGGCAGATCCAGTTGACCGTTGCAAGAAGCACAACGGGTGACTTGAAAGACCTGTGGACGCGTGACGTCTGTGAGGCTGGCAATCTCCCTTAATTTCTCTTCGGTCTCGCTTCGATACGAATGTACCAGTTGTTTGTCCTGGAAGGCGCGATTGAAGAAAGACGTAGCGCTCAGTACTCCTCATTGGCTTCCCGTATCGCGAGCATCGCTAACTCACAGAGTCGATATCGAGGCGTGTATCCGCTACTTGACTCTTGAGCCAATCTTTTACTACCCCGATATTCGTGACGTCGTTGCGACTGAGCAATTGTATGACCGCAAGAGGTGGCATGATACGTTCCTGCTGAATCGTGTCGAGGATATCGCGGACGTCTGCCGTATGTCGAGCCAATGTGGAGGGGAAGGTGGTTATGTAACGCAGCACCATTGGGTACAAGTGAGGCTGAGTCGGTCCGTAAATACGCAGGTAGTATAGCATACGAGCGGCGGGTGTTTCGACACTGGCGGAAGCCGTTCCCTCTGTTTCGACGTCCATACGTTGCCTCCAGAAGCGCATAATCTCTTCGTACATTCCTAAACGCTCCCAAAGACACATAAGGCCGGCTTCAAAGTCGAAAGCGGAGCAAAGCATCAATGCGTGAACTGGATCAAGGGGTAGCCGATCGATTTGCTCGAGCAAGGCGAGAGCTCGATCGTGATCATTACGATCCCCCTCCTGTTGACGGTCGGGGCGGCTTTTACCAAGGTAAAGTTCCAACAAAGTGTTCCAGACCGCTCTTTGGGAACTTTCCTCGCCCTCTGTTGCCGTTGCTGCGTCCAACGTTATGGGTGGCTTGTGCAGGCGAGAATGGCGACGGGGCACCTCTTCGTCTTCAACTCGCTGGCTCCAATTTCTAAGTGCCACAGTCTCCAGGAATCGCCGGAACTGCTCGGGTTCGTTCACGAAATCAGGGAAGAAAAGTTCAGGGCTCGGGCGAACCGGTTGGTGAACAAGATCCTGCGAGGCGCCAAGATCTTCTGGAGATGAAGCAGATTGATCGTGGGAAAACTGATGCGGTTGCAAATCTCTCGAAGCCGGAACTTGACGCTTTGGTGTGGCTTCCGAGCCGCTCCCCTCCATCTTCCACGATGTACAAATCTCAATCAAGAGATCTGTGGTCGCTTGAGGATGGCGTCTCAACATGTCTTTGACATAAGGTACGATGATCTCTGCCACCTGTATGTCGAAGCTGAGCTGTCTTGTCGGCACAACGAGCATGAACCAGTCGATACAACTCACAAGTTCCAATGGCAGTGTATGCAGAAATGCCGCCACCGCCGCAAAGTCATCCAAGTCGTCCAGTTGGATCCTGAGGTAATCTTGATATCGGTTGTATCGTTTCGCGAGATATAACGCATGCTCGTGAAAACCGGCCTGACGGCACACTCGGATGGCAGTGGTCAAGTCGAATGGCAGATCGTCGCTACCTTTCCTGGTGGTTTCTGTCCGGATGAAGGCGTCCAATCGCTCCTTGTCTGCCGTTTTAGCATAGCAATTGAGAAGGAGTGTAGTGTGATCTGGAGTGGCGAGGTTCCGTACGTGCATTTCCTGAAGGTATGAGGTGAGCTGATGTATTCGGTGAGCCTCGAGGAACTAGTCGATGGGTTGTTCAAGAGGAAGTCAGGGCTCGCGGTACATGGCTCGGTAGTATTGGTCAATGACTCACCTTCCGAATGACGTGACTTGGCTGTACCCATCCAAGCGTCTTTTGATACTGCGCTACAGCACCGTCGTAGTCGCCTTTCTCGTAGAGATGATCGCCATAACGTAGATGAATATCGGAAATCACGGAGTCTCCTTGGCGAGCCGATTTTGCCATGGAGACCGCCATCTGAAACAGGGATTTCCGCAGAAGAGCTTCTAGTTTCTCCTCCACAGATGCCTCGGTTAATTTTTGCACCTATCATGATAGACGTTTGAGCTCAGAGCCATATAGTGCCGTTCGAACTGACTCACCTTGCCGTCACCTTCCAAGATATAGAAGACCTGCCCATCGTTCCCGAACAGTTCTCTTACGCCTGAAGCAATGACAGAGCTATGCGAGATGAACTTGTTCTCGAGATCAAATACCGTCACTTTCGCCGCATGCGATCTGAGCAACGCTGGTCCGGCCGCGGCCGATCTTCGAACAGTGGCAGAGTGAGAAGATGCCGCTGGTGTGAAAGGTGGTGATACCATGACGAGAGATTGTCCGTGTATCCTGACACTCGCCTTGGCCCCTTTGATACAGTGTATCAGCATCCGGTTCGTACTGTCTCGAAGCTCTCTCGCAATCGATAACTCACCCTCGTAAGCATAGCATGCTCCCCGCGCTTCGGTATCGTAAATGTATATGCCGTCTTCCCGGGCCACAACAAGACAACGATGCGTATGGTCCATGACGGAGCAACTCAACGGTGCACCAGACTCCTCTAGTAATCTCGGTTCTGAACCTTTCCCAGAGATGACCGGCAATGCCAACGTCTTGTTCGTCGTTACGATGAATAACCCGACCGAATCGGATCCAGGAGTCTTGTCTTGACGCAAGTCTCCGACCATGTTTCTCATAGGTGCGTCATACGATTCCATTTGCCCAGATAGCTTGAATCCTAGACCTGTTATAGGCTCTGCGGCCGTGCCCTCCCATACGACCCTCGCCTTGGGGAAGCTCGACTGAGCGGTAGGAGAAGTCTGCAGTGATTGTAGTAGGTGGCGATACAGTAGCACTTGACCGGACACCAGCCCAATTGCCAGATACGACATGGCCGGAGTGAGGGCGATCGATGATATCTGCTTGGCAAGGTCGGGGATTAGCTTCATATTATCTGCAGTGAACGAGCCGATCGACGCACAGGATATCCCCTTCCTCCCGTACCAATTCGCACGCTTCTCAGTAGGAGCGGCTGTCTATCCCGGGAATCGTCTTTGGTGAGATCCCAAATCCGCAGCAGAGGGAACTGTGACTGAGTGGGCGAATCGTCCTCCTGAGCGGCGATGACCGTTCCGTTTAGTCCGAGATCCTGCTCGTAATCCAAAGCGCGCTCACCCCTATAGCAATGAGAAGACCTCCACACTCCAACATCATCAAACCCTTCTCCTTGTGCTTCCTCTTTGTCTTGCTAGTGAGGCCCAACCCGAGGTTGTATCCGCTGTTGTCTTCCACTGAGACCGAGGTACCGTCCACGTCCCATCCTTGCCATCTTTTGGTCTCGTTGAAGCTCTTGTCCAAGACGCAAATCGTACCACGAGCATCGCAGACGATGCAGGCGACCTCGTACGCTAGGGGAGACGCGGTGTCGGGGCTGATGATGATATGGGGAGGGCTGGTTTGTAGCTGGTCGTTGCAAGCCAAGTCAACCTTTAAAGCCGGCAATGGCGCGTGTGTTTATCGCTTACCGACTCCAACAGCGGAATCTCATCGCTTCTCTGTGCATTGTGACCTACTACATCAGAGTCGAAGAAATTGAATTGCCGCCATTGCTGTTAATCCAACATGAGCGTTCGACCAGCAAAGTTGAGAGATACCAGCTCATCGCTCGCTTACAGACGATGTCGCGACCATTACCGCCGCTGTCGACGTTCAGGATAGTAACCTTCCGAAAGTATTGGCGATATAAACAAAGAAGTATAGAACCGATTTGGGCGTTGAGATGTGGCCTGTGTCACCATAGTAGTTACCTACCTGAAAGACGATGGAGTAGATAGATTAGATTAGAGCGGGCACGAGCGACAACTGAGCGACTGACGATTCCCGGCCATCGTACCTCCACTTTCACAGCGGCCAGACGCGTCATCTATTATTCCCGGGAGGAAAGCGTTGGTGGTATCCGGTGGGAACTACTACGTGCTACAGTACTCACTGCGTAAACCCAGGCTATATGACCTAGGTGATATACCGGGGACTTCGTAATTCAACGTGGTACATACTCACTATATCACTTGGGACTGAGTATACTAAGGATATACAGTGAGTATATTGTCAGGATATTACTATGTCCCCAGAGTGATTCGCGCGGTGAAGTACTACAGTAGATGGCAGATTTATGGATTTTTGACTTCCAGAGTGTCTAAGATGGTGGATGGCACGTATAGCACCTGGCACTTGCATAATAAGAAGCGCAAAGCATTGGTACATAGGTGCAACTGCGATCACAACTTGTGACCAGAAACACAAGGTTGCAACCACAATCACGTATCTGCGTCTGCAGACACATTTGTGCAATCTCAGACGTATTATTACGTCTACAGGCACATGTTCTGGTAGATTGGACCCAGATTCTACATATATATAGGAGTTGCCAGAAGGAGGAATGGGTCATCCCTTTTCTCTTTCATGAGGACTCAGACCTCTTATCATTAGATTCATTCCCACTACCTTTACCTTTCACTTCTTCCCTTTCATCCTTTCCCTTTCCACATTTGCCTCTTGAGCACCAATAAGGACTAGCTACCCTTGTTACCTAACAAGCAAAGAGCATCAAGAAACACCAAATAGGACGATTGAGACAACTGCAACGTATCTGGATATAAATTCAGTTGTGAGACTGCTCCTCTCCTATATAAGAGTTGGCATACTTCACAATTGGGTTCGATCGATCAGTCAAAGTCAATGCAGCGTTTCTGCATGTTTGGTATCAACTGCAATTAACAGTAAAATCATAGGTACCAGTAACCAATGTCAGAGTATCTCTCCAGCGCTTGTGCACGTTGAATGCATGAAATAGTACATGTTGAAGATTGGCAGGGTATGACATCACAGGTGATGACATCATCAAAAGTGCAATCTCAATCACAAAGCCTCATTTCGTAGAATGTACATTGTACATTGTACTTTGTACGTTTCACAGGGAATCCTGTAGAATGTACAGGTTTCAAGGGGTCATGGAGCCATGGAGGCTACCTTCAGGATAGTATATATAGGAGGCCAGTTTGGCCTCATTCCCCTTCTCCCTCTCATGTACTACTTTACTTTTATGCAAGCAACATTGATTCATCTTCACAACAAGACAAGATCAGCACTAGTAACACACCATTACTATTGCCTAGGTACATCAAATAACCAACCTTGGTGGATCTAGTTGTTACTTCACAACAGGTTATGAGCCCAGTAGTTGTGACCTAATCTACACTTAGACTTAGCTCACAAAGGAACAACCTCAACTATCAGGATCATCAAGAGGATATCACTGGACATAGTTGGACAGGTTTGTATTACTGGTCAGTAACAGTATAGTCTCACAGCATTGGAGACTAAGGACTATCAGATCAAGAGAGGATCACTAGTCAGCATCAGACTTGGACATTGTTGTGATATCAGCCTAAGCTGATGGTGTAGCTGTTCCTTTGATGGGGTTGACTGCTGCTATCTCTTGTGTGAATGACTATGTATCTGGTTGCTTGCATAAAGTAAAATAGTACATGAGAGGGGAAAGGGAAATCAGACCCAAATGGCCTGCTATATATACTTTTCTGGGAAGGGCCAAAAGGCTGCGGTTTGCGGTTTGCGGTCTTGCGGTCTTGCGGTTTGCGGTCTTGCGGTCTTGCGGTCTGGCGGTCTTGCGGTCTTGCGGTTTGCAGTTTGCGGTTTGCTGGTTGTCAATTGCAAATTGCCCTTTTTGCTTCCTGCTGTTTGTGGTTGAGATTGCTTCCACATGTTGATGACTAATCATCACATGCTGATTTGCAACAGACATCAGCATCCAAGCAGCAACAAAGACTTGAGGCAACACAGACACTCAAGCATCAGCATAGGACAAGTCTTGGATATCATTGTCAACAATGATTACTACCAACACAGGCTCTTCAGCAACCATGTTGTGAAGTAACAACTAGAGCCACCAAGGTTGGTTACTTGATGTACCTAGGCAGTAGTAATGGTGTGTTACTAGTGCTGATCTTGTCTTGTTGTGAAGATGAATCAATGTTGCTTGCATAAAAGTAAAGTAGTACATGAGAGGGGAAAGAGAAATCAGACCCAAATGGCCTGCTATATATACTTTTCTGGGAAGGGGCAAAAGGCTGCGGTTTGCGGTCTTGCGGTCTTGCGGCCTTGCGGTCTTGCGGTCTTGCGGTCTGGCGGTCTTGCGGTCTTGCGGTCTTGCGGTCTTGCGGTCTGGCGGTCTGGCGGTCTGGCGGTCTGGCGGTCTTGCGGTTTGCGGTTTGCGGTTGTCAATTGCAAATTGCCCTTTTTTTTGTTTTTTTTGCTTCCTGCTGTTTACTTTGTGGTTGAGATTGCTTCCATGTGCTGATGACTAATCATCACATGCCTATTTCCCAACACTCCCTCTCAAGCTCAAGCTCAAAGTCCTCCTAGAGTAAAGGCACTCTGACTTGGCTGTTTTTGTGTAACTTCATTTTTCTTTGTTGAAACCATGTCCAAGTCCTAGAGACCAAGTCCTCATCCTGGAGTGAGCCGCATCCTGAAAAGGATGGAGTAACTTTTCGACTTCCAAGATGGTTTGCACCAATCCTTGCTGAGGGTGATCCTTTACCTCCTAACATTGCGTGCTGATAGTGGATCTTCTCATTCCATCACTCTAGATGAATGAGTCGGCAATTGTGCTTGTGTTTGATGTCCTTGAGTGGTTTGGTAAGCATATCTGCTGCCTGATCCTGGGTTCCAACATGGTGGATGGTGATGTGTCCATTGTCCACCATCTCTCTGATGTAGTGATATCTGATGTCAATATGCTTTGACCTCTTGTGATGAGCTGGATTGCCTGCCAATGCCAGAGCTCCTTGATTGTCACAGTAGAGCTGAGTTGGCTTGTCCTTGGTGATGAAGCCTAACTCTTGTAGCATCCTGTTGAGCCACATGGCTTCCTTGGCAGCCTCTGCCAAAGCCATATACTCTGCTTCACAGGTAGATGTTGCCACTGTGCTTTGCCTGATAGAGGTCCATGAGACTGCTGATCCTAGTAGCTTGAAGCAGTATCCTGTAGTGCTTCTCCTTGTTTCCATGTCTCCTGCATAGTCTGCATCACAGTATCCAATGAGGCTGTGTTGACTGCCTCCTGTGTTGTTGTCCAGTTGACCAAGGGTGAGGACCTTGTCAATGGTGCCCTTCAAGTATGCCAATGTCCTCTTGGCTGCCTTGAGATGCTGTTCAGATGGGTTGCTGCTGAACCTGCTGAGGTAGCCAACAGCAAAGACAATGTCTGGTCTTGCTGACATGGCACTCCACATCAAGGATCCAACTATCTGTTGATAGAGTGTTTTCCTCTGCTTGTCCTCCTTGATGGTGTCTTCTTGCCTCTTCATCATGGCATCATAGAGTGGTGTGGTGACTGTCTTGGCATCCTGCATGCCAAACCTGTCCAGCACCCTCTGTATATAGCCATCCTGGCTGAGTGAGATGGTCCTGCTGGGTCTGTGTCTCTCCAGCTTGAATCCAAGGATATAGGTAGCTGTTCCTATATCTGACCATTTCCACTTGTTCTTCAATGCATCCCTGATGCCATTGATGGTGCTCATCTCTTGGGCAGCAATCAGGACATCATCCACATAGAGCAGTAGATATGCCTGTTTCTTCTTGTGATAGTAGAGTCCCCAGTCTGCTGATAGCCTGGTGAAACCCAACTCTTCCAGGTATGTGCTGATGAGTTGCCACCATACCCTGGGTGATTGCTTGAGACCATAGAGTGATCTAACAAGCTTGAGTCCTGTAGACTTCTTGTCCTGTCTCTGGTATCCATCTGGAAAGTCCATGTAGATGTCTTCCTCCAATGTACCATTGAGAAAGGCAGTGTCTGCATCCATCTGGTAGAGCTCCAAGTCTTGAGCTGCCACAATGGTGAGCAGTATCCTGAGTGAGGTGAGTCTGGCCACAGGACTGTATGTGTCAAAGTAGTTGACCCCATACTCCTGAGTGAAGCCTCTGGCCACTATCCTGGCCTTGTACTTGATGACTTCTCCTCTCTCATTGAGCTTTGTCTTGAAGACCCATTTGGAGTCTACCAAGCTAGCTCCCTCTGGAACCTTGACCTCTTGCCAGGTTCCAGTATCTTTGACTGACTTGAGTTCCTTGTTGATGGCTTCTTGCCATAAGTCAGACCTTGGATCTTGCATGGCTGCCCTGTATGACTGAGGGTCTTCCTGTGTCTCTGCAGAGTGGACACTAGCCAATGCCATCTCTTGCATGATGTTCAGCCTGGGTGACCTTCTCCTGATAGGTGCCCTTGGCTTGAGTAGCATGGGATCCTCATCATCAGAGTCTTCTTCTTCCTCTGATTCTTCTATCTGAGGTGAGGGATCCCTGTAGTCCAATGGCTGATTTTGTGGGCCATTGACTGCTGGTGGTGATGCTTCCTTCTGAGGTTTTTCTTCTTTATCTTCCTTGTCCTCAGAGGCATCCTCAGTATTAGGTGACGTTGTACCTCTATACTGTTGATCAGGAAGATGTCCTTGATGTTGTTGTGGTGTTCCCAGTGGAGTAGTGTTCCCTTCACTAGCTCCCTCTGGCCTTCTGAACACAACATCCCTGCTTGTAAGGGTGACATCTCTTCCTTCTTCTTGTATGAGAACAAGGTAACCTGCTCCAGTGATGTTTGGATGCAGCAGCTT